CCTACTGCGGAGAAGTTGATAGCCAAGGAGGTGGAAATGTTGCCTAGGTGTCCTGTGTGTTGGGCGGAGGAGGAGACGATTGAACACCTGATGTTCTTCTGCCCGGTGGCGGTGGCCCTATGGGAAGCAGCGGGCTTGCAGCAGAGTTTGCACGTGTTCCCGCGTGAGCATATTGGTATTTTTCTTCGACGTCTCTTGGCAACAGATGGGTCTCCGCAAAAGGTTGTACAGGTGGTGGCACTCCTCTGGCGAATCTGGAAGGCTCGGAATTGGGTGGTGTTTCAGGATAAGCAGGTCCTCATTCCGGTGTTGGTGGCGCAGTACCAAAGCCAGGTCAGGGAGTGGCTGGGCGTCCTAGGGGATGGGGTGGCGCAGTCAGTGGAGGGGTTGGGGATGACCACACATACCTCTCCAATCGCGAGAGTGCCGGCTGGGGTCACTTGTTTTTTTGATGGGGCGATCCGGGCAGGTGAGCGGTCAGCAATTGGGATGGTGTTGTGTGATGAGTCTGGGGGGGTTATTATGGCGAAAGGCGAGCAGCTCCATGGTGTTCAAGATCCGGCAATGGTGGAATTGGTGGCGTTAAGGGAGTCAATTAGGTGGTGTTGCGGAGTAGGTTTTCCATCAGTTAATCTGGCAGGTGATGCGAAAGGGATCATCGACAAAGTCAGAGCAGGGGTGGTTAATGATGTGCTTGGCGGGGCTCTTTTGGAGGAAGTCAAGCGTATGCTCCATTACCGTCCAGGACTCTCTGTGCACTTTGTAGGCAGGCAGAACAATAGGGTAGCCCATTTAGTGGCTAGAAAAGCCCTCTCTTTGTCCCTGCCCAATTTGAGCAGTTTTGATTTTTGCGCTTGGCTCCGTTCGGAGATCTGAACGTTGTATCTTTGTTGTTCTTGGTAATACAAGCTATCTTTGGTTAAAAAAAAAAAAATACTACCGTAAGAAATAGTGCTACATGCTTGAGCTATTAATTAATTATTATTATAAATCTAGGACGCTAATAACTACTAAAAAACTCATCGCTACCGCCGACAGCAGGCATCTTCAACCTTAATTGACGCAGCCTGTGCCATCGTTGGCTGGTCAAACTTGCTAAATATATTCTTAACTACAGAAGTTAGCTAGAACATTTAGTGATAATTATTCTTAGGTACAGTCCGGGCGGATACATGAGGGTTTAGGGGTGTCCCGGGACACCCTAAAATTTGGGAATACGATTATTCAACTCCCGGTAATAGTTTTGTATGGATAAAAAAAATTATAATTAGTGATTCGGGACACCCCTACAACGATAATCCTATCCTCAGTAGTAGTTTGCGTATACTTAAAAAAAATAAGCAATAATCTGTGTAATTCAAACTTAGGATATACTATATTATTTAAACATTGTCCTCCATTAAGTTGCAACTCATTTGTTGTTCTATTTTAAACACTACATAATAGTAAAAAGTTATTCCTTATCCCCGACTATTTCCAAAACCTAACAATTAAACTAATTACGGGCTACCCTTAATTTGAATTGGTTTTATGGTTACACAACAAGTGTTGAAAGAGTCTTTTCAACTTTGAGTTACATCAATAACAAGGTTAGAAATCCATATGCGATTAGTTCGTGAACTATTGTCTAGTAGGATATACAGATTTGTTGAGCAATTTACCAAGCCTATTTGTTATTCTTCTTCAGAAAATAAAAGCACGTCGTGGCCTTATGTTACAATTTGTACTAGTCCGATATTTTTTTTTTTTTAAGAGGACACCCCTATTAAGAATTTCTAGATCCGCCACAGAATTTACTATATTGGGCAAGTTGATTAGCCACAAATGATATAGTGTATTTTTTTATAATGGTGAATTGTTATTAATAACATAAGGAAATTAAAAGGAAGCAAACAAGAGTCTTACAAGTTTTAAGTTTTAACTGCAGAACAAAAGAGAGAAGAGAACCAAAGCAGCGAGGCATCACGAAATGACTAGATACACGGAAGTGACCAGAAAAGAACAAGAGAAAAACATTAACAAAACAAACCACAAAAACAAAACCGCACTCACGACAAGAAACAAAAGCCGCCCTAATAATTACAGGGGGGAAAGAAAAAAAAAAAGCCGCCCTAAATTGTCAGATACACATGCAGTAGCAGTAGTCAGTAGCAGAAACAGCCGACAAGTGCTTAATTTGGAGGGTTAAAGCCAAAACGATCACTAAATTATCGATGAGACAAAAGAATATAACACTAATGATGGTACGCTAAGCTTATTATTTATTATGGTTTGGTGTTGATTAGATATAGTGGGAGGGAAATATTTGTCACATTAGATATTTGGATCTTGGATCAACTACTTCTCTAAAACTATTCATGTTTGGTCATTAGAAATATTTATAATTTCATTCGTGGTCATTAAAATTAGTTAAAATGTCCAAGTTTAGTCAGACTCCGTTAGTCTCCGCCCATCTACGTTATAGAAGACTGTTATGTACTGACGTGGCAGACGAAATCACCTAATCAACCTAATTTAACCCAAAAATGGTAAAATCCGACCCGCCACATCATCTTGCCCAATCCAACCCAAACTTAAACTGGACTGACCCATCTACCTACATGTGAACCAACCCACACGAACAAAATAAGGGTTTATCCATTTTTCTTTCCAAATCTGATAACCATCTTCTCTAGTCCTTTGATTTTTTGTGGCCTCCCTTCGACAAACCTACTTCTGTTGCCGCTTTCTCTTTAACTCCCTATTGTCACGCCCCATTGAAGAAGAGAAGGTCGTTGTCACTACTTTGTGCCACAGTCTGCTTATTCCTCACTCCCTCTAACGCTCAACGATTTGTACGAGAAGGTAAAAGAAGTAAAGAACACAAAAGCCTAGTCCTTCCTTTCATCCTTTGTTACTCTTTTCTTTCTTTGCGCTCTGTATTCTATTGAAGGGCTGGTTGATGGGCTCTTTCTTTATGCTCTGATTGATGAGCTTTTTCTTTCTCTAGCGAATCCCCTAATGTCCACCAATCCTAGATTTCCGATGATCCAATCCCACAAAGAGCTAGAGATCGATAGGAGCCAAAGAAGATGTTGGCCACTGTCTAGTCAGAGGGATCAAGAGATCGCCACCGGGGAGCGCCAAAGAGAATGACGTCAGAGAGCTTGTAGCCGATGGAGATCTCAACGGTGACTGAGGGGACTGCGACGGTGGTGGATTTGGTGACGAAGAATCGTCCGGATCTGTCAGTAGGAGAGGGAGGGGCTTGAGGGAGGGGCTTGGGGGAGGAGAGTGAGGTGGCGGAGGAGATTGATACCAGCGGCTTTGGCGGTAACCAATCCTCTTCCTCGTCGGTGTTCCAAATCACGACGAAGTGTTTGTGATATCAAAGTGAAGCGAGATTTACGTCAATTTCACCTAAAAGGCTAAAATGTTAAGAAGATAGGGTTGAGTTGGTGGTTGAATTGAGTTGGATTAGCTTATGTATTGGGTCTGAAGTGGTGGGTCGGGTTATATGATATGGCGGGTTAAATTAGATGATTAGATATGTCTGTTAGCCACATCAGTAAAAAAACTAACGTCGTTAACGGAGAGTGACCAAACTTGGAAGGTTTAACTAATCTTAGTGACTACAAATGAAATTAAATATTTCTAATGACCAAACATAAATATTTTTAGTAATTTCGGTGACCAACCATGCAATTTACCGCTAAATTATCGATGAGACAAAAGAATATAACACTAATGATGGTAAGCTAAGCTTATTATTTATTATGGTTTGGTGTTGATTAGATATATAGTGGGAGGGAAATATTTGTCACATTAGAGGTTTGGATCTTGGATCAACTGCCGCTCTAAGACAGAAAACACAAATCTACTAGTAAGAACAAACCTTGTTTTGTAATTAGACATATACTGCTTTGCTTTGTGCATTAATTAATCATCCGCGATGAAAGCAATCATGATCCTCCTTTACATGGTGTGAGTAAATTAGCCACAAATATTATAACTAAAATTACGGGGGAAGTAACTAAAGATGGTTGGGAAAGGTTTTAAGCCATCTTCTAGGTATATTCTCCATAATAACAACCGTAAACTAAATTCGAGCCAGAAAACATCCAATTCGGTTTCAATGTGTTTGGCTTCCCCACTCCATTAGTTCTGGTATTCCCCTCAAATTATGTAGAAAACTGATTGCACAAGCCAGAAAATAAATTCCCACGTTGGGGGTGGTTGATATTATCAAAATCAACCAATCATCGGTTAAGGTTAGGGTGTTAACCCCTAATTTTTTAGCATGATGCTAACCATTCTCAGGCAATAGAAATAATATTATTTTGGTAATTTTTTATATTGAACGGGCTCACCACGATATTATATGGAAAACTCATAAAAACATACCAGAAACTCAACTCATCATAAAACTCATCAATCATACTGGAAAATTCAAAACTGACCACAAGTTTCATGAATCAGATCATAAAACTCATAAAATTGACAACAAATATCATGAAGCATATTAGTAAACATAGAGCAGATAAAAAATACGAGAAACCACTTCATAAAACTTGTAAAGTAGATCAGAAAATTAAAAAATGATCACAAATTTCCTAAAGTTCAAAAAAATTCATAAAACTCATCACAATTACCATGAAGCAGGAAAAAAAAAACATAACAAACCACATTACAAAAGTACAACATAAAGACAAAGATAACAGTGTAACAATGCACTCTAACTAGGTTGGTATATAGGTATGGCAATGGGTCGGGTTGGGTCGGGTTTTGCCAAACCCAAACCCATGGGTTTATTCGTGAAAAAAACCCGAGGTAAAACTCACTGGGTTTGAAAAACTCAAACCCAACCCAACCCGCTGGGTATCCGTGGGTTCATGGTACCCACGGATTTTTGTCGTAAAAAATTTACAATAATAATTCCTATCAAAATTAAAGTCAAATATCAATCTCTCAATACAAATTATCCATATATAAAACACCATTCTAGAAAATTCAAGCAAATCACAAATTAACTATACAAATTGTTCAACACCAATCTAGAAAACTCAAGAAAATTGAAGCAAATCACAAATTATCCATAAATAACATGATTAATTGAAAACTTCTTCCTTTCAATTAAGTTTCTTCACTCTCCACTCGATAACATCAACTTCATTCTACATAATTTGAAAGAAAAAATTAGACATGTCTCCACAAACATAAATAAGATTATTGTTTAGAATATTAAATATATCGAGAAAATTAACTATATGGGTGTGAGCGGGTACCCATGAGTCGGGTTTACCCAAACCCAACCCAACCCGGTGAATAGTGAACGGGTTTAAACCCAAACCCGGCCTAAAACCCGTCACAGATTTTACCCGTGTTGACCGGGTTGGGTCGGATGGGTACCCGTGGGTTCGGGTTTTGTTGCCATCCCTATTGATATATAATCTAGGACGTTAACAGGAAGAACTAGCTAGCTAATAATTCATACCGGCCGGCGATGATGCTGATCGATTCGCTGAAGTAATATATATATGACTCAAAATTATTTAGAGGAATCATCCTCAACAACCCGGCGGCCTAGAATCTTTAACTAAATTGCTAATTACACACACAAATTAATTAAGATACCCTTGCAGTTTCCATATATATATATCCTATGCAAGCAAGCAAGCAAGGTTGTAGTATCATAGTTAGTTGTTTCCCTCTTCGATCGATCGGTGCATGCCTTTGTAGTCATAAACAACAAAAAAATCAAACTCCACGCACGGTAATTAAGCACCCGGCCGCCGTGCGCCTGAGAAAATGGATCTCTACTTGTTCCTTAGTTGCTCACTCTGCCTCATTTTCACCGCCACCTTCCTCCATTTACTAGGGAGATCAAAAAGCAGCAGCGACCGAGCTCCGGCGGGCAAACTCCCCCCGGGTCCCACCCGGCTGCCAATCATCGGCAACCTCCACAATCTGGGCCCCAACCCTCACAAATCACTGGCCGATCTCGCCAAGGTCCATGGGCCGTTGATGAGCCTCAAGCTGGGCCAAGTCACCACCATCGTCGCTTCTTCCCCTGCCATGGCCAAGGAAATCCTCCAAAAGCACGACAAAGTCCTATCCAACCGCCACGTCAACCTCGCCATGGAAGCCCTCGACCACCACAAATTCTCCCTGCCGCTTCTCCCCGTGGAGTCCAAGTACTGGAGGAACCTCAGGAAAGTGTGCAACTCCTACATCTTCACCGCCCAGAGGCTGGACTCCAACGAGGAGCTCCGGAGGGTCAAGGTTGCGGAGCTCGTGGAAGGTGTTCGACGAAATGCCTCTGAGAGGCCCGGGGAGGCGATTGACGTTGCGAGGGTGGCCTTCAGGGCCACTCTCAACGCCATGTCGTCCACCATTCTTTCGATGGATCTTGCGGACGAGGAGAGGTCGGAGGCCGCCAGGGAGTTCAAGGAGCTTGCGAGGGGGATTATGGAAGACTGTGCGACGCCCAATTTGGGAGACTTTTTCCCTCTCCTGGCGAGGATGGATTTGCAGGGGATCAAGAGGCGGGTGAAGGGTCATTTGAGAAAGGCTTTGGATCTGTTTCAAACTGTCATCGACAACCGGTTGCGGAATCGGAAGTCCGAGAGCTATGTCTCCGCTAACGACATGCTCGACACGCTTCTTGCCATCGGGGAGGAGGAGGAGGAGGACAAGGACAAGGCGGCTGCCATGGATCCACTTCGCATCCAACGCTTGTGCGTGGTGAGTACTATACTACTTTTTCAATACCAATGAATAATTAATTACTATGCTCACGTACTCTACGGTCTACACTACTAATTACTAACGTAACCTTTGTTTTGTTTTGACGTATATATATATCAGGATCTCTTCGTAGCAGGTACCGATACAACTTCAACCACGCTAGAATGGGCAATGGCAGAGCTTCTCCGCAATCCCAATACACTTGCTAAAGCTAGGGAAGAACTGGACGCAACAATTGGGAAAGGCAATAATTTTCAGGAGTCGGACGTCTCTCGATTACCGTATTTACAAGCAATATTAAAAGAGACATTCAGGCTACACCCAGCAGCTCCCCTCCTACTTCCGCGCAAGGGAGGAGAAGATGTAGAGATTTGTGGTTTTACCATGCCCAAAGGTGTGCAAATTCTAGTCAATGTGTGGGCCATAGGTCGGGATCCCATGATATGGGATGATCCCAACGCATTTGTGCCGGAAAGGTTCTTGGGTTCCGAGCTTAGTGCTAAGGGAAACAGTTTTGAGCTGCTTCCATTTGGCGCAGGGAGAAGGATCTGCCCAGGATTGCCTTTGGCACTGCGGATATTGCATATGATGTTGGGTTCCTTGATCCATTGGTTTGATTGGAAGTTGTCAGATGGGGTCGAGCCAGAGAAGTTGGATATGGACGAAAAGTTTGGGATGGCTTTGCAAAAGGCCAAACCTTTGCTTGCCATCCCTACTCCCAGGTAATCAGAAAATCTGTAATTGAAAGCAACTGCTATTGTGATCGATGTGGCGTTTGGCATTCTGAATGTAAGTGGTTTGTGGCATTTTCTTTGAATTGGTAATATGTAAGAGACATTTTGATTTGGCAAGCATGTGGGAATGGTGATTGTAATAATACAAATATTGCGTGATATATATTATGAGCACTGATACACAATTGTGTTGCAGCATTTGAAATAGGGACCAATCCATCATATGTAAACATAGTGCACATAAACTCATGTAAATAGCAAAATCATATATCAAAAGAATTGGTATACGAACGAAACAATAATAGTAATATTATTATACATCATATTTATATTTGATCGATGACTTTTGAAAGTTGGTAATTAAGTAAAAGTAAAAATGTTATATATAAAAATGGTTTAATATTTTGCAACTTATTATCGATTATCATTTAGAGTATCTCAAACATATAATCCTGATTTGCATAATACTGTATAATGTCGTATATTACTATCATCATAATATAAAATCTTATTACTCAGGTATCACCTATGTTTTCCCACTCTGATACAAAATATTATCAAATTTCGTACCACAATTATGATATTAATAATATCTTACCATCACAGTAAACAAGGGTTACGTAGGAATCCATGCCTCTCTCATTAATTATACCGTTCAGTTTTTGGACCTTTTCCAAGGGAGTAATTGCAGCAAATCCAAACGATCTGTACGTAGTCTAGTCGTAATTGGCTAATTGCTGGAATTGTTGACCACCCAACTTCAGTAGTGCTGACTTGACGCTAGCTTAGTAGCTTGACCACGAAATGACAGACATATCTGCATTCTTGAAGTTGAAGCAACCGGGCGATATGCAAATCAAAATAAACAAGAATCTCACACAGCACAAAAATAGACAAGCAACATAGCAAAGCTGCCATTCATCAATCTTTCATTTGCTTTGGCTAAGCCCACCACATGTATAGGACTGGCTATTTGGTCCGGGTTTTTTGGTTTTATCCGAAATCAAATCTTATAATCCGGATCGAGATTGGATCGGGACCGAATAGTAAACAATCCAGTCCAATCTATGGGCTTAGCTATGAGGTAAAAAACCGTTTGGGACCGGATAAAAAAATGGATAAAGATCGGATAAGAGAGCTCAGCTGCCAAAACTTAAGGGTAATTAACATAAACGATCACAAACCTTTGCACTTAGTACAAAACTTAACCAACTCCTCACCCTTTCAGGCCTTAGGCCACTCAAATCCCCACAAGCTCAATATAAAATCAAGACCGAATTGGGACCGGAACGGGTCAAGATCGGACCGGATCAAAACTGGACTGTATCCAATCCAATCTTTAGTCCTTATATTTTGGAAAAAACCGGACTGGACCGAATCAATTTGGGCCAATTTAACCGGACCGTATAGCCACCCCTACTCTAGAAAGCGTATAACAATAATAATCTCTGTGTCTGTTCGTTTGTTACGTTTGTTGTTTGTGTACAGTGTACACATTCATGATTCATCTCATTAACTTCCCGTCAAAAACGTTTCCCCGCCCCCTCCCAAACGTACGGTTTATACAACAAGCTTCCCTCTCTCACCTCTTCCGCCAAAAACACGATTTCAAAATTCCCAAATTTACAGCCTCTCCCATACAACTACTCCCTCACCGTGACACAAGGAACTGGGGAAGAAGACTTTAGACTTGCTGTGATGGTGTCGGTGCCAGTCTTGCTGATGGCCGAAAGAATCCCACCTTCTGGCCACCGGGTTCGACCAAACCCTCCTCCATTTTGCTGCTACATTAACAGATACAGAGTATACAAACACACCTCCCTCATTCTCCCTCCGCCCATTGAGATACTGCACAAAGTACGCCATCCATCAGCTCTTCAACGATCAGCAGAAGTAAAAGGCGAAACTTTTGGATGGATTCAGGCAGATTAAAGATGTTAAACTTAGAAATTACCTATACCAGTCGAAGCAGGACAATTAGCATCATTTCTCTTCGCTTAATGATTGGAGTCGTTTCACTAGATTCCCTCTCAGTGTTGCAGGGATCTTGGCAATGAACATCCGCTTAGCATCCGTGATCAACATGCCCCTGCATTCAAAAGAATTTTGCGTTATGAATATGTTATGCTGACTCACACACTTATGCTTTTGTAACTGGGATGAAGGGGAAGCTATTTTTCACATGTTCTGAACAACCATCCTTTATAAATAAACAAATAAAACGAATTGGTTGACATTATTCACCATTCTAAGGGTTTCCAGGCCAAGTATTTGCCCTATCCTCAGCTCAAAATATAGTAGGTGAAAATATAATGTTTGACTTAAATGGCACGGGGGGTTTTATCGATTTAAGGGTTGCTCGCCTACTCGTTTATAGACTAACTGCACAAGTGATCAACCCATGCATAACATGTCGAACTGGAGTTAAGTTTACTTACTTCAAGTCGTGTGAACTAGAGGTGGTTCCTGCATCTTGTGCACATAACCTCTTCTTTGAAGACATGTGACTGTATACCTCATTGGACCAATCAGATGATCGTAAAAATGCAGATGCTTCTTGCTTCAGTCTGCAACATCAACAAATAAGCACATGTGAAATCAAACAGGTTGATCTACCAACCCAAGATTGCTGACCAGCTTGAAACTAAAGCAGTTACACAACAGTTGCTTATGAAAATGACTTCTGACACCTTAAGAAAAACATTTTCGTCAAAAGAAGAGAAAAAACAGTTGCTTATGAAAGTTGTCCTAGTGAAAACTGGGATTAAAATGTCGAACTCGCCTTAGAATCAAATCGGGAAGTTAACAAAACCTATAAAAGAAACGCATCTCAGCAAATATAACTCTCTGCATAGTATGGGTCTGAAGAAGAAAATATATCTAGCCTTAGACTCCTACAATTTGAGTACCACCGGTGTAAATTTAACTACTACAATTAGGCCAAAAGAAGCAGCCTAACAAATAAAGAAAAGATATAGTGTCCACTTGCAGCATCTATTTGCGACATTTTGGACAATTTGCTGAAGGTACCATCAACTACGTAGATTCCTGAACCATAGACCAACTCACTTCAGAGTAGAAGTTCCCAAGTCATTCTACAGTCCTTTTTTTCCTTCAATAACAACATTGGCCACTTAACGTGACTGAAACGGAAAACTAGTGGTGGAAACAAATCCAAAACTGGAGATATAATTCCATCAATTGATGGGAACCCGCAGCCTGGGCCGGGTTAGTAGAAGGGGCGGGTTTGGCCGAGTGGCTAGGGGAAAGGAGTGGTATTTTTGTTATTTGTGTTAGTTGTCTGGAACTCATACAAAAGGGTTCAGAACATTCATTTTGGGATTAAGCAATAAGAATATCAAAACCCTAAATCCTACTTTTCTCTCCTGTTCTTCCCCAATTCTCCTCAATCCCTAAATTCTCAATTCTAATCCCTAATCCCCAATCTCTTTCTCTATCTACCTAAACCGATCCTTCTATCATCAATGCACAATTATCGGCACAGCTGAGACTAAATGAAGCAGACAGGAAAGAGAGTAACTTACAGTTCCTTCAGGTCATCAACCTTGGCTCTTGATTGAGCATCCAGAGCAAACAAAATACTTGACTCCTCATTCAGTTTTCTCTTGGACCTGGAAACAACCTGGGCTGCTGAGGCACCATTTGCTGTGTCATGGTGAGCAGGTCTTGACTCCCTTGTTTCCTTGTGTATTGAGCCATTGCTCTTGCAGGGAAGTGGCTTCACAGAACTCACAGCACCATTTTCAGAGCTTTTATTTGCACTTGGAATTGTATGTGGATGGTACGTCTCACCATTGGCAGCATTATCTTTTGCAACATGTCCGGAACCATTCTCAAACACTGATGTCTTTGGTTCTTTGCTATGTCTCCCCAATTGAAGCTTGCCTTCTGAAGTACCATTAGCTGTCCCATTTTCTTTAACATGAACCTCAACCCTCCCATTAGTAATTTGAGGAACCGTCTTAGAGACAGAGCTGCCTGTAATATTGAACTTTAGTGGTGTACCAGAAGTGACTTTGTCGACCTTAGATCTAGCTGAAACATCCTTGCCAGAAACAAGAGGAGGCTTTGAATACACTGGTTTATGGGGAAGAGTCGCCTTAAAACCTTTAGAGGTATCACTGCCATTCTGGTGACATGAATGGACACCATTAGGAGCAAAAGGAGGCTTTTTAATAGATACTGGTTTTGGATTAGTTCGAGAGAAGAAAAGAACATATACTTTCTCTGACAAGACCTCCTCTAAGTTTGACGAAGTGACAAAAGAGTCATTGCAGCAATACCACCGGCCCATCGCATCCTGTGGACAAAATGCCACAATTTAAGTAAGTGGATCATCATCTTGCTTTCATTAACAGTATCAGTAGGCACTATTTGAAAATATACCTTGATATAAGCATAGTAGTGTCCAGACTCGGGAGAGAATCCTGAATGCACTATTGTACCAAAGAGGCTATATTCTGGATGGGGATCCTGAGGGATTGCAAGTACGGAAAAAAGCACAATCAAATAGGCAACTCAGTAACATCAATAGTCAGAACAAACGAAAAAAACAAAGTCGCAACAGACTAGAAATGCAGCCAGCAATCAAGCCCATCCTTCGTAAATGTTATTCAAGCACCAGAGGAGTAGACAAATATTTGGACAAGCCTAAAGCAAAGTAGGGTGGTGCACTAGAGGAGCTAAAATAACCAAGCCCACTGTATAGAAACATCCACTCATGTCAAACTAGAGTTTGTTTCATAATAAAAAATAGAAATATTGTTTCCACAGTTAGTTCTAGAGCACTAGGCACAGTTAGTTCTAGAAAGCCCAAAAATTTGTTGTACTTGTGACCGTCAAGGACTTGTGATATTAGGCAATACACCTCGTGCCTGCTAAGTGCTAAGTAACATCAAGGTGTAACGATACCAATCATATGTTTCTCCATTCCATGCTTGGTCATCAGAAACACCATATATCCATGCAAACAACACAACCCAACTCCTCAACAGTTACCCAGCTCAAGAATAGGCTTGATCTAATTATCTCTATGGTAGTCTCGAGTAACTTATTTTGCCAATAGAACAAAATAATTTAGTGTTTCTAAAGCTGAACAATATTTAAAAACTACATGATGGTAAATGCTATGTTCAACTTCCTAAACACTATCAAGCATACATCTAGCACAATGACAAAGTCATGACCAGAGAAGTTTATAATTAGATATTATGAAAAGTTCCAAGAAACAGAGTCTAGTTTTGCAGACATTTAAATAGAGATAAAAATTGGCATTCCTAGTACCAGTGGTGCAGCACAACCAAAGAGGGCTCTCCCATGGGAACTTAAAACTGACGGAGGAAAATGCAAGAGATATAGTTTCCCGCCCACCACTTAATTCATCAAGCATTCGCCAATACAATTTATGTTGTGCATTATGCTGCTCCTATCCACTAGCTTCAATAAAACTATTTAACCACCGCATCGGCACAGTATCTCCTCAGTGAAGGCTTTAACACTCAGTCAATACAGGCTGTGTGCTCCTGTGTTTCCATCTAAGAGATTATGTGCTTGTTTTTCATTCAAAGCATTCGGATGTAATTATATGCACATAAAATCTGACGTTCACATTCACTCCCACAGGATAGTGACAGTCCACAAATGGTTCTAAATAAAGGAGAAAGATGAACTCTAGAGTGCAGCTAACCATACCTGGCTTGATTTGCACATGAAGCTAGAAAGTACCAAAACTTCTTCAAATTCTATTGTCCTATCGATCTTCCCGCCAAATATGCCCTCAAATCTCTGGAAACCCCACCATCAAACTATGAGTCTCTCTCCTCCAAAAATAATAGCAAAACATCACCAGAGTTACTGGTGAAATCAAGACCAAAACATAAACACATACCTTGAGTTGGATAACAAGGACATTTGGTGCTTGACTTATTGACATTTGCTTCCTTGCCGCCACCAATTTCTTACAACTAAACAAGCATTAGTCCTTAATACGAATAAAACCACAAGGATAAACTAGAAGACATCAACTATAACAATTAAGTTACCTCTCACATCTGTACTTGTTGTTGCCATCCAGAATCTCTGACTGGAAAAACTTTTGCATGGCCTCTAAAAGTGAACCACTGTGCAAAATGTCGAGACTAATGTCCATAATCTCATCAACCTTATTCGATTCGGAATGACAAGACAAGCACTTCACTTGGCTCTGCAGGGCACCCCCGAATATATCCTTGACAACAGAACTGCCGCCAGCAGGGTCGATGCCCTTTCGCGGCAGTTTCTTAAGACGCAAACAAGTGTTGTGGCATGCATCGATGACAAATCGCAGGAATTCGTGGGCATCCTCCTGTCGACCACGTCGAAAATGCTCAGCGTAAATCCAGAGGCAGCTCAGTATCTTGAGCGGGGCATCAAGGTTGACGCCCGAGCTTAGAGACTGGGCTATCCTTTTCTCAAGTATACAAAAGGGGCATTCCCGCTTAAGCAACCCGTTGGAACCTGAATCACCTGAAGGAAGAATTGCCAAAAAAACGAACAGGATTCATAAATACCAAACAATTAAAATTTTTTTTTTATGAATACCGAACCATGAATTCTCTGCCCTAAGCAAGCAAATTTCTAGAATGTTGCTCCGAACTCCAACAAAAAGCATAGGGCAAAATAATAAACTGGAGGCAATATTGCTCTCTAGGAGTCCTATTGCTATTTCGGACGAGAACCAGAGCTAATTGAAGGAAGAGGGAGCTCACAGTGAGAGGAGTGCTGTAACCGGAGGCAGAAATTGGCGAGAGGGGGAGTATAAGTGAGGCACTGGAGGACACTGTTGAGGTAGCAAGTGTTCCCGAGGTTCCTCAACCCTAATGGCGGTCCATTCTTCCGTTCCTGACTCAACAAACTCGGCTGCCAACTCATCTGCAGTCGCAGGCCGCCCATTCATCTAATCGACACGCCTATATGTTGCCGACGATCCCCTTGCTTCCTCTTCATTGAGCGGGCAACTACACAGGCAAGCAATCAAACCGCGCCGCCGCGCCCTTTGTTCACCGTCGGTTGTTATTTGGCCACCCACCGCCGCAATCAGACAGCCGTCGCCGTTGGTCGCCTCAGCGATTCCCCCAATCGCATCGTCCGCGTTGTTTGTCGATCTCTCCTCTCTCTGTCTCTCTCTCTCTCTCCTCTTCTGTGTCTTACGGGTACGGGCTTCTGCCTTCTAGCTCTCTCCCTCTCTTTCTCTCTCTTCGAGTTAACTAACTAAATTGATAATCCAACACGGAAATACGGGATAGAAATTGTAAATTTAGGGATTTTATTTTTTTAATCTAAGTGGCGGACGCTGCTGCAGGAGACCGGTGACCGGATGTAAAAGTAAAACCACCCACCCAGTCTATTAGTTCGTTGGCTATGATATAAGGCCGGACTCATTATTCCGGCCCAAGCATCTAGTGGGCTAAAGGTGTGAGGGTCTGATGTTTGTTGACCTGCGCTGTAAGGGCCCAGTTAGAGCCGAAAAGCCCGAGTGAACCAGCATACTCGAAAGAAACTGTCATGACATTGACAAGAAGGCTGGAGGACAAAGCCAAAAGAAGAGCAGTCAGTCATAGACATAGTTGATAGTCCTATTCCCCTTTGGTAAGTTAAGTTGTCTTCGATTCCAGGATATTGAATTTTTGTTCGCATCCTTGGGATTGGGAAGGGCTTAGAGATAATATAGCAGAAAAAGCAGTGAAACACAAATTTTTATGTGGACGAGAGCCAACCAAAGTCCAGTTGATAGGATTTGGCCTGAAATGCTCACCTTCAGATGCTCATCCACCCTGCAAGCAAACACAACAAGCTTCACACTCTCACTGTAAACCATCCCCATCATTTTCCCCCCACACACATCAATGTATAAATTAAGCCCATAGAAACAGCAAACGGTTCGGTTCAAACCGAACAAAGCTTAGGGTATTTGGATGTAATTATAACTCAAAAGGAACTTTTTTTTAATCCCGACTAAGATGCACTTAAGTAAACCAAAAAACTATATAAGACAGAATTAGTCCAGTTTTGATTATAATATCATATTAGAATGACATAAACAATTTATCCTTGGATATATTGAATGAATTAACTCCTCATACTAGAATCAGTCCAGTTATTGATCGAGAAATCTTTCCTTCAATTCTTAAGAAATCCCAATGTTAATTGTCGATTTATACCCAACTTATGAAAAGACTATGCAAAACTTCATCCTCATATGTTGGCGGTGTAAAAAACATAAGATTCATCATGCATGTCCTTTATCAACAACCTGAATGAATTATCTAAATAAAATTATTCTCGTTAATTTTTTTCTTTACTTTTTCTTTCCAATTTTTATCAACTCAATATGATTCTAGACCGAAGCGGGTATAGACATATAAATAATATTTTCCCTATCTAGCAATGGGTTTTTTTCAGTTTTTTTTTTTTTTTTTTTGTTTCTTCTCGTGATTCCAGCTCCAGGCCCACCTTTTTTTTTTTTTTTTGTCGCCAAGCAAACCTTCGCTTATATGGCCGTCCGAGTGGCTACTACACCCTTATCTTTCTTCTTCCTCCCCCCACCCCACCCCACCCCTCAGCTAAAAATAAAATAATCTTGTGTAAGTAACTACTCCTACCCTGCACGCCACCAAGCCCGGTTGGTATTAGGCTCTGAAAAAGCAAATCCCCTTTCGGTCTTCTTCTTCCTCTGGCTGAATTTGCTTCTCTTAACTCTTTTGCTCTATTTTGCCTCCACGTACCATCACAGATTGGCTTGTCTGAATTTGGAGTGGGGGGTAGTTCCACAAACCAGAAAGCTAGGGAAGATGGCAACCATAACAAATGTGACCGAGTATCAGGCGATTGCAAAGCAAAAGCTGCCTAAAATGGTGTACGATTACTACGCATCTGGTGCTGAAGATGAATGGAGTCTTTCGGAGAACAGAAATGCCTTCACCCGAATCCTGTGAGTGGCTCGAGTAGCTAGTCTTTTGATGAATGGATTCTTAATTTCTTTTAATTTATTTATTGCTTGGGATTGATTTGGGTACATACAGGTTTCGACCGAGGATTCTGATTGATGTGAGCAAGATCGATATGACGACCACTGTGCTGGGATTCAAGATATCTATGCCTATCATGATTGCCCCTACTGCCATGCAGAAAATGGCTCATCCTGAAGGTTAGGTTATTCTTCACTACTCCATCTGCTGTAATTATTTGCTATGCGCTGGAATATTTGCTTTGCTGATCACTTCCATGGACATGGTCTGGATCAATTTGTGTACGTGTGCAGGGGAGTACGCAACTGCTAGAGCTGCATCAGCTGCTGGAACTATCATGGTTTGTTGTATTTTCATTTCTTCTCAGCCACCACTTTTCTATCCAAAAACTCTGCTCTTTTTTATCGAGATGCATGGCTGACACTATACCATGGGTTCACGCATGTGAAATTAAATTATGACGCATATAATATATAGCCTGCTTGGTAAAACATACATTGAATGAAGATGTTTTTGAAATTTTGATGTTTTCGTGGTCAATCTTTTTAATGAATGGATAGATAGATAGATAGATATTGATTATTGAGTGTTTGCATACTAATAGAGAAGCACCAAAACGAGGTCTGAAGAGCTAATGAGTGATAAATCAGTTTTGATCACCAAGTAGTCGAGATTATTGAGATAACGAATCTACTAAATAAATAAACAAACATAAATTAAAGTGATGTCCAAAGAAAAAGTAAATAATTTCAATGGATATATAGTTCAAGTTTCAAGATATCAAAGTTCATGCCCTAAATTTTTAGGTTTAAAAGAAATTATTTAATAACTACCGTTTAAATTAGAAACACGAATCATGTCACATCAATTTATTGCATATCCATCATACCGGTAACCTCGAATGTACTCCCTACAAAAATATGCGAAAAATTAGTTTATTGTAAGTCAGTAAGTGTAAATAAAAACAAAATTCTTTTAAATATTAAAAAAAAACCCTCGATGGGCCTGCAGACGCTGTCGTCATGGGCTACTTCAAGTGTGGAAGAGGTGGCTTCAACTGGGCCTGGTATCCGCTTCTTCCAGCTTTACGTAAGTCCACTAAAGCCTTCTAGGGGACAAACTTCAATTCGATCACTTTATTTTTCAATTTCTAACTTTCTGGTACTGAATTTGTAGGTCTACAAGGATAGGAATGTTGTCGCTCAGCTGGTGAGGAGAGCTGAAAGGGCTGGCTTCAAGGCCATTGCTCTTACCGTTGACACCCCAAGGCTGGGCCGCAGGGAAGCTGATATCAAGAACAGGTTTTTACATGTTTGTTATTCGGTCGGTCGGTCGTTCGACTTCTTTAGTTTCCTCTATCAGGTCAGGTCCCTAGAATTGAAAGTTTTGGGCTCTCTGGTTGATCAGGTTCACACTGCCACCTTTCTTGACACTCAAGAACTTTGAAGGCCTGGACCTTGGCAAGATGGACGAGGTAATTAGTAACTCAGCACATTAATCTTGATCTTTCACTTAAATACATCTAGCTAGCAAGTCATTGTTAATCATGTCAATTCGCTCTTTGCAGGCCAATGACTCTGGACTTGCTTCCTATGTTGCTGGTCAGATTGATCGCTCCCTCAGCTGGAAGGTTACTTGCTGTGATTTTAGAATAAACCTAATCAGTTCATATGATGATTGTGTTTTGCTGATTGTGATAAGTGAAATGTGTATGACTACATGGTGAAATGATCAAGCATTCTTACATTAATTGTAACCAGGATGTGCAATGGCTTCAAACAATCACCTCACTGCCAATTCTGGTCAAGGGTGTCCTCACAGCTGAGGATGGTAAGAGCTAATAACTTGTTTGTTCTTTTTTTTAATTATATTATTATAGTGAATGTTGAGTAGCTCCAAGTTTCCATATTAACGAAGTCTCCAATTAAGCTTCCATATTAACGAAGTCTCCAAATTCTGATTGGTGATGTCTGTATGTATGTAACAGCCAGGATAGCAGTTCAAGTTGGAGCAGCAGGAATCATTGTGTCCAACCATGGTGCTCGTCAACTTGATTATGTCCCTGCTACCATTAGGGCACTTGAGGAGGTATGTGCTTGTACATTTAACAAAGTAATTTCATGGTTCCATACTTCACTTGGCATAAACATAACATCACTATGCATCTGTGAGCTCGATCTCACATACAGTACTTATGGGTCGGATATGTAACATTCTATCCAAATGTGAAGCAATTCCAATGACTGCAATTGATGAACACATACTGTACGTACAACCAATGCGCAGGTGGTGAAGGGGGCACAAGGGCGAGTCCCGGTGTTCTTGGATGGTGGTGTGAGACGCGGGACAGATGTGTTCAAGGCATTGGCACTTGGAGCCTCTGGCATATTTGTGAGTTCCATTCAATATTGTGTTCATAATATAATTAAGCTAGCTAGTTGGCTTTGCTAGCTTGAACAATGCAGTTGAACTCGCACTGTCTTAATTAACGTATAGATTGGACGACCGGTGGTGTTCTCATTGGCTGCCGAGGGAGAGGCTGGAGTGAGGAACGTCCTTCAAATGTTACGCGACGAGTTTGAGCTGACAATGGCGCTCAGCGGCTGCCGTAATCTGGGCGAAATCACAAGAGCCCACATCTTCACTGATTGGGATGCTTCTCCCAGCCACCCTACGGCCAAGCTTTAAAGGCAGTACCCAAGATGCTCTAAGCCAACCACTGGTACTGGTTCTTCATTTTTCTTTCCCATTTTCATGGATCCATGAACAGAGACTCGTTTCCTTGCACTTTGGGTTTACTTACAGTACAGACATGTGTATCCTTCCTTTGGAAACTTTGATATATCGACCTCCTCCTCCCCATGTTTCCTTGGTTATAATTAAACGGTTCAAACTCGATCTATATATGCCTGGTTCTAATCATTAATCAATGCCTACCCTGGCTTCCACTTTGTATATCTCATGTGGCCAAGTGTATGTATTCTGTTCATTCTAACTCACTAGTTCCCACTCCGTCGTTCATCGTTCCCACTCACAGAGCCTATGTATTTGCTTTCAAGCAAAACGGTAGTACTGTTTGATATTAATGTTTGTACTTTTGACTTCTTGAACAACGAAATTAAAATGGTCCACACTTATTTAAATAAATTCAAATGAGAGTGTTTGATATTTTTATAATTTTTTTGGAATAAGCTACGTTTATTACTTCTTCTTCTATTGAGGTTCACCGATGGTTCTCAAAACTAAAGGTTACAACTAATTTGCAGAGAAATTATAAATTTCGAGTCAAATGTTTGGTTGTGACAACCTTTTACATTCTTAATTTCTCCTATTTTATAGTCACTAGGTGTAACTGCATTGGTACCGCCTTGGTAACTACTAGTTGGCTTGTTGCTCCAACCGCTTTAGTGACCCCTTGTCACCAAGTCCACTTGGAATTAGTCTCCATATGGCCCCCTCAGGAGCTATACACCAAGTCATCATCAAGTTGACAACCTCTTAGCTCAGCATCCTGGCCGACCAGCCCCTACCCCTAAAATTTCATACTTAGACCATCCACAATGATAGAAGGGAAAAAAGGGTGAAAAGGGTGGGAAAAAAGGGGAAAAATGGTGGAGGAGAGGAATTGGTCACAATGGGTGGGAGGGAAAAAAGGGTAATGGGAAGGGGTTTTTAATTTCAAAAGGGTGGGGGAAAAAAAAAAGAGGGCACCAGCCGCTTTTTCCTCCTTCTTTTGTCTTTTTCAAAAGGATAAACCCTTCCCCAATAGCCTTCTTTTCCTTTTTAGCCTTTTTATCCTCCCCTATTGTAGGCTTTCCCCTCCTTTTTTTCCCTTTTCCCCTTTTTTTCAATACTTGCTGTGGGTGGTCTTAGTCTTGGGGCTATGAGGGTGGTCCATGGCGCATTGGTACCTAGTCGCTTGTCACCTCCTCATATGCTTGGCAACCTGCGAGTTTGATATCTATATTTACCTTTTGGGAGGTTTCATAACTTGATATCAAACATGTCTTGCTAGCTTGATATCATGTTGTCTGGTTACCAAGTCTGTCTTGCCGCCTTGGTATCTCCTTGCTTGGTCACCAAGTCTGTCTTGTTTTCAGACGTAGTTTTTTTAGAGCCGTATTTCATAACAAGGAGAAGAAGGCATCAACTAGGCTATGGAGGCAGCCGACCACTAGGTTAGAGATAGGGAGTTTGGTCATTTAGGTCCAAAAATCCAACCTAATAATACCCACCTAGCTCATTTAATTACTAAATGTTGAGCTTGTCTTATAAATTTATTTAATTTTTAATAATTAATCGATGTAGTATAAGTTTGATTTTTTTATGGGTAAATAGTATTCAATGTTCGTTGGGTACAGAGATGCCATGCCGGAAATTGTTTTCCGATCTCTGTAACTTCTCTACTCGTCTATCCCCCTTAAAATTCCTCTTAATTTGGCTTTGTTTAGTCGGCAACAGTAAGCTCTGATTAATTTTTACTAGTTCTCATTACCCGCGCTCCGCGCTGGGATATGTGTAACATATGATTATAGTTGTTTAATTATGCAAATAAAACCAAGGAAATATTGTACGTGATCATTCGAATACACAATCTACTGATCACATTTTCAATTAAGGCAAGTCCAACAGAAAATCAAATTTCTACATTTGAATTACAGTTTTATATGAATTCTGAATGAGAAAATGCGCATGACAAATAATATATTACAATTATCATTTGGACTCTCCAGGATCTTAGTGGGGAACATTTCAACATTTACCTAAAGAAATCACGTATGTCTATTAAAGAAGTCACCATGTGGGTTGATAACGATGTAATTGCACATATTTGCGACCCTAGTTCTTATCCGTTTGAGGGGCATAGTCGTGTATTGTGGCCTATTTTACGCCGGGTTGTGCTATTTTGTCATGTTTCAGGTCCCAGGTGTCAAAGGGAAGGCTAAGCGCGAGTTTCAGGGCATTCGGAAGTCATTTCGGTGAGCTGGAGCCAAAACACGGGCACACCTAAGGCATTACACGGCCGTGTTCCTGTGGCCGTGCTTTTTATGCCGAGAGCCGAGCTGATTACACGGGCAGGGCCGAGACAAAGCACGGTCGTGTTCCACCAAAGCACGGCCGTTTCCAACGCGAAGCACGGCCGTGTTTATCCCAACTGCTGGCCGTGTAATTAAGCTTGGCCGAGACACGGGCGGACTCAGGCAAAGCACGGCCGTGCCCTCGACCGTGCTTTGGCCACTGATGCCTTTTTAAGAGGATTTTCAGCCAAAGAGAAGGGGATTCGAGTTTTAGAGAGAGAGATCAGTTCCTAGAGAGAGAAAGCGACGAACAAGAGTCTCCAAGCGCCCTAGCTTGATCTTCAACACCATTGGAGGCCAGTTTGAGCTTGGAGAAGTGCCGATCAACATCCAGGAGCAGGAATCCATCCTTCACAGTATGAATTCCGCGTCTGATTCTGCTTTTGCTTTCTTCTCCATGGAGTAGTTCTCCCATTCATCTGGGTATGGAGAACCCTAGATTTGTATGTTAGGCTTTGATTGTATGAACCCAAGTACCGATTCTATGATTTGATTATATTCGATTGAGGTTTGAATGATTGAATGGCTTGAATCCTGATCAAATTCCTGTTGTTTCTGCTTTGACCTGGAATGAGAATATCTGCCTAGGTTGATAGAGCATCCTTGATTGACGGTAGGGAGTTGGTGACTTTAGTCGAGGAGCCAACTCACTATTCTGTACCGGATTTACTCCGGTAGTGGAGGTTTTGTTTGTTAAGGCCTCAATCTGTTTACTCCGGCGGAGGTTAGTCGCCCGCTAGAGATTCAGATTGAGAGGGTCTGAAGACCTTTAGTCGAGACTTCAGGCTGTTTAAGAACCTTCCGCAGTATAACTATCATAGAAACTGAACTTGGTAATTACAATCCGACTTAACTGCAGTCTAGGGGGAACCATATACGGGTGACCTCTCTTAACCTGAATACAACAGTTTACTTGCTTTGTTTGTTTGGTAGTTTAGACTTGCATTCCAGTTTCATTGCTAGATAATAAGAATTCAATGAGTAGTCATCAGATCTAGGACCCGGGTTGATAATTAAACCCAAACCCGCTATACTACGCTTTAGGAAGTGGTTTTGACTTGGCAAATTCCTAGAGTGACAGTAGAAGTGAGTCATGGGTCACAATCCAAAAGACTTTCTAGAGAGGAGCAAATCACCAAATGCCAAATTGTTGATAATGAAACAACTAAAAGCTTTCCTGACTTTCTTGGAAGTAGTTTTGGAAGTAGTTTTGGCAATCTAAGAATGTTTCCACAGGCACAATCCATCTGCTGACATCAACTGCATATAAGGCAAGAGAAGGAAACAAAGTCAAAAACATAATTATGCATAGGATAAAAGTAAACCTTTGGGGCTTCCAAACCAAACCTCTACCTCCTGTAATTTCTACATTTTGAGGCACCACATGATAAACTGAATACTCATAATAATTGGAAGTTTATTAACAAAGACCGAGGAGAAAAGCAAAAGAGATTGTTTTTTTTTTTACGAAAAAACAAAACTTAATTCTGCAAATCACTAAACAAATTGAACTCGAAAACAATCGTTTACCCAAATTTTCATCGTGCGATGCTCAGAAAATTACCACTTTGCATAAGGATAAGGAAAATAAGTAGCCACCAAAGCTCTCGACTTTCACGACTCAGAAGTTTGAAAGCAGCTCATCAATTTTTGAAAAATCGTATCATTTGGCACAGGGGCGAATGAAATTATGAAAAAGAGATCAACAAGACACAGAATGAGAGAGAAAACAATAATAAGTAACCACAAAAGCAGGGGTCATGTTGGGCTCAGGGTCCATATATCGCAAGAAAGTGAGCTTGGGCGGGGTTCGTCCAGCCCATAAAAGTCCAGATCCAGGTCTGTAGGCAGGTGACCAGTCATCAATGTCCAGCCTATTCATTTTGTTGTTTGCGCACAAAATTCCCAACAGGCCAAGAGGCAAGAAGCTTCTTTTCCTCATCGTCAGTTCACCCGCGAATCGGCGATTGCAAAAGCACGGGGACTGAAACAACAAATTCAAATCCCGGGCGATGGACGGGACTGGAATGGCCGTCGGACAGCGCAAGTACAAGTGCGGCACCGCCGCAGAGACCCTAGAATTTATCAAGTCGATTATGGAATTCATTCGACCTTACAACTAACTTCTTGATCACGGCGCAAGTCGTCAATTTCTTCACGGAAAGACTGTGGGAGGAATGGATGGATTGCTGCGGAACGAACCAGTTCAGCATCTCCTTCTCATTCCTTCCGGTGTAGTTGAGGTAAGGGCCGCCTGCTTTCTCCAGTACAGTAGTTCAATGTAGTTGTTTGGTTATGGTTTTTGTGTGTAATTGCTTTCCCTAGGAGCACTGTCGGCTTCTCTCAAGCAATTCATTCTCACTTTGAGGTCCCTCATGTTTCCAAGGGAGCAAAGTGGAGCTGCAAAAGGTACATTTGCTTTGAGATAAAGTGTTATTGCATCGTTCTTTCTTTTTTGGCTCCATTTTGATGGAGCTTTGGTGAACCGAAAGAAAAAAAACCACTAGTAGGTTTGTGTCTTGTTCTTGCCAAAAATGATTTTATTTCTCTTGGTAGGTTCATCTAATTTTCCCTTCTAATATGCTGCAGCTTTTTCCCAAGCTGAACATGACATCGCTTAGTAGTTTCCTTTCCCAGGCATGAACAAGAAGAAACAACACGAGGTATGCTATTCATGTCCGAAATGGTTATCGATTTTGCTAGTGGCCTGACTTGGAGTACTGCTCGTTGTCTTTAAGAGAACAATGGATCAACCTATTGCTAATTTGATGTAATGGGAGGAAACTATATAGTACGCATTGGTTTTCTCATTTTTTACTCTATCTTTGAATTTTTTATTGTCACATTTCTTTTGCATTGATGTGCAGAAGTAATTTTTGATGTTGGTGCTGGTGCTGGTCAGGTTTGAACTCCTTTTTCCCTTCTTCTAACAGACTGACATGTATGTTTGAAAACCCACGAGTACTAGCATGATAGAAGAGACTTTGCTTTCCCAACAGCTATTTGCAGAACTTACCGAATTCCTTTGAGAGGGACTTGCAGTTTACTTGCTTTCTTCACTACGGGCACATATTTTTGCTTTGTCATAGCTTTATCAATAATAACATTAGCATTAATCATCATTGTTATCAATTCCTGATTGAAAGGCGCCCCCAAGCTTGTGGATCTTGTCCGTTGTAGCATTAGTGTGGATATGAACGATATGAGTGATGGCTAGAAAATTGCTGATTACTACTGAAGCAGTATTAAAATTTTGTTGAAGGTGTTTAGTTGTCTGAGATGTTCTGTACGTGTTACATGTAACTCAGGGATACCTGGCACAAGTTCTTTCCTTTCGCTTTCAGTACAATCATCCTGTGGTTGCAATTGATTCTTGTTCTCGTCATGGGAAAGTCACAGAGACAAGGGCTCAACGAATAAGAAAGCATTGTGCTGCTCAAATTCGTAAATTGGGGTATGCAGTGCTCCTGTCTGTTGTAGTTTTGTGGTATCATAAATTTTCTTTTCAGCATGAACACATTTTACATTATTGGGTTCTTTGCATTGTTAAGAAGTATTTAGTTTGCATTTACTGACAACCCTTTCCACATCCCCATGTTAGTTCAGGAATTGTCGACTGACATGCTAAAAGCCCTGGCTGCCATAGTACCACCAGCTGATGATGTCAAGGAGCCACAGTTCATCAACGAAGATACAGATGGCAAACCTTCATTGGTACTTACTGGATTACATGCTTGTGGTGATCTTTCAGTGACAATGCTGAAGTGAGTTATCTTTTTATTCGTGCCATTTATCATTTTCTTTGGTTTGCTAGAAGTTGCAGTCAATTTTGAATGTCGCTTAGTCTTCTCTCTCACATAAAATTCCTCTTGGTTATTTCCCTTTTTCGGTCTAAGTTAGCAGCAATGCTTTGTTCTTGTAAATATTTTTGAAATCTAGCTCACTGATAATGCTATATCAAGGACGTGAATTGTATGGTTTTACTGTTCCCTTCAAGTGTCTTTTTCAATTTTCTGCAAATTTATATTTTTAGTTTCTCGGTACATCTTGATACATGTTCTTACAATTGGAACATGACCTTTTTCTGAATGCAAAGATGCTAAAGCTTTTATTAGCATTGGTTGCTGTTACAACTTGTTATCCGAAGAATGTTTCATCTCTGCTGGTTCTCAGACCGGATTTCCTGTGAGCAATGGTGTTAGGGCCACCGTCCTTTCTCTGGGGAAAAGTTCCCGTGATCTTGCTTGTCAGTGCACTTATATTTTTTCTTTCCAATTAGATGTGGTATTGTTCTCCCAATTCAATATGTACATGCAAGCTGTAGGCTAACTATACCCACAGGAGCGTTTAACTGTATAAGAGGAAAGGGTTAAGCTGTTGGGTTGTTTAAGCTTGTCTACCTATATCGAGAGCCACATATTTGTAGTATCACGAGTATCTTGTCCACATTTAGTTCTAGTCTGATGATCTCTAATTGCATATTATCATTGTTCAGAGTGCAGACTGCAGAGAGATGGAGTTGTCTTGACAAAGATGCTGGTCTTCAGAATTTTGATTTGCATGCCTTCAGTGTTGTTTTCCGGATGGTATGAGCTTGGCTGAGTTGGTTTGCACCAACTCTCTTTATGTTATGTGCAGCTTATGTTCTTCAGAGCTGACTTGCTCATAACATTTCATTCCCTGTCAAGGTTCTTCTTAAATACTATCCCGGAATCATAACTTCAAGCCCCTCGGTTGGCCGTCAAGGGAAGGCTTGCGCCGCAAGCAGCAGAGGGAGGTCCCCTATTCCTTTGAAAATGCTGAAGGTAATAAACATTTGCTCTTGGAAACTTCAAAAGGGACAAGCATTGTGTAACACAATGCAGCCTCTAGATTGTAGAATTGGCAAACTCAGTACTCCGGATCTCACTTAAATCTATTCGGCATTTCCTGATAATAAAAAAGAAGTATCTCTTGCAGAACACCGTTCTAACTCAGAACCAAACATAAATTTAGCTTTCGATTTGGTTAATAAAGGACTCAGCTCCAGATAAGTGCACACTATTTGAGAAATTCAGTGTGTCTGGACTCTCTCGCCTTGGTATCGAACCCTTGAGATTGATTCTCATGAAATCTGGAGTAAAGCTCAGCCTTCTGCAGTATGTTGCTATCACCCTGTTTTGGATCTCATCAGTTTCTTTATGCTGCATTTTGTCCTTTATCACCCTTTAACTTATGAGTAAAAATCTGTTTCTCACCTAACCTCACTTTACTCTCCCTCCTCGTGTTCAATTTTGTATTAAACCCAAGTAAAGATGTCGTTCCAAGTAAATGTTTCAATGCTGCATAACAACACAACTGATTACCACTTTGCAATAATCTGCTGGGGCTTATTGGGCCAAATTGGTGTCTTCGAGCTGCTATGGGACCTGTTTTGGAAACTTTGCTTTTGCTTGATAGATTATTATTTCTCCAGGAGCAAGATGGTCTGCTGGATGCAGCTTTGTTACCCATTTTCGATCCTGCGTTATCTCCAAGGAATGTGGCCATAATTGCCAGAAGAACTTGACACTAAGGTGTAAATGAAGCATTACAAAGACGACATTATCATTGTTAGCCTACGCTGCATTGCTGTCGTGGAAGAAAGGTCAGATGATCTTGGTGCCTGCCTCCTAGTTGAGCATTTTCTGTCCTACTGGTTGATGCAAGTTCTGGAGAATTCCAAGGGAAAACTGTTCGCAAAATGATTGATCGAATTGTCTTCTAATCTTGTGAAACCTTATATAAACTTGATCTGATATCCAAAAAAAACAGGCTATATCTTCTTTTCACTTCACCTGCATATTCAATTCAGATGGCAGAAGTACCTGTCTGACTGTCTCCTTTCGTAGGTATAATTGTGAACTGTTTATGTTGCCCATGAATGTGAAGCTGCAAAAACTGGTTGAGATGATGAACTGACGTTTAATGATGTTTTTTCTTTTTTGAAATCCATTGGTGAAAACTTTGCTTCTACTACTAATACCTCAAGCAAGTTTGTCAATTCCTGAATGCTTTGTCTCTTGATGCCCTAGGCCAAGATTGGAGTGTGACAGACCAAGTTAAAAGTCCTAAGAGTTCATTTCCCAGGGTCCACATGAGGCTGCTTACTATTGTTCTGATGCATGCTTGTGTAGGACCTTGTTTCTGTTTACCCGTTGATGTCAAGAAGTATAGGCTTTGTGATGATTATTGTAATTTGCCTACCCTACATGCTTCAATACTGTTCTATTAAACTAGGAGAATCATTGTAACGATCAATCGTCATCCATTGGAGAAGCTTGGATATTCGTGTTTGAAAGGACTTTGATAACTGTAGCTTTCTTTCTCATAGCAGTGTGAATGAAGGTCACTGTTAGCAAGTTGGAAAATAATTTGATTGATTATATTTAGATAGGGAGAAGCGGTTGTCCGCACTCAGTTTGTCAGGTACCTATTTCCGACCCACTCTAGGAATTCCCATCATACACGAACTGTGAAGAGAAACAATGCCAAAAAATTATGTAAGTGCATTTTTTGTTAATTACTTATGTCCTTGTTGGAGATATCAAGTTGGATTTTTCTTATCAGGGGACTGGGGAATAATTGCTGTGTATTGACGAAAATCTAGCCGGTCGATCTTTTGCAGTTTCTGACCAGCGGTTCAGCTGTACAAGTCCTGGCAGGTAAATTACACCCTTCTCTTATCTTTTCTAGGGGCCAATGCCATCTTTAGTCCCCTGTATTATATTGTTTTGACAAAATACATCTTGGTATTATGAATGTCATCAAATAAGTGTCTGTGCTGTAAATCTTACTAATGAGGTCGACCCATTGCTAAGTGAGTGCTTTCTTGATGAGACTTGCCACTTATGTTGGAAATTTGTATTTCACCCCTCAATTTGGCACCATTGAGTAACCCCGACCTCATTAAGTTCCATATGAGGGATGCATCGTATAAGAATGAGACGAATATATGATTGAAGAGAGGAAAGAATCTTGGAAGGGTTGGCATTTCATTATTGTTTGTAATAGAAACTGGTGGGAGTAGGTTCTTGAGATGAATTGGATTGGTTGAGATAAGACCTTGAAGGGTATATGATTTTGGAAGCTCACAAGACAAATCAGCATCAGTTGAAGTAAGCAGACGAAGAAAGAAGAAGCATTCAGGAGGGTGGGATTTCATTATTTGTTCTCTCTGTTCCAACTGGCAATGCCTAGCATTGGACCACGTGTTGAGGAATATTGTGGTTTACTTAAACACTTCATTTTTGTTTTTTTTTTTCCAAGTAGGGTCTATCTTTCAGTAGCTGCCGACTTTCTCACGAATTTCTTCAGGCAAAATATCTGATTTAGTTGGAGGTTAACCCGAATCGGATCAGATTCGAGTATAATTCGATTCTGTTTCGATTTCAAATTGAAGACTTGTTCTTTTTTCTCAAATTAACACAAGACGGATCAAACGAAGAATGGACAGATTTCAATCTTTTTTTCATTGGTTTCAATCCGGTTCTGTACCAAGTTTGACTCTGGATCGGGTTGATTCATGCTCACCCCCCTCGCTGACATTCCTCTTCTTTTGTCTGTCATCACTCTTCAGGAACATATCTACCCATGAGCAGAAATAAGCGGAAAGTGAAAGATCATGGTAATTCAAAGACGTCTAAGTGCAGTCTCTTCTGAGAGGTTCAGTCCAGATACGCTCTCCTTAACTCCTGCTTTCACTATTGCCTTAGACTGGTCAAAGAACTTGCAGTCATGCTTTTGTCTTAAAATACCACCACTGCTCAGTGCTCAACGTTCTTTAAGCAGACTTGTTCTGTGGTTCATATCAACTTACTTTTTATCATAGACAGCAACAGTACTGTTAGTTAGTCCTCTCATCTTAATTATATTGACCGCTATCTAACCCCAAAATGCATGTGTGGATAGTTTCTGTGGTCGTGTGCAGTGTCACGTCCTTTAGTCTCTTACGGCATTAAGATAAACGCCATTGCTGTTAAGTGTTGAACATTAGTTAGTTTAGAAATTGCAATTCCACTAACAAGAGCACACCCAAATTGTCATTGTCCTGCCAATGTGGTCGCTGGGGTCGACTATGTGTATCACAATGAACTTGGTTTGAGACAACTGAAGTACCAAACTCGCTCATCTGCTAGCATTTCCTCTTCCCCGTCAGTTTTTGCTGTTATGTCGATCATGTTACTCGCTTTGATTGTGGCGTTGCCACATCAGCAAAATAACGATAAAAACTGACGGAGGAAACAAAAAAGCTGCAGTATGATTGAGTGCTTTACTTGTCTTGTTATCGTGCTCAGTACCCTATGTGATACTATATTACTTCTTAAGTTGTCCTACAGAGGACAAATATTTTCAGTTATAGAATTATCCTAAACTAGGATGGTGAAGATTGAACCTAAGAGGCTTTGGTTTTTCTATTTTCACTGGGAGGATTTGCATAAGATGAGAAACGATAAGATAATGAATGGGAACTTCATCATGTTGCTGTAGTTTTCAGATGAGCCAAACTATTGACTAGGGTATTTGGTTTAGAAGGTCGTGGGAGAGGGAGAAAGAGTGGTTGAGTAGTGAATTTTGTGGGAAATCTGACCAAGTCCAGTATGGGAATGTGAGCTTCTGTTCTGTGTTAGGATAGGAAAGACGGGGGCCAACCTAACCTTCATCAATCTGGCAAAAAAAAAAATTATATATATGAAATAATGACATCATTTGCTCACAATAAAGTATTAAATGGGACGTTTAGGATGATCATAATCTTTGTATTAGTCATAGCTATTTTCCCTTGCCTGCCTTGTTTAAGCAAATTTGTCAAGTCATCTCATTATTAGCTAACTGTCATGGGAGTTACGTTGTTTGAAAGAAGGGAAGAACTAGCATCCCTTGTACTTGTACTTTGGATGGATGGAGTATTCGCTATGGTCGTTAATTAGGACGTACTTATTAGGTGTGGATCGATCTAATAAGCAATGAATTCAGTCCAGTCCGAATGATTGGCTTGGCGGGGACAAATTACTGCCATAATATAGGGACTTGTTTGTGGAGATAGTATAGTATAGGGACTGCAAATTTCATCAACCTTTGTTGTGGGGATGATGTTTGAAGTTTGATGAGAAGTTGCACACTTGCAGGCAGTAAAGTCTTTGTCAGCTTTTCCCAGGGAGGGGAGGTATAGAAATAGAATAATAAGGTAGTAGTAACGAGGATTGGAATTCCGGTCATCATACATAGGGGGACATCCCACCCGTCCACAAAACATATTATTATAATATAATATCGTGTCCATATTCAGTCTTTCTTTCTTTCTCTCGGGTTTCCTTTTCTTTTTCTCTTCAAATTACAAGTGGGCATTTTCATGTATTATACGGCATACGTATGTATATTACCTAATGTAAGTTAGGAATTGGGTGGGTGGGTCTATGTTTGTTTCGAGAGAAAGCGTCATTTTTTTTTTGTGAAATTCGAAACTCTTGAACAAGAAGTCTTCAATGGCCAGGGAGTTTGATATGTTAGAAGCAATGCAATCAAAAAGCGGCGATTCTATGTAAAAAGTATTTTGATGATTTAGAAGCGTAAAGTGTAAGTTTTAAAGCGTGATTTTGACTTCATTGGCTAAAAGGAGTACAATTGGAGGAATTTGTCTTGATTTTGTATTCTCATCTGTACATACATATATATGGATTATAGTTACAAGAATGATACTGATGACCGCAAGTAAATTACAGCTATGGGGAAGAAGATATGTTGGATCATGGATGAAAGATAAACTCCTAGTACCGCCTCCACAAGGTGGAATGAAGGAGTTGCTGATACTATAAGTGAGTACATAATGAGCATTGGGCTAGAAGTTAGTAATGATGTTGAATAATGGGCGGGACATGTCGATGTTGATAAGTGATGAAATTAAAGTCGATGGTAATGTAGTGTATACATCTTTCATTAATATCCAAAGGGGTTGAGAAGTGTATACATTTTTCACACACAAGGGGGATGTCCAATACCAATAATATCCTATGGGGTTGAGATGTGTATAATAGTGTTATATTAAGAGAGACTTTCACTATTGACATTCACTTGGCAAAAAGATGTCTCTCTCCCGTACCTTAGATGAATGATGTTCTCCATGCATGTCTTTGTTTGCACCGGTGATACTAGTGGACGAAAATGAAAATACATAATATTTCAGTGTGAAATTGTTTAGATGGAAGAAATTTAAGGATGAGATTTGGCCAAACATCTTGCTCCAATGATGATGAAGGCAATATGTCAATTAGTTATCAATGTGCCAAACGCAGTCGTCATGGGGGGTTTTGGCAGGGCAGGTAGAGACAAAATTTCATACAAAATAATAATTAAGGAGCGTCTCTCATCAAACACCACAAAATTCCATAGTGGTTGGAAAATTTTACAAATAAAAACCCGCCCTCCTCCCCCCCAACAAACTATTTATTAGAAATGAGTACGAAAATGTGACGAAAATGAAAATTCTATCCCTAGAAGTAGAACCCACCGGCAATTTGGCAGTGATTGGTTTGTCCACGTCATCATTTCCCCACAAAGGGGCTAACCATACAAATCAGAGAGCTCCTAAGAACCCACCTAGCTTCCCTAATTATATTGTATATACAAATCATTCTTTTCTGGTTTGAGTAGGCCTATTATGCTTATCATTTTCTATATAAAAAAAGTGTGAAATGGCATCATAATATATTAGATCATCTTCATATAATTTGATCTCCTGCTAAAGTTACATAAAATCTAGTATGTCGTAAACTCTTAAGTTCAAGCGAGAATTGAATATAGAAAAAAAAAATTGATAACCTACAGATGATTGAAACAATAAATTTGTTAAGAAATTTTTTTGGGTCGAGATTATAGTTTTTTTTTTTTTTTTGCCAAAAGATTATAGTACTCTTAATTTGATGTTTTCCTGGCTTAAAATTTGCTGTTCCCCCTTTCCTTTCAATTAATTATAAAAAATAGAAACATATAAGCACTAATTATTCTATCTTGTACCAAATAATAATAAAAAATAGAAGAAAGAAGAAGAAAATGCTCCTCTCGCCCTCCCTCCCCCATTTTAGTTCTCTCGATCGTATGGGGAATATATATGACTTACCTATTACTTATAAACAAACCATGCTCTTCTTCTTCTTCTTCTTCTTCGATCCTTGTTTATATAGCTAGGGAACTGAACTTCTTATATATGTATTCCTTCCCTTCCCCCCTAAGCTCATGTAGCCTGTCTTTGTTTCGGGTTTTCTTACCCAACACACAGATAGACTAAGCAGTATAGCTCCTAATCTCTCCTCGATCTTCTTCAGTTTGCTTTGCACTGCTCTGCTTAATTCGCTTCATCTCTCTCGATCTCTAGAACTTGAGAAAAGATCAAGCCCAGAAACTATATAATTAAGGTAGGTGGGTAGATAGATAGGAATAGGATGATGAGCAACATAAGCATGGTGGAGGCCAAGCTGCCTCCTGGTTTTCGGTTTCATCCAAGAGACGAGGAGCTGGTCTGTGATTACTTGATGAAGAAGATATCCAGCTCCTCCGACTCCTTCTTCTTCTTCATCGAGGTCGATCTCAACAAATGCGAGCCTTGGGATCTTCCTGGTACGTACGTAATTGTTTCTTACTTTTACTACCACCTGGTAATTATTAATTGTTACTTTTTCCTACACTGCCAAACTTTGTTATGGATATTTGCTCTTATTTATCACTACAGCAGAAGTGGCTTTTGTGACGGTGGTCCAATTCTGGTCATAATAGCAACTCTTTGGCAACTAAAGCCTCAATGGTTCCATGAAAAGTGATCACAAAAATGTCATTTTTCTTGTACTGGAATTGAATCCCTAGGAATTGTTGATTACACGTGGATCAGGAGTCTATCTAATTAATCGTATAGGGATAATATTATTTGCATTACATTTACTGTGTCCTTTTAATTTTGTTACAGATACTTATTGAAAGGATTAGTAACAGAAAAGTGACTTAATTAATAGGGAGTAAAACTAATTAGTCATTAAGCCAATGGATACTGACAGGTTGAGAGGATCTGATTTGTTATTCAAATAGTGTGGCTGATGCTGATAAGACGAGAGCAGCATCTCGGTAAGATCCAAACAGATGCAATTAATTAAAACAGGGTGATGAAATTCACAATTCTAGACTAATTTGTGGTCTACCATTATTACATGCATCCTTACTTTTATTCTCTCTTTCCTTTTTGCCTCTTTAGTTTGATTTTGTGACATGTAAGTCCTTAACCATCCAAACAAATTCAACCGAGCACAATTAATTTAATTCATGTTAAATTAATTATACAGTATAATAACCACAATCATATATCAACAAAATTGTTTTCGAAATTTTTTATATAGTATAATAAAATTCATGTTAACTTGATTACAGCTGCATGATAGTCAACATTCAAACGTTATATATAATATAATATCACAAAAGATACGGATTTTTTTGAATAAAAAATTTTATATTACAGAAACAATAAAAGTTGAGATATATATATATGCTCAAACAAACTGATAGTAGACAAAATAAGACGACTATGCTTAGTGGTAATAATTAGATTGTGGTAGTGATAATTTGTTGTACTTTCTTTTAGGTAAAAACTCAACCCCCTTGATATCTAACTGCTGCATAAAGAAGAACATTAATTAATCTTATTAATCAATATAATTACTTATATTACCTACTCTCTCCTAATCACTGCACATATTCATAATTATAATTAGTTAATATTAACTCAAAAGCAAATATCATGTCAAAAGTCTTTTGAAGGAATTGACAGTAGCAAAGGTAGGGGGAAAGAGACGGGTAGTGCATAGACCCAACAAAAAACGTCATACTTACCTGAAAAATGAGATTTTGTTTGTACTTATTCTCTGTAGTTTAGTACCTTAATTATTTTCCCATCTTTATAATTATAAAAAAGTATTTTTTTTTCCTGTCACATGTGTGAGGTATGCACGTGCCACCTTCGACTTGGGTATCTAACAATTAATCTTGGGTTCTCACTTAATTCAACCATTACCTTAATCCAATAACTCATTTTGTTTAAGTCTCCAAAGTACATTCACTAAACAGGAAAAGGTCTGTGTGAAATTCCAAGTAGATCAAAAGTTAGAGTACTCTAATGTGAGGATAATTACATCTAGCACACATTCAGTACTCCCAAGTTCAATCACTAAACTCTCGATCGGCATATATATTACCAAAATGATCAAGTAGAAATCATATGAATAAATATCATTCTTAATTAATTGTACAGTAGTAACAATGAAATAGATATAGGCCAAATAACTTTTAGTATGAGATGCCCACATATATGCCGTAAGCAAATGGGAACCCACAACCCATGGCATAGAACCAAAATTATATTATAATTTTAAATTAATAAATTTATGTCACCGTTATGAAAGAAAACAAAAAAGAAGAAATTATTAGAATTTTATATGAATTACTATTAGTTGAAAATAAAATAGAATTGTAAGTTGTCAAGTGGTAATTTAAAACTCGTCTAGATTTTGCTACAATAATTTTCTACATATATCCATCCATAAGACATTGACCTCTCAACCACATAAACTTAATAATAATAAAAAAGCCATATAAACACTACGTATGTATATGAAGAAGTAACAATTAATCAGCTATTTATTTTAGCCTTACTTCCATCTATCACTTTCTGTATGATATCCGCCAGTCACTTGTCACCTCCCAATTATAGAGTTTTGTAGTGACAGACAGACACCTCTCTACCTAAGCTCCTCAACAAACCACTCCTTGTGTTAGTGTATACTATACTGGGGCCTACTCCTTAATTAATTATAACGATGTTTTCCACGTGTCACCTCCCAATTAGCCTTTCTACATCAACAAGGTGATTAACCATTTTCATTTTTCACACTGATGATATACCCAAAACTTTTCCAACCATTCCAGTTATTTGGAACGATTGATTTACGAAACGTATAAACTCCAATTATATATATATATGGTGACTATTTCGGTGCACTCACAAAAATGAGTGTATTCTATGCACCCAACTCAAAAACTAGTCTTAAGGTGCCGGATTTTGAATTTTAATTTGTAGAATTAGTGTAATATGATGATATAACATATGATAGCAACTAATTAGCGGATTATCCTAAGGCCTAGACCTCCAATTTTGAGTTCTAGCCCTAAACCCCAAATTGTAAATCCTAACCCTAACCCTAAACTATAAATCCTTCAAATTAAAGTAAATCTTCAATGGTTTTTCTGCAGTTATTATTCATCACATCATAAGTGATGATTGACATCATTTTGACATAAATCGTATGTTTAGAAGGACGTTTATAAATTCATGAAAGAAAAAAAAAACAAATGCAAAGCAAAGCATGATCTAGTTAATTTCAAAGGAAAGGAATGTGTTGCGTTGGTGGTGTAGGAAGCGCGTGCGTGGGAGGGAAGGAGTGGTACTTGTACAGCCAGAGGGACCGCAAGTACGCGACGGGGCTTCGAACCAACAGAGCCACCGCGTCGGGTTACTGGAAGGCGACGGGGAAGGACAGGCCAATTGTGAGGACCAAAGCTGCAGCTACAGGCGGCGGCGGCGGCGGCCAGCAGCAGCTGGTTGGGATGAGGAAGACGCTGGTTTTCTACCAGGGCCGAGCCCCTAAGGGCACCAAGACGGACTGGGTCATGCACGAGTTCCGCGTCCAAGCCACCCTTTCTCCACCTAGAAGAAGTGCCGTCTCTCACAAGGTTCGTTCTCAATATTAATTATCATGTTATTTGAACCTATACAAACTTCAAACTTGTATGAGTAACATTTATTTGAAAGAACATGTTAATTGAACTGCTCGAATTATTCATGACATATTGTTTCTACTTGAGATTGAATCATTTGTGAGTACTTTCAAAATATTAATTAGTTTGAAAGGGAAAGATGGGTCATTTTCGAATATCTCCGTCCTAATGGCAAGAATCATGGAGGGAGGGCATATACATGAATGAACCTTGGCAAATTAAAAGGATTTGAAATCCAATTAAACTAAGCCACAACTTGTAAGTGTCACTATAATTAAGCTGACCTAAGATCATTCTCTTTGGCTGCCCAATTTAGCTGTTGATGTATAGTACAATTTGTTGTCCTCTAATGCAAGTCACTAATTGTTAATTAGTTTCCATCATTCTCGATCTTCTGCTCAAACCCCACATCTTCATGAGATTTGGTACCTGTTGGTGATCTTCCCTCTAAACCAAATAATTGCATCCAATAATTAAGTTAGGGTTTCTTTTATTCTAAATGAATAAATAAAATCTTAACTGAATATAGTATTAGTACCAAATGTAAGATATTCTTAATTAATCTCTGTGGATGGCAATGGCATATATGTATGTGCAGGAGGATTGGGTGTTATGCCGAGTGTTCTACAAGAACAGAGATCAAGCAACAAACATTGGTGCCAAAGGAATGGCTACTAGGAACAACATCAGCTACGACGACGATGATGACTATGATTATCTCGACACTGATAATAACAACTCATCCTCTCTTCCGCCATTAATAGACTCTTCTTACAACATCAACTTTGACCAACAGCAACAAACTGCTCATGATGAGCAAGTGCCCTGCTTCTCCATGTTCTCCTCCCATAATTACGCACCACCACCGCCTTCCAACTCCTTGTTCCCTCAGTTCTTCTATAACCCTCTGGGATCCACTGCAGATCATCCGCAGCAAGTATTGTCTGTTGTCCCTCCTCCTCCGATTTCGTTGGAGGAGGAAACATTCAGTACTTGCGACAAGAAAGTCATCAAGGCGGTGCTGACTCACCTCACCAAGGTGGAAAATGCCAATGATAATATAACTAGTTACCCTTATGTTGTTAAGGACTCATCGTGCTTGAGTTTGGGCCAAGGGAGCTCAGTGGAGAGCTACCTCTCTCTCTCTGATGTGGGTATCCCTAACCTTTGGAATCCATATTAATTAATTGACTTACCCTTAGCTTGTATATATATGGGCGCCCATGCCCTTGATTTGAAGACAATCCTTAAAAAAAACTTGACGAAGAGATGTAATGGTTTGTATAAATTTAGCCTTGTGGAGTGGAGGGTATAATTTATGACATTTCACTTGCGGTGGTTAATTGTGTACCGTTCACTAATTTATACTCTGGTGATCGAGTTGTTTGTTATGTACTAAATATCCATTTGTGTTAGTCCTTTTGGGGTGGAGCTTAGGGATTGTGAGCTGATATGTGTAGATCGAAATGAGTTTCTATTGTCAAGTATACATTTTGTAAATTCTCTTGAATATTCATATGTTTGCCCTACATCAATATTATAAAATCTCAATTCAATATTTCTCTTAATAATTTGAATTATTTGATACATTAGTTATCAACGTAATATGATCAAAGAATAACCTTAACAAATTTCAATTCTGAATATTTAATTTAAATACAAGATATACAATTGATTCTTAGCACATTAATTTGGACATTGGATGTCCTTTATCGCGTTTCTAAGCCATTGACTAGATCCAAATGGCTAAAAATAAGAAGCGCATAAAAGAGGAGAAGTAAGACTATACAAAAATGGGCCTTGATGTGAAGAATAATAGCCCCAAAAGATAAGATCAGAAGTCCAATAAATCTGATTCTAGCCCATTCATCTTCACCCGCCAATTTTTGCGGGAAGGATCGGTTGAGCAAAATCATGAAGTTCAGGATCTGCTTCCGAAAATTACAAAGTTTAAGTGCTCGTTTGAGAAGCATGCACAGTTTAGGGACCAAAATGACGATTAATCGTCCAAAACTTCTATCGTTGACTTATTTATTTGCACTATCCTCCAAAACTTGCTCCCACTTGCTTCGATCCTTCTCTCATGGCGGATGGCGATGTGCTTCCTCGAAAACTTCATCTTCCTTCCTTTCTGAATATTCCCAAGCAAAGCAAGCCAATAATAATAAAGAAAGACGACGAGACGACCCGGCATTTCTAGAAAGACTCCTCTCTTTTCTCATATATGGACAGGACTACTGAGAAAAAGGTTTATGCCTTTTTAGGAGTCATCGTATTTTAAGGGATTTCAATTGTGTATTCAGTTCCCCCGGCAATTTTCCCCGATTAATCGCCTGCAGTTACCATGTGGATTTACGGTCTCCTCGTTGTTCAACTGTTCATCTTCCTCTGGCAACTCACCCGCAAACTTAAACCGCCAGTCAACTCTCTCGCGGCAGAGTCAACTCCATCTTCTTCTTCTTCTTCTTCCGCAATCTGTGACAATAATGGAGCAGCGCCGGTCCCGATTGTGTACAAGTACGACGTGTTCCTGAGCTTCAGAGGAGCTGACACCCGCTTCAACATCACCAGCCATCTCTACGCTGCTCTAAGAGGCCGCAGCATCATGAGCTACATCGACGATGTTAATCTCCAGCGAGGGGTGGACATCGTCGATTCCCTGTGGGGAGCGATCGAGCAGTCGCGGATGGCCGTCATTGTGTTTTCCGACAACTACGCCGATTCCGGATGGTGTTTGGACGAGCTCGTCAAGATTGCCCAATGCAGGAAAACCCTAAATCAAGTGGTCTTGCCGGTCTTCTGCGGCATGCCTCCCGAGGATGTTCGAGATCAGACCGGGAGTTACGGTGTTGCTTTTGCCAAGCACCGTCAGTCGACGGCGTCGCCGGAGAAAGTGAAGATGTGGAGGGCTGCGTTGCAAGAGGTCGCCGGTATTCCTGGCTGCGAGTCTCTCAAAATCAGGTAACAAAATATCGATTTGGTCACTGAATTAGCGTACACGAATCATATTGGTCACTGAACTCTCAACTCCATCTATTGTATGATTAAACAGCACAGAGGCTGAGCTCGTCAAAACAGTGGTTGAAACTGTCCTAGCAACATTGGATCAGATTTCCCCAGTTTCACAGTTCCCTGGTTTGGTTGGAATCCACACCCGAATTGACGATATTGAATCCTTGTTGCACCTGGCTTCTGATTCAGAAACCAGGATCGTCGGAATGTGGGGGATGGGTGGCGTCGGCAAAACCACACTGGCCAGAGCTATATACGATCAGTTCTCGTCCAAATTCGAAGCCTGTCATTTCCTTGGTGACTTCAGGCAAGAATTGGAGAGGCGCTCTGAGCTCGACCTGCAACACGAGCTCTTCTCGGCCCTACTGGGGGACGATTACAACCATCACACCGCTGAAAGAAGCACAAATTTGGCACTAACTTATGCCAAAATGCGTCTCACTCGTACCAGGGTTCTTGTAGTTATCGACGATGTTGAGAACCCAGTAGCACTGCATAACTTGTTGGATAAGCAACCCCGTACTCTGTTTGGTCCTGGGAGTAGGATCTTGTTGACGAGTAGAGACCACCAGGTTCTTCAGAATGTATGTGATGAAGTCTACGAGGCGAAGGGGCTGAACGACTACGAATCGCTTCAGCTCTTTGCTTCGAACGCGTTCAAGAATGCTATCTCTGACGAATTCGTGGAGCTGTCATGGCGAGCCATAAAGTACCCATCAGGCAATCCACTGGCTCTCATAGTCCTTGCAAAGGCTCTGTTTGGGAGAAGCAAGGAGTACTGGGAAAGCATATTGCTGAGGCTTCACAGAGGGGAGCCGAACCAAAAAGTTCAGAACGTGTTAAGGATAAGTTATGATGGTTTGGATCGTGATGAGAAGAATGCCTTCCTAGACGTAGCATGCTTTTACAAAGGAGAGAGTCGAAGGCATGTGAAGTCCATGTTGGATGGTGCTTATGGTGATGGATCTTCTGAGAATATTGTCACGTCGCTTACGGATAGAGCTCTCATTGGGATTGCACATGATGGGTTGACGGTTATGATGCATGATTTGTTGCAGGAGATGGGTCGTGGGATTGTGAAACATGAGTCTGATGATCCGGGGCAACGGAGCAGGCTTTGGGATCAGAATGATGTCTACTCTGTGCTTACCAGAAAAGGGGTAATTGAATTTGAATGCTAATTGCATGTTAATGGTCAGAATCGAGTATTATTTTTTGCCATCGAAACTTGCTTATATGTACATAATCATTAAATATTGAATTCAGTTTTTAATCGTCTTAGCTCCGTCAGTTCTTGCTATTATGTTGTTGATGAGGCCGCCTTGAGAGTACAAGAGGCTGCCATATCAGAGCAACGTACCAACCGGAGCTGACGTAAGAAATGAAAATGCTAATTGCTAACAGTGATTTATTAATATGATCTCAATATGTCGATGTCCAATATGATACATAGGCGAGTTGGGGGAACCAAATTGAAATTGGTACTTAGCTCTTCGGTAATCACTTGTCTAACAACTTGGCAAGGTGTTCATCTCTTAACTGTTTATATATCATGATCTTCAGGGTACCAAAAGAATCAAAGGTATATCTATGGAGTTAGGGAAAGGCCAGATGCAACTGGACTCGGATGCTTTTGCAGGGATGAGTCGTCTAAGGGTCATTAGGTTCTACGTGCCACGCCATGGTTACGGTGATTACACTGAGGTGCAGTTACCTGCAGAGGGGCTTCAGTTTCTTTCCAATCGGTTGACGAGCTTCCAGTGGCCCCATTTCTCTTCAAATTCTCTTCCACCAACATTCCGAGCAGAGAATCTCATTGATCTTCGTATTCCCTATAGCAACGTCAAGCATCTTTGGACTGGCGTCCAGGTAACGTGCTTATCCCATATCTGCGTATACAAATTGGTCCGTTCCATTTTTCGGTCGAAAACTCTCATTTTGTTAGCAACTTCATATTTCAGTAACCACCCATGAGGCCATGACCCCTGTGGCTACGTTTCGTACATACATTTCATGCATGCCTCTCTACGTAAACAACTGAAACCAATTGTCCTTTATTATCACTCAACAGAATCTTGGGAACTTGAAGTACATCGAACTCAGCTACTGCAAAAACTTGGTGGAGCTGCCGGACTTATCACTGGCCAAAAGAATCGAGGACATTCATCTCATCGGATGCGAAAGCTTGGTGGAGATCCCATCCCACGTCCAACAACTACCGAATCTATCCAACTTCAATGTCTGGAACACCAAGAGCCTCCCTGACCTCCCAACTCAGTTCACATCCAAATCAATCAATTCCCTCTCCATCTCCGCTGAGAACTTGCCTGCAGCCGCAAACTACGACCAACTATACCTCGGCATCCATCCAGCAGAAGAACAAGAAGAACAGCTTGATATTAATGCACCCATACCAAGCAGAGTTCTCGACATTAGAAACAGCTTGCACATAACGGACCTCCGTTTGAACGGAACGATGATCCAAAGGCTCCCGGCATCAATCGAGCTGCTTACCGACCTCGTTCTCCTCGACATTTCTAACTCTAAGCATTTACATTTCGTTTCGACCAACATCTGCAAGCTGAAGAAGTTGGAGAACCTCGATCTTTCGGGCTGCATACGGCTGGAAACTTTTCCGGAGATTTTAGAGCCCATGGAAAAGCTGGGCCACTTGTTCCTGGGAGGGACGTCGATTACAGAGTTGCCGTCTTCGGCGGTTTATAATCTGGTGAACAGTACAGCGTTGAATCTGAAAAACTGTAGAAAGCTTGTTAGGATTCCTGAAGATATTCAGTTCTTTGATAACTTGACGCTGATTGACATAAGGGATTGCGAGAGGCTTGTATGTTTGCCGAGGCTGCCGCTGCGAGTGAAGACGTTGAATGCGGATGACTGTGTTGCTCTGAACGAGTTTCCGGATTGTTGGGATCTGCGGGATCTTGTGTCTTTGAGACTCGGGAACTGCTTCTTACTTGACCAGGATGCGATCATTGGATGGATGGTGAATGCCTTTGCTGATGTTCAGGTTTGTACCCGAATCTCTGTAAGATTGGATTGATATTGCTGCAGCTTATAATGAATGATTTTACGTAGATATCAGTTCATACCAATAATTTGATATTAGGTGAGGTTCAATGAATTGATCTTAGACGAAAAGAAACACATAAATTTGAAGCTTGTACTGACTTGTTCGTGCTCAAGTCCGTTGCTAAGATTGGGGTTGCTAGAATTAGACCACAAGACCATTTTGTCATTGAAGCTTTGATACTATGTCAAAACAACACTTCTTCCCAATAGCTCTCGTCTTGCAGTTGCCAGAATATATCTTATTGGCCGCGTGCTTAGTGATGAATGTGTTTCTCTTTACAGAGAATAGCGGCAGAGATGTACTTCCCGGGAAGTGAAATCCCACATTGCTTCCAGTACAGAAGCAATGGGTCCGAGGTCACCATCCAGCTGCCGTGGAACATGGACGATTTCCTTTATGGGATCAAAGGAATCGCTTACTGTTTAGTCGTGGAGGATGATGGCAGCTGCCCTGTCTCAGATGACACTGAGGACATGCGTATTGGCAAATATAGCACCACCATACCCTCCCTCGAGTGCCATTGGAGAACATCTTCGCCACTGCCACTGCCATCGTCATCATCATCGTCAGCCCGGTTTCGTAACTCAAGGGGGACATGGTGTCACAATGCCTTCACCAGGGGTTTTACGCAGTTCAAGTCCAATCATCTGTTTGTTACTTACAGGAGCAGAGATCACGACCGCGAGATATTTGATGCGCGAAATTTGGGGCGTGATGTGACGTATAGTTTTCAGTTTTGTGATGCTTGGAAGGTGAAGAAAGTCGGGGTGATGCTGGTGGAGTTTGATTATGGTTATGGTAGTTATGATGATGGTGATGTTCGCTTCGATGGTAAGTTGATGGATTGGACTGCAGGTGGTGATGATGATCAGCCATTGGATTTAGGTAATGATTATGATGGTAAGCCATTCTATTTAGGTGATGATTTTAATGAGCCATTGTATTTAGGTGATGATTATGATGACAGGCCAATGTATTTAAGTGATGATTATGATGAAGAGCCTCTGTATTTAAGTGATCGCTATGATGATAAGCCATTGTAATTTAGATTAGTGCTTGTTTGGTTGGTTGGTTGGGGGACGAGTTATGGTGACAACCCCTTAAGGGGTTGTGGGTTTGACAACCCACTTTATATCCATTAGATGTATTATCTCTCTTGTCTCTCTTGTGTTATTTTTAAATTGAAGGTTGAGATTAAAAGAAGGGTGTTTTTGGGATGAAAAAAACTTACCACACCCAATCATTTTCCCTCCCATATAAATTAATAAAACCCTAATCTAACTCAGCCCAACTTCACAGCCGTTCACCACCTCCTTCTTCCCTTCCTCCCTTTCTTCCGCGGACGTTTCCGCCGCCGCATCTCCCTCTTCCTCTCCCATGCCCACCGCCGCGCCGGCTGTCATCACCGCGCCTCCGGGGCTCGACGTGCTCTCGGAGGAAGAGATGAAGAAGAAGAAGGCGGGGGGGGGGGGGGGGGGGGGGGGGGGGGGAGGAGGAGGGGGGTCGTTCAAGAAGAAGGTTTCGGAGCTCGCTGACGAAGAAGGGTCGCCGGAACAGCAGGGTGATGTCGATCGCCGACGAGATCGACGCCGAGGAGCTGAGGGCGTGGATGCTTTCCGGCAGGCTTTGATTCTCGACGAGCTTCTTCCGGCGAGGCACGACGATCACCACATGATGCTTAGGTTTTTGAAGGCGAGGAAGTTCGACATTGAAAAGGCCAAGCAGATGTGGGCGGATATGATTAACTGGAGGAAGGATTTCGATACTGATACTATTGGTACCAATACCACTGGTAGCACTATTGGTACCAATACCACTGGTAACGCTATTGGTACGCTACCACTACTCACTGGTACCAATACCAGTGGCTCCCCTATCATCTGGTACCACTATCATCTGTTTTTTTTTTTTTTTTGTGTTATTCGCTACTGGTACCGCTACCAATGCTAGTGGTAGCGCTACCAATGCTAGTAGCGTTGTGTTATTCTCTACTGGTAGCGTTGTACTGGTAGCGTACCACTAGTACTGGTACATATTTTACTGGTACCGCTAGTACTGGTACATTTTTAACGTACTGGTAGCGTACCACTAGCACTAGTATATTAATTACCAGTAGACTAATAGATTGATACACTTTTTAACGCATTGGTACATTTTTTCAGGTTGCCGGAGGGAGTCTGCCGGAGAGAATTTGCCGGAGAAAAAGTTTGTCGGTCGATGCGGAGTGGCTGCTGGAGAAAGGAAGAGAGAGAGAGAGATAGATAGAGATATTAATGTATAGGATTTAAATTTCAGAAAAAAATTGTATTTAATATGGGTTTTTAATACAAAAAAGTAATTAATGTATTCCTTTTTCTCATACCCAAAATACCCTTGGTTGTGAATCTGACAACCCCCAAGGGGTTGTCACCGTATCCCGTCCCGTTGGTTGGTTGTATACTTGTATTTGAGGGATACAAAAATTCAGTTAATTTTCAGTCGTTGTTAATTATATGCGTTCCTAACTTTACTCTTGCACGATTTCATTGTCTTTCTTTTTTCTTTCATTGATATGGGTTGAAATTCATCATTAATTTGCGGCATCAATTTGCCCTCTTTTTCCTTTTTCTTTCTAGGAATCAAATATACATTTAGTTCAATTTGATCCTTCCATTTTCAAAAAATACTTAAAGTTGAAATGTAGGAAAAAGTTCAAAATATGGTTATCAAATCTGAATCATAGTAAAGTTTAATCAGGCTCTCCTAGTTAAAGTTGGGTGGCACATTTTAAATGACCCTGATTCTCTCCTTGCACAGGTCTACAAAGGGAAGTATTTCCCGCGGGGGTCTTTCCTTTCAGCAACAACTCGGTCTAGACCTTCGTGGGGTTGGCAGAGTATCCTCCATGGCCGAGAGTTGTTGACAGAGGAGCTCCGATGGCATATTGGTAATGGCCGTCAGGCCACCCTCTTGACGTCCAGTTGGATACCGAAGCTACACCCAACCCACACCCCCCCCCCCCCCCCCCCCCCCCCCCCCCCCAGGTTTAACCCCCGTGTGATGGAGGAAGGGGTGGAGCTAAGGGTAGCTGAGGTAATTCAACATGGGGAGGGTAAGGTGGTGTGAGGGTAAGCTCAGGCAATGGTTTGATCCCATGACCTGTAAGGCGATAAGGGCGATCCCTTTGCCTCGTCAAGATATAGAGGATCGTCTGGTCTGGCATGCCACCTCTGATGGTGTGTTCACTGTTAAGTCAGCATACCATTTGGCGGTCACTCGAGATCAACAGCGAGGCAGGTGGAAGCCCACGTTTAGTTGGATGGATCGAGCTAGTTGGATCCGACTGTGGGAAGCATATATACCTCCTAAAATGAAAGTGTTCGTGTGGCAGATTTATCAAAGAATTCTGCCTACGACGGAGGCGTTAATTGAAAAGCAGGTAGATGTTCATCCCCGGTGTCCCATTTCCTGGGCCAGTGCTGAAACAATGGAGCATATGTTCCTTGATTTCATAATTGCTCGTGCCGTTTGGGATCATTCTGGATTGGCTCACCTAGGGGAGGGCTTGCCGCGGCATACCCCCCCCCCCCCCTCCCCCTCTATTTGAAGAAGGTTTTGACTCTAGTGGACCAGAAGCCTCAGTTTATGGAAGTGATTGCTGTCCTCTGGAGGATTTGGAGATCGCGTAATTGGGTGGTTTTTGAAGGAAAACAGTTTGAGATTGCAGCCTTGATGCGTCAATTCCGCCAACAGGTGCATGAATGGGCTAGCCTTCCGAAGGACCCTACCCCCGGGCCTCCCACTATGTTTGGCTCAAGTGGTGCGGGGGATCCGGCCTTGGCAATTTGCATGTGGGATGGGGCGGTGAGGGTTGGCTCTCATTCGACAGGGGGGATGGTTCTCTTGACTCCGACCCGTGAGGTTCTCCTTGTGAATGGGGTTCATTTCCCGGGGGTGGATGACCCAATGGTGGTGGAACTTCTGACGCTAAGGGAGGCTATCTTATGGTGCCTTGGGCATGGCTTTTCTGCAGTGCGCTTTGAAGGTGATGCCCAACTGGTTATTGAGAAGATCAGTAGGGGTGAAAGTGCAGATAGCCGAATGGGACCCATTCTGGAAGAGGTCAGCAATTTGGTGGTGGCTCATGCAGGACTTAGTGTTCGATTTGTAGGTCGGCGAAACAATAGGGTAGCTCACTTGGTAGCTAGGAAGGCCCTTTCTTTGTACCCGACTACGAGTCGTTTCTTTGATTTCCAGACCTGGCTGTGTTCCAGGATGTAACTGCCTATTTTTGTATCAATATATGATTATCTTTTGTCAAAAAAAAAAATCTGAATCATAGTAAACTTCAATTTGCCCTTTTATATGAACAACAACAAATTAGCTCAATTCAATTAAAAATAGCTATAACTGATAGACGGGATCATTGTTCACATGATATGACAATATCTATTAATTAGCATCATCGATCATAAGAGGAGAGACATTATTCGGCAAAAAACACCTACTTCTTCCTCCAACTTGCACACCACCACCATCGTCTTCATCAGATTCCTCGTTGACAATCCCACGCCCCATTTCCTGCACCAAATCATGCATCTCAACTCTCTCCCCATCGTCGCCAGAAAATCTCACCAGAGACTTGTCTACAAGTGAAGCCATGATGTACTCTGACGAACCATAGCCATAACTCCCATCCAATTTCAACTTCACATACTCCTTGCTCTCTCCGCTGAACAAACAAGCAATGTCAAGAAATCCATTCTTCTGATCTGAATCTAAACCTTCAAAACTTTTCTTCAATAGCCTCTGAATTCTCTCGTTGGGTATTCGCTGAAGTCTGAATAGTGTGCTTTCCCAATATTCCTTGCTCCTGTCTTTCAGAGCTTTACCAAAAACTACTAGAGCCATTGGATTGCCAGCCGCATATGATACGACCTTCCTCGACATCAAAATGAACTCTTTCGGCGGATCATCGGTATGTGCAAAGGCAATAGAACAAAATAGTTGAAGCGATTCGTCTTCATTCAGCCCCTCAACTTTGTAGATATCATCACATTCATTCATCAGTACTTGGTGATCTCTGCTCGTAACTATAATCTTGCTTCCCCGACCAAACACAGTATGTGGTTGCTTGTCCAACAAGTTATACAACATTGTTGAATCTTCGACGTCATCGAGCACGACGAGGACTTTCATTTGCCGAAGTTGATTTCTTGAAAGCGTGGTCAAAGTAGTGAAGGTCTGATCGTCTAGTATGCTCGAGAAGAGTTGTTGCTGGAGTCGAAGTTCGGTTGTAACTTCCAACTTTTGTCTGACCTCTGCTAGAAAGTGGCAACCGTCGAACTGGGTTACCAGTTGATCGAAAATTGCTCTGGCGAGAGTGGTTTTGCCCATGCCGCCCATCTCCCATACTCCGATGATTCGTGTGAGGTCCAATGGCGATGAATCTAATATTAGCAAGGATTTGATCTTCTCAACTCGACATTCAACTCCCACTAAGCCGGTGAATTGAGGGATTGGGGACATTTGATTCAGTGTTCTTAGTACATTTGCCGCAACTATCTTCACTAATTCAGCCTCTGCCCTGATCGAAGTACAAAAATCTGTACGTCATTAATTTAGGCAATGTCCATGAACACAAAGCAAAAATCAACTACCTATTTGCAATTTTTCCACCTATCAAATTAGGATCGATTGCATTCATGGTTAAATTAAGGGTAAATACCAAACCTTTCAAAAATTGTAAATTATAAGCCAAATCTTTCGAAATATAAAATATTAGTCTAGTTTTCCACTTTCTAAAAAAAAATATTAGCCTAATTTTTGTAACACATCAAAATATTAGTCATTTGTATGTTATTATTAGCAATTCATCACTCTTTTTTTAGTTATAATACTAAATTTTGGAATGTCTGACAGCCACTTATCTCTTACGAATTAGTATAATGTTTTCAAGTCATATTACTAACAAAACTACTACAAAATTTAACATTTGACTAATATTTTATAATTGAAAAAGCCGTGGCTGAAAAGTTTGAAAGCTAATAAATTGTACTTTATCCTTAAATAAATTAACCACTAAACTTTCATATTCAACGAATGAACTACTTACTTAATGACGAGTGAATCCCAGCCGGAGATATTAGTCGCCGCCTCCAACTTTTCCCTCCATGTCTCCACTTTCCCTCTGGTCAACGCCGACGATGACTTCCGATGCTTCTTCATCGCTGCCGCGTAGCTCCCTTTTTGTTCCCCAACATCGTCGGGATTCACCCGGAAGAACACCGGGTAAACCACCTGATTGTGCCGCTTCCGGCACCGGAGGATCTCCACCAATTCGTCCAGGCACCACTCCGAATTCGCGTACTTCTTCGAGAACACCACCACCGCCATCCTCGATTCTTGAATCGCCTTAAGCCGCGACTCCGAGATGTCCTCCCCTCGCCGGAGGCTCACGTCGTCGATGTAGGTCAGGATCCTCCGCCCCCGCAGCGCCTCGTAAAGATAGCTCGTGAAATTGTCCCCCGTGTCCCCTACCATGTAGCTCAGGAACACGTCGTACTTGTACACCACGGGGACTACGGCGGCAGCGACGACTTCACTTGAATTGGATTCCGCCGCCGCCGCCGCCGCCGCCTGCGGACGGTCGCGAGTGAAATGGAGGATGATCTGGATGAGGAGAACGGAGAGATGGATCAGTGCAAGGAAGACGTAGATCCACATAATTGATATCAGAAATTGTTGCAGAGAATGTGGAATGGAGAACAGCCGATTAGATTAAATGCTTGTAGAAATTTTTCTAGAAAAAAAAAAGGGCTGTGGGAGGACGACGACTTGGCTGTACTGGTTTGTAAATTAATACAAATCCTTGGATCTCTATTTCCTGGCAAAGACTGAATGAACCCTCAGGAATTAAATAATGGCAAACATATACAAACGCGGGAAAATTGCATTTACGCGGCGTGGTCTTGAAAAGTCAAACCGGGCAACAGGTATTCGGTCCTTTCTTGATCTTGAGTACGCTGAAGAACCAACCAGCAAACTTGTCTCAGCTCCATCGTTCTTATAATTAAACCTTAAGCTCTTTCCAGTACGGAATCCGACGTCTAGGAGATTGAAAAATAAAAGGAACTCAGGATCAAATCCATTCATCAATATGATCACTCTTATATTTTTAGAACACCAAACCGCATCATGCCTAATCAGGTCTGATTTGGTCCACTGTGTAATGAACTATTGCCTGCCCTGAAAACAGGACCCCTGGATTCCATCCTGGAAATTTTACCAAGTTGGCCTGCAAGTCTGCTACACATGCTCCAAACTCCCTCGACGATCAAACGAACGAGAACAGGATCTAGAACATGAAAGTATGAAGCAAAGATTAGCATTACTGGCCTAGCTGCATGATTCAATATTACAAAACAAGAACCGAATTCAAGTCTACCAAATATTACATATCCGGGAGGCATGTCACAAGTCACAACAATTCAGTAGAGTCAAAAGTCAGTGCCCTGGCTTCACCAAACTGACGGAAGTTTTGCAATACACAGAAAGATTGGTTTGGCGGGAAAGTATGAATCGACATTCTTTCCCAGTCATTCCTACAAAAAGCCTCCAGTTTCAGCTTCAATAGAGCTTAAGTCATAGTACAGGACACTTTCAAGAGCACAACACGACTACCCTCTCAGACTAGTACTATTTACGCCAGATAATTCCATATGCACCTAAGATTCAGCAAGCGCCTTGTCAATCTCTTCTGCATGATCCCTGAGCATCTTCCACTACAAGAAATGAAAAGAGATTTTTACTGAGACCAGGTAAACCAACACAAAAAAATATAGAGATTGCAGTTAAGTTGAGATCCTACCTGATCCACACTCAATGATATGCCTGCAAAAGGAGGGAATACGTCAGATGAAGAACCAAAACAAAGAACAGACATCTGTGGCATCAAAAGCAAGGTACTATTCCATTTCTCAAGAACAGGAAGTCAAGTAAAAGAGCAATAAAATCAAAATAATACCAACTGTTGACCATTAGAGGAGTTTGGGTCAGATCCAGGAAGTCACGAGGCTCTTTGCCATGTATTTATACGCTGACACCAGTTACTTAAGAACAGAACCATAAAATACTCACAAAGAGGAATCCAAGCGAACAGTGAATATTATACCCAGAAAACTACAGCAGATCAAAAGAGAACATAGGAGTTTCCATGTCATACATTGCACGGTTCCTTTATAGTTCCCTGATCTTTCCAATTTAAATGACCAAATAGTACCCAGCAGGCATAGGGAAGTTAAAATTTGCACAAGGGACAGTGGCACTATCTATTTGCAGCAACTTGCAATTAGAATCACGCAGCAAATATGAAGTAGCTCTCCAATTTCATGCCAAAAAGCACATCAACCTAATGTCAATCTGAAAGACAAGGGCTTTATCAACCTCCTAATACAAAGACAGTCAAAATGGAATACCCTATTCACAAAATGAGTACAAAAGAGCAAGTGAAGTAGTGAACAAACTAACAACATACCGAGACAAACGAAGAGCAGAGGCAGATAGAAATGATAAAGATACCTTTCTTGCCAGGAAGTTGTTTTCCATCCTTCACATAGAACTCGCGAATGTCAACCCAGATTTTTCCTTGCCAATTCCTAACTTTCACTCTTCTATTGTGAGATATCTGCAGCAAAACCACCCCATGAAAGTCAAAAACATTTCGCAAACAATAGAATTACCAACATCTACTCAATAAAAGGGATCAATCGCTAAATAGGAAGTTCAGTCATAAGACCCAAAATCCATATTCCATTCGACCTACATCGCAGACAACGATCTCGTCGGAATCACCGGAGGAATCAGTCCTCGGAGCTTTCTTAGGAGGAGCGCCATGGCCGTCCTCAGACGGACTCTCGTCCTCCTCCTTCCGCTTAAATCTCCGAGACATTGCTTCGAACTTCGAAGAGCCTGCACAAAAAGAAAGTCATCCGGTTAAAAGGCTTGGACAAGCACAGAACAAGAGAAGAGACTCGGTTGAAGACCTGCAACACTGTTGTTCGCCGGACGCAGAGTAGCCGCCTGTGCTGTTCGCTAGACTTAAAAGGAGGAAGTGGAAGAGACAGAGTGGAGGTCGAGGGGTTTCGCCGGTTAGGGTTTATATAAGAGCTTTTGCCGGGCGGGCGGGAAATTAACTCCTCGGTTCCCCTTTATTATGCGTACAAATTATTTTTCCACGAACATGTTTGTATTTTTTTTTTATCGAATGTTTGCAATTAATTTTTTGATTGCATTAAAATGCTTATTAAGTATATGCTTGTCACTATTAATGGATTAACGCAATGTATTTGCAATTGCATTTTCAGTATTTAGTTCCATTCCCTGCCTTTTGTCTAAGAAATTATGTCAGAATGTGGAAAATCAAGTGTCTTCTTATTTTATTAAAAAATTGAAATTCCAAATACTTTCTACCTCCAAAAAAAAAAAAAAAGGATTCATTTCTTCAATTGCTGAAGGTGTTACAAATATCTGCTTTTCCTTGCTCCAAAGGGAAGTCCTATTCATTGCTAATCTCGAAGTGAGCACCGATAGGAAGGTGATCGCTCGGGTGATAATCGTTCGGTAGACCACCAACAACATGAGCATCATCTGCTTCAGGAAGTTCAAGGAAGCTGACAGGTTTGATCTGATCGCCAGGTGAAAAGAATATGTAGTCGAGTGTGTTAGTGAAGCTTGGAGTGCAGTTTGTGAATGGAGGTTCTCCGCCCCTGGTTTCAGAGTAGACACTGCGTAAGGGTACAGGTAGCTCATCCAGACATTCCACTGTAGGTGAGTTCAAAGCATCGCCAGAGACGAGGTACCGGTAAACCTGGCGAAAGGCAGGTAGGAAATGCCAAAGAAAGAGTGAATGGTTACTAAACTTTGGGTCGAAAAACCTGGTGGAGAGACTGCTGCGTTAGTTGTTTCATATAATTTCAGTTATAAGTTAAAATCAAAGTTCAGTTCACAAACCTTGTCACCGGGGGTTGAGTTGAAGTCGCCAGCCAGGATGACTTCAGGTGCATAATCGAACTTCTCAGAAACCAGCATCTTGAACTTTGCCAGCCGCGAGAGAAGATACTTTGCTTGTGCGAGCTTAACATCAGCCAATTTTGGATCCCTTAGCAACGAAAGATCACAATCATTTTTAGCTCAATCTATGTAGTCAATGTAACTGTGACCATTATCTCCCAACCAAAAACATTGAGGTAATTTTTGCATATACCAGTAAAGATGTGTATTTGCAACTATAACAACATGATGGAAGGGACCCTTGAGTTTGAAAGCAGCCATTATCCCAACACAGTCTCGCTTCAATCTCACAAGGGGGTCGTTAGGATCTCCTCGGTCTTCGCGAGTGTTCTTTGATGGTGGAACTGGAAACATATATTTGAACCAGTGGAAGTAAAACAATCAGCTTTGCACGAAACACCCAATCAACAGACCAATATATGGAAGCCTTGTCAGATGTATCGAATGGTCACAAAACGAGAATTCTGACTCACCATTACTACCGGAGTTAGCATGTCGACAGTTCTGTTTATCGCCATGTACATTTGCTTCACCTGGAACTGAGTTTACAAGATCGTTGTACTCCACCCTTTCCTCTAAGAGCAACTCGGCACTGAAATTGGTGGCAAAGAAAGTCTTATATTCAGTTTAGTCTCATAGAAGCATTTATCAGAAGACAAGATACAGTTCGCTGAACATATAAGGAATATAGTTTTATTTCTATTTGTAAAAATTTGTTGTATACCTGTCGAGTTTATAGAAGATTCCACAACCATCACGCTTAATGCCAGTCCGTTGAATATAAATACTAGCATAACCATGGTTCACCATGTTCATGTTGAAAAAGCTATCATATTCATCCAATTCCTGAGTACAGTCCACCAAAGAGAAGAAGAAAAAAAGCACAGAACTAAGTTCATACTATTGCATGACAATGAACTAACAAGTTTGTTTAGGAAAGACAATCGGAAAGACCTGCAAGCAGAGGAAGTCTGCTCCTAAGCTTTTCAAAACAGTTAGGATTGCCTGGCTACGAGCCTTCCACCTGAATTCAATGAAGTCGATGTTATGAGAAATGGAACAATCAACAATTTGCTTACAGTAACTCAGTAACATTTTAAAAATAGCTATCTTCCCACCAGAAGTGGATTTGTAACGCACTAAAAAGGCTAACGCAAGCAACTCGAAAAAATCAAATACAGAATAGATTGGCAAAGGAATTCATGCCTATGCAGAACAAGTGGACATGCTTAATAGCATGATCCTGCATCTATCTCCCCAAGGTTATTTGGTAGCAATAATAAAAGTTAGTGAAATATAGATAGAATACTCACTTCAAGCAAGCAGATGGAGAGTGTGGAAAAAGAGAACTCTTCACGTACGCCTACATGACATGGAAATGAAAAATGTAAGACTTTCCATTCAATGGAGACAGTTAATTGAGAGCATTATTAAAGGCTTTCAAAGAAACAATTTCCATGGCAATTTTCCTGCCTCTGACCAAGTTTGTTAATTACTCTTGTGGGAAGGGGAATACTAAAGGAAAAAACTGCTGCTTAAAGCTTGAGCATACCTGAGCCAAGATGTTGTAAGAGACAACACTGAATCTTAAGCCTGCAATATCACTTTTCAGATATCAGATCAGCTTATTAATGCGATATTATTTCACATGTAACTTTTTTCAAAGAAATTCACATCAAGAAAGTAGTGGCAAAAACAACTCTCAACAACTATCCAAAGACCAAAATTGCAAATCAATCAATTTACACACCATCAGCCTTGCTTCTAGAACAAACTTCACCCCCTTCAACAGGAATAAATTTAGGACACATCGGCATTGGTGTTGAGCTCATTTTAGCCAAGCGGATTCTCCTGCACCCAAAGAATTCAAGCATTACTCACGCATAAGATTCCTGTTTTGAACATTCTTTAACCAGCAGATCAAGCAAAGTTCAAAACTTGTTCTCTAAATCCCTACGCCTGCACCCATTTACTGTAATGGAGTAGTAGCTGGCGGAAGAAAAGACAATAGGAAGTTGGTGAACCAAAGAGATAGACCTCAGCATTTGCAGTCTGCATTATAAAGAATCTCAATTGATTTTTTCAACTAAGGAACGAACTAATACGCAGACAATCCCTAATCCAAAGATTCATCCTTTTTTTACCGTGACGAAATAATTAACATTTAACGCAAGTAAGATTTCAGTAGTTACCTTCTTCTCTTTGTCAGCAAACAGAGTTCGAACGACTAGTTACCGGTGAAGAGTAAGTTGCAAAAGACATCCCTCACAACGTCCTGTGGTGTTCTTGATCGTGCTCAGACTCTGCTGGTCAAAAGCCGCTGGGAAATTGTCATTCTGGGTTTATCAATTTATCAGGGGAACTTGAAATTCAGACTTCGCGGCGGCGGTAGATTGGGGGAAGACGAAAAGCTTGGTTAATAAAGTAACATTTTGGTGCTTGAAACTATAGAGTTTATCTCAATTGGTCCCCTAAGACTTTGAATAGTTTATTATGTAAAAAATTTATGAACATTTATATTCAATTTCAATCCCATAAGCTGTTTTGTTTCGTTTACAATGGGTATAAGTCAAGATCATCATTGGCGCAAGAACTTAGGACTTACGTGACACATCACACATATATGATTTAGAAGTCATTATTTAACATTATTATGCATCAAAATGTTACATGGCCCTCAGCCTCAAACATCGATATTGCAAGATGTATATGGTACGAAACATTTAAATTAATCAATTATTAAAATGATGCTAAATATGTTATAACGAATTGTCTTTATGGAAATTATCACATGAGTAGAGTAGTAATAGTATGACAAAAAAAAATTATTTATATTTCAAATTCAAATTTTCAATTATCTATTTTATACACTGAATTCACGTACAAACAATTTTTTGTTCCCGCACAAAGCCTAACCAAACTAGACTTTGTTTAGTGAGTTAGATAAATTGGTTAATTTTTTATAAGCCAATGAATGATGACATCATTGTTCAAATAGGATATTTTAACCAGTCATTCCACACTCAATGAATCAATTAAGTCGCTAAAGATTTTCAATGCCTCGTTTAACAAGAAAAATGAACAGTATTTTGATGGAATATTTGAAAATAACTAATTGGAGTCATTAAATATTGAAGGGACTGGTTTGACGGACTGGTTTGATTTTTTTCAGGATTTAATGATGGCATTGTACATTTATACTCCGACGTCGTTTGACGGAATATTATTAGTAAAATTACAGCAAACGGGTGGACTGTGGAGGTGGTGTGAGAGAGGGAAGAAATCTATAGTCGCAGTCGCAGGCAAAAGCTCTCGCTACTCCGTCACAACAGCAGCAAGCAGCTAAAGAAGCCTAATTTCTTCATCTTCTCTTCGATGGGTTCTCTTTTCTACCTGAAACCCAATACCATCATTCATGTCACTCCCGGTTCCAACGCTTCTTCCCTCTTCCACCCTTCCTATTTCCCGCCTCGGCCTCGGCGTCAGACTTTTCGCCTTCGACCCACTTCGCATTCTGCTGCTGTCAAGAAGCGAAGCAAATCATCTTCCAACTCTACTACTACTACCCTTCGTTGCGAGCTCGATGGCAAGGTCAATGGCTCCTCCCTATCCCCTGAATTCGACCCTCGATTCCTTGACCGGGTAAAGAAGTTCCTAACCCACTTCCCGTAAAATTTTCATACTTATGAATGGGTTCCCTGACCAATACGTTGAACTATGCTGCTAGCTGCAAAAAGTGCCTAACTTGTTGTGCTTGTCTTGATTGGGTGACTATAGTTTGATGAAATTGGAACTTTCCGCAAATCTAAATGCTAGATCTTCTTGCGTGCTTCCTTTTAGTTTAAAATACGATTGCCTTTTGTCTCTGGTGGAAACCTTAGGAGGGAGGGCTTTTAAAGTTCCAAACCCTTTACTCTGTTTCTTTTCCGATTTTTTTAGGTGTGCTAACTGTTGATTTTGGTTCCAGCAAAAGGCACTTGAAGCAGCAATGAATGACATAAATGGCTCATTTGGGAAAGGAAGTGTTACACGTTTGGGTAGTGCCGGTGGAGCATTGGTGTAAGTTTACTTCTTCACTTGCTGACAGGCCCGTCCTTGATCTTTCCCAAAATTGTCCGGAGGGCAGTGGCCTATGTGTGGAAGCTGGACGAATTGAATGGGACGTCCGACTCTGGTACCCTTAGTCGTCGAAGCATTAAATAATATCTTCATGTTTGTATGCAGTGAGACATTTCCCAGTGGCTGTTTGACTTTGGACTTTGCTTTAGGTGGTGGGCTTCCAAGAGGGAGAATTGTAGAGGTAAACATTCTCTCCAAATTCATCCTTGTTCGTAAGTTTTTATGTTATTATGCCGGGGACAGATAATATACTTCTGACTCTTTGTTGTTTGCAGATATACGGCCCAGAAAGTAGTGGAAAGACCACCCTTGCGCTGCACGCAATTGCAGAAATCCAGGTGTGTGCCTTAATTATGCTACTCAGTTTCTTAAGGGTGAATAGCTCTTGTAGTCCGTTCTCTTGTAGGTTTCCGTTTGTGCTAAAAAGGTTTTTTCTTGTCCCCGCTAAAACTGCAGAAGCTAGGTGGCAATGCAATGCTTGTGGATGCCGAACATGCTTTTGATCCTGCATATTCAAAAGCGCTAGGGGTAGATGTAGAAAATTTGATTGTTTGCCAACCTGATCATGGGGAGATGGCACTCGAAAGTAATGCAACCTTCTAGTCCGTTACTTTTTTCTTCAAAATATGCATTATGGCTACTTAGTGGAGTTCATCAGGAAAATTGAATGCTTTTTGGATATGAAGATAACTCGCGATTGTTGCAATGTTTCAGTTGCAGATCGTATGTGCAGATCTGGAGCTGTGGATCTTATCTGTGTTGATTCTGTGTCAGCTCTTACCCCACGAGCAGAGATTGAAGTGTGAAATCCGTGTTCAAATTCTTTTGTAGATTTCTCTATTTTGACTGAGTTTATGAAATATTTTCATTCTTTTTTCTTCTTGAATGGATAGGGTGAGATTGGGATGCAGCAAATGGGTCTGCAGGCACGGCTTATGAGTCAAGCATTGCGTAAAATGTCAGGAAATGCTTCAAAAGCTGGGTGTACCCTTATATTCCTTAACCAAATTAGATACAAGGTATCTTATGGCTTTAGTTTTTTTTTTTTTTTTTCTTTATTCAAGTTTCACCTGTCGCATGCCATGCTCCATGCCACTGTTTCTTACCTTTCATGTGCCAAACATTGTTAGATCGGTGTATATTATGGGAATCCAGAAGTAACTAGTGGAGGAATTGCCTTGAAATTCTTCGCATCAGTTCGTCTTGAGATACGCTCTATTGGGAAGATAAAGTCTGTAAGTGTTTGTTCCTCTTTCCTTTTATTCCAAACTTCATTTTGTTACTTGGTAAGGAAATGATGATGCATAATGTGTTCCAACACAACTTTGGGTTTATAACTGATGAATGGGAGTTTCTATTGTTTATAGGCTAAAGGAGATGAAGAGGTAGGGCTCCGTGTTCGTGTAAGAGTACAGAAGAGTAAGGTACGCAAATTGGAGGTTTTTTGTTTCTCTTGTAGAAAAGCTTAAGCATTTTCATGTCAGTTTTTTTACCTGCTTTTCATTATTAACAGGATGATGATTATAGTCGAATTAATATTCATCATAAAATTTCTCGTTTCCGAATGATTTCTCGGCATATGAGTCGAAATTGGGTTTATCCGTAGTGAGGCATTTCCTAAGTCAGTATCGTGATAGGTGTCAAGGCCATACAAGCAAGCTGAGTTTGAAATCATGTTTGGAGAGGGAGTCAGTCAACAGGTTAGTTTTCTGATTTTCAGAGGAAAATATATCAGTATTATTGTCTTTCCAGGCTGGTGTTCTTGTTATAACAGCTTATAATTTTTCCAGGGATGCATATTAGATTGTGCAGAGATGATGGATGTCGTTCTAAAGAAGGGCTCTTGGTATAGCTATGAGGACCAAAGGTTTGCTCTTTCACTTTCACCTGCTGCTTACTGATTCCTAACATCAGATATCTTCAAAATACTGCGCCAAGATCCTTGTAATTTGTTCCTTCAGCTCGAGAAACTTCTGTGCACCATCGGTTGTCTCGACTGTCAATAATTTATATACTCAAATTCACATATCTAATTTGTCAGCCTTTTGTTCCTATTTTGCTTCTGTCAAAGGTTGGGGCAAGGAAGAGAAAAATCGCTGCAGTACCTAAATGAAAATCCTCTTCTGCTTGAAAAAATAGAGAAGGTTCCAGTTTAGTCCTTTACATCGGTGTCCTATTTAACAAACTATATGGGAAAGATAATGACGGTGATTGATTTTCGTTGGTGTTGCAGAAAGTTCGATTGATGATGACAGACTCGACTGTGCTAACTGGCCCTCTGCATGCAAGGCAAGTAGCAGCATTGTCCCAGGATGAGAACACGTTTGACGAAATCTAGTAGATGATGCGATGATGGAGTTAACTTTAAGTACCCTTTGCTAGCAAATCGCTTCTTGGGCAAGGTATGGTATAGCTGAAGAGTCAGTGAAGCATCCGAAGTAAGATTGGGCCAAGGTACTCTTCTCACGCGATCTGTTATCACGAGACACTGTTGGCTTCTACCACTGGAGATTGCTGCACTAGAAGGCTGGATTTTGAGAAGAGAAAGAGGTCAAGGTTGGTAAAGTTTTGGTAAATGGAAGGTTGAGAAAGAAAAGTTGGTTGCTAAATGCTAACTTCTTTCTGCGTCGGAAAAGAAAAGCAAGGAAACGATTCAAGGTGGTATAAATACTGCAAGAGTTCATAGGGGGTATCTTGTAGCTTCATGCTTCTGTATTGCCAACACCACTATGTGATGCCTTAGTACATGGTGCCCATTATTTCAATTTATTCGGCAAGCATGTAGGTTTGATCATTTAGACTTCAAATAGTTTACTTGGGTGAATGATTCATTCCTCAATGCCCTGCTAAGCAGGAAGTTCAAAGTAGTTCTTCATCTTGAGCAGGTTTTGCCTGTACCATATTCGCACCTGTAAGCTAATGACGTCGATTCATTTGAGTGAGTAGCTTTAAAAACAAGTTTACTGCCAAGTTTGACCAAAGCACAAAATTATTGAACACAAAGTAGTATGAGTATCAATGTATTTTCATGAGAAGACCGCAATCACAATTAATACACAAACATACAACTGGTCTTTTTGTTCTCGTGCATCTACGTAGTTGGCGACGAAGCTAATGCTTGCGCTAGAAAGAGCGATGATAATCATTACACAGTTGTCTCTTCACTTTTCTGATCACTTTAACGGAACTGTTTAATTACTGAGACAAAGCACTGGTGCTGTAGACAAGGAGAGCTCCTCCTGCTAGAATCCCAACCAATGTCACTGCCCAGATAGCCAATCCAGTCACTCCTGCAACAACCACAGAAAACAATAGAACTCGGAATGTTAAGCTTAGATTTACGCGCTGAAAGTTAGGCGATTCGAATCCAACTCCAAACAGGACAAGCATTAGTATTCCTAGGATTCGCAATAACAGCAATGAAACTGCAGCTGGGTTGGGTAACTCACCTCCGGCGTAGACATCACCAGTAGGTGCCCACTCATCTTTGTTGTAGATGGGGCTGCAACGCAACACAACACAACACAATTACCATCACATTAGCAAACAGCAGAGCTTTGATTATGAGGCAATTAAGTAACCAGCCAGGGTGCAAGTTTACCTGTAGCCATCGACGTTGGCACCGTACTTGTCGACGAATTGGTACACTCCCTTTCCCTGCATGAAATTGAAAAGATTCTTATGACTTGTGAATAATTGAGAGTGTGAGAGGAAGGGAAAGCAGTACGATTACCTACCGTGGGCTTCCTGCCAGAGGCATCAACACCACCCCTGAGGTCCATGCCACCACCGGTTCCTACACAAATCAAGCAAACAAACATTCATATCCAATGCCAATGATCAAAGAACTCGGTGTTTCTGGAAGAGTTGCATCGTTTACATAGACCAACCAAATTCACATCTTAGTTAGAAATTCAGCCAAATAACAAATGAAGCCATAATAGTCTCTCTCATACATGCATGGTTTATTTTGTCTTGGGGAGGAAGAGAGGGAGTGAATTGGGTCAGTACCATAGGGCGTGTCGGTCTTGATCTTCTTGATACCGCTGGCAACAATCTTGAAGGACTTTCTGGTGAGGCTGGGAAGGCCACTCACTGAAGCTGATGCCTTCTCAATGAAAGGGGACGAAGGTTTCAAGGTCAATGATGAAGCCACCATTGAAGCTGAGGCTGCCATTTCTGCTTCTCTCTCACACACACAAACACAAACACAGAACAATGAATGAACAATCTGTTTACTTCCTTTTAGTTTCTACTTCTTTAACTATTTCCCTGCACCGGGAGGAGATTGAAATTATCTGTTTCCAGTCAAGTTTTAGTGATTGTACTGTCCCCACGTGTCAGTGGGTGTGTGGCAAAGGTCTGGATAGAAATTTCCCACCCTTTTAAGAATTAAGAGTAGTACTCCAATCCACTTCTCAGTGTAGCATTATCTACTGCATTGGACGCGGGCCCGCCACGTTTGTTAGTTTATTGTTTCTGGGCGGGTCCTGATGCCCATTCTAAAAGGAAAAACAAAAACAAAAAGTGAGGCCTAACTGACTGAGAAGGTGGCCCGTCGTACAGGTGGGTTCGAGGCCCAAAAACCCGGCGATCAGGAAAAATCTGGGCCGAAATTAAATGCCTCGTGTAACTACCAACTACCAATTTGCCCATTTACCACGTAAGAAAGAGGTAGTGCGTTGCGTTCAATTGTTTCAAATGGTTATCATTGTAATTATCCATTCAAATAAGTCTAAAATTTATTAACCATGAAATATAGTGTCATAATTAAACCGTCCAAACTAATACAACAATCAAATTAAAATTTAATTAGTTTGGTTCATTAGTTAACCAGAATAACCAATTAAAGAACAGGTGTTACCTGGTTTCACACCCACTGCCACACAACACACAATCACTATCATTTACTTTACCCCACTTCACCAGTTTTTCTTTTGTAACAATTGCATCCTATGACAAGCCAAGTAATCAAGCTCCATCGAGGAAGAGCAGGCTTTCCCCACAGAAGAGCAAATCAAGAAACCTGAATAAAACGAGGTTGCAAAGTATCAATTTGCAATTTATATAATAAATAAAATATAACAACACATACTTATAACTAATTAGTAACATAAATACATATATAACTAATACAATTATTTTGTGTCAATAGAAGTATTCACATAACTATATATATGTATGTATATGTCAATGGTATGGAGTTAATGAATTGTTGTGTTTTGTAAATTGACATATTCTCTTAGCAATTGCCATAGAATGAAATAGACCTTCCTTTCAAGTTTTCATCCAACATATTGTATGCGTTTTATCTAAAATAAGAGTCCATATGTTGTGGTATACACTTTACAGATACAAATATACAGTATAGGAACAATATTGAATTTTACTTTTTATGAGCCTAAGAGGGAGGAAGGTTTGACACTTGAGTGGTTATGCAAAGTATTAAGTCTGTGTATATAATATTTGTGAGATATATGACTAAGAGCATCTCCATTGGTGCAATTGCATTTGTTTTTTTTATTTATTGTTACTTCATTTCTTTGCAATCCAACTCATCTTACTTGCATTGCACCACATCAATGCAATTAACTTGCAATTGCAACTATTTTTTTTATTTAATTTATTAAAACATAAACACTCAAATAATAAAATTAATGAATAATTTAATAATAAAAAAGATGATGTGGCTTGCATTCCATAATTGCATTATATGCAAGCTTGCATAGATGCAATTGTCATCTACATCAATGCAATTGCATAATGCAATTGCAAATGAATGTCATGTCATAATGCAATTCCAATGGAGATGCTAATTAGTTAACTAGTTAATTTGGTTTGATTGGTTAGAAGTGTTTGAAACCAAACCAAACCACCTAAACCAAACAAGCTAAAAAATTTAACCAAAACAAACCGTTATCCAAATTATCTAAATACTACTGGTTAAAATGGTTGTCACGATAACCACACCGTTAGAACACCCTAAAGCGAGCCAGCGAATCAGAATTCAGAACACAAAGGGAAAGCAGAAAAGGAAATGAAGCTTAGCTGCCGCCATGAACAGTATTGCTTCCAAGGTTGCTGTGGTGGGAAGTGGAAGTCAGTAACACTATCCCCATCCCCATTAATATATGGTAGAATTTTGTGTAATTTTCTCCATTTCAAATTTTCTGTAACGAGAGTGAAAGTAGGAAGGACATTTTTGTCTTTACAATTATTTATTTATTTCAAATAAAAAACATCAATATGAAGATTTGAACCTAGGTCTCTTCAAACACGGACAACAATCATAACCAACTACACTAAACAAATTTGGTGTTTCTATTTGATACAAAACATACACTAAACTCTGGAAAGTTAATGACTTTTACATCATGATCAACAAGCCCACTAAGTCTACCATATTTATTTTTATGGTGCTTAATACTTCAATTTCCATAGTAGAGTTTCATGTAATTTTATCCATTTTATAATTCATGCTCTCCTTAATTTTTGCTTAGGTAAATTTGTAATTGGCTAACATGAAGAAACTATTTCTTTTACTACGTGTTGCGTCATTGTATTTTTCAATTTAAAATTAAATGTTGTCCTTTTGTATCTTTGTTCTTATCTCTTTATAACTTCCTCCAAAAGTCCCTCCATCGTGCAATAATTTGGCCATTTCACTTCCCAGTACAAGAATGCATTTGAAAATTAATCTTTTGGTTTCTCTTGGCACGACAGTTTTATTTTTGGGATTTAAACTAGGCAAATAGAAAATTTCAAATCCGATATCAATCTATGTCAAATAGAATGGAGTTCAATCAAGTAGTTATGAATTTAAACTTATAGTAGAAGATTTGGAATTGAGTTTGAGAATGGAAGTGGTGGGGGGGGGGGGGGAGAGGGGGGAAGAAATTGTGTTTGAATTTGGTAGCAGGTAAAGTTCCACTGCAACAAGTGAAGGCAGAGAAGAGGGAGTTGGAGAGGGTAGTGAATGAATTGAGGTGGGTGTTGAAAGACATGGAAGAGAAACTGGAGCAGTTAAAGAGAGAGAAGTGAGAGATGATGAGGATAATAATGAAAATGGAGAGGTTATGGAAGGACATGGAAGTGGACTAAAGTAGGTGAAGGCAGTCAAGGGGGAGATGAACATATTGATGTAATTGGAGATGAGTGTTGGTTTTAGCGAACTTATTACAAGTGCCCCGAGGAAATGAAGTTGTTTGGTTGAAACATATTGCTCTTGAGATTAAAGATAGAGTGGATAAAAATTTGGTCGTTCAACGGAGAGTGGTGGCTATTTGCTCTTTAGGTTTATGGTTTTTGCAGCTACCACAACCTATTTATATGTTAAACGAGAAATCATTGATTTACTGAATTAGGTCGATTCTTTATTCAACCTACTGAAACTTATAGAAAAGAAGTGTCTAATTTTATGTCTTATGACTTTGATCAAGTCTATTAGTATATTGGAGATAACCCTAATTTTGTCGTTTGCTCTCAAGTTTTGATGGTTCCTTCTTAGTTTAGTTTGTAGTATATAGTTGACTTGAACCAACAACTCTCAATTTCTTTTTTATTAGTGGCATGTTGTTCCTAAAAGAAGAGCATTGGAGCCTTTATGTAGGATTGTGAGGTTTTAGATTCAGTTTCAAACTATATATGGGCCGTGTGATAATTCCAGTGAGCTTTTATATTATATCTTTCTTGACAATTAACTAACCAATATAATATTATCATTATGAAATGAAAATGAAATCAATGATACATTTTTATATTTTATATTCTTAAAAGGAGCACTTCTACTATGCTATATAGCATTGGTGCTTTAATGTACAACTTGAAGTTGTACCATAACATTAAATGTATAAGTTTAGGTTGTACCATAAAGGAATTTGTATTATTATGTTATGGTACAACTTTACAACTTAAAGCTGTACCATCACATAAGGTACAAGTTTAAGTTGTACCATAAAAGAATTTGTACAAAAAGTATAGGTACAATCTGAAATTGTACCGTAACGTTAAAGGTACAATTTCAAGTTGTACCATAAAGGCAAAAACCTATAGCACCAATACTATATAGCATTGTAAAATTCCTCTCTTAAAAGATGATGGTATTTCTTCGAGTGTTCAACCTATATATTATTTCTTTATGTATCATCTAATTCGAAAGATTATCAAAAATATTAAACAGGTTGATAGACTTAAACTTAACATAAAGTTATAAATAATCAAATATGAACATTTCGGCCAACGGGCCGAGTTATAAGCTAGTGTTCAAGAAGGAAAGAAATGGAAGGGAGGGAAAAGATTGGAGGAAAGCACAGCTTTTTAGGAGGTTTCCTCCGTTTTTTAAGACTAGAAACAGTAGAGAAGGAAAGAAAATGGAAAGAAATGGTACTGTGGAGAGTGCCCCTCCAAATCGGAGAGAAAGTGGCGCTGCTTACACTTCTTTTTTTTTCTTCTTTTTTTTTCTCTCTCTATTTCTTCAACTTTCTCCCATTTCTTCTTTCTTTCTCTCTCCCTCTCTCCCTCTTTCTATATGTTTTACGTTACTAAAATAGTAAACTTTGTAGTTTAATCCTATGATAATTAACATGATAATGAAAATTCCGCCAACAATTTATAAGTTAATTAAAGACTAATAATAATAATTATATATACCGGAAGTATAGTATCATATCCCCAAATTCAAACTTCGGGTTTGGGTTTAGAGAATTGGATTTGGAATTTATCAATTAAACGTTACAGTATATATAGTATCATACCCCAAATTCGGTTTAATTCATGGTCTACTAATGTCAAGTGTTATTTACGAACTAGAAGGGCTTCTAATGGGAAATCGTGCCGGAGGTTATACTTATACCGGGAAAGTAGGGTATTTTGTACTAAAACTGTGGTTTAACTATAGTTCAATCCTTTTCTACCGCGAAAAGTGCCTACTATTTTGGGTTCGATATTCGATATTTCTTGTCCGACCCGCCGGTACGGTTGTGTTTTTTGAATATTGTATGATATAAGTTGAATAAATTTTATTTTATTTAGAATGCTTGATCAATCATTATTAAAAAATAATTGATGTGGTTAAATCACGACTTTAGAACAAAATACCCTAGCACTAATTTTCCGATACAATCTCTGGTGAAGTTTAGAAAGAAAGTATAAATTTAATTCACAATTCATAAGTAGAATATTAACATACAATCAAATTATTTTAATATTATACAACCAATAAAATAACAATATCATCACACTTCCCAATGCACACTTTCTTTCCCACTTTCCTCCATAAAACAACATTTTCCTCTCAATTCCCTTCACCTCCAAATCTTCCCTCCCCTCCTAATTTTCCTTCACCTCCCCTCCGTTTCCTCCCTTCCTTCGAAAACATAGTGTAAGTATACTTACGCTCTGTTAACTTGTTTCTTTTAGGGGGAGTGCTTTTCCTGCAACGAGCATAGCGGCAGAAGCGAGATGCCTGTGGGATGGGGAAAAGATTTGTGCTGATTTCTGTGTAAGCCCAAGGTACAATAGTCAGTGGCCTTGCTGGCTGCTGCTGCTGCTGCAAAGCTTTCAGCTTCACTTCTCACTTTTTCATAGCTTAAACAAACTTAACAAAAATTTCATACTGAAGAATGTGCTACCATTGTGATATATTTTCCATTGTTTTGAGCCAATGATTATAAACCAAAAGAACCAATTTGATAACGGGGTAAATTCGGTAAGAGTAGTAGTACAAAGTAACATTTGATTTTTATTTGAGTTATGAGTAACATTTGTCAAATTTAGCATTTGTTGGGATAATATAACAAACCAGTCTCATTAATGATCAAAGCATCACTTAACTTTCTTCCACATAAAAACTAATTAACTAAAACTCATTTACAAGACAAAAAGAATACCCTCTCCCAAACCTCTATCAACTCAAAACTATGTTGCTGAAGAAACAAAGAAAAGGAGAAACTTGCCCTCTAATTTACACACGAGAAAAAGAATAAGAAAGCGAACTCCTTTCCGACTTCTCTCATATCTCCTTATATACCCAAGTCCCAAATATGACCACATAGCAAGAAAGCTAATTGAAACTGATCTCAACTACGTTGAGATATATTCTCCATCAATACGAAGTGGTAAATGTAGTAGTTGCATTTGTTGAAGTGGCAAATGTGGTAGTTGACGTTCTGGAGGAGGAATGGTCATCGTGGTTTTCAGAGTCGTAAGAAGAAATGTTGTAGGGAGATGATGACGGTGATGTCTTTGCTTCAGAAGGCTTCCCTGTTGCAATTGATTGGTGTTGCCTCATCTTAGGAGGAGGTTGAGCGCGTACCTTGAGGTCCATGAAGTCGGATATGAGGCCGGGCTTTGATATCATACCGTCATCGACCTCCTTCTCCCCAGTCAGCATTTTTACTACTGTCGACATGGAAGGTCGAAGCTTGGGAGCATCTTGAGTGCAGAGTAGGCCAATCTTCATATACTTACTAGCCTCCTCAGCATCAAAATCACCATCAAGGGCTGTGTCTACCAGCGCTATGAGCTCCTTGCGTTCGTACAGTTGCCATGTCTGCATGATTAGGAAGAGAGTCAGGCCTCAAACATAGCACCTCTTAATCATCAGAACTCCTATACCACGTTGAAACCAGCTCATCCTAATTTATCGAATTACTAGGGAAGGAAAAAACCTTACCAATCAAAACCCAAAGATAAGCACTCTTCCTTATCCTGCCTCCTCCCTCCCTTTCCCTAACTTACAAACCATTCACAATTTCCCTTGCCTGTAAGCACTTCAAAATATCCCATCTTCTCTCTCTCTCTCTCTCTCTATCTCTATGCTGTTCTCAAACTATGCATTATGTGATGTCACGAATTTCTTGTAATCCAAGGAAGAGGACCACAAAAACAGGGAGGACAAAAGAAGGATGGATTATATGCATTTCATTTTCTTTAATCCACACGAACCAAAGTTTCCTGAGTATTGTTCTTATAAGAGGTAAAGTTTTCATACCCGTTCTAGGAGGTATTGCTCTTCAATTGGCAATCGTGTGTTTGTGTTGCACCTCCCACTGACTATTTCCACAAGCAGGACGCCAAAACTGTATATGTCTGCTCTCCGAGTCAACTGTCCCCGTATTGCGTACTCTGGTGCTAGATACCCTCTGCAATCGAAGATGGAAACACAGCAGCTCAGAATTAGACATCAACAGAGGAAAATTCGATATCCAATGTAGGTTGGTTAAAGGAATTTCCATTTAGTTTTAACCTTGTGCCGACAAAGTATAAACTGAAAGACGTGGGGAATAAGTTCAAATGCATCAGAGAAAAGGAACTTACATTGTCCCAGCGACGCGAGTGCTAACATGGGTCATGTGAGATGGGATCAACTTGGCCAGACCGAAATCTGCAATTTTGGGTGTTAGATCTTTGTCCAGGAGAATGTTGCTCGCTTTGATGTCGCGATGCACTATATATGGTCGTACTTCCTCATGAAGGAAGGCTAGTCCCCTTGCTACTCCAATGCAGATTGTAGTCCGTGTTCTCCAATCAAACTGCATATTACTGTAAGATCCACCTGTAACAGTAAAACAAAATGGCATTTGAGCACTCAAAATCAAAGCTTTTAAGGCCAAACTGCAATTTAGTAATGACATTGTCTAGAATAGAAAGAAACTAATGCAGGCATACCAAGAAGTGTTTGAGCCAAGCTATTATTCTCGAGATAGTTGTAGACCAAAATTCTGTGGTTTCCTTCAACGCAGCAGCCATAGAGCTTAACCAGATTCTCATGCTCCACCACTGAGATGGCTTTTATCTCGGCCAAGAACTCGCCTACCCCTTGCCTTGAATCAGCCGAGAGAAGCTTTACTGCCACAAATTTTCCATCTTTAAGACGTCCCTGAACATTAAGCAGCATTTGTGTAAGATTGTAGATAGCAGGAAAAGAAACAAACAAGGAATCAGATGTAAACCGAGTTTTTACCTTGTACACAGAACCAAAACCACCCTCCCCGATTTTATTTGCAGGGCTGAAATCCTCAGTCGCATGTCTCAATTCCTTGTAGGAGTAGGTTTTGACATTGTGAACTCCAGCAAGTTCTGCTTTTCAGAATGGAAACATAGCAAGAAATACTCGTTCATACACATAGCAGTCATACATCAAACACACTTCATTTGCAGCCTTACCATTCTCTTCTTCAGCATCATGTCGTTGTGAAGAATCGAGCCTTCGACTTCGACGAAACAAGAAGGAAAAGCAAGTCATAACTGTTGAGACACCAAGGAAACCGCCTAGGTTGGTAAACGAACAACAACCGTGCCAAATCAATGACTTCGATTACCCAGCCTGGATAATGAAACAAACATAATGCGATCTTAGTACTTGTTGCAGCAGCATCAAAGCAATCAAACAGGTAATAGATTTAGGGATAAAAGAGCTCTGAATGGTGCCAATTATGCCAATAGGCCATCCTAGGAAAACCTCATTTCCTTTAACTAATAATGCTAAGAACAAGATGTTGCTGTGCTTCTGAATTCTGATCCTATGGTTTCAGAAGTTCAAAGCAAGCATTAGAGATTACATCACCAACTGACTCTAAACCAACAATCCACTCACAGTTTTCTTCTCCTAGAAATAAATAATGTTCATTTCTCAGTTGCCAAAGAACCCAGGAGGTTCTGGAATGCTCCAATTAAGTTTACCAGCACAAGAACATAAATTGAATTCGTTAAGTTGACATACAACAAGGTCTCAGGAACACTGGAGAGATATGACATAGACATACCCAAAATCTAGGAATCCCCAAACTATACAGAAAGGCGAAAATCACTTCAAACCAGAAAAGAAGGGCAGACAAATTTAAGCAGCAAACGGAAAACAGAGGGAAATGAAGCAATACCCAGAAGCCAAAACTAGCCAGAGAGAGAGAGAGAGAGAGAGAGAGAGAGAACGAGAAGGATATCAGAATGTAAATGAAGTGGATGGATAGAAGAACCAACCCCTATTGTATATCAGTCAATTGGGTTGAAATTTCAGAAGCAGGTGTTTGAAAGACAGCAGACTTCAGATTTGAATATTAGAAAGAAAGGGGAAGCGATGCCGGAAAAGAACAGAGCCGCGGCTGTGGAGGGGAGGAACGCGGCGGCGAAAGGAAGAGGGTGTTTAATAAGATTATTATGTTGTTTGGTGGTGATTTGCCGAGGAGAGAAGATTGGAGGAAGACTTTATTTAACACCAGCAGCAGCAGCAGCAGCAGAATTGTCAACCCACACTGCACCTTGGAATAGAAAAATATGAGCTACTTGACTACAACAGGGAGGGAGCCGCTTTTGCTTACGTGCTGTGTTGCTGCTGCTGAAATTCCCACCGCTTTCCAAGTTGCTGCTGCTGCTGCCAGCGTCGTTTGTTTGACCCGAACCATAAAGGTGTTTCCTTTCGTTTCAGGTTCGGGAGAAAGAAATTCTCAAAGGTGAACGAAGACAACTCTATTTACAGTTGCAAATCTCCCTGGAAGAGTAACTAACTTAATATAATAAATACCAGTGGGTCAACGATCTTGATACCCTTGTCTAATGGGGTTTGTGACGGTGGTTTAACCAATGAGGTCACTTGTATTCTAAATTTTAACAAACAAGTCCAAGTGGCGAATACGATACTCGCGACTCTAGTTGACTTCAAACTATAGTATGGGTTGAATGCTCACACAAACACGTTGAACTAAATTCTCATTTCATTTTTCACAAATGACAAATCAAAGAACCATTTAACTCGGTTATAGTTTTAAACTTAAGTGACGGTTTTATAACAAATCTCATAATTGGCTGATCCAATTAGCCATTTACCCACCACTAAACTGACCCTCTTCCGAAGTCGCCTGTCTTAGATTGGTTTCCCACCTCTCCAGAATTTCGAATCCTTATTCTCTCTAAACCCCGGTTGCTTCTTTGCTCGCGCGCGACGGACAGAGCAAGTATGAGAACTGTGAAGCGGGAACGCAATACTAGCAGCGCAGCCCTCGGAATGGGAAGGGTCAGCAGTGGAGGAGGAGGAGGTGGAAGAAGGGACCGAGTTCTCAGGGAAATAAAGCGGGAGCAAATCCGAGTTAACTCGGAGACGGCGACGGCTGCCGAGGAGGAGCCGCGTGTCGAAGAACGGAGAATCCTTCGCTCCAAGTATCGAGCCCTGCGCCATAGAATTGACGGTACGCTGCTTGATCATCGATTTCCAGATTTCGTTTCCCTTCTTTTCAGCTCTTTGTCTTCAATTTATTGACCTCGTTTTGCAGAGGAGAAGGACGATTTGACGAATGTGGATTCGAAGATGTTCAATTCGTTCATCAAGGAGTGGAGTTTGACACTCTGCATAAACACGGTACTTACTTACTTACTCTTGAGTGCGTTTGATTATCGAGAAAATGGATTGAAATTGAATACCCGTTTGTTTGAAAACTCACAGTTCGGAAGCCCAGGGAGCAGGTTGCTGATGCTGAGGCATTGCTGGGATTAACTACCACGTTGGTTACCTCTGTGAAGTCGCGTTCGAGTGAAGGTATTACAGTTGGAGGGTTTGTGGCTCAATTGATCAACTCTTTTGGGCAATCCACACCGACATTGGGCGATGAAGAGAACTCCCCAGTTTCAATCAGGTGGAAGGAGATTGGGCTATTTGTTTCTCCTGCGTTTAAGAGTTGCAGTGGGTTCAGCACCATGTGAGCCAAGATGATTTTATTGTCTTAAACCATTTCCACTTTCCATTGAAAGTTTTGGTTCTCGTCCTGTTGTATGGAACATTTAATCCTTTCTGTTTTCTGTTTTCAAAAGGTTTGGGCCAATGAACACTGAGATGAAACAAAGGAAGCATAATGTAACTCAGAGGCCTCGAACGAGGCTGGGGCAAAGTACACGTCCTAAAGAAGTAATTTTACATATTGCTTCCTGTCCTCTTTAATTTTGGTCAAGTTTAAGGAATGTAAGTTGTTGTCATCTCAAGTGTCACAGGCAGATGGAGAATGGGCTTAAATCTTATTTATCTCGAGCATCTGTTTTGTCTGCATGTATGTATGTGCTTTCTGTTTACTCGTCATCTATTCAAATGCCCAAGAAAGGGAATTGGGGGCAGCCATGGTCTAAATGAATTGGGATCACTAGATTGAGTAGATTCTTATACGGAATTGGTCTTTAGTCTTTGCATATCCTTTGAGTGATAGTCTTTTCTAACGCCATATTTGGTTTGCTAGGTTGATGATACTGGGGCAGAAGAGAGAACAGATACTGATAAAAATATGGCTGCTATGTTTGGGATCTTAAAGATCAAGAAACGTGCAAGGCTTGATTGTTTGATCCTAAATAGGAAATCGTTTGCCCAGACTGTGGAGAACCTGTTTGCACTTTCTTTCTTGGTGAAAGATGGCAGAGTTGAGATTGTTGTGGATGAAGATAGCAATCATTTCGTCTGTAAGTTATACACAAATCTTCCCTCTTCTGCATAATTGTTCATACATTTCTGGTTTCTTCTTCAATACCCCATTTTCTATTAACTTTGCATCTGTTGTTCAGTACCAAGAAATGCACCAGCTTCTGAGTCTGTAATGTCGAAGGAGGTAGCATACAGGCATTTTGTCTTCAGATTTGGCTTCAGAGATTGGCAGGTAAGACTATTGAGAATGAATTTTTATTCCTACTTGTTTCTTTCATGTTACTAACATGCTTCTCTACTAAGTTTTCAGATGATGATGGCTGGGGTACTTGATGGTGAAGAACTCATGCCCAATAGAGATACAGACTCCTCTGCTGCTGACATGAGCCAAGATTCTGCTGCTGACAATATGGGCCCAGGTACTACTGGCCACACTGAAGGCGCACAACCTCGAACACCAATACGTAAACTGACCAGAAACCGTGGGCTTGTTGTCCAAAATGACACAGTGGAGGAGACTCCACAACCACAAGAAGAAGAGGAAGATGAAACTGGTGCTCGAAATGGCCTCCATCAATGTAAGCGTAGACTTGTATAAGGGAGACAATGTGGGTTTTATGTGTATTACATATTTATTTATATTAGATCTTACGCAGTTGACTGTATGGTTGTGTTTGGGTTACAACATTCAATTTGGATCTGTCTTGATCTGGTGTCTAACATAAATAAAATAGCCTGATGAAACGTACACTATTTATTTAGTTCTTGCTGGAATGGACTTGGGTTTTGACTTTTGAGCCATAGGAAGTCTTAGGATCCATCGTTTGATTGTAAAAAAGAGGGCAGAGTTGTGTGAGTGATTGTTTGTAATATGCAATTTAGTCAATTGGTTACGATCTGGGGGAGGGTTTTGGCTGCAACCAGTTGACGAATTGCAGAAGCTATATTCTTTTGTTATTGCAATGTACTAGAATTGGCTGTGAATCTCTCTCTCTCTCTCTCTCTCTCTCTCTCTCTCTCTCTCTCTCTCTCTCTCTCTCTCTCTCTCTCTCTCTCTCTCTCTCTCATGAACTAGTTTTATGATTATGTAAATCCAGTGTGTTGCTTCATTGATATACGTTGGTCCAAAGACAACTATTAACAACATTATTACTACTACTATTAAAGTCGTGTCATTTGCTGTCTGTTCTGTATTCTCTTGGAGATTACATAAACCAATGCCCAAATAAGTACGAACCAGAGTTGAATGTTTTTTTTTTCTTCTTTTTTTCCCCTCTGCATTTTGTGCTTCATGATAAGCTGATTCATCCTACTATGTACTAATTAACCAGAGTTGATCCTAGCTACTAACCATCAAATTAAATAATAGGGAAGCTGACAAAATAAATTCTCAAGCTCTTCCAACCACCACACGCTCTTGATCATCATCAGCTACGACGACTATTGTATCATCATCATCATCATCATCATCTTCCTGAGCAATATTATGATTATCCATATCTTTGTGGCAATAGTTGAGTGAGATTGGTGTATATGTTATGGCAAAAAATAAATAAATAAATCCCGAAGTCCACAACCGTGACCGCGGCAACGGAGAGGAACCATAAGAGCATCACCATGTTCACCAACAAGCTGCTAACATAGTTCCCGAATGAGATGGAAGCCATGCAGAGCGAGCTTCCAAAACTCATGATCCCGTCTGGCGCCTGTCCATTGAAAAACTCCAGTTGGCCGACGTACATGAATACCTCTGACGCACCAACAAGAGCATACTGCGGGATCAGCCAGAAGACGCTGAGTGTGCTGACCTTGTCGATCACCAGGGTTGACGTACCTCTTCCTCCATATATATCTGGGTGAGTGGGGCTGCGACCATGGCTAATGTTCCGATGACAAGGCGGATGCCCATGCGCTGGAGCTCGGTTAGGCGCTTTGGGTTGCCGCTGAGTTTGGTGGCTATAGGGACGAGAAGTCGGCGGTAGATTCCGGTGCAGACTAAGACGGAGAATATATGGAATGCCTGCCGACATGCTGGCCGCGGGGAGGCGGAAGTTGCCGATCGATCTGGGTGTTCATGACGTCCCCTTGCTCGACGAAGAGGGAGGCCATTTGGGTGAAGACAACGGAGTAGGCGATGGTGCATAGATAGCCATATGGGTAGCATCTTCAGCACGCATTTGGCTTCCTCGACTTGTGTCACAGTGCATAGACGCCATGGATCATGTGGCTCTGAATCTGATTTTTTTAGACTAGTTGATAGACAAGACACCATGCACCATGCACCATGCATATAAATTAATTAAATCACCGACCCGACCGAGAGATATATAGACTAGAGGATTGAATTAATTACAATATCTGATTGGTGTGAAGGATCTTGCGCGCGGCTGCCTTTGATAGCCGAGTCAGCACCTTGAAGCTCGTACAAATCATGGGGATTCTCCGGCGGCACGACCTTCCGCTTTCTGAAGGAGGCGACACGTGGCAGGGGGTTCCCACAGGGCTTGATGTAGCGGCGTGCCGGCAAGGTAGAGAAGGAAGGAGTGCGATCGAGGACAGCGGAGGCGATGAATCCGATGGTCCATGTGTTGGAGATTAGGGATCCGGAGTTCAATGCAAAGTAGAAGTAGGCCTTGGCATCCACTTCGCATTCCAACAATCCGTCCGTCCCCACAATTCTTGGGTTTTATGTTCAACCAAATCTTAATAACTCATCTTAATTAGGATACAATAATAAAAATAGATAGTATAATTAATAAATTACATACCACCATGAATACGCATGCCGCAAGTCAGAAATCGGCCCCAATAAGAGTCACTGAGGAAAGCACCAACGAGCGAGAATAAGTAAACAGTTCCACTCCAAATGCTCACATCCTTAGCTGCATCTGCATTGCTTCTACCCAACACTCGAGCTAAGAATAATACTAAATAAATTCACACCTACTCCCAAGAATGCCAGCCCTTGATTTCCTGTATCATCACATACAGAGCCCACATCATCATCATCAAGATGATATTATAGTTGGGATTTTATATGTGCTTAGCGACTAATCGGTAAGAATATTGAGATTTTTCCTGTATCAATCACATGGGGGGTGGCCGCTATTGCAGGTGTTTTCTCTGGCATCGTTTCTGCCCGTTTCCCGTCCCTCCTCCTTGGGCGATTGGGAGATCGGGAAGGAGCTTCGCTGGCCGACGGTGGACTTGGCGGAGTTGAGTCTTTTTTCCTTTTCCTTTTCTGGTTTTCTGTCGGGCTGGACTTCTGCCCCCCTCGCCCTTTGGCTCTTTTGTTTTTTGTTTCTTCTAGTTTCCCTCGGCGAGGGTCCTTGTATGCGTAGTTGTACTGGCGCTTTTTCTGTTTTTTCGTTTTAATCTATATCACCCATATCAAAAAAAAAAAAGAATATTGAGATACTCATCATTTCTCGTCTCAATGTCATATGTAATTTTATTGGAAGAAAAAAATTAAATAAAATACAGGTAACATAAACTAGTCAAGATGATCAGTTTATCGCTATGTATAACCTTAAAACAACGTCACCCCATGCACTAAGCATAAATTACCAACCTGATCGGTACCAACGTCGTTGCGAGGAAGATGAATTGAATAAAAATTGAAGATGCTTATTGTGATATATGTATATTTATATACAACTACTCTGGCGGCGGCGGTGATCCGGTCATTAATGAAACAAACTCTGGTGAAGGTGATGAAGATCGAGTAGTATATATCAAGTTATAGCCAACTGTAGGTCGGAAGAGAACAAAAAATCTAACAATAATGGACAATCTCGACGATGATAATAGATTTGTTCTCATTTATAAGCCGATCCAACAAAACCGATGAAACAAGAAATGAGAACAAAAATTTTAAAGGCCTTTAATTTTGCATGTAATTAACCTTAGTGGCCAAGTGAGAATAGAGGGTAAAAATCAAAGAAGTGAAAAGAAATGTTCTCGTTTCCCCTGTTGTTTTCTCCTTTTATTGTTTGGGCATTGGGTTCAGCGCTTGTGAACCAGGACCTCTTATGTCTCAGTTTCCTTTTTCCTTTCAATATATTTTCACCATTATCACAAAAAAAAAAAAATTGAGAGAGAATTGGTCAAAATTATGTTGCTCGTATATCTGTCGAATTGAAGCTTCTCCTGGTTTTACTGAGTCATAACTTATATATGATTTTTATTGATCTTTCATATAACATATCAATTCTTTCGTCCACGTAAATTTCAACTAGACATTCAGCTATGAAAAAATTTCTCACCACAAATTAGCCTATATTAACTTAACATGTGGGTAACATGTTTCCTGACCTTAAGTTTTTTCTTCTATGATTAACAATTTTTACTGATGATTAAGGATTTTTATTTTTTACACTGTAATCTCTACATACAATAGTTTTTCTCATCAATGTGCAAACTCTTGCCAAATACTAGCCATAAGTGAACCTACTAATTTTGATACGTTGTCACTTTAGATTGATATGGCAATCGTTTATTCTCATCTTCTGTGTCTTTATTAGTCATATGATCACATCCGTCACACATATATAAATTTAGGTATCCATACCCCAAATTGACATCAAGTGGCTACATAAATATATAGGTTTGTAAATTATTTGAAAAAAAAAAACAAATAGCTAAACAATTTAGACTTTGAAACGTTTGTTAGATTGTTGCATTTATCTCGAAAAGTTAAGTATCATTGTCTTGCATATGTTATAGGGCACGATGTCAAACTTAATCTCAATGGAGTCAAGTCAACTAGTACCTAATTAGAATTATCAGTGTTTCATATAGCTAGATTTTTCATTATAGTTGTAACCAACCCACTAATTTTGAATCAAATAGGAGGTTGATCAAACAAAAAAGAAAGAGTTATCCACGTTTTGTGTATGTATGCGCTAGTTGAATTGAAGTGAAAAATAAACAGATAGAAATTTATGGTGCCAAATCCCTGGAATTTTATATAATAGATGATGCATACACCAAAAAACTTATTTGTTGAGGAACACTCATGATGTTTGAATTTGTTTGTGAAATGTTAACTAGTTGTCTAAATTGAAACCTATCATATGTCATAATAACAACATAAACTGATTTGGTATTCAATTATTGGATTTCCCACCCTACAAATATACGATAGTTCATCATCACATTCATCCCAAGTTGTCGAGTTCTCTTGTTGTCTCTTCTCTCTCTATTTGAAGATTGCTCTCATTTCTTTATATTAGTTCTTCATTCGTAAATACAAAGTTTCCTCAACAATATTTTTTAGCTGCTCATCCACAGGGAAAAAACATGATAGAATGTGCATCTTCTTGCTTGATGACAAGCGAGCCAAATGAGAACGTTAATTATGATGGGACATATGCTCTACAACCCAATTGTATGTGCCTAGAGATTCAAATGGCACAATCAGAAAAAGAAGTAATTCGCAACCATGAAATTGATGCAAGGGAATTGCATGGAGATATGCATGGCAAAATGTCTTATGTTCATCTTTTCCAGAAAGAGCTTACACCTAGTGACGTTGGAAAACTCAATAGACTCGTCATTCCTAAGAAATCGGCGCTTAAGTATTTCTCTTACATTCTCGAGACCCTTGAAAGGGCGAATTTGAAGCATATGATGAACGACGATGTGGAGCTCATTTTTTACGATAAGGCGATGAAGTGTTGGAAATTCAGGTATTGTTATTGGAGGAGCAGCTAGAGCTTTGTGTTCACCAGAGGGTGGAACAGGTTTGTGAAGGAGAAGAAGTTAAAAGAGAAGGACATTGTCACCTTTTATAGGTGTATGATGATACATGATGATCATGTACAATCATTTTTCTTCATAGATGTTACAACTCATCGCAATGGCACCGATAAATGTTTCCTGGCGAAAAATGAAACCGCTAATTTGTTGTTGCCTAATGGACGAGGATTTGATTTGAGACTAGGTGTGATTCAAAAGGACGAGAAGGAACAAGAATTGAGACATGATGATAATAGTTATAGTTGGGAATCAATAAGCAACAATGTAAGCAAGGGAAAAGGATTCATGCTTTTTGGTGTTCAAATATGCTAATATAATACAATATAAGACATTATTTGTAATTATCATAATTCATAACTGTTATGTCTTATTTTCAAAGTTAGGAAAAAAACGTGATAAAGTGTGTATGGAATTTTAATTATTAATCTTTGTGTGAGATATTGATACCCAAAATATTTAATTAAGTGGTCGTTTGAAGTTGGATTGCATATGTTATATTTGGATGAAATGAATTATGAAAATTCATAATTTTTTTTTTTGTTAGAATGGAACACAATACTTGTATTTGAGGAGAAGATAAGACCATCAAACTCATGCATTATGGATGATTGTGAAACTCAGCTAAAAACTAAGATTGTTTTGAGGGACTAGTCATTTTTTCTTCTTTATTTTTGAGGGCCCACAATCATTCAACTTCCAAACAATATATTTTTAAAATATATATATTGAAATAATGCATCTAATTAGAATATATAAATTGATTAAATACATCAATTAGAAAATTATAACTTCCAAAATGGCCTAAATTCTATCCACCTCTCCGTCCTTTTATAGAGTTACGCATATCACATAGTGTAACACGTAAAGTCATTTATTTGTTGTAGGATAAATAACTCTTTGTCTTTTAAACCTCAATTAACTAGTATTTATAAAGGAAAATCTAAAAAACCAATCATAAAATACAAATAAAATAAAAATACTGCGTTTTCTACATTTGTCGACGAACAAATGTACAAAAAAATTGGCTGGATTTTGGTGGACCCGCTCAACCATATTCCACCTACTTTGCTTGAGAATCCCTCAATTTTTTTCAACATAAAAAGAACCGTCGACTTTCCCTCCCCAAATAGATGCTTAATATGGTACATTGTATATAATCGATGATCAAAATCATCGATAATTGTTCTTCGTGTATTTGATATTAGGGTTTAACGTATAAACTTAAACAATTAGGGTGTAGAACTCACTCATTTGAGTTTAGGGTTCAAGATTCACTCATTTAAGAATTCTGGTTTAAGCTTTATAAATTAGGGTATAGGATTACACAGTAGCCAATTATCTTCACTAAAACATTTCTAAATGTTTCAAGCCAAGTAACAATAATCATTGTTGTCCTACCAAAAAAAAAAATAATAATAATCATTGTTGATTTGTTGGTTGGACCAAATATCGAAATTAATGTATTGATATATATTATATAAGATAACAAAATGAGCGGTCTTAGTGAAAAATATTTATATAATATCCTATACTAAAGACTTACATTCCTCAATCGACAACTTGAGTCAATTATATGATTGAATATATTATTAGTTTATATTCAAAATGTTGAAAACTTTCAACACAAATTTATGAGAAATTTAGGCAAGAGACAATTTATTGAACTGAATTGATAAAAAAAATTATTGAACTGAATGAATTTTTAACTCAAAGCATGAATTGATTACATCAACAAATAAAATAATGGACACAGTGTTTCGTGAGAGTTTAACATATAATTAATTAGACTATGTCTCATAAAACCAGCATTTAATTTGAATGCATAATAGCACAAACATTTGTAAATAGTGAATTAAAACACATTAAAAGTAAAAAAAAAAATTTGATTCACATAATAAATATCGAAACTCGATCGACCCATGGGCATAGCACAAGAGAAAAAATTTGGAGAAAAACGACCAATAGTAAAAACTAAAAAGGGAAAACTTATTGCAGTGTGCATGTCTTTTGTTAGATAGGCTACATTTCCATAGAATTGCTTGTAAAATGATGCAAAGCACATTGTTTGTTGAGTAAACACCATTAATATGGTGAGGGATTGAGAGTGGATTTGTGCTCCTTAATTTTCGATGACAGAATTGCTATTTGGACTTTTCAAATTGAGAAGTTCAGCGTTGGATTTAACTTTTTTTTTAACCTAAATCTTCTTATTGATAAGGTTGTACAATATCCAGTGCTGCCAGCAGGTTGAGGAATGGATCCGACTACCGGTCCACCGATCCCTCCAAGTGCTAGTCCGAGTCCTCCGTTTGTGGGTCCGGCTGAGCCAAGTGTGCTTGTATGTATGTGGGATGGGGCAGTACGGAGTGGATCTCATTCGGCTGGAGGGATAGTTTTCCTCAATCACGCTAGGGAGGTCCTTTGGGATATGGGGGTCCAGTTTCCTTTGGTTGATGATCCAATTGTGACTGAGTTACTTGTCCTCCGAGAGGCAATCTCTTGGTGTTTGGGTCATGGTTTTTTGGAAATGAGATTTGAAGGAGATGCCAAAGTGGTTATTGACAATATCAATAAGGCTGATGTTCGTGATAATCGGATGGGGGCTATTCTTTAAGAGGTTGTGCAGTTTTTATCAATGACATTGGGCTTCAGTGTGCGATTTGTAGGTCGGGGTAGCACTAGGGTAACTCATTTGATAGCTAGAAAGACCCTGTCTTTATACCCGACTACGTGTCGCTTCTTTGATTTTCAGGCCTGGCAGAATGCCAAGGTGTAATTGTCTTCTTGTTCTGATCAATATATGATTACTGTAAAAAAAATTATACAATCAAATCATGAAAGGAACCCAACAAATTGTAAAAAGTAAAAACCATAAAATCAATTATTTATTAAAGTGCCCACTCAAGTAAAATATTATTTAATTTTTTGTATTTGTCTAGTATGAATGCACATTTTACTATGATAATTTGTTTTGTTATTTCATATAATATTATATATGTATGGTAATGACCGGTATATTATAAAAATTTTATTTTTGTTGAATTTCCATTCAAACCAAACCAAACCGTGACTCAAAAGATCCTATAATTTTGAAATTAATGGATGAATTTAAATTTACCATAATTCAACCGTGACTCATTGATTGGTTGGTTAAAATGTTAGAAACCAACCGAACCAATCCATAGCCCCTCACCTCAAATTTCGGGGTCGTTTAGTTTTGGCGATACTTAAATCAATGCATTGTAATATACATGCAATTAAAAAAAATGATGTAATGTACTTTACATTGTTTGGTTTTGGCGATGGTTCTTTTGGTATGCAACATGTTATTTTACTTTTTGTGGGAAATGTCACTTTTGCCCTTGCTTTTATGAGAACATATACGTATAACTAGGGGTATACTTGGAACAAAAAAGGAACCCAACAATCTCCTCAAAATTATCTCAACAATCTCAAGTTTTATAGAGATAGTACTATCACTCATTTTGAGTGATAGTTTCCATCACATCAAGCAAACAATGCATGTATAGTTTGTGCAAAAAATTCAAAAAAAGATGCATTGTGGACAATACATGCATTGTAACTATCTCAACCAAACTATCACCAAAACCAAACGACCTCGTACCATACTGTTTGGTATAAATGAATTTCATAAGTTTTGAGTAATTCATTTTTAAATGAAATCCTTTTGTGTTTAGTATTTAAAAGAATTCATTTGCAATTCTAAATTTTGAATTCTACGGAATTGGAACTTGTTATAGCAATTTCGAGGAATTGAGATGAAATTTGCAAATGAATTCCACAAGTATTTACTATTTATAATAGTATGACATAATTATTCTCATTTATTAACGAAATTACTTCTACATATATTATTTGGCGCCAATTGATGCAGTATGAGAAACGTCACCAAGAATTTGATTGCAACGTTAGTAGCATATGCTAGTTATTTTATATTTTTCTTCTATTGTATTAGTACTTTGAGAAGGCACAACTAGATTGTAAGGTTCATCCACAAAACATTAGAAAATAACTAATTAATAGAATATAAACACACAAGAACACTTTTGATATTCTATGTATGGGACCAAAGACGTTTTTTAGAAGATGAATTTTCAATGAATATTGTTTTTTCCGAAAATTAATATGGGTATAGTTGGAGAAACTTTTAATTTAATTCAATTCTAAACATATACCAAACATGGTTTGAGAATTTAATTCATTTATTTTTAAAGATTGAATATGAGGGTGGAAATCGGTACGATATCGGTATCCCAATACCAAATACCAAAATACCGAATTACATCCTAAATTCAATCCCAATCCCTAAATACTTTCGGTATCCCAATCCCAATCCCTAAATATTTCGATATCCCAATCGGTACTTCGGTATCCCAATCGGTATTATCGAATAAGAAATTAATTAGATTTGATTGCTTAATATAGGTCAAAGAGACTAAGCAAAGAGTAGTGAGTTTGGGTAGAGTTAGGATATGGATAAGGAGAATGGAGGAGAGGTGACATCTCAAGTTTTTGTCATTGGTAATCTTTAATTTGATGAATTGGAGGCTAAGAGAAGACTAATACTAGTGTTTGTTTTTTTATGTTATGTAAAAAACAATAGATTAGTGGTTGAGGGTCGTGAAGTATTGAATGAGAGAGTTTAGTTGAGAGCATAAAATACACATTAGCTTATATTTTGGTATTGTTCGGTATTTCGGTATATACCGATCCCAATCTCGTAATCCCTAATACCGAATAACAATTGAAATTGAATCCCAATCCCAATATAAAAAAATAATACGTGTATTCAGTAATACCAAATATAAAGAAATTCGGTACGGTATTCGGTATATCCAAATACTAGTACCAAACTTCTTGCACTACCAAACACACTAATTCATTACAGAGTAGTTCATGATTCATTTAACCAAGGGTAGATACAATTTAATATCCAAACTTTTCATTTTAAACAATATAATAGCCAAACATTTTCGAAAACAATCTAATATCCAAATCGTCAACTTTCCGTTCGTTTGACCGTTAGTTGACACTTCAAAAAAGTTTTGATTAGGGGAAATTGTCACAATACAACTTTGTTTCTTGTCTTCTCATTGCAGATGACTGAATATTTAGATATTCTATACCATCATGGTGGAGTCATGGACTTCTCGGGTTTGGAACTACGATATGTTGGTGGTTTTTCAGAGAAGATATCGATGGATATTGATGAAGTGTCGTACTTCGAACTTTTTTTGAAGTGTCAACTAACGGTCAAACAGACATAAAGTTGACGATTTAAATATTAGATTGTTTTCGAAAAGATTTGGCTATTATATTGTTTAAAATAAAAAGTTTGGATATTAAATTGTATTTACCCTTTAACCAAACACCCCCTACATGTTCAATCTCAAATTACAGATTTGGGCTTTTTCCATCTTCTCGCTCTCAGTCATCCATCGTGTCTCCGGCTCTTCTTCACCTCTCTCTCTTCCCCCAATTTCCATTTTCCTACCCTCACAAACCCTAACCCTAACACCTTTCCCAGAAAAATCCGCCCTTTCATCGCACGATTCGCTATTCTACCTTTCCTCCGCACAATCAATCACCAGCCGATTCGATTTGTACACCTCCTCATTCCGATTTGTTACATCCTGATTTGAAATCCGCCCATTTGTTTTCATAGTTATTGTTGTTTGTAAAAAACTTCCACTTTTATCAGCCATGGCCAGCTCGAAATCACTATGATGACAACCATCGGGTCCTTAGGGGTTTTCATGTTTCTAGGGCACCATCACAACCAATTGCATGGGTTTGAGCGATGCCTGAGCTCCGTCGAGGTGTACGCAGAGGGCGCGCAGGGTTAGCGCCTCATAACAAACGACGATCGGAGGAGCTTCCCTTTACGCCGGATAGCGCAAGGACTCCCCGCACTGCTGTTGCCAGAGAGGTGCCGAGAACAAGATTGCAGACGAGACGACTGAAGGAGAAGGAAGACCGGGAGAAGAATAAGGATAGAGAGGTAGACGATGACAAGGTAGTTGTGATATCGGATAGAGAAGAAGAGAGCGGCGGGAAAGGCGATAATTTGGTTCCTATTGTCGACCTTGAAGCAGAAGAAGATATTAAAGCTGGTGTGATGGGTGACGACAGTGGTGGTTTGAGTGCTAATAATGCCGCTGGGCAGGAAGAAGAGGGAACTACTGTTCCTTTCCCTGAAAGGGTAGGTGGTTTTAGCTTCTTCTGTTGTGTCTCATTTCGTTAATGTTTAATCTCTATTTTCATTTCCATTGTGTTTTATCGAGCTGGAGGCTATGCTTAAATTCACGATCCATTGTTCTGTTCAGTTTTTGTAATTATTATATCTTCTGTTGTGGCCTTTCTGAAGGTTCAAGTGGGAGGGTCACCTATGTACAAGATAGAAAGGAAGTTGGGCAAAGGTGGCTTCGGTCAAGTGTTTGTTGGTCGTCGTCTCAGCGGTGGAAATGACCGTGGTGGGATGGGCCCTGGTGCAACAGAGGTAAAGTTGATCTAGTCTAATGCTGTGCAACAGTGGTACAATTCAAGAGTTCATTGTGATTACTTTCGTCACTGTGCTACTCTACTTTCAGGTGGCTGTGAAATTTGAGCACCGAAATAGCAAAGGCTGTAACTATGGTCCCCCTTATGAATGGCAAGTTTACAAGTAAGTTTTTTTTCAGCGGAGCAGAACTCTGTGGATAATGAATTTAAGAACAAAAGTGAGTTGTGAATTACATTTTGTGCTCTTCTGCTCTACAGCACTCTTGGTGGTAGCTATGGGGTGCCGAGAGTGCACTTCAAGGGAAGGCATGGAGATTATTACGTAATGGTATGGTCCAAAAATTTCGCATCTTCCTCTTATTCCTAGAATTTATTTTCTGAAACTTGACAAAATTTTCAACATTTACCAGGTTATGGACATGTTAGGGCCGAGCCTGTGGGATGTTTGGAATTCTTCTGGTCAAGCGTGAGTTTTTTGTGCACGAATACTCTGATGTTTAATATGGTGTTGGTCTGTTAGCCTACTAGTAGGATGTATCCAATGTTACTGTAAATTTTTTTAAGTTCTTTTATGCAATCATTTGAGCATCAACACTTGGCCTGGTAACGTGGTTAATCCATGTGTCTTCCACTTTGTATCATTTGAAGGATGACCGCAGAAATGGTATCTTGTATAGCAGTTGAGGCTCTTACCATCCTCGATAAAATGCACGCACGCGGGTATGTAGATTCATGATGTCTGTTGCCTTCTCATTTGAAGCACTCTAAATGGTTTCTATGAGCTTTTTACCTTCTGTGTTGAATTTGGATGCATCGCTTTTGCTACAGTTATGTGCATGGAGATGTAAAACCAGAGAACTTCTTACTCGGTCAGCCTAATACTCCACAGGAGAAGAAGCTATTCCTTGTGGACTTGGGTTTAGGTGAGAAGCTTCTCCTGTTCCTGTAATGAATATGCTTTTGTGCTCTTAATGTTTATTGGTAAAGTGTATTACAGCGACAAAGTGGAGAGATAGTGGCAGTGGGGAGCATGTCGAGTACGACCAACGTCCTGACATGTTTAGGTGAGAGTTGATTCCATTTTTGTTTGTTTTGTTGTGGGTATCTTGTTTTTCTTTTTTATGTTGGGTAATTTTGAACGTTTGGTGGGTCCAATGATTGCATCCATCTTTACCCCTTGTCCTTGCTGAATTTTCTTTCTATAGGGGTACTGTGCGATATGCTAGTGTTCATGCTCACCTTGGAAGGACTGCTAGTCGGAGGGATGATCTTGAATCTCTTGCTTACACGCTCATCTTCCTACATCGAGGCAGATTGCCATGGCAAGGTTATCAGGTACTCTCACTTGTACTCAAATTCTTGCTCAAGTGCTACAATGGTGCACCCATGTTCTTGGTGTGCATGAATCATATACAGGAAACTTTTTACATTTGGATCGTGCTCTTCTCACTGTTCCCTTTATTCTGTGGTTTCCAGGGCGATAATAAGTCTTTTCTAGTTTGCAAAAAGAAAATGGCAACGTCTCCAGAGATGCTATGCTGCTTCTGTCCCCAACCCCTTAAACAATTTCTCGAGATCGTAGTCAATTTGAAATTTGACGAGGAACCAAACTACTCCAAGCTTATATCTTTGTTTGAGGGCTTGTTAGGGCCAAACCCAGCTATAAGGCCTATAAACACAGAGGGCGCTCAAAAGGTATTTGATTTGCGATCTACAGTCACCAACTGTTGTTCTGTGCATGCTTTTTGTGTTCTAATGAGTTGTATATCTTCTGGTAGATTATCTCTCAAGTTGGTCAGAAGCGTGGTAGGTTAAATATCGAGGAAGATGATGGGCAGCCACGAAAGAAGGTTCGCCTCGGAGTTCCTGCCACACAATGGATATCAGTTTATAATGCGAGGCGACCTATGAAACAGAGGTAGGGGATGCTGATGGACTCAATGTTTCCCATGATATTAAGTAATGCTTCCTTTACTATGCTACCAGTATGAGGAAGTGCTTCAGTATGGTTTGGTGTTTGAGGAAACTTTATAACGTATAATGGATTGGGAGGGACAAACCGTTCACTTGTTTGAATATGCGTTGATGATGCTGATGGTTATTATGACTCGTGTGCTTTACATAACAATCAGGTACCATTACAATGTGGCTGATGGAAGGTTGGCACAGCATGTGGAGAGAGGAATTGCAGATGGTCTTCTTATAAGCTGTGTGGCATCGTGTTCCAATCTATGGGCATTGATTATGGATGCAGGAACCGGTTTCACTAGTCAAGTTTACGAACTGTCCCCCTTCTTTTTACACAAGGTAAACTCAGTGTTCTATGCCGATGGTTGTGGAGAAAGCAGGTCCACATCCATGTTCTCTTTAACACATTCGTCTTATCCTGCTGTCTCAGGAGTGGATTATGGAACAATGGGAGAAGAACTACTACATTAGTTCAGTTGCTGGTGCAAATAATGGAAGCTCCCTAGTGGTCATGTCCAAAGGTTTGTTGGATTCTTTCATGAGTTTTGGTTTATTCTGTTAATTCACTTCAGATTGCCCCAATTCCTTCAGTCTTTGTCAATTATGGTGCATGGCTCTCTACTTTGATGTGCGGGCACATTTAATTCATAGAGAGACGGTTTTCTTTTGATCAATGTGGACTTTAAGTTTGTCATTATACCATTATTTTGTTACCCAATATGTTGTGAGACTTGCTATTCTCATGCATTTCATGTTCCGGGAAGTTGCTTAGCATTTGCTTGCGGTTTATAGGAGTCTACATCTTGTGTACTTGTAAAAGCCTGTAGCTCCGATTAATCAGTCTTTTGTGCCGTCTTCATCCAATATTTGGAGTTATTAGGCCAACTAAAACGTCTACACATGTTTAATATTGCAGGGACTCAGTACACCCAACAGTCCTACAAGGTGAGCGATTCATTTCCCTTTAAGTGGATCAACAAGAAATGGAAAGAAGGATTCCATGTGACCTCAATGGCCACTGCTGGATCCCGCTGGGGTATTGTCATGTCTCGCAATGCTGGTTTCAGTGATCAGGTGACTTAACTTTTGCTTTCCAAAGGAAAAATTAACATGTGGTTTATCAGGTATTGCATATGTATTAGTTCCCATGGTTAAAGTAAACTTTATTTTATTTTAGAGCGATGTGGCTGTCTAGGTACAGCCTTAATACTCTGAAATATCTGGATCCCGTTATTGGTGCTCCAGTTTTTAGTCCAAATAATTGCCTTGGGCAAGTTGAATGATAGCCAGCCTTGGTCTTCGTGCTACTTCCCTTAATACTCTAAAATATGCGGATTCTATTATTAGTTATCCTGTTTTGAGTCCAAATCATCACCTTGGGGAAGTTGAATTATAGACAGACTTGATCTTCGTCGTACTTCTATTAATACCCAAATATCTTTATTCTATTATTGTTTCTCCTATTTTTTATTCCAAATCATCGCCTTGGGCAAGTTGAATGATATCAATCCTTGGTCTTCCGTCCTGACATGGATTAACTGCTATGTTCCATTATGTATTTGATTCATCAAATTTTGGATCCTTGGGGAATGTCTTTGCTTGGTGCAATGGTAAATTGTTGGCCATGCAGCCAGTAAGGCTTAGAGGTTTGAGTCGTGGACGTGGAGTGGCCCATGTCCTGCAATGAAGTCAAAGTTATAGGACCGCTTAAGGCTCGTCCTCCCAAAACTCGATTCCATGATGGAGCCTCTGATTCTCCCTGGTTCAAGTGATCGCCGGTCACTAAAGTGTTGGCATTAGATAGTGAGTTATTTTCAGTGCCACTTTTGCGTGCTTTTTGGAATATCAATCTTTGCTGAAGTTGCCTGAAACATTAAATGCAAAATGGATCTCATACAATATTTGCAACATTCTGTATCAGGCTATCAGCTACATCCTCGAGGGCTAAGATTTTTAATCAGTTTCCTGTATTCACTTTTTAGGTTTAAGGTTTCTGATCATGTGGTTTGTGTTCATTTAACTGGGCTGTCATTGGACATGCTATATTCAACAGGTTGTGGAGCTTGATTTTTTGTATCCAAGTGAAGGCATACACAGGAGGTGGGACGGTGGTTTCAGAATCACTTCAACGGCAGCTACTTCTGATCAAGCTGCTCTTATTTTGAGTGTCCCTAGACGCAGACCTAATGATGAAACTCAGGAGACTTTGCGAACGTCTCAATTCCCAAGTACACACGTGAAGGTAAGCAAATGCTCTTCCCTGTATAAGTAATATGTTGCTGCTGAATGATCTTACCCTGCTGGGATGTTGCACGACTGACAAGACTGTTTGATGCATGTGCAATGCATGATAGTTTGTTCCCGATACGGTACTTATAATTTGTGAATCATTGCTTCCATTTGCAGGAAAAATGGGCAAAGAACCTCTACCTTGCGTGCCTCTGCTATGGGCGGACTGTTTCATGAGATCCTAAACCCGCTGCTGTTGGAAATAAACGAAGTTCGAGCAGGTGGGGCTATTGTCCTTGTTGTTCGGATCGTCTGCCAGAGCTCTTTTAGTTTTGGGGGTTGCGTTACCCTATTTGTATAGAATGACGTAGGGTGTGTTCACGAGGCTGCTGCGATGCAACGGTGGGGTTAGTGAAGGAGGGCAATTGGTTTAAGTGTGATGTGCCCTGTATGATAGTGTTATATGTCATTGCTCAATTCCAGAATATGTAATTTAGCTATTGAAGAAGATTTGTTATGCACCCAGTTGGTTTCTGTATGGTTGAGCTGCCACTTGAAATGTCCACCTGAGGTTCTGCTACGGAGTTCACTTGTAAGACGGGAAGAGAAAATAATGCTATCCTATTGGAAGTTTACTTACTAACCGTAATGAACTTGCTTATCTTAAAGGCCATTCGGTAATTTGAAAGAGGTACGTTTTTTGTTGATGTTACTCCAGCATTGCAACCGTTAGATGGTAACTGGACCATCAAGTAAGTAGCTAACTCGTCACTTATAGCTAACAAGAATTACGGTAATCACACTTCTCACAGTTCTCGTTGAATTTTCCACTTTCATCGAGGGATTTTGTTCACAGGACAAGTGACCAAGGGTGGCAGTATTGTAATTTTCCATCACATAATGGGACCATCATGAGAATTTTAGACAAACGGGACCAGCCTGTGAGCTTTAAAAAATGAAATGTTCGAACTGTAATTAACATTCTCCATTTCGGTTGTCCTGCATCATCAAGTTACATATTTCAGCAAACTCCCTGCATGGCACGCTTCCTAAAGTCATAAGCTTTCACTTTCTCATCAAACTACCTTTATCATCCTTTTCCCTCTCTTAAGCTAATACTATTCACTTCCCGAATCCTTTGCCTGACAATGCAGCAGGCATCAGTGAAGGCATATCTCGGTTTCAATACATCTCACCAAAATTAGTGCAATCTATCTGTACCTAACCAAAAGATGGATGATTGATCTGAATTCTACCCAATCAAATGTTTTTGTTGTTGTTGTTGTTGATGTCTTACGCATATTCTTACTGCTCTTTCCATATGCGCCCGGAAACCTTCAGCTTCAGCTCCTGTCTGTCCCCACCAGAGAAAAAAAGTGCCAAGTTTCTCTGAATGATTAATCCATCCTGGCTCTCTCTTACTTTCCTATGGCTATCCCGGATGCTCCTTGGTATACCTTGCCATATCAGCTTTCTCCCATTCCCACCCACTTCCAAGGTGTAACTAAACTGTCGCGCCTCATCTTCTGTACCCATGAATCTCAGGAAAGCCATGTAAACCGGAGCCATCCCAAGACGAAAGGCCTCAAAGTGTAAGCAGAACGGTCGGCCAAAGCAATTGAAGACCTGCAACATCAGGAAGTCCTGTTAACACGCCTGCAAACTCCATTGCATGAACAAATCTCCAAGTGACCAAACATCAGATTAAGGTGTCACGACACTGGAGTTCAAGTGCGAAGTCAAGATGAAAGGTGGGCCTTCTAATTGGCAATAATCAAGCGCCTTCTTTGAGAATAATGTCAAATTCACATCATATGACAAAAACAAAAATTAAATTCTGCATGGTAAGGGTAAGAATCTTACAGTTAACATCCATGTCGCATTGTCAATTTCTTGGGGATTAGACTTCACGTATCTGTGATTGAAGGTACACCCATCATGCATATCGACCTTGTGATCGTTCTTGAGGTGCGTAACAAGCTGTGGGATGTCTCCAGTGATAGAACATTCGGCACCAGCATAAGGGCAGCCATAGGGACGGTATTTGCAGCTCTTTTCATGGCTTTGCTTGCTATAGTATGGAAATATCTCATAACAGCCAAAATGCTGGTATTTACAAGGAACTTCTAGCGACTCAGCAACTCTCTCTAGTGCCAAGCACCTTATGTTTCCAAGTTCTCCACGACAAGTAGGGCATGAGTTACGCACTCTTGCTTTGCATTTCTCGCATAGCGTATGGCCATTGGGACACTGGCAAAGCAGACAAAATTGGTTAGATGTTGAGATGAGATATCATAGATGGATAGGTTTGGTGTTTGAAAACCAATATTTTTAGAGTTAATGACAATAATTGCAGGTGGAGATAAAAATAAGATTACTCCTGCAATTACGGTGTAACTATGGATCCATCAAAATGAGAAATAATTTGTAAGATCAAGAATTGATGGATTTTAAATCCATATTCAAACATAAAAATAGATCCTATACCTTTTACATGGTTAATTAGTTTAGGGAATCTTATATTTAAAGGAATGAGCATATCAGAACATCAATTCATTAGGATTTCCCAAGGACTTAAAAAGGAACCTAAAAAATTATCTTAAGAACGTATACTTTGCTCTTACTTCAGAAGTGAAAAGACCTCATCCATGAGTATAACTTCCACACATCTAGAACTACCTGGTGATATGATATAGTGACTCATCAAGTAATAAACATATCTTACTACTGGTCTCTAGGTGTTTGGTAATTTAAAAATGTATACCTGGTAAATTGGAGGGTAAATGAGATTCATGCACACAGGACATTCCAGTAAATCCTGAACATTGCCAGCTGATGTCCCAAGACTTCCACCAAATGGAGAGGCTGCTTTTCTAAAAGGAGAGCTCGAGTCTGCATTTAATGTCACTGTATCACCATCTGTAAAGGCTATCTCTTCCTTGCAGGCGATGCCTCCTGGAGCCATTTAGACAATGCTAATTCAGGACAACACTCCCTTCTGCTCTATGCTAAACTCAGTATTGCGATTGTAAATTGTCCACCCTCAGCCAGTAAGTCCCTGTTGATAAAAAATAATGATCCCAAAATTCATGTTCTGCCAAATTTTCATCAAGTTCATCACCAATTGCTAAAGTACGAATTCTATTAAGATGAATAACCAACAAACAGAGTTGGTTCTATTTGCAGTATGTTCAGCTACTGTGTCAATACATGCAATTGATGCAATTCCTATTTCAAGGCCTTAAAAGATGACCCTCAAGAGAGACAGATAGACAAGAAGAAAGCAACTCTAAATAGCATATATCAACCTGTTTGTTCTACAGAAAAAGGTAGGACACATAAAGCACACATAAGGGATATCCTCGATCAGCGGAAATACAGCCAGTCGAATAGGTACCATAAGCGAAGAAAGAAGGACCGACAGGAGAAGAGGAGTAGTGAAGATAAGGCTCAGTGTGACTGCACATGTAAACAAAGGGGAAGCTACGTTTGTATTCTGAAAAATTAAAAATGGCTCATTTCTATAAGCAACATAGACCGCGAAGGCATCAAGGAAAGGAGAATATAGGTAATATGTGTTCATAATACCCTGTCATCCCCAGTCCAACATATGATTAAATAACCGCCATCTGACCTTCCTTTATATGGAATCACCAAATTCCAAGTTTCAACAGGGAGCAGGCAAGCCCAGTATCTCGTAACGAATACTTGAATAAAGCGAGCAGGCAGAAGACAGACCCACAAGAACATGAGGGGCCACTAGTAAGATTTGAAGTGAGTAAGAGACAAATGAACAAGCTTTGAGCTTCATCAACATAGCTTGAAAGAACAGCAACACGTAGAGCGGAGAATAACTTGGCTTATTCAGCAAATCCACATCTTGATATACATATGCTTCACCGCATTTCTGCAACAAACCCAGTAACTGCTATGGCAAACAACAGATTCTGAAACCTCAATTCTCCAAATTTCCTAACAAACCAGCGTCATTAAGAGAGAAAGCGCGAAATACATGTAAACCGAAAATCCACTTACCGAGAGCATCGGAAGACGAGGACCCAGTTGGACGAAGCCACAGCAACGAATGGAAAATCGATCAATCCCTTCAAAAAGACCAGAAATTGATGATTACCAAGGTGAGATGAGATGAGATACAGAGTGAGATTCCCGAAAGAACGCCAAAAGAAAAGACAAAGAAGGAAACCAGAAAAAGGAAGAAAAAGAAAAATGGAAAAAGAAACGCACATTGAATTGAATGGCTGTTCAACCTATCGATCTTTTACTTCAGTCGCGCAATAATTGCTTCATCATGATCACCACCATCATGGGTTTTAATCGAAACAGCAAGCAAGCAAGGGAAAAGGGGGGAACAGGGTTGACGTGGCGCGCGCAGAGGGAAGTTTGGAGGCCGGTTTTCTCCGAATTGTGTATGTGAAAGACAAAGACTGAAACTTTCTATTTTGGTTTGGCTAAATAACTAACAGGGACAAGGAAGGAAGAATGGGAAGAAGAACAGAAGAAAGAGAAGGGAAGAGACGTTGATGAACCCAATGAGTCATCAATATTATAATTATCTAGAAGAATTAAAACAAAAATACAGATAGTCGAAACCGCCAATCCACGTAACGACATGTAATAGCTTCTTCTTCTACAGCTTTGCATGCACTCAAATTTCAATCGTCAATAATTCAATTTATATTTGTTTATTCATCAATATTTGTTCATCATAAATTTTTTAGGGGTTTAAATTGCAGTTTGACTATTGACAAAGCAAAGAATCTTAGTAGGGTTGCTTGCACAGAAGATTAACAAATAGCGCAACAAACAAGAACACTTTCTTTGTTTCGAGCAATGGCGTCTGTCGCTGTCCACAGAAAAGCCCGCCAACGGCCCAGATTCCACGTCTGCATATCCCAGAGTTGCAGCCTGTGGGAGGAAGAAGTCGACCCATAAAAAACCCAACTTCGTTATTTCAGCCCACATCTCATCAAATAAACAAGAAAATAATTGGAGCCCGCTACCACAAACAAGGCCTTCTAAATCCTCGAATGACGAATCACAATAGTTGATTCCAGATAGTATTGTTAAAATGATTGGAACCGATTTGAATGCAATGCTAACAAGTCATATCTTATCGGTTACCTGCTCACTCTAACAAATACTTGTCATAAATCATAATGCATTTCTCTGCATCATCCACACCTTATCAACAAATTTAATTCAAAACTCGACAACTCAGCATCACCGTCATCATCATTAACTGTCATAACAGAGAAGCTTCTTCTTCAACCTCCCCTGTTTTTGGATCCTACCTAGCTAGCTAGCTTGCGTGTTCTAACCCAACAAGTGAAAGAAAGAGTCGGCCTAATTGACCAAAACACGTGACTCTTTCCATCATTTACAGTACACATTTCTAACTTATAAAAGTCCCCCTCTTTCTCGATCCTACCCCTAATCTCTTCTCTCTGCCTATAAATACCAAGTTACGTTGAATCCAACCCAAATGCCAAACTACAACAATAGAAGCAGTTTGTCTCTCTACTCTTGGTTAGCCTAGCCCTGTTCTTGAATTGAATTCTGAGTGCCGATCGATGAGCTTGTTCTGGATCAATCTATGGCGGACGTGTTGACCAAAGTCGGACTGTGTTGTGATTGTACAAGCTTTGGTCTACCTCGTACTCACCACTTCATCCACCGTTTTCTCCATAAACGTCAAGCGATCTTTCAGCTTCAAGACCGCCCGTTCCGTTAGCATACGCCGGATATTCAACGCCATCTCCGATGCTCCGGTAGGCGAGCCTTCTCCGAGGACAACTTCTTCTTGTGAGCAACAGCAGCAGCTCGATCCAATTTTTAGGGATGTTGGATATGCTAATTAATCATTGCTTCTCTGTCTCCCTCCTTCTTGATGTAAAAAATTATTGATAGCAAGGTTTGAATTTGAATTTTGTTTGTTGGTTTGGTAATCTGTAATGTAGCTAGGATCTCGTTGCAGGGGAATTGGAGCCTGTAATTAGTTGGATTCATAGTCAAGTTATTAAACATTCTTCGTTAATCTATGGAGAATTGATACAATGATTAATTGTTATTTTCACAACACCAAAAAAGTAATTTTGACTTTCCCGTTTAAGCCCGCATCCAAGTCAATTTTAACTTTCCAGTTTAAGTCATTCTCGTCTCTCACCTAATCTCTTGTTATTTTCACTAAACCAAAAAGCAAGGAAAAAAAATCCCAAAATACACATATTTTTTAAAAAAAATTCCAAATACCCACGTTATAAATTTTTCCCCAAAATACACATGTTTGGGCATCACCGCTGTTGCCAACCGCAGGGTTTCGGCGGAAAATTTCCGGGGCACTTTTTGCCAGTTTCCAAAGGGGTAGCATCACCGAATTCAGGCGATTTTATGGAAAGACCATTTTCCTTGGATTTTGAATGCGACGGATCACAGATTCGGCCTTAGGGTACTCTCCACCAACGATTAAGTCTAGGAATGGCCGATTTGGTCGGAAATTTGGTCGAATTTTTCTGGAGGGCATTTTCGTAATTTTTAGGCGCTTTTTTCGAAAGGCCATTTTCCTTTGGTTTTGTAGGGTGCAGATCACGGATTCAGCCTGAGGCTATTCCTTAGGGATGAATAAGTCTATTAAACAGGGTTTCGGGCGGAAAATTTCCGGGCCAATTTTTGCCAGTTCCCAAAGGGGTACCATCATCGATTTCGGGCGATTTTATGGAAAGTCCATTTTCCTTGGATTTTGAATGCGACGGATCACATATTCGGCCTTAGGGTACTCTCCATCAACGATGAATTCTAGCAATGGTCATTTGGTCAAATTTTTCCGGAGGGAATTTTTGTAATTTTGAGACGCTTTTTTCGAAAGCCCATTTTCCTTCGGTTTTGAAGGGTGCAGATCACGGATTCAGCCTGAGGCTATTCTTTAGGGATGAATAAGTCTATTAAACAGGGTTTCGGGCGGAAAATTTCCGGGGCAATTTTTTCCAGTTTCCAAAGGGGTACCATCACCGATTTCGGGCGATTTTATGGAAAGTCCATATTTCTTGGATTTTGAATGCGACGGATCACAAATTCGGCCTTAGGGTACTCTCCACCAACGATGAAGTCTAGCAATGGCCGATTTTGTCGGAAATTTGGTCGAATTTTTCCGGAGGGCATTTTCGTAATTTTTATGCGCTTTTTTTGAAAGGCCATTTTCCTTGGGTTTTGAAGGGTGCAGATCACAAATTCAGCCCGAGGCTATTCTTTAGGGATGAATAAGTCTATTAAACAGGGTTTCGGGCGGAAAATTTCTGAGGCAATCTTTGCCAGTTTCCAAAGGGGTACCATCACCGATTTCGGGCGATTTTATGGAAAGTCCATTTTTCTTGGATTTTGAATGCGACGGATCACAGATTCGCCCTTAGGGTACTCTCCGCCAACGATTAAGTCTAGGAATGGCCATTTGGTCGGTAATTTGGTCGAATTTTTCCGGAGGGCATTTTCATAATTTTTAGGCGCTTTTTTCGAAAGGCCATTTTCCTTCGGTTTTGTAGGGTGCAAATCACGGATTCAGCCTGAAGCTATTCTTTAGGGATGAATAAGTCTATTAAACAGGGTTTCAGGCGGAAAATTTCCGGGGCAATTTTTGGCAGTTTCCAAAGGGGTACCATCACCGATTTCGGGAGATTTTACGGAAAGTCTATTTTTCTTGGATTTTGAATGCGACGGATCACATATTCGGCCTTAGGGTACTCTCCACCAACGATGAAGTCTAGAAATGGCCGATTTGGTCAGAAATTTGGTCGAATTTTTCAGGAGGGCATTTTCGTAATTTTTATGCACTTTTTTCGAAAGGCCATTTTCCTTCGGTTTTGAAGGGTATAGATCACGGATTCAGCCTGAGACTATTCTTTAGGGATGAATAAGTCTATTAAACAGGGTTTCGGGCGGAAAATTTCCGGGGCAATTTTTGCCAGTTTCCAAAAGGGTACCATCACCGATTTCGGGCGATTTTATGGAAAGTCCATTTTCCTTGGATTTTGAATGCGACGTATCACAGATTCGGCCTTAGGGTACTCTCCACCAACGATTAAGTCTAGGAATGGCCGATTTGGTCGGAAATTTGGTCGAATTTTTCCGGAGGGCATTTTCGTAATTTTTAGGCGCTTTTTTCGAAAGGCCATTTTCCTTCGGTTTTGTAGGGTGCAGATCACGGATTCAGCCTGAGGCTATTCTTTAGGGATGAATAAGTCTATTAAACAGTGTTTCGGGCAGAAAATTTCCGGGGCAATTTTTGCCAGTTTCCAAAGGGGTACCATCACCGATTTCGGGCGATTTTATGGAAAGTCCATTTTCCTTGGATTTTGAATGCGACGGATCACATATTCGGCCTTAGGGTACTCTCCACCAACGATAAAGACTAGCAATGGCCATTTGGTCGAATTTTTCCGGAGGGCATTTTCGTAATTTTGAGACGCTTTTTTCGAAAGGCCATTTTTCTTCGGTTTTCAAGGGTGCAGATCACGGATTCATCCTGAGGCTATTCTTTAAGCATGTATAAGTCTATTAAACAGGGTTTCGGGCGGAAAATTTTCGGGGCAATTTTTGCCAGTTTCCAAAGGGGTACCATCACCGATTTCAGGCGATTTTATGGAAAGTCCATTTTTCTTTGATTTTGAATACGACGGATCACAGATTCGGCCTTAGGATACTCTCCACCAACGATGAAGTCTAGCAATGGCCGATTTGGTCGGAAATTTGGTCGAATTTAAATTTTAGGCGTTTTTTTCGAAAAGCCATTTTCCATCAGTTTTGAAGGGTGCAGATCACGGATTCAGCCTGAGACTATTCTTTAGGGATAAATAAGTCTATTAAACAGGGTTTCGGGCGGAAAATTTCCGGGGCAATTTTTGCAAGTTTCCAAAGCGGTACCATCACCGATTTCGGGTGATTTTATGTAAAGTCCATTTTCCTTGGATTTTGAATGCGACGGATCACAGATTCGGCCTTAGGATACTCCCCAACAACGATGAAGTCTAGCAATGGCCGATTTGGTCAGAAATTTGGTCGAATTTTTCCGGAGGACATTTTCGTATTTTTTATGCGCTTTTTTCGAAAGGCCATTTTCCTTCGGTTTTGAAGGGTGCAGATCACGGATTCATCCTGAGGCTATTTTTTAAGGATGAATAAGTCTATTAAACTGGGTTTCGGGCGGAAAATTTTCAGGGCAATTTTTGCCAGTTTCCAAAGGGATACCATCACCGATTTCAGGCGATTTTATGGAAGTCCATTTTTCTTGGATTTTGAATTCGACGGATCACAGATTCGGCCTTAGGATACTCTCCACCAACGATAAAGTCTAGCAATGGCCGATTTGGTCGGAAATTTGGACGAATTTTTCCGGAGGGCATTTCAGTAATTTTTATGCGCTTTTTTCGAAAGGCCATTTTCCTTCGGTTTTGAAGGGTGCAGATCACGGATTCATCCTGAGGCTATTCTTTAAGGATGAATAAGTCTACTAAACAGGGTTTCGGGCGGAAAATTTCCGGGGCATTTTTTGCCGGTTTCCAAAGGGGTACCATAACCGATTTCGGGAGATTTTATGGAAAGTCCATTTTCCTTGGATTTTGAATGCGATGGATCACAGATTCGGCCTTAGGGTACTCTCCACCAACGATGAAGTCTAACAATGGCCGATTTGGTCGGAAATTTGGAAGAATTTTTCAGGAGGGCATTTTCGTAATTTTTATGCGCTTTTTTCGAAAGGCCATTTTCCTTCGGTTTTGAAGGGTGCAGATCACGGATTCAGCCTGAGGCTATTCTTTACGGATGAATAAGTCTATTAAAGAGGGTTTCGGGCGGAAAATTTCCAGGGCAATTTTTACCAGTTTCCAAAGGGGTACCATCACCGATTTCAGGCGATTTTCTGGAAAGTCCATTTTCCTTGGATTTTAAATGCGACGGATCATAGATTCGGCCTTAGGGTACTCTCCACCAACGATGAAGTCGAGCAATGACCGATTTGGTCGAAAATTTGGTCGAATTTTTCCGGAGGGCATTTTCGTAATTTTTAGGCGCTTTTTTCGAATGGCCATTTTCTTTCGGTTTTGAAGGGTGCAGATCACGGATTCAGCATGAGGCTATTCTTTAGGGATGAATAAGTCTATTAAACAGGGTTTCGGGCGGAAAATTTCCGGGGCAATTTTTGCCAGTTTCCAAAGGGGTACCATCACCGATTTCGGGCGATTTTATGGAAAGTCCATTTTACTTGGATTTTGAATGCGACGGATCACAGATTCGGCCTTAGGGTACTCTCCAGCAGCAATGAAGTCTAGCAATGGCCGATTTTGTCGGAAATTTGGTCGAATTTTTCCTGAGGGCATTTTGTTGTTTTTTAGGTGCTTTTTTCGAAACGCCATTTTCCTTCTGTTTTGAAGGGTGCAGATCACGGATTCAGCCTGAGGCTATTCTTTAGGGATGAATAAGTCTATTAAACAGTTTTTCGGGTGGAAAATTTCCAGGGCAATTTTTGCCAGTTTCCAAAGGGGTACCATCACTGATTTCGGGCGGTTTTATGGAAAGTCCATTTTCCTTGGATTTTGAATGCGACGGATCACAGATTCAGCCTTAGGGTATTCTCCAGCATTGATGAAGTCTAGGAATGGCCGATTTTTTGTCGAAAATTTGGTCGAATTTTTCCGGAAGGTATTTTTGTAATTTTTAGGCGCTTTTTTCGAATGGCCATTTTCCTTCGGTTTTGAAGGGTGCAGATCACGGATTCAGCCTGAGGCTATTCATTAGGGATGAATAAGTCTATTGAACAGGGTTTCGGGCGGAAAATTTCCGGGGGAATTTTTGTCAGTTTTCAAAGGGGTACCATCACTGATTTCGGACGATTTTATGGAAAGTCCATTTTCCTTGGATTTTGAATCCGACGGATCACAAATTCGCCCTTAGGATACTCTCCATCAACAATGAAGTGTAGCAATGGCCGATTTGGTCGGAAATTAGGTCGAATATTTCCGGAGGGTATTTTCGTAATTGTAAGGCGCTTTTTTCGAAAGGTCATTTTCCTTCGATTTTGAAGGGTGCAGATCACGAATTCAGGCTGGGGCTATTCTTTAGGGATGAATAAGTCTACTAAACAGGGTTTCGGGTGGAAAATTTCCGGGGCAATTTTTGCCAGTTTCCAAAGGGGTACCATAACCGATTTCGGGAGATTTTATGGAAAGTCCATTTTCCTTGGATTTTGAATGCGACGGATCACAGATTCGGCCTTAGGGTACTCTCCACCAACGATGAAGTCTAGCAATGGCCGATTTGGTCGGAAATTTGGTCGAATATTTCAGTAGGGCATTTTCGTAATTTTTAGGCGCTTTTTTCGAAACGCCATTTTCCTTCGGTTTTGAAGGGTGCAGATCACGGATTCAACCTGAGGCTATTCTTTAGGGATGAATAAGTCTATTAAACAGAGTTTGGGCGTAAAATTTATCGGGCAATTTTTGCCAGTTTCAAAGGGGAACGTACCATCACCGATTTCGGGCGATTTTATGGAAAGTCCATTTTCCTTGGATTTTGAATGCGACGAATCACAAATTCGGCCTTAGGGTACTCTCCACCAACGATGAAGTCTAGCAATGACCGATTTGGTCAGAAACTTGGTCGAATTTTTCAGGATGGTTTTTTCGTAATTTTTAAGCGCTTTTTTCGAAAGGCCATTTTCCTTCGGTTTTGAAGGGTGCAGATCACGGATTCAGCCTGAGTCTATTCTTTAGGGATGAATAAGTCTATTAAACAGTGTTTCGGGCTGAAAATTTCCGGGGCAATTTTTGTCAGTTTCCAAAGGGTTACGTACCATCACCGATATCGAGCGATTTTATGGAAAGTCCATATTCCTTGGATTTTGAATGCGACGGATCACTGATTCGGCCTTAGGATACTCTCCATCAACGATGAAGTCTAGCTATGGCCGATTTCGTCGGAAATTTTTCCGGATGGCATTTTCGTAATTTTTAGGCGCTTTTTTTGAAAGGCAATTTTCCTTCGGTTTTGAAGGGTGCAGATCACGGATTCAGCCTGAGGCTATTTTTTAGGGATGAATAAGTCTATTAAACAGGGTTTCGGGCGGAAAATTTTCGGGGCAATTTTTGCCAGTTTCCAAAGGGGTACCATCACCGATTGCGGGCGATTTTATGGAAAGTCCATTTTCCTTGGATTTTGAATGCGACGAATCACAAATTCGGCCTTAGGGTACTCTCCACCTACGATGAAGTCTAGCAATGGCCGATTTGGTCGAATTTTTCCGGAGGGAATTTTCGTAATTTTGAGGCACTTTTTTCGAAAGGCCATTTTCCTTAGGTTTTGAAGGGTGTAGATCACGAATTCAGCCTGAGGCTATTCTTTAGGGATGAATAAGTCTATTAAACAGGGTTTCCGGCGAAAAATTTCTGGGGCAATTTTTGCCAGTTTCCAAAGGGGTACCATCACCGATTTCGGGCGATTTTATTAAAATCCATTTTCCTTGGATTTTGAATGCGACGGATCACAGATTTGGCCTTAGGGTACTCTCCACCAACGATGATGTCAAGCAAAGGCCGATTTGGTCGGAAATTTGGTCGAATTTTTCCAGAGGGTACTTTCGTAATTTTGAGGCGCTTTTTTCGAAAGGCCGTTTTACTTCAGTTTTGAAGGGTGCAGATCACAGTTTCAGCGTGAGGCTATTCTTTAGGGATGAATAAGTCTATTAAACAGGGTTTCGGGCGGAAAATTTCCGGGGCAATTTTTGCCAGTTTCCAAAGGGGTACAATCACCGATTTCGGGCGATTTTATGGAAAGTCCATTTTCCTTGGATTTTGAATGCGACGGATCACTGATTCGGCCTTAGGATACTCTTCATCAACGATGAAGTCTAGCAATGGCCGATTTGGTCGGAAATTTGGTCGAATTTTTCCGGCGGGTTTTTTCGTAATTTTTAGGCGCTTTTTTCGAAAGGCCATTTTCCTTCGATTTTGAATGGTGCAGATCACGGATTCAGCCTGAGGCTATTCTTTAGGGATGAATAAGTCTATTAAACAGGGTTTCGGGCTGAAAATTTCCGGGGCAATTTTTTCTAGTTTGCAAAGGGTACGTACCATCACCGATTTTGGGCGATTTTATGGAAAGTCCATTTTCCTTGGATTTTGAATGCGACGGATCACTGATTCGGCCTTAGGATACTCTCCATCAACGATGAAGTCTAGCAATGGCCGATTTGGTCGGAAATTTTTCCGGATGGCATTTTCGTAATTTTAGGCGCTTTTTTTTGAAAGGCAATTTTCCTTCGGTTTTGAAGGGTGCAGATCACGGATTCAGCCTGAGGCTATTCTTTAGGGATGAATAAGTCTATTAAACAGGGTTTCGGGCGGAAAATTTTCGGGGCGATTTTTGCCATTTCCAAAGGGGTACCATCACCGATTTTGGGCGATTTTATGGAAAGTCCATTTTCCTTGGATTTTGAATGCGACGGATCACAGATTCGGTCTTAGGGTACTCTCCACCAACGATGAAGTCTAGCAATGGCCGATTTGGTCGAATTTTTCCGGAGGGCATTTTCGTAATTTTTAGGCGCTTTTTTCGAAAGGCCATTTTCCTTCGGTTTTGAAGGGTGCAGATCACGGATTCAGCCTGAGGCTATTCTTTAGGGATGAATAAGTCTATTAAACAGGGTTTCGGGCGGAAAATTTCCGGGGCAATTTTTACCAGTTTCCAAAGGGGTACCATCACCGATTTCGGGCGATTTTATGGAAAGTCCATTTTCCTTGGATTTTGAATGTGACGGATCACAGATTCGGCCTTAGGGTACTCTCCACCAACGATGAAGTCTAGCAATGGCCGATTTGGTCGGAAATTTGGTCGAATTTTTTCGGATGGCATTTTTGTAATTTTTAGCCGCTTTTTTCGAAAGGCCATTTTCCTTCGGTTTTGAATGCATTCACCGCGGCAGACAGAAGCGGTGAATGCATCACCGTGGTTGACGGTCGCGGTGAATTCCTGACGTAACATTTAAACTTCAAACAAACGTAACTTTGCGCTCGGTTATCCAATTGTAGCGAGTTTTTTTTTATTCCACATAAATTTTCAAGATCTTTCAATCTGAAATTATACTTCATCCCAAAAAAAAATCATTTGCTACCCCGAACGAGCAATTTTTCAAATTTGACAAACTTTGGAAGATCATAACTTTGTGCTCCGCAATCCGAATGTCATGAAACTTTTTTTGATTTTGCATAACTTTTGAAGTACTACAACTTTGATTCTAACTATAATTTTGGAAAGTATGTGGATTTGTGAAAAGTAAAGGCAAAGTTATTCCCAAAATCTCGTATACCCAAAAATACTTCTTTTTTAAAAATTATTTTCTAGTCAAAGTTGTAGTTCTTAAAAAGTTATGCGCAATAAAAACAAACTTTATGACGTTCGGATTGAGGAGCTAAAACTTATGTCCTTCCAAAGTTCGGCAAAATCGAAAAATTGCTCATTCGGGGTAACAAACGATATTTTTTTGAGATGAAGTCTTGTTGCAGATTGAAATATCTTGAAAAGTTATATGTAATAAAAAAATATTTCGCTACAATCGGATAACCGCGTGCAAAATTACGTTTGTTTGAAGTTTCAGTGTTAAGTCGGGTATTCACCGCGGCCGTCAACCGCGGTGATGCATTCACCGCTTTGGTCTGCCGCGGTGAATGCATTCACTGCGGTTGACAACAGCAATGATGCCCAAACATGTGTATTTTGGAAAAAAAAATTATAACGTGTGTATTTTGAGAATTTTTTTTAAAAACATGTGTATTTTTGGAATTCGTCCAAAAAGCAAACACTAGTATTAGTCATCTTTTAGCCTCCAATTCCTCAAATTAAGAATTACCAATGACAAGAATTTGAGATGTCACCTCTCCTCCATTCTCCTTATCCATATCCTAGTTCTAGACAAACTCAAGACTCTTTGTTTAATCTCTTTGCTCTAAATTAAATAATCAAATATAATTTATATATTTAATTATTAATTGTAGAGATAATTAATTCCGTATTCGATAATACCGATAAAGATACCGAAATATTTAGGAACTGGGATTGAGATACCTAAATTATTTAGGGATTGTGATTGGGATTGATTTTAGAATGTAATTCGATATTCAGAATTTCGGTAATTGGTATTGGGATACCGATTTCCACACTTTCGCCATTGGTTATTACAATGAGATAGTAAAAGTTATATTGTTTCGATATATACGTTTATGTATCTTGATTTTTAACAATTAATTGATTAATTCATCTATTATGTTGTTCATATATTTGTCTATACTAATTTGTTGAAATATTTTCCTGGTTTAAGTATGCTAATAACGACCCAGTAAATAATTTAATGATATGTAACACATAAATCATTTGACGAGTGCAGCCAAACGTGAGTTAATTCCATTTTTCAATGAATTTGTGATGAATACTACAATGGAAATATCGATGACAAATAAAGGTCAAATGACATATAGCACATTGTCCAAACATAATAAAAAGGCTAAATTATACGTTTGGTCACTCAAATTATATAAATCTTTCACATTTGTCACTCAAATTACTTTTCTTTCTTATTCGTCACTAACTTTACAATTCGTTTCACCGTTAGTCTCCGTTAACTCCGTTAGTGTTTTGATGATGTGGCAAACAGAACTGCCGACTATACCGTTAACTTAATGACATGTCAATTTAAAAAATTAAAAAAAATTGAAAAATAATTAATTAACTACCGCAGACTCATCATCTCACCCTGCACTCGCGAGCTGCGTCCGCTATGGGCTTCTCCGCCTCCGCAACAAAGGTAAAATACTCCATTGCCTCCCGAGAAAAAAAAAATCTCGCGCGTTATCAGCTCGCGAGGTTTTTACTCAGCATCCTTCCTCTGGCGATGCGAGTGAAATACCTTATCGCCTCCTGGAAAAAACATCTCTCGTCATTATCAGCTCACCGATTCTGTTTCGCTTATCCCCGAGAAGGTTGAAAGAAGAAAGAATAGTGTGCGGCGGAAATAGAGGGAGAGAGCAGAGCGAATAATTGCTTCCTCTGCTCCTCCGCCACCTTTGACGGGAGAAACTACGACCTCTTGTTGTACTGCCGGATGACAGCAGCGATCAATCTCTGACCGTCAATTCGTCGCGTTATCAGCAGGGATCAAATCTGCCCGCTATTTCCCGCCGTGAAACGACATCGTCAGCTAATTCTTACGATTGCTAGTCTTCTCCGTTGTCTCCGGTCCTATCCGGTTGCTCTTCCCCCTTGACGACATATAGAATCGATGCTCACAACAATCAAATCACAATCTGCAGAGAAAAATCTATCTAGCAATACCAGAATCGTAATCGCCAGGTCAATTGTTGAAGAAGACGGACTATCTCACCTCAAACGGAGGTACTCGAAGAAGCGGAAGCGAGGAAAAGCGAGAGCGGCTGAGGAGCTCGGGCTCTCGAATCAGAAACGAATTTGTTAGCATAAACTGTGGGATTGGAATAGATTTGAACATGCTATTTAGGCGGCGGGGAGAGGGGAACGCGGCGGTGAGTGCCGGTAGTGTGTTGGAGGGACCGGAGGATGATGATAAAGCTCTTGGCTTTTCAGAGCGGCTGGCGGCGGCGACGATGCAGGGGAGGGGAGGAGTTTGCTAGCAGTGGTTAGTCTGTGGTCAATTATTTATTTATTAGTAAGTTAATGGTCCAGTCAGCAGTTCTGTTTGCCATATCATCAAAAAACTAATGGAGTTAACGGAGACTAACGGCCGATGACTAATAGTGAAACGAACCGTAAAGTTAGTGACGACGAAGAAAGTAAAATAATTCGGGTGACAAATATGAAAGATTTATATAATTCGAGTGACCAAACGTGTAATTTAGTCCATATGGTAGATGGCTTCCTTTATTCGAGTGTCGTCGTCGGCTAGTGGCTCTTGAATCAATTTATGTGAGCTATTCATCATCGGACAAACTTTCAGAACTTTATGGATTTAACTCTATAGTTTAATAAGTAATGGGGTTATTACTATTCGAGACATATATCCACCGCAATTGGAGTATTGGACACAATTTGATCTAAACCGGCCGCCTCCCTCTCCAGTCTCCACATCCCTATCTGTTTTTGTTCCTTACCCACGGAAAAAAGAGATAATGAGTTCGTCGCCATCGAAAACTTTAAGAAAATTGGAGGTAGTTTCTCCAGTGCCAGCGGATATTGATATCGCCAACTCTGTGGAGCCTTCCCATATTTCCCAGATTGCCGAGGACCTCAATCTCAAGCCTGCCCATTATGATCTTTACGGCAAATACAAGGCTAAGGTAAAACCAACCAATTACATAATTACTGCAATATCGCTTCTTCCAAGCTTCTGCGCGTTGACTTTCTTTCTAGGTTAGGGATTATTCAATTTGATTTTGGCTCCTGCTTTGGTTGCTTCTTTTAGTTTCCCCTTCTCTGGGTTTGGGATTGTTTGGCTCAAAGTTTCTTGCTTTAGTCTTAGCTTGTCCCGAAAGTGGTGTTTTTAAGGTTCGTATTTGAAGATATGTATTTTGAAGCGTCTGGTCTTGGCAGCTTAATTGTCATAAGTGGAAGAACGAAGATAAACAGGGGAAATAGTACAGAAGATTCAGTTTTAGTCCTTTTTCGCTGTATAATTCGAGTTAATGAAATGAAATTGGTTTTTGTTGCTGTTTGATGTGTGGGTATGAGAAGGTGTTGCTGTCGGTTGTTGATGAGCAGCAAGGATCAAGCGATGGATACTATGTGGTTGTCGGTGGAATCACTCCCACCCCACTTGGAGAGGGCAAATCCACTACTACTGTTGGCCTTTGTCAAGCTCTGGGTGCGTTTCTTGACAAAAAGGTAACTACTTTCTGCTTCACTTGACTGTTCATTTCAGTTGCTGGTCTTATGCTATAACTATACATAAATTTTAGAGCTTTGAGCTTTACACATAAGATAAACTTGCATTATAGCTCAAAGTTAGTTCGAGCTAACTCAAGTAAGTTCATAGGAGATTATTACGCTTGATAAGGACTGAAGGAAACTCCTATTAGCTCTAGTAAATTTGCTGTATTGCTCAGGATTAGTTGAACAAAACAAAGGACCAAAAGGAATCTTCTTTTGTGATGCTGTTTTCCTGTGCAGAACTTCTGTAAACTTGTTCTTTTCTAGTTAAGACTGCAACTTGGTAAATTTCTTTTATGTATGTAGTTATCTTCACGTTATGTCCGCGAACGTCTTTATATAATGCATATTCATCTATTTTGCATGAAGAATTCCATAAGAAACTTCTCTCTCTGTGTCATTTCGTATAATCAGGTTGTTACTTGCCTTCGTCAACCATCACAAGGACCAACTTTTGGAATCAAAGGAGGTGCTGCAGGTGGTGGTTACAGTCAAGTTATCCCAATGGACGAATTCAATCTGCATATGACCGGTGACATCCATGCCATAACTGCTGCGAACAATCTGCTAGCAGCTGCAATCGACACCAGAATATTCCACGAATCCTCCCAATCGGACAAGGCACTCTTTAATCGATTATGTCCACCAAACAAGGAAGGAAAACGGAAGTTCAGCGACATTATGTTCAGGCGTCTGAAGAAGCTAGGCATCACCAAGACCACACCTGAGGACTTGACTCCAGAAGAAGCAAAGAGGTTTGCAAGGCTCGATATAGATCCAGAATCCATCACATGGAGAAGGGTGATGGATGTTAATGATAGGTTCTTGAGGAAGATCAGTATCGGCCAAGGTCCCGACGAGAAAGGCATGGTGAGAGAGACTGGGTTTGATATCTCGGTTGCTAGCGAGATCATGGCAGTGTTGGCCTTGACTACATCGCTATCTGATATGAGAGAGAGGTTGGGGAAAATGGTGGTTGGGAATAGCAGAGCTGGTGAGCCAGTGACTGCTGATGATTTAGGAGCTGGGGGAGCGTTGACTGTGTTGATGAAGGATGCCATCAACCCTACTTTAATGCAGACCCTTGAAGGGACTCCCGTTCTTGTTCATGCTGGTCCTTTTGCAAACATAGCTCATGGCAATTCATCTGTTGTAGCTGACAAGATCGCTCTGAAGCTTGTTGGACCAGGTGGGTTTGTGGTCACCGAGGCAGGGTTTGGGGCAGATATAGGTACAGAGAAGTTCATGAACATCAAATGCCGGTATAGTGGGTTGACACCACAGTGTGCTATCATTGTTGCGACAATAAGGGCCTTGAAGATGCATGGTGGTGGTCCAGATGTTGTTGCCGGAAAGCCTCTTGATCGTGCCTACACGACTGAGAACGTGACATTGGTTGAGGCCGGGTGCATTAACTTGGCAAGACATGTGGCGAACACAAAGGCTTATGGCGTCAATGTTGTGGTTGCGGTGAATATGTTTGCCACTGATACTGAGGCTGAACTTAAAGCTGTTAGAGAGGCTGCTTTGGCCGCTGGCGCTTTTGATGCTGTTGTGTGTACTCACCATGCGCATGGTGGGAAAGGAGCGGTTAGTTCTCTTCCTCTTATGTTTATCTTGTGTCTTTTACTCCATTTTGTTTATGAACCTGTCGACAGAAAACAATATGTTCGTTGAATTGTATATCATGAGCTATCTGTGGTCGATAGGTGGACCTTGGGCTAGCGGTTCAACGAGCCTGTGAGAATGTCAACCAGCCATTGAAGTTTCTATATCCTCTGGACATTGGCATCAAGGACAAAATTGAGGCGATAGCTAAGTCGTATGGAGCAAGTGGCGTCGAATACTCAGAGCTGGTAAAAAAAATGTTTTAATTAACAGCCTTTAGTAGTTGAATTGCACATTGATTTGTTACGGAGAGTTTGGCAATTTTATACATTTTTGGTGCCTTGTTTACTGCATATTCGTATCGATGATCTCTTGCAACCCTTTTTGTTTATCGTGTTGTTTTTTTTTTGTTTGTTTGTCACAGGCCGAGAAACAAATAGAGATGTACACTAAACAAGGATTCTCAGGTCTACCGATCTGCATGGCAAAAACCCAATACTCATTCTCACACACCGCGGCTTCAAAGGGAGCACCAAGTGGGTTCGTGTTGCCGATCAGGGATGTTCGAGCCAGCATTGGAGCTGGTTTCATCTACCCTTTGGTAGGCACGATGAGCACCATGCCTGGCCTTCCAACCAGGCCTTGCTTCTACGACATCGATCTCGATACTGCCACTGGGAAGGTCATTGGCCTCTCTTGAAAAGCTAACGAGCTAGCAACACCATTGGATTAATCTGTGTTGTGTCGAAACACACATGAGCAGCTTTGTGCTTTACTTGATAGTGTCATTTGTTTGACTTCACAACTCTTTTGAGCATTTCTGGTCGTTAATAAAGGGTAAAGCTAATTCAAGGTCCACGTAATTCAGCTGTAGACATGATCTTTGTATATTTGATCCGATAGAGCTTGAAAATGATGGAGGACCTGTTCGCTTGATCATAAGGTTATTAAGGCTTGGTGCCTGGTAGACATGGTTTGGTCCGCTCTGGAATTAGATTGAAAACAAGAGAGCATTCGGTTCAATTCGTTTTGCTTTTTTCCTTGTATCTTTGGCATGAAAGAAAACTGAGTTGATTTCAGTGAATATGGTCTCGTTCTCTTCAAAATTATATTGGAAAATGAAGAGAAAATAAGGGGGGAAATGAAGAGAAAATAAGGGCTAATCTTGAGCTAAATGATTATTCAATTTAATTCGTTTTCCCTTTTCATTGCTTCTAATACAAACAAGTATTGTTTTAATGTGCTAATTGAGATAGAATCGTGTATCAATATTTGATCATTTTAGTTGGACTCAAGTTATGAGATCAAAGTATGGGAAACATCGAGAAGGTCTTGAAGTGCTTCGACCGGTTAAGGGAGGTTCCTTTACCCGGAATAGTTTGACTAAAGCCTCAAGCCTTCTTCGGAAGGGTTGTGCGTGGAATATTCATAATGGAAAAGGCGCTAAGTTCTGGCCTGATGTTTGGCTTTTGCAGGTACCTTTGGCCGAGGTGGCTCTTCAACCGGTGACGGAGGAGATGCTGGATGATCATGTGGCGGATTATATTGACGAGGACGGAAGATGGGACATCAATCGTTTGGAAGATTGGCTTCCTGCCGAGGTGCTGCAAAAGATCACGGTGAACCTGGTGGATCCCCTGTCCCTGGAAGAGGACACTATCCTTTGGACCGCTTCCTCGAATGGCCATTCCTCGAATGGCCTACAGTCTGGCCTTGCCTCCGAGGAATGATCTGAATGAGAAGATGTGGAGAGGCATTTGGAAGCTCCCAGTTGCAGAGAGAGTCAGGTGTTTTGTGTGGCTGGTGGCTTTAGGGCGCATTGCGACTAATGTTCTCCGCTACTCCCGTAAGTGTGCGGAGTCCCCCATGTGCCATAGATGCGGGAACTATGAAGAGACCATTCTGCACTTGCTGCGAGACTGCTACCCTGCTCGCTTCTTTTGGCTGAGATGGATTCCGCAGGAGGAGCATCAGAGTTTTTTCAGCAGCAGCCGAGAAGATTGGTTCAGGGACAATATTCTCAAGGAGGACGTGACAGATTCTGGCATGAATTGGAACAGCTTCTTTAGTATTGCTGTGTGGCTTATTTGGAAGAACAGGTGTACAGGTTGTTTCCAGGGGCTGCACAAGGCGATGTCAGCACCCTCCCTTGCTTTCTCCATCCATCAAAGGGCTCTTTTGTGGCATAAAGCTTGGCAGGCTCCAACGGTGAACTTCGGCCGCCATGGATCCAAGCCGGAAAGGGTGGAGAAGCAAATTCAGTGGAGTTTTCCTCGAAATGGGTGGGTCAAGCTTAACGTGGATGGGGCGTCGGTGGGCAACCCTGGGCTTGCCGGAGCTGGGGGCATTATTCGTGATGAGCATGGTAAGTGGGTCCGGGGTTTTGTTGCTAAAGTGAGTGAAGCCTCGGCAACTCTTGCTGAGCTCTGGGCTGTCTACTATGGCCTCCAACTCGCCAGGAAAGCCGGGTGTGCTTGTGTTCTTATTGAGTCGGACTCTCAGATGGCTATCGCTTTGATTAAGAGTCGCCATGACCCCGTTCATCCCTACGCCGCTCTGTTGGCATCGATTCGGAGGAGTTTGGCGCAGGATTGGTTGGTCAGCATCAATTTAATTATTGATTTGAGATGGGATGGGATTAGGTGCTAACCCTTATAGGGGTTAGCACCGTGATAACTAGCAAAAAACACTACGGATTATTATAAAATCAATACAACATCTAAGCTAAATCACTACTAATTCAAACTAGTAGTAGTTTTTCCCTTGGTTAGGACGGTCCTAACTATTGTACAATTAGCACCGTAGCCGTTCCCATTTGAGATGATATGTACGAAATTCTTGTTCACCATTTGTTATTTGCTAAACTATATTGACTTTAGAACTTTGATTAAAAAAATGCAAAATTCAAGAAGATCCTTTCCATGAATCTTCATTATCACTCATGAATATTTTTTTGGTTTGTGCGAGGCAAAAATGATAGATAATAACTTATTGTTTTTCTAAAATGGTCTGTTAAAGGTCTAGGTCAATAAGTTAACTCAATAATTAATTAGTTAGCTATTGAACAATGATGATTGTCCAAGACTGTACAAAAATCTAAAAGGGTCCCATTAGAAATTCGCTCCACCTAACCTAACCCTAAAAGCACAATGATATTCCTATAGTTCTAAAGAACTGTCACATTGAAGGTTGATAATGTATTCATATATCATTATGTTTTAGATTCATCAAATGAAATGATGCTCTCAAGTTTCCCCCACTAAGCACCATAATAGTTACTTCCTACTATAAATTATTGAAGAAGATAGTTATATTTTCATTTTTCCACTCTAATAACATCCACAATTAAACAAAATGCGAAAGTGATACTAGTTTGATTTTTAATGTTTGAGCCCGGGCGACTGGGCGTCACTCGGGTCCAAGGGGTTTGGGGCGTCAGCCATGACCTTGAAGGGGTAGGCGCCCCGCCTCGTCCGAAGCAAGAAAAGAGAAGGAGTGTATAGAGAGAGAAAGTAGAGAGAAGTAGTAGTAAGAGTAGATAGATTGTCATTTATGAGGAGAGAACTCCTATTTATACACATTTGAGGGTTAGGTAGTGGTCTGGGCGCCTGCCAAGCCATAAATGCTCTGGTCGGGCGCCTCAGACCTTCTGACACTGTTCATAGTCCTTTTTGGCAGAGGGTGTCCCCCTGTCCCTTGTCCTTGCTGATGTCAGGTGCCTGGCCTTGTCTCTTGTCTCCCAGCCTTGTCTTTTTCCTCTTGTCTTCTTTTCTTCTCCATGCCATTAGCCATGGTATTAATTCCTTAATTACTATGATACCCTATCAATTGCCCCTTTGACGTCGGTATGAGTATCATGGCGGCGTCAACATAAAGTGAGTTTCACTAACCTTGCTTTCTCGTCTTCACAATCAAGTGCCAGCACTCTTTCTTTAGTTAATCGGCACCAGGCTCTTCCTTTCAAGTGGGTGCTTCATTCCCTTATTGATCTTCTGATCTGTTGAGCGCTTATGCACCCGTGTGGGTGTGCTTGCTTCCAAATAAGGTGTAGTAAAATGAGGAAGAATAAACACATGTCTCAAGTAACGGAGACTATCAAAAGAAGCAATCATGCCCCTTTTATCAAGCGCCTGACGCTTGCATTCTTCCGTTCTTCATCAATTATTTCCTAAGTGACTACTCTTTCATCTTAGAGGATGTGCCTACGCTCGTGTTAGAGTATTCAATCTATCTTGACAATCAAATGAAGTTGAAACAAACTTGTCAGTTTTCCTTTGACTGTGCCTTGCCCATTTGAAACGAGCGCCTAGCGCTCTTTTCCCATTTTTTTTTTCTTTTTGCCAAAAGATACCACTGATATTCAAATGCTTTCCATTCATTGTCTAAGATGCTCCATTTTTCTTGCGATTACTTGTGCTCTTTTAGAAGAGTGCTTGCTTCGATTCTTTGGCTAAGCACTGGTCACCCAGCTTGTCGTTAGTTTCCCTAAGACCCAAACTCAACGAGGTGTTTGGCGACTCGCTCCTTTGCCGATGTGTCTGACCTTCAGTTGGGCGCCTGACATCTTACTCCTTAGCGAGGTGCCTGACCTTCAGTTGGGTGCCTGGCGCCTCACTCCTTCGCTTATGTCTTTGGTAAGCATTTGTCACCCAGCTTGTCGTTTGTTGCCTTAAGACCCAAAGTCAACGAGGTGCCTGGTGACTTGCTCATTTGCCGAGGTGCCTGACCTGACACCTCACTCCTTCAGCGAGGCGCCTGGCACAACACTCCTTCAGCGAGGTGCATAACCTTTCAGCGGTGTACATGGCGACTCGCTCCTTTGTCGCGGTGTTTGACATTTGATAGGGTGCCTGACACCTCACTCCTTCGGTGAGGTGCCTGGCGACTCGCTCATTTACATAGGTGTCTGACATTCAGTTGAGCGCCTGTCACCTCACTCCTTCAGCGAGACGCCTGACACCACACTCCTTTAGCGAGGTGCCTAACCTTCAATGGGCGCCTGGCACCCTGGCACCTCACTCCTTCAGCCAGGCACCTGCCACCACACTCCTTCAGCGAGGTGTCAACCTTCAGTGGGCGCCTGGCACCTCATTCCTTCAGCCAGACGCCTAACCTTGAGTGGGGCACATGGTGACTTGCTCATTTGCCGAGGTGCTTGACCTTCAGTTGGGCGCCTGGCACCTTACTCCTTCAGTGAGGCGCCTGGCACCACACTCCTTTAGCGAGGTGCCTAACTTTCAGCGGTGTACATGGCGACTCCTTCAGCCAGGCGCCTTCCGCCAGGGACGCCTGGAACCTCACTCCTTCAGCCAGGCGCCTGACACCACACTCCTTCAGCGAGGTGTCAACCTTCAACCAGGCGCCTAACCTTGAGTGGGGCGCCTGGCACCTCACTCCTTCCGCCAGGCGCCTGGCTGAAGGCGCCTAAACCTTGAGTGGGAACATGGTGACTTGCTCATTTGCCGAGGTGTCTGACCTTCGGTTGGGCACCTGGCACCTCACCTTACTCCTTCAGCGAGGCGCCTGGCACCACACTCCTTTAGCGAGGTGCCTAACTTTCAGCGGTGTACATGGCGACGACTCTTTCAGCCAGGCGCCTTCCGTCAGGGGGCGCCTGGAACCTCACTCCTTCAGCCAGGCGCCTGACACCACACTCCTTCAGCGAGGTGTCAACCTTCAGTGGGCGCCTGGCACCTCACTCCTTCCGCCAGGCGCCTTCAGCCAGGCGCCTAACCTTGAGTGGGAACATGGTGACTCTCCTTTGCCGAGGTGTCTGACCTTCGGTTGAGCGCCTAACACCTCACTCTTTTAGCGAGGTGTCTGACCTTCAGTGGAGCGCCTGGCTTCTCATTCCTTCGTCTATGTATGATACTAACAACTTAGAACCTTACTCTTGTAAGTCTAACATTACTTGCTTTGGTTTATTTGAGCGTACAGGCGCTTCAATGAGGTGCCTGGCGACTCGCTCCTTTGTCGGGGTGCCTGACCTTTGGTAAGGCGCCTGACACCTCACTCCTTCAGCGAAGTGCCTGACCTTCAGTGGCAGGATGTCTGGCACCCCCACTTTTTTGCTTGTTTTCCTTTGTTAAACTTGTTTTAAAACGAGGATAGGCTAATGGGTGAACGTCCAATCACCCCTTGTGAGACTTTTTCAATGTCAAGCTCTTCCACGCATCGAGGTGAGTTTCGCCACTTTTTTCGGTCGGAGGCGCCACCTCCCTTCTTTTAGGCGCTTTGGTTTCTTAAATGGACGAAGACAGATCTGATTTGGCTGCTCTTTTCCAATTGGGGGCGCCTCCTTCCTTACTTTTCGCTAGGCGCCTTTGCTTCTTGTTAAACGGTAGATACCTTTCGCCTTCTTTCTCCTAGGCGCTCCCCCCTTGAAGGCTCTCATCGGCGCCTTTCGCTTTGACCATTTCTGTCGGGCGCCTCACTCCGTAGATTAGGTACGTTTTAACTCGGTTGTTCGAAGAGGAACATTCGCTCTTTATTTTGTTTGAAACAGAGGCGCCTCCGAACGTTGGGCTCAATCATACTGCTATGTAGTTTTCCGCTGAAGATGCCGCCTGCTCTCCCCAGCTGGCCGGTGCCTCCCCTTCTTCCTCCTCTCGGCGCTTTTGTTTCTAACTGTTTCTGCTTCCTTCCTTTGCAAAAGTTACCTCTCCATAATTGTTATTTGTTGGGAGTTTCCCCTTCCAGCTCGTTAGGTGCTTTTGAGAGCATCAACAAGTAAGCGCCGCCCTTCGTTATTGCCAGGCGTTCTTTCAATTGAAGGCGCCGCCTTCTAGTTTTCTCATCTTACTGCTTTCGCAGGTGTTACCGAGAGCTTCCCTCCGATCCTTTAGGCGCTCTTGCCTACCAGCATAGGTAGGCTTTGCCCCTCGTATTTTCGAACGCCATTCCTTGGATTTTGCTAAGCGCCTTACCTTGTTTATCGCTCTATGATACTTGCACCTGTTTATAATGCAGGTTCAGCCTCAAGGCGTCTTAAGGCGCCTTTCTCCTAGCGGTTACGGGTCGTGATAGCGGTTTTTTTGCCTGCGCGGTACCGGCTTCAGCGTTGCACCTGTTTCTCTTCCAAGACTCGCTTCTCTGCACACCTTTCACTCCTTGCTATGACATCCAATAATTCCCAACCCTCTGTTTCTATGGGTGGCACCTCGGATGGTGGCACCTCCGACGACTCTAGCTCTTCCGATGATGCTTCGAGCAATTCGGACTAGTAGAGTTAGGGTATCTTTGTTCCATGTTTGGACGATGCTGACTTGCTAATGCGCCTTCTGTTTAGGTGCCTTTTGCTTACTTTTTCCTGGAGCTTGCCTTCAGGGAATGTTTTAATTTCGTTGTTGAACATTGATCTCATAATTCTGATGACTCTCCTCCTTAAGAAACTCTTGTTCTTTTGTTACTGCAACTTGTCTTTGTGTGTTGTTTTGGGTGTTTGCTTTTGAGCTAGGTTTCTTACGCGTAGCCTCTTTGAAAAGAGGTGATGCGTTTTGGTTTCTCCTCAACGGAGGAAGCGGGTCTGGGTGACCCCTTCTGACAAGGCAGGGAATTTCGCGAGGGATATGGCCAAGGCGCCACCACTCATGGGGACTCGTGAAACGAGTGCCCAACGCTCGGATGAAGATCTGAGTGTAAGCACTAAGGCTCTTCCGCTGGTTGCGGGTAAAATGTTTTGTTAAGATGACTACCTTAAGCAAAACTTGATTTTTCTTACGTGTACCCCTGAGAAGGAGGTGACACGCTTAGGCTTCTCCTCGACGGAGGAAGCGGGTCTGGGTAACCCCTTCTGGCAAGGCAGGAATTTTGCGAGGGATATGGCCAAGGCGCCACCTCTCATGGGGACTCGTAAAACGAGCGCCCTACGCTCGGATCCGAGCGTATGAAGATCCGAGCGTAAGCACTAAGGCTCTTCCGCTGGTTGCGGGTAAAAGGTTTTGCTAAGATGACTACCTTAAGCAAAACTTGATTTTTCTTACGTGTACCCCTGAGAAGGAGATGACACGCTTAGGCTCCTCCTCGACGGAGGAAGCGGGTCTGGGTAACCCCTTCTGGCAAGGCAGGAATTTTGCGAGGGATATGGCCAAGGCATCACCTCTCATGGGGACTCGTAAAACGAGCGCCCGACGCTCGGATGAAGATCTGAGCGTAAGCACTAAGGCTCTTCCGCTGGTTGCGGGTAAAAGGTTTTGTTAAGATGACTACCTTAAGCAAAACTTGATTTTTCTTACGTGTACCCCTGAGAAGGTGGTAACACGCTTAGGCTTCTCCTCGACGGAGGAAGCGAGTCTGGGTTGACTCCATCTGTTAAAACAGGGATAGCTTTGCATTGCCGAGTAGTGAATATCCGTTCCTTGAGCAAAATAGGGAATTACATGGGGTATCGCCAGGGCGCGTCCCTTTCCCCGAAAATTCCTAACATTACCAACCTAAACTGAATAAAAGGACTCCTCCTAGCACGCTTTTGCCTCTCTTAGGGTGTCTTTGGGTTACGCCTACTTAAAGGGCGGCCCTCCCCCTACAAAAATTCCAGGGCGCTTCTTTCTTCCGAGGCGCCGTAGTTGAGTCGGGCGTACTTCTCCAGGTAGACATCGTCGTCAGCTTCAATTGCGTCCTCGTTGGGTGAGGCGCCCACACCCTCCCGTGGGGAGTTCATGGGTAGCACCTCAACCTCTTGCATCTTTCCTCGGAGGCGCCTCCTCTCCTCTGTGGCTTCTTGGGGATTGGGAGGCGCGTGATTGTTTGCCTTTGTTAGTACTGACAACGCGGTCATGACTTGATCCAGTTGGCCTTGCATGCTGGCCATTTGAAGTGCTTGCTTTTCCCGAAGCTTCGCTAGTTGGCCCTTCAGGCGCTCCGTGTCTTCTCCCTCTCCTGATGGATCGTCGTCGTCGGATGCTTCCAAACTTTGGATGGTGAGTGGTTGAGGGTTGATCGCTTCTCGACCAACGACTTGCTTGATAGGGGTCTTCGTTGGTGCCAGACTCCTTTCTTCCCCCTTCTTTGAGTTGGAAGCGTCTTTCAAAGTCATGCTTGGCCCCACGGTGGGCGCCAATTGTTTGAGCCCGGGCGACTGGGCGTCACTCGGGTCCAAGGGGTTTGGGGCGTCAGCCATGACCTTGAAGGGGTAGGCGCCCCGCCTCGTCCGAAGCAAGAAAAGAGAAGGAGTGTATAGAGAGAGAAAGTAGAGAGAAGTAGTAGTAAGAGTAGATAGATTGCCATTTATGAGGAGAGAACTCCTATTTATACACATTTGAGGGTTAGGTAGTGGTCTGGGCGCCTGCCAAGCCATAAATGCTCTGGTCGGGCGCCTCAGACCTTCTGACACTGTTCATAGTCCTTTTTGGCAGAGGGTGTCCCCCTGTCCCTTGTCCTTGCTGATGTCAGGTGCCTGGCCTTGTCTCTTGTCTCCCAGCCTTGTCTTTTTCCTCTTGTCTTCTTTTCTTCTCCATGCCATTAGCCATGGTATTAATTCCTTAATTACTATGATACCCTATCATTTAACATACAACTGAGTTATATAATTTAACCGTATAATAATTTCGAAAATAGCAAGTAAATCTTCACTTGGTTGGATTTTAAACCCCATCTTAAAGAATTTTCTTTCTTTATCTTGCTTTTGCTTTCTTATGGACAATTTAAAACTCACTTCAATCCTTCGAGAAAAGAAACACTCACTTCAAAAAACCATCTTCAATGTGAAAAAAATAACTTCATTCCACGAATAGGGGAAAAAGTTTGGAATCCTATGTGAAATCTAAGTTTGTTTATAAAATGATCACCACATTAAAAAAAAATGACATCTACGTCGAAGATTAGAGAAAATATCATTAGTAAGTATATTATAACATAATAATCACCAATTTTTATATTTATTTTTAATTAAACTCATCATTAAAATTAAGGATAGCTAGGCAAATCATTAACCAAAGAGTCAATCCCTTCATCATATTCAAATCTTTTTCCAAACTTTCTAGAATTGTCTATCAAGTTTAGCGGTTGAAAGATATCATGCTCGTTTCGAGTAATGTGAAATGTGAATGTACTCTTTCCACAATTGAGTGTTGTGTTGTTACTTGTTAGTGAATCAAAAGAACAGTTCTATTAAGAACTGTGACTAACTAATCAGTGGCCTCAAAGTTGAGTGACCTTTCGTGTAATTAAACCCGTATGTGCAACACAAGATAACTAAAAAAAGCAGAGCAGCACAGACAGTGCAGTACTAGTAGCTGCCTGCCGGTACCTGCGCCCGCTCGCCCATATATGGATGGAAGATTCTTATTCTCTCTTCTCTTTTTTGTTAATTTCCTTACGAGAATTCAAAAACCCACCAACAACATTAATCTACCATTAACCATAACGCCAAAAGATGGAAGCTTTCCTCAAATTTAAGACAAGATTTCAATTACCCTCCATCTCCAATCTCTCTCATCACTCCACTCCATCCATCGTATAGAGAGAGAAGGTGAGTGTGTTGTGTTGGGAGTGCGATTGTAAGAGAGAGAGAGAGAGAGAGAGAGAGAGCTCAAATCAGTTGATTTCTGTCATCATCATTTGCAATGATGCATTGGTTTTTTGGGTAATGAGCTAAAAGAGCAAACGGAATTAGAAGAAAGACCAGAAGAAGAAGAGAAGGAAGGAGCAAAAGCGGGAAAGGAAAAGAGAAAAAAACAAATGTTCTGCGGGAGAAGTTCAAGGTGTTCAGATGATAATAGGAAGGGATCTGTACCGGTGTTCCTCAACGTGTATGACCTCACACCCATTAATGGCTACACTTATTGGGTAGGCTTGGGAGTTTACCATTCTGGTGTTCAAGGTAAAAATTGAAAGCAAAGTTTCAATCTTCATGGATAGATCTGTGTTTTTGGATCATTGGGTTCTTCGATGAATTTGACTCCACAACTGGTGCAACTGGGGTTTTCCCGCCGTCTTTGTTTGAGCTCCAAAGTTATTTTCTCCGTCCTCTGATTCAGAGTTCTGGGCAGGAAAATGCTGCTAGCTTCTTATTGAGAACTGTGCTAGAAGAGAAATTTCCATGGGGAACTTGCAGTTTTTCACTGGCCGGCTGGGTTTATTGTTTGTTCATCCATCTTTTCTTAACTACTGCTATACTATATTGTATTGACCAACCCGTTGTTGTACCATGACGTTTCGTCCATTTTTCTAGTACCACTGCTGGAAACCAATTTCAGCTATATTACTAGTATTTTGTCCATCCATGTTTGGGTAAACACGATACATGATGATGAACATATCACCTAATGCTGGAAATCCATCTTTTTGGTCCCTTTATTCCGACTTCATCAAAATTACACGATTCATGGACTGTAAACCTCTTGTTTAGATGCCTAGAAGAATGTATGCTGATTATGAATGTACTATGACTGAATGGGCAGTTCACAATGTGGAGTACGCATTTGGGGCACATGAGTATCCAACGACTGGGATCTTCGAAGGCGTTCCAACGAAATGCGATGGCTTCACATTCAGGAAGTCGATTCTGATTGGGAAAACAAATTTGGGGCCAGGGGAGGTAAGGAAAGTGATGGAGGATTTGGCTCCAGAATACAAAGGCAATGCTTACAATCTCATCACCAAGAACTGCAACCATTTCTGCAATGCTGCTTGCCTTAAACTCACCTCCAATCCCATCCCCAGCTGGGTCAATCGCCTTGCGAGAATTGGTAATGATTCCCCCAAAGAAGTCTCTTGTGGGTTGCCTCTTTGCTAAATGGTTACGGATCTTTGGGGTAGCTAATAATTCATCCATATAAGCTAATCATAGGCTCAGTGTCCTTTCATAAATTTGGATGGAAAATTGGACAGAGATGGATAAACCAAGTGTTGCGTTTGTTATTCCAAACTCCACTGACAAGTCTATTAGAAATATGACCTATTTATTAGTAACCCTGATGATCAGTGACGGTTTCTGTGTATTCCACCTTGTTTTTCTCATTGCATTGGTATTCCAGAGAACTGAATGCTCCTTTGTAATGTTTTGACTTTCAGGATTCCTGTGCACATCTTCATCTACTACTTTCTCAAATTCAACTTCAACATCAACTTCAACATCATCTTCATCATCTTCTCCGGCTACCAGTACTACTGGAGTTCATCAAGTTCGCGGCAGGAGTAGAACTAGAACTAGACGGCGTGCTTTCCCCCCTTGTTCCCCGTTGATCTCTTCACCTCCATCAATTTCATGATCATGCTGATCAGACCATTTTTTATGAACAAACTGTTTCTTCTTGACAAAGTTTGGTAAAATTTTCTATGGAATGGAGATTTCTTCCTTGGAAGGAAGATCCATATGGGCAGAAGAGCTGGCTGATTAAGGTGATGGTGATTTCCATCTCTTTGACTAGGAAAAGGACACTCTATCTATCACCATATTCCTTATGTATCCGTATATCAGTTGCTTTCTTCTTCCCTTTTAGGATTAATTCCGAGCAGGGTCCCTAAGCTTTGGTACTTTTCTCAATCGAGCCGCTAAGCTTCGTTTTGTTTCCCTGTAACAGGCCCTCGGAACTTCAGAGGCCAAAATCAATCATAGTCCATGTTTTTTTTGCTTTGCCAAAGCATTATCCCTGCCTTATTGATAAGGGCTGTCTTTGCCTTTGACATGTGGGTGTAAGAGAATTAATTAAGCAAAATGAAGCTGTATTCATGTGAGGTGACTTCAATCATAAGTTCCAATGATTACTGAAGCTATATTCACGTCTGACTACTTACTCCACCTACAAGATTGATATATTACAACTTGATCTATACAACAAATTTGCAGCTGGACAAAAAACTAATGAATTCATATCGACTCTTGAATCCATATCATAAAACAGCAAATCGACGAAATCCCCATGCAGCTAGCTAACTTGGGCAAGAATCTTCTCACTAGCTCGATCCAGGATAAAAGCTACAACGTGTTATGAAATGAAATTCAATAGAATCTTGGAACGTGTACATAGTTCTGATATCCTACAAAGAGAACCCTGATTAACAAGGCACCTCGATTAAAAACGGGGGAAAACAAACACCAATTGAACTCTGTATGCCTGTACATAAAATAGCAAAATGGAATCGGCAAAATAAAGGGCAGAATTTTGCATTCAGAATAATGATAATAACAATAAGTTCACAGTAAAAAGAGCCAAATCAACCAAAGAACCAGCATAGGTTCTAGGTCTGTTTTGCTCGCAACCATTCTACAAAATTGTCGAGGATTAAAGGCCACGCGAGTTCTGGATCGTAGTTGCTAAGGTCTGGGAAACTTATCTGTTAATAAAAGGATTTGATTAGTAAGAGTCAGTGATAAAAGTTGTTACGTCCTACACTGTAAATATGCAGTATGCACTATGGTTGATAAAATGCAGCATGTGGCATTGAAAATTGGAGGTCTTGAATAGAAGAAAGTATGCATTGCATGATACCTCGTTGCAAAAACGGTAGAACCCCATCCACTGGTCCAGGTTAATGACCTTATAGTCGCTTTGAATCTGTAGCCAAATATAAAAGATGACATGAATAAGTAACTAAGGATAAACGTGGGCTAACAAAATCAATAGATATCTCAGGAAACACACCGAGAATAGCCACTAACCTTGAGATAGTCGATGAAGTAATCAACCTGAGCACGAAACTGAAATCCCAAAGCAAGATCAAGTAATTGGCAGATGCTTTCGATGTCTATGCTTTTCTGTTTTTCCTCTGATAACAAACAAAAAAGGAAGTTAGTGCCAAAAATCAAAGAACATCCACGAACACCAGCACAAGATGATCTTGCTCCGAACTTGCCATTACCCGTTAGACAATACTGGAAGGCATAAGAATAGAAATCCACAAAGTTTGTTGGCCTTTTAACCTGATACACAAACAAGCACCCTGTTACAATTATGCACATGTATCACAAAACCACCAATGAAAGAAAATTAAACTGGAAAACCTCTTTCTCGAGCTCTGGGAGGGCCTTCTTCAATTTATGTACATTATCAGCCCGCAGTGCTTTAAGGCCTCTTCGCCACTCTTCCTGTTGAAGGGAAGGTCAAACAAAACAAGAACGGAAGGGAAAGGGGAAATGAGAGTAGTAACTGATTCAGACCTTGTATTTATACCCAACATAAGTGTAAGCATATAAGTATCCAATTTTTTTTTTTTAAAAGCTGAAAGTGTAAGCACATGCCACATGTGTAATGAAGCAATTCTCAAGAAGAAAAGTGATCGAAAAGAAAACCCCAAAAACCAAAAGTAAACAAGTTATACAAGGCCGATCTAAGAAGTGGAAGCCAATTGGTTTGCTGGTGGAAGTGTTTGAAGGTGTCAGTACAATCGACAATGACAAGAGAACTCTTGGGTAAGAGCAAAACAGAAAATTATTACAGTGGGGGAGCCCCACTATGGTGACCAACTAAGTTTTTTCCTTGACCTGACTAAACTGACCGATGCAGTGCCACTAAGGAATGTTTTTGGGGCTCATCATAAGCAGTCAGCTATAGAAGTTTATATTGTATGCTAAAATTGATTAAACAAGTTGCTAGAAGTCTTTCTTATAACAATGAACCGAAACAAGTGATTAGCAAAGTAAATTGCCCAGTATGAAGGCATACAATATTTAGAATAAAACGAGTGAAGGACAGGAATATTAGTAGATAAATATCAGATATTACTCCCTTACCAGTGTAAAGTACCCCTGTTTTTCAGCTTTCATTTTCCTGCATGCACATGCATTATATCAGTCACAAAACTTAATAGAGTTCCAAAAATGTTAATAAGTATGACATCTAGTGCGCGTTCCAATTTAACCTACCAGGCTAGCATTAAGATTCTGACATCTGTATGATCCACCTCCAAATCTGAACATAGAGCTTCAATTCCCTCTGGGCTGTTCCAACAAGAAACTTGTGACATTAAAAACTATCAAAATTCTCTCAGATTAGCCAGTGACTAACAATTCAAGCTTTCATACTCTTGGAAGTTGAAGCAATACAACTACAACTTGGTAGAAAACTAAAATTAGGAGCGAACTTTAATATTATAGCAGCAAGAACTTACTCAATAAGACCCGAAGACTTGTTTGCATATGAGTAAAACACATTATCAATCCGCTCCATCTCTTTTGAAGATGCTTTACCCGTGGCTGAACAGGCAAGATCAAAGAAATTAACCCAGTTGCAGTTTTATTATACCAGACTAACAAATAAGATATCAAGATAACACCTAAAGCAACGAAACAACAGAATCTTAACAGAGTTCAGATTTGAAGACTAAGCAATTGAATTTCAATACTAGGGGAGGAAAAGGGCATGACTTTTCACCTAAAGTAACATGGAGATTGGATTTCAATAACAATCATAAGCTCAGGATCCTACAATCTGTAGCAGCTTTGATCACTTCAATCACGAGCACTAGTTATGCTTTGATCAGCAGTGTGTTAATGTTTACAAATTACCACGTCAGTTCCAACATACCCTAGCAGGATCAGAAAGTCCAAAGCCTCCTTTTTTTCCAACTTAACAGTAGTTCTAGAATTGGCCACAAAATTCCACAGATTGTGGTTAAAATTTCCAATCTCCTGCCGTTCCCCAGATAAAATTAGCCCAATTGAAGACCTTAAAACAGTAAAACCGAAATCTTCAACTTGATAGAATCCAAAATTTAAGGCTAAAACAATTGATTTCAAGAGGAAAACTAAAATCGGGAAAAGATTATGAATTACCGGAACGGAAAAGACCGCCGGCGGAAGAAGTAATCGGAGTTGAAGAATCGGATTGACCAGCCTTCCTGGACGCGGAACGACTCATCTTCCTCTTCGAGAAGGAGAGGAAGCCAGCGGAAGCTTTGAAGATCGAAGGAGAGGCGCAGAATGGGGGGAAGCTAATTCGCTAAGCGCCAAACTCTAGATAGAGAGCTGGATGACTGATTCTTTATTTGGGGGAATATAAATACTAAATGGTCCTTATAGTTTCGTGACATCAATTATTCCATCCCTATAATGGAAAACCTAGTCATGTTAGGACATTCTTTCCTTGCTCTTTGCGGTATGTGTATATGATGAGCATATTATGGTACTTCGTTTGATTATTTAAAAACACCTAAGATTAAATTAAAAAAAAATAATCTACCAAAAATGTAGGCAAGTTGAATTCTCTTCACACTTGCATCACTCGGTCAAACTTTTCCTTCTACCTTTGCAGCGTTTTTTCAAAATAAAAAAGGTTATAGTAATAAAAATTCAAATAAATAATTGTTGACAAAGATGTTTAGAGCATTAAGTTCGAATTGGATGATCAATCAAAACTGGTTCACAAGCGGACAATGTCATAACTAATTGAATACGAAGTAGCGCTATCGTTAGACCACTGCCACAACAGATTTTAGCATACTAGGGGAAGAAATTCTCAAATCTCATGATATCAAGATTTCATATCCCTTTAATCTCAAAATCTGAATACCAATGTCTTACAAAACATAACCTAAGAATTGGCCATATACATCGCCCATGAGACTTGGCTCCAAATCCATCAATGAGGGGAAGTGACAGTTTGGTTAAACCCGAACTAAGAATATTTCTTCTCGACTATTCCAAACCTAAACGATCTTCAAATCGGAATTCATCCATAAATTATGCATTATATCGATCTAAGTTTTGATTTGGTTCGGTTCAATTTGAACGAATGCGTGCCCACCCCCATATAGAAGCATCTCATACACACAATTTCAATTACTCGAGTTAACCTCATTAGCATTGTTTGCTAAAACATCCAAGGACTTAGACTGGAAAAATCTCATGCTACCGGTATGAAACGGTAAAACCATGTTTAACCACTACATACTCTACCAATAGGACTGTAAATGAGTCGAGTGGAGCCGAGTTTTGACCTAGCTTGAACTCGGCTTGACTTATATAGTAAAACACTTGCTTATGTTTGACTCAAGTTTCGTTCGAGCTAGGCTCATTAATGAGCACACGAGCTCTACTCGAGTTTGACTTATCAATTAAATTGCAAGATTGGCTCGAGTTAAAGTATCATATTATTTAATTCATAATCATCTTGAATATAATTATTCATATCATGTACGTTAGTTAATAGTAATTAGTATCTTAGGAATCTATGGTACATAATTTATCTTTTAAACTATAAACGAGACATATTTGATAACGTGCTCAAATTCTTAAGCATCGTATGTATGTGGTTGGATATATAATAGAACAAATCTATGAATATTCAACAAGCCAATGATAAAATATTAAATGATTTACTCATAAGTTGGTAGTCAAGGTGGCGGGCTAGTCATACTGTCGAGGCAGCTCATAACTCAAAACGACTAGTTTACGAGATGAGCTCAACAAGCTACTGGGCTTCGTTAGTTCAAAATCTTTGGAAGGCAAAGAAGATTTTGATCAAATTCGATTCATTAGTGAACGAGGCGAGGGTCGAAGTCTTGGACCGAGCAATGAATGCAATGCATCGTAATTAAAGATGCACCATACATCAGAGTGTAGTGTTCTTTTGTTAGGCCTGTGGGCCGAGACATAGATAGCATAGCATAGAATACCTCCAGCCTTCAACTTTTCCCCATGGGCTGCAGGACCAGCTGGTTTATTTGAGTTACTACTACGTACTCCGAATCGGTACCACATTGCATTGGCAAAATTCAATTGCAAACGGCCAAGAAAGACAGTAATAATATCATAGCTCACAAGCTAGCTAAGCTAAGTAAGGGTCATCATCATCACCACATGCACAACTAGCTAGGATATATAGGACTACATTAATTAATATTACCACTTGTTTGCTGTCTCTTCCTCCCTCCCACTATTTTACTTCGAATCCCTCCTGCTTAATTTTGTGTTCCCTTTCCCCTTACGCAACCTAACTCAGCTTTGTCCTTTTTTCGGAGCAACAATTGAAATAATAATAATAATAAATTATATTAAGTCTCAAGTAATTGTTACCGTTCCTTACGATGTTTTAGTAATTATCTTTAATTTCGGGTTATTGTTCACAAGGTTATATTCCGCTGTGACAACAACTATAACACAGACTTTGCGAATGCATGCTCAAGCCCAGTTTCCCAACCCTTTTCAATTTTCATGGTTTTTATTTTTTGTGTTTACCCTTTAATTTTCATGTTCCAATTCAATGATGGCTTTGGGTGCCTCAAGTTTTGGGAAGTGGAGAGTTGGAACAGATTGGAAGTTTACATGTTGCAATGCAATGTTACCAGATACTATGTGTTAGTTTAGTTGTATGGTGTATTAAATCACTTCTCTTATATAATAAATGATCTTTTTATATAATAGTTCTATATGTTGATTTTCTTAGTTAGGTGCTACTTAAACAATTCAAATTTGGAACTATATAAACCATTGTGTAATTTCGAAAAGTTGGTATCATTTTTAAGGCCTTAACAATTATATCAAGTATCAAGTAATTGTTACTGTTCCTTACGATTTTTTAGCAATTACCTTTAATTCCGGGTTACTGTTCACAAGGTTATATTCCGCTGTCACAGCACCCATAAAACAGACTTTGCGGATGCATGCCCAAACCCAGTTTCCCAACCCTTTGAGTCAAAAAGTTCAATTTTCACTCATTATAATGACTTGAAAGTGTGATAGGAATTCTCTAAAATTAAAATAAAATATTAGCGAGAGATATTACAAATATTACTTAGAACAATTTATAGAGTAAGTTTTCTATCACAAAAGGATTATTGATTGTACATATGTTTATATTTCGGTAAATTCTTAGTACTAACTATCCCCTTAAACACATTGTATGAAGTACATGTCTACAATTTCAATTGATGAGTCAAATTTCATTAGGCAAATTTTTTTTATGTATATCCACATTTAATATCTTCCAAAAATTCCAATCATTACACTAAAATGGTTTTAACAAAAACTAATTTTTTTTAGAAACAAACAAACAAAAACTATTTAGCCTTTACATCATTCAAGGAAGATAAATAAAAACTCGGTCAAGATACAAAGAAAACACAAACTTATTCAAATTAAATTCCAACCTACATCAATTCAACTATATTATAATATGATCATCCCGCCACGAGGTGCGGGCCAATATGCTAGTTCATTTAATATTACATTCTATTCGGGATATAACGGAATATTCCTTCCCTTGCCTACCGGAATCCAACCAGATTCCTATAAGCCAATTTACATTATTATTATTATTCGCTCTGTAACTGTTATTATTATATACAGATAATCAGTTCTACATTCATGAATATATGCATGCTTCTATATAAACCTTCCACATATATATCGGAGCTAGCTATATAAAAACATCCTCACAAGTCACAAGGCCAACTCCTTTGATCTTTTCCTCCTTGTTCCACTTTCCTGCAATGAGGTAATTTCCTACTACTTCCCCTCCATCGTTCAATATACACCGACAAGACAACTTCATATATATTCATTTCTCGCAAAATTTCACCAATTAATTACCACAAGCTGTGTGGCATCATGTCTACGGACAGCTCCTCCTTCCAAGAGTTCTTCGACCGGTGGTTGGTTGAGCAAAACCTCCACCTCGAGGACCTCATTTCCGCCACCACGGCCCAACGACCGGCCACCCAGTTCCTTCGAGATCTGGCCGGGCAGGTCATGCAACACTACGAGGAGTACTACCAAGCAAAGTCTGCATGGGCACACCAAGACGTACTAGATGTGTTGTCCCCATCTTGGAGAACCTCTCTAGAGGAAGCCTTTCTATGGATCGGTGGGTGGCGTCCGTCCACGGCTTTCCACCTCCTCTACTCCAAGTCAGGGCTCCAGCTCGAGACCCTCCTTCACGATGCTGATGATATGGGCCACCGCAATGGTGCGGTGACCAATCTGGCTGGCCTTTCCACAACCCAGTTCCACATGATCAACGAGCTCCACAAGAATACCATCAAGGAGGAGAGGAGGCTTACGGAGAAGATGACAAAAGTCCAGGTATACGTTTAAGAAATAAGTATTATATGTATCCTATTTCATCTTTCAGTATCAAACAAATGTCATTTAGTTATATCAGGAATCGATTGCGGATGCGTCCGTGGTTGACCTCTCCCACACAGTAAGCGAGATGATACGGAGGACCGAGGAGGGCGAGGGTGACGTGGCGGGCCCAATGAGCGCCAGTGTGGTGATGAATGAGCGGGTGGAGAGGGCGTTGGTGCCGAAGAAGAGAAAGATGGAGGAGCTGTTGCGGAAGGCGGATGATCTACGGCTTACGACGATTAGGTCCATCGTTGACGACATTTTGACTCCCATCCAGGCCGTCCATTTCCTGATCGCCCTAGCAGAGTTGCACCTTCGGGTTCATGATTGGGGGAAGCAGAGAGATGACCAGTGTTAGGCGGGACCCGCGATCACCCATGCGTTGTCCACGTAGACTTGTTCGTTATGTCACATAATGACGTTGTGTAATAATAAAATTATAATCCGGATTTAGATATACTTGCTAGCTAGTGTATTGTGGGTTTTGATTATGTTGGTTTTCACATTATGATGCTCAGTGATGATAAGTGCATGTGGTTTTTCTCCCTAATCAAGTCAATATAATTAGTCCGACTGAGCCATGAAAGAAATTATAACTTATAAGGGATATAATTAATGTGAAAATCAATAGATATCAATTGAGATTGGAACAGGAAAGTAGCTAACGTAACCATCATTGCGTGAGAGTAAGAGAACAAAGAAAACTTAAATTATAAGCATAATATCGGGAACACGAAATTTCACTTATAGCATAAACAGAAAGCCCATTCATACGACGAAAATGAAGAAGCTCTAGAGAAGTAAGTCCTAATTAGTTACCTTAAAATACTTAAAATTTCTAAATGCATGCTCAAATTTCCATTAATTAAGCTATAAAAACCTGATTCAAGTTTGGAGAGATCGTCAGTCACTTCCACAGTTGTTATGCGAGGTGAGTAAGAATTTGGGTTGGATTTGCAGGACACATCCCCTACACGTCGACCTATGGTGATCATCGTTATACAAATAAATTATTGTTCAAGATAGTCCACACGTACGGTATATATGTATCCAGGTGGTTCTTAAAACACGGTAAACATAAAGATATAGGACTCATGCATGTGCATAATTAGATATTATGTCCCTTTGGTTTTGAATGAGATCATATATAAATGGTGAGAATAAAATATTTTTATTTTTTATCGATTTGTATCTTATTTGTTGTAATTCGAATTCTAAATATTTTTTGGCACAAATTAATTGATTTTATTATAATTTACAAAATTCTATCCATCTTCGATATATTTCAAGAAAATTGTACCATCCATTACCACCTCAGCCCCACCTCCTAAACTCATATTCAACATGATCTATTATGAGTTACAAATTTATAGGAAACAAAATTCATAGCCTTCAAATTTACCACCTTATGCCACCCTAGTACACAATAGTAAATTGTGGTAGACGGTAGTAAAATGATAATTGGTTGTTAGCTAGCATATTACTACTATGTGTATACAATAAATATGTTCATACACCAACATATACTTCCAAATTCTAAGATTAGTGGTATTATCACTAATACCACATTCTTGTTCACCACTACGTAAAATAAGTCAAAGTGAATATAGTATTGAACAACCAGATTTTCTTACACAAAATTCGAAAAGCGATATTATCCCCATAAATTTGATTGGATAAAGTTGAGTCAGCTCACCGAATTTGTTCCCTCTCCGATCCCTCCACTTGCAGTAATTAATTAGTAAAATTAAGTTTTGGACTATGTACATAATTAATTAATTAATTAATTGCTGGCGTAACACGAAAAAGTGTTACTCCAAACTTCCATGCACCATAAAAGCTGTTGAATTTCCCCAACCATACATCATGTCATCATCACCTGTTGTGTTGATAGAGAGATGGATTGGATATATACCTCCACCATTCAACTTTTCCCATGCCATGATGAGGTAAGCTGAAGCTAGCTGATCAGTTCAGTTCAGTGCTCCGAATCCGTACCAGGAAGTGAACCACACAATTAAATTAATTTAATGCACATTATATATACTACGTACCAATACCATCCATTTCACCAAAATTCAAATTGCATGCAAAAGGCCGAAAACACGAATCACAAGTCACATGCGCGCAGCTTCCTCACTTTCACTTCTCTCCCATTGTTTTAGTTCCATACCATCCTGGTTTCTGCGTTCCTTACCCACTACGTAAACACTGAGCTTTGTCCTTTTCCATGAGTTACATTTCACCATGTACAATGACGTAAGGATGTGCATGCACCTCGATCGATCAACTTGGCCACCTTGTATTTTGTCTGATGTATTTATTTGGACAAAGGACAAAGTTAATCTTCACTCAATCAAAACCAACCCAAAGGAAAGTTGTCGTTTCCTTTACTTAAAGACATGAACACCTAATAATTTAACGTTACTTTGTTTGATATTTATGAATGAAACTGGAAACAGACATGCAGCTGCTGTTGTGTTTCCTTAGCTAATTAAGGAGGTATTTAGTCTCATTATTAGTTTTGTCTCCTTGTATCATTTGCCGAAAACAAAACAATGCAACGTTGTTTAGTTTCGTAGGCCATGTTTCCTTCGTTTCGTTATTCTAGCTAATTTCCTTTTGGTATTGCATGACGCCGTTCATATATATATAAGCCAATCACTACGGGACACGTATATATGTATCCATGTCTGCAGACCAAGTTCCCATGTGTTGTTGTTGTTAAGGACACATCAATATATACTTGTTGGTTACCACTTACCATTATTACCCTACCCTTCCACGCATATATATGCCCCAGCATGCACCACTGTACCATCTTGCACTTATTATATATATATATATATATATGGTTTAGGCTAGCGTACGTCAGTCGTATGTTGTACGCCCGTCGAGTTTTACTATTTAGAGCAGGACTTAACCAAAATTTTGGGCATGATACTATACCCTAACCTCTAATGGATAAACCCCAGTCCCTAATTCTCTAACCCAAGCCACGAGATTCATTAAATCTAAAAAATAATAACTGACGGTTCTGATTCAGCGAAATATATTGAAGTGCAAAAACCAAGTGTGAACACAGGCGTACAGCGTACGACTGACATACGCTAGCCTTTGTCATATATATATATATATCATCCCCAAGGATTGGACTAGCTAGAGGGCTTCATCCCTCAACATATATAAAAGGAAAAGAAAGAAGTAGCTCCTAGCAGCTAGCTACTTGAAGACGGACAATTAAGTTGTTATGTCTTTGGCGAGAGTGAGCAGGGTCTTAGCACCCGGCGGCGCCACGAGTAGTAGTAGTAGCAGCCCTGCCCCTGCCCCTGCCCCTGCCCCTGCCCCTGCCCCTCCTGGTCCTCCGCCGCATCATCCTGCAGCGTTCCACCAAGTCTTCGACACGTGGCTGGCAGATCAGGAGCGTCACCTCCAGGAGCTGGTCTCGGCAGCCGAGCGGTGCAGCGACCAGCCGGAGCTCCTCAGGGGTCTCTTGGGCCGGGTCATGGACCAGTACGAGCAGTACTACCGGGCCAAGTCCTTGTCGGCCCAGCAGGACGTGCTGGCCATGCTGTCCCCGCCATGGAGGAGCACGCTAGAGGACGCCTTTCTGTGGATCGGCGGGTGGAGGCCTTCCATGGCTTTCCACCTCATCTACTCCAAGTCGGGGCTCCAGCTACTAGAGTCGACGCGGATCCACGACCTGCTCCAGGCCAACGACTTGTCCGGCCTCTCAGGGGAGCAGCTCCGCCTCATCGACCACCTCCAGCTGCGGACCATCCGGGAGGAGCGCCACATAACGGAGGAGATGGCCAGGGTGCAGGAATCCGCTGCGGACGCCTCCATGGTGGAGCTCTCCCATTTGGCCACCCAGATGATCATGCGGACAACCCCATGTCTCAGCCCTAGTAGTGTGAACCAGCGGGTGGATACCACGTTGGTGGCCAAGGAGAATCAGATGGAGGAGCTCCTGCACGCGGCAGACGATCTACGCCTCAGGACGCTCAAGGCCATCGTTCACGACATCCTCACTCCCATCCAGGCCGTCCATTTCCTTATTGCTGTAGCCGAGCTGCACCTACGTGTTCATGATTGGGGGAAGCGCCGAGATGCCGTGCCCACATCATCTGAGATTGCCACTCACTCCAAATAAATTAAATTAAAATAAAATAAAATAAAATAAAATAAAATATTATGGTATAGCTATAACAGAAGAAAACTCGAGTTTTCTTCTGTTAAGCTAGGCTTCCTTTATCAGTAAGCGTAAGGGTTCAAGTTCAATCATGATAGGTTTTTTCCTTGTGTACTTTTTTGCCATGATGATCTCAAACTTTTGGTTTGGTTTTGTTTTGTTTTTCTTATGAATAAAGGTTTTAGATTATGGTATTGAAGGATGATTATATTACTATTGTTTTATCGTTAATGATGAAACTATATCTAGTTCAAAGTGAATTAGATTGCAAGATGATAAAGCTATTCATCGATTCCTAGCTTTCAAACTATAAGTTAATCACAACAGATGTTTATTTAGCCCCAGTTTACCACTGTTTATAGATCAATCTATCATATTATTTTATCATAGTTATAATATAGAACGGTCTGCCTAATTAATTTTTTTTTAGGGCGATACTTGGCTGCTGTCTGGGTTGCAGCCCATGGCTGCCACCTATTGACTTGGCACCATATCATTGGTTCAATGGATATTATTAAACTTATTTGGATTAGGAAAGGACGGAAACCGGACGGAAACTATTTCTTTTCTTGGACGGACGGAGAGCAGCCCAAACGGTGCTGCCTCTTTACATTTTTTTATTATACTTTTTATATATTTTTTATTAATTGAAAAGGAGATAATAATATTAAACACACAGAGTGCACTAGTACTTGTTTTCCAGCTTAACTAATATTGAGAGGAGTGATATAATATGCGGAGCAAGGTTGTCAAACCGGTTTATACCGTTGTACCGGTTTGGCAAGTGGAATGGTACGACCAGTGGTATAACCTGTTTGTGCCGGTTCATGCTGGTCTAAAAAAATGTGAAAATAATTAATATCCAATGTATTTAATCATATATAAAAAATATTTGTGGACAATTTAGTTATAATCCAACAAATATCATCAACTTTTAACTATTACATTCATAAAATGAATAATAAGTCATTATTTTTATTCATTAAATTCATTAAAATGATGTCATTTTCTTAGAATGCGTAAGTCGATCATACCGATCATACCGGTGGTGTCATGCCGGTTTCATGACCGGCACAGGTTGAACCGGGTGGCATGCCACCGGCATGACAACCATGATGCGGAGTGAATCATATCTTAACAATTGGTTGATTTTAGGTGATGAACAATGATCAATTTCCAAAATCAATTATTAGTTCAGTGGGAGAAAACTTGGAATCTACACCCTTTGTATAAGCAATATATCATTCACACAATTGTTACAAATATAAATTCAATTTTATTATTTATTAATTAAGATGGAAAACAAGTACTATTGCACCTCTGTGCATAGTTAGTAAAATACGGTACGAGAAAGTTATGTATAAAATATGTAAGAGTACTTTACTCTGTCTCTATGTTAATGTTACGTTTAATAGTAAGTTAAAAGTCATAAATATATAAAATTAATTATTTTTAAAATAAATAAATTTATAAATAATAATAAAGTTAATAATTTAATTCATTAAATACGGATATTATGCGTATTATATGGGTTTTATACGTGTTTAATACGGGAGCTATCAAATGAACGAACAAAAAAGAAACGGCTTGACAATAATACAGATACGAAACTTTTAAATGAATAAAGTACGTATGGATACATATATGTGTATTAAACGGAATATTTACTAATTATGCCTATGAGTGTTTAATATTATTATCTCCTTTTCAATTAATAAAAAATATATAAAAAGTATAATAAAAAAAATGTAAAGAGGCAGCACCGTTTGGGCTGCTCTCCGTCCGTCCAAGAAAAGAAATAGTTTCCGTCCGATTTCCGTCCCTTCCTAATCCAAATAAGTTTAATAATATCCATTGAACCAATGATATGGTGCCACGTCAATAGGTGGCAGCCATGGGCTGCAACACAGACAGCAGCCAAGTATCGCCCTTTTTTTTATATATTACTTATTAGAGTTGATTAGGAATGATACTTGGGCAAAATGGAGAGGGTATCACCATTCAAAAGTTGCTCCGCCCACCTTGCATCCAGCGACAGGTTAGTCGGGCCCAGCCCTTCCTTTTTATAAAATGGGCCGGGCCGAACCCATCAGCCAGGTAAGAAGGCCTAAATGCACCCCATAAGAAAAAGATGTTATATATGTAGTTAGTTATAAACACATTTCTCCCGAGAATGAAAAGTGAAAGGGAGATCAAAATGGCGGGAAAATAGATCGCGTTCCCTCTCTCGAAAGGGGAAGTGGAGCTTATATGAAATTAGGGATGACAACTTTGTCCATACCCATGAGTTTCTTACTATCCAACCCAATTGGGTTGGGTATGAAATCCAAATAGATGGATATGGGTAGAGTTTGATGGGTTTGTACCCATACCCAATTACTTTGGGTTGAGTTGGGTTTATATCAAATGGATTTGGGTTTGTACCCATGCCCAAATACAAATTATAGTTTGGTACCTAAACTTAATAGATATGCATATTTAGTACCTAAATTTAATTTTTTTGGCATATAAATCCTCAAAATATCGATGGAAAATTACGTTTTGGTACCTAAATTTTTTTGTCTTACATTTTGGTACCTAAACTTTTCAAGTTTTACAAATAGGTCCATTTTTGCATGTGTAGTTAAACCACCCTCAAGTAAATGGATATCCATATCCAACCCATACCCATTTAGATTATGGAAGCAATATTCATACCTTACCCAAACCCATTTATAAACCTCCAAATCCATTTGCACTTCACCCATACCCAACCCATTATCAATGGGTCTACTTGGGTTTGGGTATAATTACACATGAGTGGGTAATTTGCCATCCTATCTGAAATCACAAACTCGGATAATCTGAACCATCGCTGCTTTAGTTTCGTCTGCCGTCTGGAGGGAAGTAGCGATTCGCAAGGGAAGGAAACACACAAGGTTGGGTAATTAGAGCGACCGAGCAAGCAAGAGAGGGGATAAAGATGGCTGAAACGGAAACCCTAGGCATTCTCCAAGAGGTAGAGTCTCTGGTGTCTGACAAGCATCAATTGGTAAGCTTCTCCTGTCTCTCCCATTCAATCGCGTCTTCGTTATCTCTACTTTTCACAAGAATGCGGGGAATTCTCTGACTCAATTGCCCAATTAATTCCATCAGAGTGCAAAGTAAGACGAATTTAGGGATGGGGTTGAGTGACTGACCCGAAATTCTTCCATCTCTGCTTTGAGGAAGCTTATTACTCGAATTTAGTTACAGTAAGGTTTTTTATGTTACCAGCTTATGTGTTCACAATGCCAGTTATTCAGATTGTTACGTCATAGTTCGTTCCATCTGAGGTCTAAGTAGCACCTAGATTGTCTGACAACCAATTAACCAAACCGATCAAACTTTAGTTTGGTTGTTATAATGCTTTGGTTAAAGTATTGTATTGCATGGTTGGCAGAATTTAGTCTTAGTTAGTTTGATAATTACCATGATAATCATTTGAACAACCCAGCACTCGGCGATGTCCAGTGTATTTCTCTAGGTTCATCGGCCGCTAACAAACGAATGTACGTTTTGATCATGATGATCATATCAACAGTACCTACCTAGTGCTTGATTTTAGTCTAGCAATGCGATAGTACTATCTTAATTTTACAATATTGGGTTCGATCAAATTGTTTATATCGTTTGTCGGGGAGAAAAAAACATATTGCATGCAAGATCTATGAAGAGGAAACAACGATTGGATGGAAAAATTGTCAAACAAATTAAATAAAACAAGTAGATGCGAAACCCAATACAGAAGGAGATTAAAGAAGACAAAAGATCCACGAAGTTGGATATCATAATTGCCAAAGAAAAGTAAGTAACGTTAACGTGAGTTGATAATTAGACGCCCAAACTCCGAACAATGCTTAATACGGCAGAATATGTGCCAAATGCTGAACAGATTAGCCCCACTGCGATGACTAATACACACAATGAAACCTGCATCACATATGCAGCAACAAACTCATCAAGCGGCCGGGAGAAGAAATGTCAAAGTTTAATGATGAATACAATTAATTAATTGGATTTTTATAATCATACCGAATATATATGTATGTGAGGGGATGCAAATCATAATTCTATGTCATACCTGGTAACGGTTCACTTTATTCCTCAAAATGCTCAAGTAGCTAGCACAAGGAAGGATGAGGGTCTGCCACAAAATATATGCATCGATCTTTCCATGTAAGTTGAGGTTTAGTGAATTTATTTATCACTAAAATTTGAGATGAGATAATTGACGAAATAATTGGTGTTCGTCCTAGTCAATTCATTAACTAGCAATCGGAATGAGAGAAGGAAAAAAAAAAAAAGAGTATTAATTAATTACCACAAACATGGTGAGCAGTGATCCGATCAATGAGAGGACGGGACCTGGATTAATGTAAAGCATGCATGCAGAGAAGCAAACATACATTAATATACGTAACGTAAGCAAGCAGTAGAGACTAGAGAGTGTCCGTCCGTCTGTTGTATATAATAATAATAATAATAATACTGACCGAAGAAAGGGAGGGAGATGGCGACAGCCAAAGTGGAGATGACGAGCAGCGTCCTAATGGCAATGACGTGAAGGTAGGACCTCTTGTTTGATGGTATCAACTCCTCCAGGCTCATTGCCACCGGTGTCATTGTCAGGGCATACGTACGATCGATCACCAAATTTTGCATTAAGGAAAATTAATTAAACGCGCCGGCCACATGCATGAATATTGATCCTAATTAATTAATTAAAACAAACACTTTGCGATGCGATGAATGGTTTCATGCTATTAATTATATATATATATGTTGGGAAAGGATATTTGGTGAACGGATTGACCACCTACAACAACAACAACAAACAAACAAGAAATGAACAACAACTAGTTATATATAGTACTTCCAACTATACATAAAACTAGAGCTATATATCGATCCTAACATGGTGGGGTGGCTGTTTATTAATATGATTTTACCGTGGTCCAGACAGCGATCTTGGAAGCAAGCAGATGGCTAGGCATGTTAAGGGTGAACTGAGACTGGGTGGCTTCTCCGAACATGGTGTACCCCATCATCCCAACTCCAACGTACATCACCGTGCACACAATGAAGCTGCATGCATGCATGCATATATAAATTAAATTAATCCATCCACGTACGTACGTACATCAACCAAGCACGTAGGATAGTTAATTAATTAGTTACCATGCGATGAGGACAGCAGGGTATTGGTTTGGGCGGGCCATGGAGCTGTAGATGTTTGGGAACACAGCATGTCCCTGGTAGCAGTAGCCGTACAGTCCAATCGCCACCGGCAGACTCCCCCAGTTCACCACTCTCCCACTGCTGTGAATGTTGACGTCATCCACTACCCCACTCCAGAACAAGCACACCACCACCACTATGCTTGCAACTACTCCACCAGCTGCATGCGATCAGATCAGATCAGATCAGATCATCATTACTTATTTGTTATTACGTAATTAATAAGTAACCAGCCACAATTTTCGATCTAAAGATTACATCATATGCAGGCTGTAGCCAATAACAATTAATTTAAGATTTTTACCGGAGATGTAACTGAGAATACTGAGATCTCGAAGCCAGACTGTGGGGAGCACGGCAAGGGTGGTTAGGAATGCAAACAAGTGGTGGGGATCCAGCTCCAGCTCAACTACTCCACCCAAACTTAGATGAGCATTTGGGAATAATGCCGACAAGTTGTCGCTCTCCAGAATGATGTACTCAACACAACAAGCCTGCAACCATTGAGATTGAAATTCATTATTTACTGTTTCATAGATCGTCTAAGGATTTAGCGGGCTAGCTAGGTGTCAGATTCAATAATATCATGATATGGACAGTGATCAATTCATGAGTATCAATTGCTGCTGGTGTCTAGCTAGTTAGTCCATGCATGTTAGCAGATCGATCTCGTAGCTAGCTAGGTTCTTGTCTGTTTGCTTGTTTTGGGTGAACAAACTGTGACAGGCAGGCAGGCAGGTTGCATGTAATTATTGTAATGTTATGGGTCATCCGATCCGATCCATGCATGTTACATCTCTGACGAGAGTCACAACTCAACTCAACTCAACTCTCTTGTCATCTTGCTTACATACAGATACAGCTAGTATTATATGTATCACATGGCAACCACCGGTCCATCTGGTATGGTTGGTCAGATAGTACAAATATTTAAACGTTATCTATAGCACAAATTAAAACACTAGTCATGTATTCCGTCGATAATTGGTGCTGGAATTATTCATATATATTCAAAAATTAATACAATCAAAGTAGACATTTTTCCAAACTTAATATTATAATTTTTGAAAAAAGGGTTTCATCAAGTGATAATATATACTAGTAGTTTTTGAATTTTAAAATTTTATTTTTGAATCACTTACTTATAAATTAACATTGAAATGGATGAATTACTAGCTAGTTAAATTCGAGTATACAACCAACCATGTTCATATATAATATATATAACCCTTTGATATTGGTTCGACTCGTAGGAAGTGTAATACTTCATCTTGAGTACAGTTAAAAGATATCTCAAATTTCTACTTTTGTTTCACAACTGTACGTGTAATATAATTCATTATGTGCATTAGTTTGCATAGACAATATTTATTCTTAATGACTTATCCCAACTTTGTTGTTGTTGTTGTTGTTGTTATATACGTACATGTGATGATGAAGCTAATTAATGACAAAAAATTAGTTCCCTTATCCGATTATTAGCCACCTCCATATATAATATACTTGAACCATCCAAGGATAAGGCTGCATTATTCACATAGGAAATCATACAGTACTATCGAGTTGAACTGTCTTTTGTTGTGGAATGGATTTGATTTGATTTGATTTGATAGATAAGGGATGATTCATCCCGGCAGATAAACAAGAAGACAGGGATAAGATGGGCCAGTGATACTCACATATAACTCCACGTACAAGATGACCTGCAGATCCACCACATAAAAAAAGAACACACAAAAAAAAAAAAAAAAAAAAATCCCATATGTTAGAATTAACTTGTAGGAATTGAAGGATTGAATTGAGAGTCGCGAATTAAGAGTTTTTATCACATGTGACATGATATATGAGTGATCAACGTAACAATAATGTGTTTATTTAGCAAGCCAATAATATACGTACTACGTACCGCGAAAGCAATGCGACCAGTGGTGCCAAAGGCGGCTTGGCCAATATCAGGATAGGTTTGGAGTCCCGGCTGGGTGTCAAGGCAGTATCGAAGGAGCAGGCCGGTGTAGAAAGAGAGGAGTGCAAACAGGAGGAGCACAATCAACCCCAACCATCCTCCTTGCTTCACTGCGTATGGTGTCGACAATATCCCGATCCCACACAGCACATTCACCCCTACCGGCACCACCATATATAATTAATAATCACCGCGCGATTCAGACATGGATTCATTCATGCGAACTAAACTAACCAAAAACTCGAGAAAATTAAAGGGTTTGTAATATAATGAGGGACCAAATTATAGACTAGCTAGTACCGTTAAGTAGTGCTTGGCCAAACGAGCTCTTGCGAGCGGGAGAATCGAGCACGACTTGCGAAGGAAGACCACCGAGTGAGAGGTGGGAAGATTTCTGCACTAGTTGTTCTTGCTTTTCGTCGTAATGGTGATGGTCTTGATCATCGTGCAGTAACAAGGGTAGTGTTGCGGGCGAAGGAGGAGCTTCGGTGATGGGCGTGCTAGGCAAGACTAGTACTTCACAAGTTGGCCTTCTTCTCAGGAATGAACTGCCTTGTCTGGACAGTGGGCTCTTGAGGAAGTTAATCGTTGGTGACACACTACTGTACATGTCCATCGACATCCTGCACCACATCCCATCCATTCATTTCTTAATTATATGTACGTACCCGGGTTAGGGTTACTAATTAACATCATTTCGTTATATATGCAACTCTTACATTTCCTACATGTACCTAACTTAACTAGTGAGTAAATTTTAAAAGTGCGTACCAACGTATCTTGCACAATATGTGATCTACCCATTCAATTTACTATGCTTATAATAATTACTTGAAGGTGCAAATCGTTTGTACGTGATGTATTTTTTTCCTACAAATCTCTTTTCCAAATTCTACGCTTCACATGTCATGATTTGATTAAGGGGCCGTTTGGATCTATATTTATTAAGAAACAACAATCAGATCGACTTTGGATCTTAAGGATTAAATCGAAATAGCCCATCATGCATGTATGAATTTAGACTTAATGACACAACATGTACATGATTAAGATAAAAGATATGGAGAAATCCATGTGCATGTGAGAGACTGTAAACAAGAGGAGTCAACAATTGTCGTCTTTCTCTAGGTTTATTAATAATAATAGCATATATGATAAACACAACATGCTGGAGAAAGGGATGGGGAGACATAAAATAATGGTGGGGTGGATCATTCATAATGCCTTCTCAATTCTCATATATGTGATGTGATTTGATTTCCCACTAAACAAAACCCACAAAATTCCAACGTATATATCTACATGCATGTGCAAACCTCAAATGATATGGCATTTGATGGCTTGCTTCATTTCAGAATTGATTCAAATTCGTACACGACAATTAACAAATAAAAGAAAAGATTAGAATGAAGTCGCAATGGTAAATTCTAAGTCTAATTTGGTACAATTTTGATTCAAGCTAAGTAGTCCTTTTTATCTTTGTAGATGATCCGATTCATGCATATGCATGTATATATATATATATATATATATATATATATATATATATATATGATATACGTGTCCAAGTGGCTTGTCCATGTGTGACAATATATATATATATATATATATATCCAAAGATAAAAAAGAAAAAATCAATCTGTGGTCTGTGGATCAAACAAAAACAACCCTTGGGCACCAGAAAGTAGCCGCCGCCCGGGGGATGGATGATATCAGAGAAGCCAATACGTACGTGTGGTGTACGTGGGTGTTAAACGAAAGCAAGCAAAATGAATGGATAGCATAGCATTGATTTGATCCCAAACAAGATAAGGGTAGCTAGCTAGAATTATATTGGAGCAATGCCCATGAATAATGACAAGGACGAATCATCACTCAAAAAGTAATTAATAATGCACCAACGTACAGACTAGAATTTTTTCATTAGTATCAGAAACAGAAAGAGAGACCGACCTGTAACTTTGAGGCCAAGAAGGAGTGTGGGAGGCGGCGGGTGCATGCCGATCGTCACCGGCCTCCTCCACGGACTCCCCGGAAGCCAGCCGATTAAGGCCGTACTTCCCGCCGCCGCCGTTGACATCCTTGTTCTCTTCATCGACGTCGTCCTCGCTTTCCACGTAGTTCAAACTCTCGTCCGACGCCGAATTCTTCATTCTTGAGCGAGCGGGAGTCGGGAGTTGGAGAGTGGGAATGGGATGCGGCGCGCCATACCAGAAAAGGAAGGAAGATGTATATATAATACACAATGCCAATTCATTCTTAATTAGACTACTGACTTATTAGCTTGTATTGCCTTACCATTAATTTACCAAAATATATTCACTTCCCCAATTCCCCTTTCTTAAGTAATCAATCAGTAGTAGATCTAATCTAAACTCACGATATTGGATTTCATTCACGGTAGGCCCCACTCCCACTCATAGGCTGAGCTAGGCCATTTTGGCCTTGTCCCGGGACCCGGGTAATTTTTGAAAGAGAAAAAAAAAAATCATACCTACAAGTAACTTAGGGATCGTTTGGATTAGGGAATGTGTAAATGAGGGATTTGGATTAAAATCTCTCAATTAAAAACCCAGATATTTTAAACGTGGGATTTGATCCAAATAACATGTTTGGGAATAGATGAAGGATTTTAATTAAAAATTAAAGTTACAATTATACCCATCCCTAATCCCTAAGGAAGAATAAGAAAGGAAGAACAAAAGGAGGGGCAGAGTTTGGAAAAGAATGATAAAAAATGAGTGATTGTGAAATAGCTGATCCCCATCAGCTATTTTAAAAACTCTCATATGAGAGATTTAGAATTTCCTCATGCCCACAATCTCTCACCTTTCCAAACGCAGAATTATTTTAAAATCCTGCACAACGAGAGATTGTTTTAAAATCACTCATAAATCCCTCATCACATTCACTAATCCAAACGACCCCTTAAGGATGTTATGTCACTATATCACAACTCATTACTTGTTCATTAATTGCTAAAAATTAGTCAATTGCTTCCATTCATGACACTATTATTCGACAACAACTTGTACATGATGAATTATCTCGAGCAACGGTGGAGATGAAACTTTATAAGTCATATATCCGTAAGTTTATTTGCTTATGAAACTAGAAAGAGCATTTTTAGCTTCCGTTGTATTAAGAACAACTTCAAAGTTGGATTAGCGATTAGTTTGCTAATAATTATTTAATGAGATACACTGAAAGATACTTGCTTAAAAGTGTACACAACGAATGTATTTTGCATTTTTTTCGGAATACAAAAACTCGTCGTTGTTGTTTATGCAAAATATAATTGTAATAGTTGATTGTTTCTTTATCTATGAATGAATTATTTGAATATTATTACTTTTAATTATATTTATTAAATTTTTATTAATTATATATTTATATTTTGAAAAGAGGATACAAATAGTTTCTAATCCTGCCTCCGCCACTACTCCCACTCCTACCCTTGGGTATATGCATAATTTGTACCTATTATTGATTCTACACTTTTACTCATATATTTTTTATTATTATTTTAAGACAATCATGCATCCATCGTCATCCTCTTTCACAGGCCATATATAACGAGGAAAACATATGTCAAATTTTTTCGAGCGGTAAGAAAGAAAAGAAAACCCGATGACTCCATATTTAGATTCAATGGTTAAATCTAACAACCGAGCGATCCCGACTTTTTTTATCCAAGACAATGTATTTCTAGTTTGCGGTTCTTGTTGAATCTTTTTCACTGCCAGATATGAAAAACCAGAATAATTCTTTAAAGTAGGCATGAAAAAACTAAATAATTTTTCCCCATATATTTTGAAAGTATATTTACCTAATTTAAATGAAAGTATGAGAAATTAACAATTCGAGAGCCATTCACGCACCGTCCGTGATCTTTAACAAGACATTGCTCATAATACGACAACAACGTAACCTCCGACATAAAAGAAAGGAGCCCATTCATTATTTGTAAAAAAAAAAAAAATTGAAAAAAGAGTTCACTATCCATCAGACCTCACCTCACTGTGATTTGATTTGAAACTCATAATCTCCAAGAGAAATTTGGGAAGGTATATAACTTACGAGAGTTGAACATTGTCCATCTGTTTCAAAATGATTTTTCATTTCTCCTGTTGCAGGATAAAAAATAATAATGCAGTAGTGTATTAGTGTTTATTTTCGCTTTTACTGTTTCCATAGAAAAAAGCATCTCAAATTCCTCAAGAATCCCATGCCGTCCGTAATCTTCAATAAGATGTCACTGATAAGAAGCTTCTCCGGGATTGAGTTGCGTTGCTCATCCTTTCTGGTGGTTCCTTCGGCTTCTTTGCTTGGTTGGGAGAAGGCTTTACGGCGGCGATCGAGGTCGGCCCAAAGAATACGGTAATCAAACATATATATACAGGAGGAGGAGGAGGAGGACTAGACTTTTGCTCTCAAAGATTAGATAGGCAAAAGGAGACTTGATCAACTAGGACTCCGGGGCCGAGGCAATCTAACTAAGAAATCAAAAGAATGTAAACAATATGACATAGGAAACGACACCGTTGAAGGGGCGAGCCGAGAGCCCATTCTTCCCCCAAGGGGCCAAGGTCATGACTCATGAATCATGATCCAATCCATTCATATCACTCACTCCTTGCTGGGTCGGCCACAGTACTCTGTCAGCTCATGTCACTCTTGATTCAATCCATCTATCGTCCAGACTCCAGTCCCTCTCTTCTTCTTCTTCATCGACCTTTCAATCCAAAACCCACGCTTCCATCTTCCAAACACTCGGAAATCCCCATACACCTTCTTCGTCTCATCAGCTTCCGAAACCGCTGTTTCCCAGTTTCTTCTCCGACCACGGCCTGAAGAAATTGCTCCATGTCAGCAGGCGACCACCATCCACAAGAGCTCGAAGCTTCACCGCGGCCAATGCTTTTATCCAATTCTCTGCTCGAGTCCCCTGTTCTCTGGGCTGGCAGGGTTTGCGTCTTCTATGCGCTCTTGAAGATCGGTTTAGCTGGATCCAAGGCTAACCCACTTGTCTCGAGAACAAATTCAATCGAGGGTTTCGTTTCTTATCAGTTTTCTTGCTTTGGTTCATCTTTGTTTGGCACATAGATCAATGTGCTGCGGCTTGATTTGTACAGAGTTGGATGGTGTGGATGAAAGCGGCGGCAGCAGTGGAGCTGGTGATTTGGGGTTCTCTAAGTGGATTGAGTCAATTCAAGGCAAACCAGGTTAGTTGGGTTTTCCTTTTTAAATTTTCTCTTCATATGGTTGGAAGGTGAGAGAGCTGGAACTTCATTTGTGGAGTTATCAAAGTAAAGGTTGCACATTTGAAGATCCTGTACGGGGTTCCCTTAGTGTAACAGTGTGTATACTATAGAAAAATCAATTCGTTGTTGATTCTCAGTTAATGCCAATTTTGTTTGCAAAGCATTTAACTTTTTGGGGCAACGAGTTGAACCAAAGACTGCTATGCAGAGGAAAGGCCAAGCCCTTGTCAAGTTTTCAATGATTATGCTTACTTCCTTGCACAATTTGAGATTTTTATGACCGTAACCACGTTGCATCCCTCGACTCAAGCCCTTCTCCCTTCGGTCAAACATAGGGCTAATATATGTTAGTGTTGTGGTATATGATCCACGATTGAACCTCTTCCAACAACTCGAGTTATTGAGATCAACTGGTTCATGAAATGATATCAGAGCCTTCTGTGATCGAGAGGTCTTGTGTTCGATTCCCGGTGACCCCCATTTGTTAAACACATGGTATTCTTGTCTTCAGACTGACCTGTGCAAACTTCAAGCCCTTGTGAGTGGGTTTTCGTTTGAGGAGGCGTGTTAGTGTTGTGGTATATATGATCCACGATTGAACCTCTCCCAACAACTCGAGTTATTGGGATCAACTGGTTCATGACAATATATTCCCCCCTCTGATCTCAGCTCGTGTCCTTGTACGTCGAAACTGTCAAGTCCGTACGAGGATACCATTTCAGGAGGGCGATTTCCTTTTTCAATTCCAAAAGTATAGGAGCCTATGTAAAAGAAGCTATAGAAGATCACCACCACGGTTCAGGTCCCGACACATGAGGGATTAATTCAGCTGCAAGGATTGTGAATACTATTTCAGTAGCTTAGATTAGTGTGTTAATTAACGGTATCTTATGAAGTGATGTACGTTATGGGTTTATGAGTCGGAGGTCAAATTGCTGTGTGTAATTATACCCCTGTTGAGTGCAGGTTTCTAGTGTATTATTCTCTTAGACAGATTGTTCTACTTAGTCTCAGGGATATTCGCCTATCGATGCATCAAAAGCTCGTAGAGGTGGTAATTAGGATCCAAATCCATGAATCCAATCCAATTTATCCACCTAATCCAATCCATTTAAATCCAATCCGTTTGATCCAAATCCAATTAGATTGGTGGATTCATGGATCAATCCATGGATCCAAATGGCAAATTACGATTTAAATGGCAAATTACGATTTGGTACCTATATTTTTTATATTTTACATTTTGGTGCCTTAAATTTATTTTTTTATACGAAAAATATCATTGGAAAATTACATTTTGGTACCTAAAATTTTTCATTATGACATTTTAGTACCAAAACTTTTCAAAATTTACATTTTGGTCCAAGCCTTTGATGTCATTATTCATGGATCAATCCACCAATCCATTGGATCCAATCCATGAATCCACCAATCCATTTGATCCATGGATCCACCAATCCAATCCACGAATCCACGAATCCGATCCAATTGTCACCTCTAAAAGCTCGTATACGGAAAGAACACCGGAGATGGTTTTGCGTTCTAAAGTCTTCTTCAATGAACAGAACATTAATACTATTATCTATAAGATGCATTAAACAGTTATGTAGGTTATGCATAGGGACCAAGAAGATTATTGTGGACAAGCACCGGTGTATTTACTTTTATGGTAGTTGTTTTGGGATGACAAGCACCCGTGTATTTATATTGTGGACCATTGGTTTGGTGTTCTTGAGCAGATAAAGAAACATCTAACAAATAGAAATTAGTGAGCAAATGGCATCCCATTCCCACCACCAAAGGCACACTCAGGAGGAACTACAGGGTGCCTTCAAAATCTGAAGGAAGACGCCTCCTCAAAGCAGTTGCAAGTTTATTATCCGAGGATGATCACTTCACGGACGCCACTTCCCACAAGGTAAGACAACGACCACAACCCCAAGAATTCATATGTGCCTAATGTTATTCAGCTTTAGATTTACTGTTCTTCTTTGAACTTCACAGGGATGTCAGATTAGGAGGGAGAGTGGACATGGTGAGAGTGTGCGCTGTAGCGACGTAAGGGCTCTCTTCGACGAACTGCCGACCCCTCACCTGATTGTTGAGATCACACTTTTCCCTGTTGGGTCTTTGACTGAGAAGGATTGCCTCAAGGCTGAGAAGCTTGAAAGGGTGCTCACTGCTCAGGTCTGGGCCTTCCGTCTGAAAAGCACTACAATTTTTTGAATATAACCCAACCGTATCATCTTACATACGAAATCCCCTTTTCATCTACGTTACCATGCTGATTTCTAATGATAACTTGACTTTACACGAGAAATGTTTGTTAGTTAAGCAGCCGGATGATGTGAACTCCTCTGATACTCTCAAACATAGAGGTGGCAAACGGATTGGATTGGTGGATCCAATGGATTGCAGATTCATGGATTGAATCAAGTGGATTGGTGGATTATCCATAAATCCAATTGACATCCTCAACTAAGGACCAATATGTAAAAATGTGAAAAGTTTAGGTACTAAAATGTAATTTTCAATGATATTTTTTGTATAAAAAATTAAATTTTAGGTACCAAAATGTAGAATATAAAAAGTATAGGTACCAAAATGAGAATTGCCACCTCTACTCGAACACCTTTTCTATGAAATGTTTCAATCCGATTCCCCGCCTTTATCATTCTCACCCGGCCGTGATCGATATCCTAAACAAAAATGAGCCAAGCCGATGAGCGTTGCTAACTATTCCCACTGATCCATCCTTTCCTTCTTGGAGTTGGCCGCCCTTTTAACAATGGCAAGACTGAGTGATACAGTGCTTATTATAGAATGTAAAAGGCGGTTTGAACTCGGTTGCCTTGCCAGCTGTACGCATGGCACGCCCTAGCGGCCTGCGGGGGTCTCTCGGGTGCCTTCCGTGAGGAAGGAACTGACTAGCTGCCACTGATCCTGGCCTAGCAAGCAACAAGAAAGAAGAGACTTAATTTCGAAATCGTTCCCAAAAAGACGAATGTAACAAATAATCTAATTTTGCCATCCTGAAAAAGTGAAGTGGTGAAAACTATTTTAAGACTTTTAAGCTGATACAAGTCTATATAACACAAGCTTCCTCCTTCCAGAGAAGCCAAATACCCCCAGACAGTTCTAAAACAACGCATTTATTTGCCCCGTTGGACAAGCCGCGTCAAACCTTTTTCCTGCCACCTAGACGCGGTGTACCTTTTTCTTGCCAGCTAGGCAGACGCGTCTGCAACACACATGCACTTTTGCAGGCTGAATACTGCCGATGGACTTCCCATGTTCTTATTGACATGGTCAGATGGCCAAAAGATGCTTAGTAGTTAGTAGTAGTACTTGCCGAAGTCGGCCCGCTGGCAATGGAATTTAGTTGGGCCGACTCATTAAGTCCAGATTGGGGCCTCCAATTAGCCAACTAACCAATTCTTTTGACAATTTTTTTTGTGATGACATAAATAAAGCTATCCTCATTTTCTTAGATCACACAAATACTAAAATCTTATCTAAATGGGGTAGATGCTGGTCATTGTAATTACTAAAACATGCCATGTTTAGTTATTGGAAAAAAAAATATCAATGTCGATCACTCGAATTAGAAAAAAGGTCAACGTTTAGTCACTCACCGCTAGTCTCCGTTAACACCGTCAGCCAATTACTTATATGACTCACAGAAGTGCTGACTCACCAGAGGAAAATTCACCAAAGGATCAAAGCAACTTTTGAAGCGGGACAAGGAAATTTAAGGGACCAATTTGATTATGCTCCTCTTGCTACCCAATCCAGAAAAGGAAGGGCAGATCCGAAGAACCTACCACAACGGGGTAGGGGTGGGCATACAGTTTGGTAAAACCGATCCGAACCTAACTGATATGAATATAAACCAAACCGAAACCGAATTGATGTTATTCGGTTCGAAATTCGGAAGAGAAAAGGGCATATTTCAGAAACCAGGGCCCTTTCGACCAAATCGAATTTCCGAATTCCTAACCGAAAAACCGAATTATTATAATTGCAAGCTCTAAATGGTGGATTTTTATGTTTCTACTTATTATGGATTTTTATGAAAAACCAAACCGAATTACAATTCGGTTTGAACCGACCGAACCGAATTATAATTCGGTTCAAATTTGGTTTGAGGTTTGATAGAATTCGGGGACCCTTTATGCATAATTGTGGTTCGGTTTGAACCGAACCGACCGAATGCCCACCCCTACAATGGGGACTGTCACCAACGAGGCTCAAGACTCGAGGGAGGTTGCTCGAGGTCGATGGAGGCATTTCGTAGCAAGGACGCGACCAGGGCGTCGCGAGAATAGGTGGGAGAGGATGTCACGCGTGGCGAGCGACATGGCGAGTGACGGGGCGTATCATGACCAAGTCAAGCACATGTGGCATTAAGGAAGACTTAGTGGCATAGGATGCTCCTAGGATACCCCATCTTGAAGACGAGCTTAATGGTGCACATAAAGAACCACATTATGAGGTGGTATAAAGGTGTGCATTATGAGGAAAACTTAATAAGGTGTGTTAAAAGGGGAGAGCATTATGAGAGGTATTTACACCTTATAAGAGAGGAGGGCCTATAAAAGGAGCACCTCCTCCTCATTTGTAATCATCCATCATTTTTGTCAGCAATACAACTATAGTGTTTCTCCCATCTTCTTGTGTCTTCTTCTTGTGAGTTAAGTGAGTTTGAAAGCTTGTAAGAAGGTTGCCTAGCATCTCTGACGGAATTGAGAGTTAGGGCCCACGACCAAGAATAAGACCGTGACAGTTGGTATCAGAGCCTGGTTCTATAAAGAAGAACCGGTGTCCTCACTCCCCGAAGATAGAGAAGAAAGAGCGAGAGCCTCACCAAAAATGTTGGGATCAGAAGTTCATGATGATGCTAAGAAGGAGAAGCAACGTGGAAGAGATTCCACAAAGCACTCCAGGCCAAAGAACGCGTTCAGCACTCGTGATCCTATGGCATCTCTAGAGAAGTGTGTCTCTAGAGTAGAGATGAAGATGGCTGAAGATGTCAACGTCATGGAGGATTTGGGAGCTAACTTCACCCAAATCCAAGCTGATGTTCAAGGTGTGGCGGCTAGAGTGACGAGTTTGGAGTAGGGATGGCAATGGGTCAGGTCGGGGACGGATAGTGCATATCCGTTACCCTACCCAAAGTAGTTTGGGTTTTACCCATACCCACATAAAAGACGGGTAGAAAATCAAAACCATGCCCATACCCGTTCGGGTTTCGGATATCCACGGTTATCCATGGGTAATAGTTTCTCTTTATAACTCCAACTAATATGTTAATATTCACATGTATTCCCTCATTACATTAAACGAAAAGTACGACAATTATTCACTAGAATGAAGAAAATTAATTAAAACAACACAATTTTATGAAAATAGTATCTTTATATGCTAAATTTAAAATACGTTAGAGAAAAATATGGTTATTTTTAGACAAAATACATATGTATGTGTATAATCGGGCGGGTTCGGGTTGGATAGTGAGAAAACCATACCCGCCCATTACCCGCAATGTTCGGGTTCGGGTTTTACCCGTACCCACTAAAAGTCTTTCGGGTTCAGGTTTTACCCTACCCAATTAGGTCGGATTCGGGCGGATATCCATGGTTACGGATATTTTTGCCATCCCTAGTTAGGAGGTTGGAAATGAAGGGCTTCGAGAAGAGCTCATGGCCCTAGTGAAGGAGGTGGTTGTTACTGAGATGACCGCCTTGAAGGAGGAGGTTGCAGAGCTCAAAAGCGAGGTGACACTTGTGAAGAGGGTCTTGGATAACAGACCTGTCTTGGCGCAGCCTACCTCAATCATGGAGATTCCAAGACTAAAGAGCTTTCAAGGGTCGAGGAATGCAAGGGAGTTAGAGATGAGAATACCAAGGTAAAAACTACACCTCTTTACTTGAGTGATGTTGCTATGATGTGGTGGAGAAGGACCCAAGGCGATATTAATAAAGGGGCATGCGTGATGCAGTCATGGGATGACTTCAAGAGGGAGATCAAGAGGCAATTCTACCCGGAGAAAAAGTTTGAAGCCCGGTCGAGACTAAGGAGGCTTGCTCACGAAGGAGAGATTCAAGGGTATGTGAAGGAGTTTTCTGAATTGTTGCTCGAGATCCCCGACTACACCGACAAGGAGGCCATGTTCACCTTCCTTGACGGCCTCCAACCATGGGCTAAGTTGGAGCTACAACGGTGAGGCGTGCAAGGTCTTGCCGAGGCAATGGCGATTGCCGAGTCCCTAGTCGAGTACCACCAGCCGGAGGAACGTGTGAAGTTCGGAGGTAATGGAAGTGGACGCGACTATGACAGAGACGCACGAAGGCGTGGTAGACTGAACCAAGGAGGTAGTCATAAGGTTGAGAAACCACTTACTTGTTTCCTTTGTGATGGTCCGCATCGTGTGAGAGATTGCCCAAAAAAGCACAAGTTGTCGGCGATGAAGGTCGCACTAGCAGAGTGCTCAAGCTCGGAAGAGGAAGCAGAGGCGACTCAAAGAGTGGAGCCCCATGTCGCGAAGATGGGTTGCATGAGATTGAGCGCCATCAAGCGGACGGAAGAGCCTTCCCATCCCGAGCAACATGGCCAATGCTTCATAGAGGCGAAGCTCAACCAAAGGAAGACAAAAGCCTTGGTTGATACTGGGGCAAGCTGCAACCTTCTCGACATAGATGATGCGCATAGGCTAGGCATCACATACGAGAAGAAGCAAAGAGGGTGGATGAAGGCTACCAACTCAAGGGCCACAAGAACTCACGGAGTAGCGCGCCAGGTGCCACTCAAGCTTGGAGGATGGACCGGGGTGGCGGAATTTGAGGTTGTGTCGTTGGATGACTATCAGGTCATCATTGGCATGGAGTTCATGGTGCGGGAGAAATCTTTCCCGATCCCCTACGCCAACAGATTCTGGATTGGAGGTGGAGCAAGATCGGTTCCCATGATAAGAGAGCAACCCAAGTCAAACCAGGGGTGTTTGGCAAGACGTGGATTAACGAAAGACAAGGAGGAGCCATCCTCGACTTGCTATGAGAAGCAAGGAAAGGCCACCATGATCGAGAAGGCAGGACACTCCAAGACGCGACGGAGAAGACCGCGGAGGAGTGCACAACTTCATGGGAGCACAAGGCTCAAGAGCGAGCCAAGACCATCCTTGGTTTGGAGGAAGGCGCAACGAGACCTTTCAAGAAATGAAGTTAAGGCAAAGGAGGCGTCTTCCAAAGAGCCACGACGAGGGCGTCGTGGATTGAGTGGAGGTGAATGTCACCAACGAGGCTCAAGAGTCAAGAGAGACTACTCGAGGTCGATGGAGGCATTTCATAGCAAGGACGCGACGAGGGCGTCGCGAGAATAGGTAGGGGAGGATGTCACGCGTGGCGGGCGATATGGCGAGTGATGTGGCGGATCATGACCAAGTCAAGCACGTGTGGCATTAAGGAAGACCTAGTAGCATAGGATGCTCCTAAGATTCCCCATCTTGAAGATGAGCTTAATGGTGCACATAAAGAGCCACATTCCCTATGTTTGGCCCGGCTTTTAAAAGTGCTTTTCGGCTTTAAAAGCCGAAGCAGGGCCAAACACCTCTAAAAACTCGGCTTTTGAAAAGCCGAAAAGCGCTTTTGTATAACATAAATCGGAGCTTCTGCGAAAAGCTGTTTTGAAAATACAAGATTATCCTTACCATATTTTAATTTTATTTCATAACATATATAATTTTCCCTCATTTATATCATTCTAAAAAATAAAATAAATTATAAAATCATATTATTTCATATAAAAGAAATCTAACAAGATCCATTTTGACTACTTTTTATCGTTCAGAATTTTTATTCATATTTTATATTATAAGTCCTTTATAGTCATTTTACACAACCTCTCATATTAAAAAGCACTTCTAATAGTTTTACAACCAAACACTCAACTGCTTTTTTTGAAAAGTACTTATCTAAAAGCTCCAGCCAGAAGCTGCTTCTGCAAAAGCTACAGCATAGCCAAACTAAGCTAATTACGAGGTGGTATAATGGTGTGCATTATGGAGGAAACTTAATAGGGTGTGTTAATGGGGGAGAGCATTATGAGAGGTATTTACACCTTGTAAGAGAGGAGGGCCTATAAAAGGAGCACCTCCTCCTCATTTGTAATCATCCGTCATTTTTGTGAGCAATACAACTATAGAGTTTCTCCCATCTTTTGTGTCTTCTTCTTGTGAGTTAAGTGAGTTTGAGAGCTTGTGAGAAGGCTTCCTAGCATCTCTAACGGAATTGAGAATTAGGGACGCACGACTAATGTGGTACTTGGCTCTTGTTGACTACTCTAGCATGATTTTCGGCCAGAATTAGGACGCAATCAAATGGGTTATTCTTCTGTGTTTTCCGGTCATTCGTTTCCTTTGATTGAGTTATCCGGTCATGGATTTGAAAAATGAAGGTTTTGGTCAAAACCTCGGTTTTACAAAACCATGGATATATGATGGAATTGCCCCCATTTGGTTTTTGGTACAAACCATCGTTTGCTTGTTGGATTTCATGATAAATTTGGCATTATTATATTTGTGCTTGTATTAGGAATGTACCTTAGTGCCCTTATTGAGTATTATTTATATTTACATTATAATTTTTGTTTAAAACAAGTTTCATCCAATAGGTTCGTCCCACTACCACAATCGGAATAAATGAACATCATTAATCAATAACAACATCGTATTATACACAATTATACACACAATTATATTAGACAATTCCTTAAGGTTTTCAATATTACAAAGTATGCTTTGCGATTAATCATGTAGTACTTTCGTGCAATGAATAACAATAAATATTGAATGCAAAATTAATATGCACTTCAAGTTGGTAATTAGTAAATGAAAGAGGATGAGTAGATGATTAGTGAAATAAGTAGGGTTAAAATTGTAAAAAGTCATCATGGACTTTGTACCCCAACACAAATCCCACCTCTTGGGGTGGAATTCTCAAATCCGTGGGATCCACGGATTTGGACCCTAAAAGTCCGTGGGCCCCACGGATTTATTCCTCCTATATCCATCAAACAAACGACGGATTGTGTACAAAGTCCATGATGCTCGATTTTTAAGTACCAAATCAATGATCAATTCCAAGAAGCAAACGAGGTCTAAGTGTCTAGTGGTGGTGACGATGAAGTGGGGAAGGAGATTCGGCCGGTGGAGATTTTGCAATCCTAGTGACTATTCAGCCAGATTAGACCATATTTCCCCTGGGTTCGATGAAGAGCTTTGATGGTTATGGGTGTCATTCATGTTTTTGGACATCGAGTTCTTAAGGGTGTTTAGTGGTGGTGATGACAAAGTGGGGAGGAGGAGATGTTAGTGAGGCGTGAGATAAGAGGGCAAACTAGGGTCAAAATTCAGTGGTCACTTCTAGGAGTGGGCAATGGCGTGGTCCATGCGGGACCACATCGGACTGATTGATGTTTGGACCGGATCGTACCGAATCGAATATAATACGGTTCGATCTTTGGTCCAACAAGTTTTATAAATATGGAAGGAAAATGGACTGAATTGATATTTGGATCTTGACCAAAGAGGACTGAATCGGACCAAATGCACCATTGGTTCGGTCTTTGGTTCTAAGATATCTTTCATTATTGGATCGCGGTTCTCCTGAGTTTGGTATGATCCGGTCCGGACAGACCGGACCGATGCCCACCCCTAGTCACATCCTCCATTGATCAGTGACGACAACGACTCGGTTCATGATAATGAGATGGCGGTGTGGTTGTAGTTGGGAGAGAGGCGAGAGGAGATGGAAGAGGAAGGCAGAGAAGAAATGAGGGCGTCATTGGAAAATGGAAGGAGAGAGAAGGCAGGGAGATGGTGGTAGAGTATAGGGTCGGGTCACAGGTTGAGTTAGGAAAACTGTCGTGGTAGGTTTTGATGATGTGATAGAATTTAATTTTTCCAGGTTAAAATAAGATTATTAGGTGTTTTTGTTAGGCAAGTAAGCAAAAAAAACTACATCGTTAACGGAGACTAACAAAAGATAACGTTGACTGATCGAATTTAAATTAGTTAACTAATTTCCGTAAACACGAATGAAATATTAATATTTTTCGTGCCTGTGAAACTTATTAATAATTAGTATTCCTAATGACCACCACTATACTCACAATAATCCACTTCGTTTAATCTGCTTTTTCTGAGTTGCATATTTGCCTTATCTCAATCTGAGTCATATAAATACACCCTCCACCTTCCCTTTTCTCCTCCACCCCCGAACCTCTGTTTTTCTTCTTAACAAAAAGAAGAAGAAAAAAAACATTTCTCCCAGTCAGTAACTTTACCAAATGAGTACAAACATGGATTCATCGCGGCTGTGGCGGATGGTGCTTCTGTTCGCGGCGGCGCTGCTGGCCGGAGTGGTGGAGTCGGACCTGCAGCAGGACAAAACAGAGTGCGCGTCCCAGCTGGTGGGACTGGCGCCGTGCCTGCCATACGTCGGCGGGGAGTCCAAAGCTCCGACGCTTGACTGCTGCTCGGGACTGAAGCAGGTGATAGAGAAGAGCAGGAAGTGCCTGTGCTTGTTGATTAAGGACCGCGACGAGCCCAACTTGGGCGTCAAGATCAACATCTCCCTCGCCGTTGGCCTCCCAGATTCCTGCAAATCTCCCGCCAACATCTCTGATTGCGTCAGTAAGTGAAAAAAATTCCCCTGGAAATCGATTTGCTTAGTGAGTAATTAATTTGGTTACGGTCCAATTAAATGCAGGTCTGCTTCACCTGAAGCCTAATTCGACGGAGGCGAAGAAGTTTGACGGACTGGATGAAATCATTGGTAAAGGAATCAACGGCAGCAGTACTACTACTGACGGCGGCGGCCCTTCTGCAGCGGCTGGTACGTACCTTTTAATTGTTTTTTGTTTTTTTGTTTTACCATAAAAATGGCTTCTTGAGTCGCGCTAGCTAGCATGCTGAATAATATATGGTGTTGGTTCGGCACCGCCGCACCGGTAGTGTAGTGTAGTGTCATAACTAAAGCACCAAATTCTTTGGTGTTTTATTTTTTTGGTTATTAACTAACTACTGACGCAAAATACACGGTGGTCGTGGGGCAGCTTCGGCGGGCAGCGGGGGCAGAGCAACTGTCGGCGGCGGTGGAAGTAATGAGAACCAAAAGAGCAATGATGGGGGAGATCAGGCAAAGAAAAAGAAGCGAGGGTGGGCAGTTGTCACGGCGGTGGGTGTATTATGGGGATTAATCACGGCCACGGGTTTCTCCTTCTCCTTCTCCTTCTTCTGAGCTACCAACCTAACCATGACAGGGAGGGAAGGGAAGATGACCCGAAATGTTGCAGAGAGAAAGGATATTGCTCGTTGTTATTGTTTGCTGTGGTGAAAATGTACAATACAATTGTATTGTGTGTTGTTGAATAATTGGTTTGTCGCTGTGTCCATTAAATTATGAGAGTGGGCAACTTCCCAACGGTAATATTGGTGGCAGATGATGGGTGAGAACTGGGAAGCCAGAGCTGGTGTGTTATAAATGCGCAGCCACAAGCCCCCCTCTTTAACACTCTGCTCCAGCCACGATGAACAGCACTGAAATCTATGATCCATACCATGGGCACCACGATTTGCCTAGATTTTGCATTGACAAGTTAGACTTATCATCTATATACCGTTATTCAACAGGGTAACTCTGCATATAAGGTCATGTGAATTGTGAAACTATTAGCCATTTGTGGTATAAGATATCCAAATGTCTCAACCAGTTTATTTTTAGCCTAATTCTAAATAAGATAAAGTAGAACAAGGTCAAGGCTTAAAATAAAATTGAATGAGATGAAGACCTAAATTAGGATAAAATGAACAATACTCTGCCCTTTCACATTTATGATCTAGCGATTTCAATAACCACCTTCACCTCTTCTTTTTTTGTCAATAGCCACTCGTATTAACGAGAAACGAACAATAGTGTACAAGAGGGTTAAAAAGAACAAACCCAAGACAAAAAATCAAACGACACATACCCAGAAGAGTAAAGCTTTCCTCACCACACTATGGACAACTCTATTAACATGACGATACACAAAATTAATGCGAAAGCCTAACTTAGACGATAATAATGGTGTATTTTCTTTAACACCGTCCCACCCTTGCACATCCCACACTTGACCAAACTTACCTTTTGGATGAGCACTTGAGCTTAATCCTAAATAACAATTTTAGATATTCCCATCTCCTCACACGTATAACTTAAGGGGTCGTTTGGATGGAGAATTTGTATGAGTTATTTGAGTTCCCAAATAAGTCACAATGAGTTATTTGACACAAATAACTCGTTTGGTAGCATTTTACTGAAATGAGTTATTTGGACAGTGAGTTATTTACAAATAACTCAAAACGAGTTATTTCAAATAACTCGTACCCATGTGTTATTTCGAAATAACTCGTTTTAACACTCTACTTTTACCAAATACCACATGTCAAATATCACATTTGCATGGTTCAACCAAACGAGATACTTTATTTCAATTACCACTGAAATAACACTAAAATGTCATATGGACAATAAATAAATCATCTGACTTTACAAATAGCACATTGACAATTAACCCATTCAAATGAACTCCAATCACAATTGAATCATAAATACATGGAATACACGGGCCGCTATAAGCCAACTAGTCCCATCAACAAAAGCGGACCCAATCGCTCCATAAATCATCGGGCGCTTAGTAGTCTCATTATTAATACTGGACGGCTAAACGTCGCCCTAGTTTTATTTTTATCGCCCTAATTTAAAACATCAAATTACTAAACTAACCTTAACTAATAAAATAAAAGTACAAAACAAACGACCTAAAATCCCTAATAATCCTCCTTCATCTTCTTCCAAAATTGCATCGTCGGCCTCCAAACCACCTCCGCCGCCGAGGCTTACTCAATAGTCAATACTTGATCAAAACACTAATTTTGATTCACCCAGAGAATAAGGAGTCGTTTGGAAGTTGTGATTGTTAGAATTGTGCTTGTTGAATACATGTATTGTGCACAATACAATGTTTGGAAGTGCTAAAATGTAAAACAATGCATACATTGTTTTAGGTAGGTCCCACCAACAATCACAAAAAATGATGCATTATACAATCTCAACTAAAAGTTGTGATTGTTGTTCTTAGATTTTTGTCAACTTTTTCTTTTCATTTATATCCCTAATAGTTTTTGTATTATACTAAAAGTTGAGGGTAAATATGACATTTTCCCATAAAAGTAACTTTATGTAAATCAATACATAAAGTAGAATCTCAACAACCAAACAATGTATTGTTAAAATGCATACATTGTATCAATACATGCATTTATATTGTGGTGATTCATTACAATGCAACGATTTAACATTCACAACTTCCAAACCAACCATAAGTACTTGATGCAAAGTGGATTCAGTAATACCGCCTATCGGAGCCCATATACTTTTGATTGTTGAGTTATCGATCAGAATAAGGGGCATAGCTTCCCATATCAAGTCCGTTGATGGCGGCGATGATTCCAATGGCGGTTTCGGAAGCCAAAGGTGAAGATACATGGTACGCTTGTTCCTTGGTTAATTGGGGTTGCCCATGAAAAGATTTTGTGTAACTGTAGGTGATTAAAAAAGTTAATCGGCGATTGGATATTTGAGCAGAACAGTCCTCGTTCAAATTAATCTGTGTCGGCCGGCGGTGGAATGAGTGATGACATGTAAAGTTTTTTTAATGGAATGTGTTAGAATAAAATATTTTTAATAGTAAAAAAAATCAGGGTAAAAATGTCATATTGAGTTTTAATTTAGGACGATTCATAAAAACTAGGGCGATGATTAGCAACTCCCTAATAATAACCACCTTCACCTCCCACAAATATAGGCGTAAGCCATTTTTTAGAAGAAAAAGAAAGTTCCCTAAATTGCAGGGCCCAATAATCTGTAATGGTCCAAAAAGTCTAAGCCCAAAAGGTACTCGGAAAAACTTGCGAAAGGCCCAAAAATCCGCGGCCAATAATGATACAATCTTTAACGATACTACGATATAGTTCAAACTAGATTAGGGCCGGCCTTTTGGTCGGGAGAGTTTGGTTTTCATGTGTATGTGTAGTAAACATTGAGGTATATTTTTTTTTATTTTTCAATTTGTTGGGATTGAAGTAACTATTTAATTTGGTAAGTTCTCCATGAATAATATAGGAAAGCATTTAATGTATTTGACTAATGAAGTTTAAAAAATGACAAACAACGTCGAACTACACTAACATAACTACATATTTTCAAACAAAGTCATATCTATATAAAAATATCTGAGAAGAACAATGATAAGAGTTGTTTTACATCACACATACATAATCAATCTTCAATATACGATAAATTTTTTTTGCCTTTTCCATTAACTTTCGTGTATTCAATGATATAATGAAACAAAGTATATATTTAGAGTGTCCTTAAAAAGAAATAAACTAACTAACACAGTCATGATTCCATTGACTTTAGTGTATTCAATGATATAATGAAACAAAGCAAGCAGATGTCCAGCTGGCAAGTTCAACTAATAGAGCAACACATAAAAAGCTAAATCAAAGCGAAAAGAAGGCAAAAACTAAAAGCAACATACTTAACATTTTGGGGGGAATCCACAACAATAAAAGTCATTGTATGAACACTTGATAATGATTTGAACACTTGTGATATATGAGTAGTGAAAGTTAATAAAAGTCATTATAGCTCTTACTCAAGTTAGAAAGACTTTGATTTAATGGTAAGTAAACAATGATATGTAGTGCTTAAGAGGGAAGATGAGACCTTACATTGTTTATTAATATGCATCTTAGTTTCATAAATTTTACATCATTAAAAATTTATGTGCTGAATAGAAACCCATCCGAGTTTGGAGCCATTGTCAAATGTAAGTTATGAGGAAAATGAAAAGTCTCAAGCATCCACATGCTTGAAAAATAAATCTATATTATCAAACATAAAATCATATCTTGCATAAGGAAAAAGAACAAAAAAAATAGTAATTCGATAATCAATATAGGAATCAATATGGACACAATATCTAACCAAGAGAAGAGGAAGCGGAAAAACACAAATTGTTGTGTATAGATTCCGCTCACGAGATTTCAAAGTGAAAAATATCATAAAAATTATTAACCAATAAAAGGGAACGATAAAGGGGAAAATGCATCAATTTGAAACTAAATTGAGAGGAATTAATATTATACACCATCATATATAATGATATATTACATCCCATAACATCATCAAAAAATCTATCTAAATGAAAAATTATACTAAATTGAATCCAATGTAAAAGTAAAGATGAAGATAGATATTATATCCACCTAAGGAATAATAAAGTAAGCCATGTTTCTAGAGACCTCTCTCGATAGAACCACTCTATTATAAAAACTCATTTTGTCAAACAATTGCATCATATAGAGTTTTAACTTAAATTTGAAGGGCTTATAATTAGTTATTTCAGCTCACGAATGAATTAATTATATCATTTGGTAAAAGAAAATAATTTATAAACTTGAGAGTTATTTCGTTTGTTGTTAAATCATTTGAACTAAAGTATGAAAGTGCTTCAGAACCGTTATTTTATTCATTATTATTAAAATTGCTATTTTTATTATAATGTCTAAACATGTCTAGGCGAGCTAGGAGATAGACAAATGCCTAATGACCGTCGTACGCCTAACGTGCTGCTAAGCCTCAATAATTATAACAAACTTTGAGTGCATCTTATAAATTTGATCACTTCTATTTTGGTATAATTGATTACATCATGAAAGCGATCAATCAAAGAGTCTTTCTTTAAGATTTTGATAAGATGTCCCCTACTGTACAATTAGTATGACTAAATTGTAATAAGATAATCATGTATTGAATTTGGAATCGATAGCGCAAAGTATTGTACTAACTCAAGTAGAGTTTTATCTACTCATTACTTCATATTCACATGTAGATAGCTATTTCGAAGAGTTAGAATATTGATTGAGTTTGTTGAACTTTACCTAACGAAACTATGATATCAATCGCAAGATATTATGCTTTTTGGAGAAATTGGGAGAATATGTTGGTGATTTCAAACCTAACATGGATAGCATTGAATTTAAGTGATAAGCAACATTTATGTTTAATAGATTAGACATGAAAAATATATTTAGCATTCTCATAAGTTGGTATGAAGAAGTGAATAATTAGGAATTGAAAGCTAGAAACAAAGTTGATTTAATAAATAACTGCAAATGATATTGTGAAAAAGAAAACAAATGCTTAGAGCATAGCTAGGCATGAGAGTGCTACATTAAACCCTCTAAGAGAAAGCAAGTAACCATTAATAGTTAGTTGTGGATATTGAAATAGTTAACTATGATGCAATAAGTTTTGATTGTTTTTTTAGATTGTTAAAATAAATACATTTTTCATAAGACAATACATCTTTTTATTTTTTTCGTACACAATCGTGAATTATTTGCTTGATTTGACTAAACTATCATTCAAATTGAATGATTAAACAATTTCGAATTTTAGCATAGACTGTCGAGATAATTGCTATTAGTGTTTGTCATGTTTATATTTCTTGAAATGTATTGTATGATACCATTGTTCTTATGTCGTCATTGAACACTTCAATTCAATGCGCAATATTCAAACCAATGATATTTGTGTTGAGATTTTAAGATTATGCTTCATTTATAAGTTAGAAAAAATTATAAATTAATTATTAAAATATGAAAATAGAAGTATCAAACACCACAGAATACTTATAGTAGACTTAGCGGGCTAACTAACCGTGATAGAAAAGTACTTTGTTTTTCATAATTTTAACTTCCTATATGTTTTGTATTAATAAAGTATAACAAATGTGTGTAGTTTAATTGGTTACAATTCTTGTCTTTGGTGGAAGAGACCGTGGTTCAAATCCTAACATTGATATCTCGTGATAGAAAACTCCGCCACCGGCTCACCAACACTCTCTCCTCCCCGCACAAATCTCTTCACTCTCCCCCCTCGCGTTTCTGCGTCAACAAAAGCTCCCAGCTTCCGCCAACAATGGCGCCTTCAATCCCCTGTTTTGACCTGGGTCGCGCCATTCTCTCTCTATTGGTCCTCACCCTTTCTATTTCAACAATCCAAGCCCTCTCCAGCGACGACCGAGGAGCTCCTCTTCCTTCTGTCTACGAAGTCCTCCCCAAGTACGGTCTCCCCAGCGGGCTTTTGCCCGATTCGGTGGTCTCCTACACGCTCGACGACGATGGCAACTTCGCGGTGTCTTTGGCGAAGCCCTGTTACATACAGTTCGATTACTTGGTCTATTACGCGGAGAAGATTACTGGGAAACTGAGCTACGGGTCGATCACGAATTTGGAAGGGATTCAGGTCCAGAAGTTCTTTATCTGGCTCGATGTTGACGAGATTAAGGTCGATTTGCCGCCTGCCGATTCGATTTACTTCCATGTTGGCTTCATCAACAAGAAGCTTGACGTTGACCAGTTTGAGACTGTGCATTCTTGCCGTGATGGGGTCTCTGGTGCGTCCTGTAAACGGTTCTGGGAGCGGGTGATTGAGGTATTAGAGTTCTGATTTTGCTCTTCTGATTAAAAATTGCTTCTTTCGACTGGGGTGTGCTCTGAATCAGTTGTGTATCATTAGATTACGAATCTTTCGCTCTTGACAATTGGTCGTATACGATGAAAGATAAATTCTCATTCTATTTGGCTTGAAGTGTTGAGATGTTTAAGGAGAATGCGGCATTACTTTGTCTATGTGACCCTCTTAGAAGGGTATTGGCTTCATTAGCTCCACATTGATAAGCGATTTCAAAGCTATGTGATGCAATTAGTCCCTCACGTGTTTTCAACCCTCTATTTTTTATGTGGGGTTTGGGGAATTGGTGTCGAGCATCGAGCCCACGCGTCATAAGCCTAGAGTATTTACTGCCCGGTCATACTTCTTCGCATCATTCAAGTTCAAGATTAGTGTTGAAATGTGGATCTTCTGAACGGATCCTCCTCTGGGTGGGTAGCATCTTAAATCACCGTACCTTATCTGAAAATGCCAATACATTGGTATGCCCTCAGATGATCTTTTGGGCCTCCTGAAATGCTTTTGGTTCTGCAATTCACTCAGCAGTAGCTTGGTTTGTGTTCCTTGAACCAGCATTCCGATTTAACATTATTGTGTTTGCTTGTTTGTGCACGCTCTATGATGTAGTTATGGTTGATTAGCTCCCTTTAGATGACAGGCATTTTGTGATTCCTTCCATTCTTGAAAACCCATCCTAATCTGACACTTCCTGATCATCGTCTTGCAGCTTCCAGCACCAGTGGTGAATGAGACTCCATTGCTTATTACGGAGTAGCACCTGCAGCAGGCAGCATTCTCTTGTGAAGGAAGAAGTGGAGCAAGGGGGTGAGTTAGTCGTGAACGAATAAAGACTTTTGTAGGTGTCTAGTGGTCATCTAAAAGGCCAATACTTCAAGGAGTCGGCGAAATGGTATGTGTACATATTACTGTAGCACTATGGAGACTCTACTACGTTGATTTTCCTGCTGAAAGAAAGAGAGAGAAGATGATGTTATCTACTTGCAAGAGGCCCTTGTTTCTAATCAAGAACCTTACTTTTGATGCCCCCTTGATTCAACTCCAAGCAACAGCAGCAGTAGCAGATTTTTTTTTTTTACAATTATCAAGCCCTAAATTTACCTAAATATCGTGGGTCTTGCACTTTTGTACCTCAACTTAATGAATGATGCAAACTAGTCCACATCCCACTTGCCACCATAGTAATTAGTAAAATTGTTTAAACAGGATTGCTCTCTTAATCCCACTTGGCAGACGTGTGGGACTCAGAAAGGAAACTCTCCATCAATCATCATCTTCTTCTCTTGCGGGCCCATGATGGAATTCCACTGATCCTTCCTTTGCAGAACGAGAAATTTTGTGTGTATACTACTAACCCATGCTCAGGCGCTAACAGCAAACTGCCCCTTACTCGAATGTTATTGTGACTTTAGGCCACTGCAAGTCCCACAACGCTCTTCAGCCCATCCCAGGGGACCCTGCTCTCGTCATTTGCCAAGTGGCGGATTATGAAGTCGCTAGTGATAACCTCCATAGTCAGGTTTGTGACACTAGGACTGACACTTATTTTTGTTCCTGCCCAATCGAGGGCGAGGCAACAAACACACTCCTAGATATCATCTCTTCGGACTGCAGCATTTGGTCAAGGCACTCAAAGAACCTAATCAAAGATGATCATGGTGATGTTATGCTGTCCTTTAATCCTTGACATAGAATTCTGGTTCTTCCAGCTGGACCAGAGTGTCACTCCTTTCTGTAATTGTATTGCATTCTCGACATAGTTAGAATAAGAGAATCGGTCATATCAGGGGAAGAAAAAAATAACCATGGGTGGGCGCCTCCCTGAGAATCTGAAGCTTAGAGTCCATTGATGGACCACCATATAGTGATAACAGCTGCCTGCTCCCATGGATCCTCAACCGTCAAAGTCTTTCTGGTATTCTTCATTTTGTCAGCTATAGATCTATGATCTGCAAATTTAGAAGTTTAGTGATTGATTTATTACTTTCCAATGCTTAAGGTCCGTTTGTCTATTTATAATTTTCCGTTCGTCTTTTTTTAAACACAATAAGTAGTAGCCGGCATGGGCGGCCGAGAGTAACATCAACTATGTGTGAATGATCCGTTGAATGAATGAACCGATGCCTTTGTCCTTTACAATAGTTTCTTGTTTGTTTGACCTGTTAGCTGGTTGGAGTTCCTCTATTCAGACATCACAGGATCATTCTATTGTCTTCCACCAGCCGAGTCCTCCCCTTTCTCTTCTTTCCCCGCCTCCAATGTACAATAGGAGGTGATCATAGGAAACCTGCCTGCTGATTGTGTTCTGGGAAGAAAACTAACAGACCTCTCACAGAAAACTGATCTGGTGAGAGGTACTTGATGTCATCCTGTTCCCAACTCGTTTGAAGCTGTAGTTCCTTGGTAACTTATATATTCTGTTTCCTCTGTATAAGATGAACTAGCTAGACAATATTTTGATTATATGATCATTGATCAATCCCTTATGTTTGTTTCAGGATCAGCTTCAGGCCCTCGATGCTCAGTTACTGATCGAACAGCGATTTATTTCCTTAATGAAGAAATCATAGAACTCTTAGGAAGGTAACTTTCTCCAGCATTTCCTTGATACTTTTACATAATTTCTTGGTTGATGGGACTGGCTTGTAACATTTTCCATATTGCTTTGTTTCCTTTTGCTGCTTGATTGCCCCTTTTCAATCTGTTCTCGTAGTGTCCTCACACATTCTAGTGGGAAGGAGGGGGGGAAAAGAATGGCATCGTCTTTGGCCGAGTTGCTTCAAGAGGATGGCTTCAAAGGAAGAAGATCAGGGATGAAGGCAAGAGCCTCTTTCAAAGCAGAAGCTGCTGCAAGTAGCAGGATGCATGGAGAGCGACAGAGCATGGATTCTGTACCTTCTAGGTCTAGAATAAGAACAGAAAGGGCAAGCTCTGATGTAAATCGTTACAATTCAAGAGGCGGCCAATCTTCAGGAAGTAGTGATGCTGGTACAAGCACTAGAAAGCCCCACGGTGGGGATTATGTTGCTAGTAGATTCAAAAATGATGAAGAAGAAGGTAACTGGGACAGAATCCACAGACGTTCTAGCAAGCCAACGTATCAAGAAATAGTTGAGGTTGGTAAGGAAGAAGATGATGATGGCAGAATTAAGAACATATATTCCGATATGGTAAAATATGCAGCCCGTAGTAGTAGCCATGGTAGTGGGAATAGCTCATATAATCATGGTATAAGAGCTCGAAAGGATAGCGAAGCTGATAGGAGGAGGAGGCCTGATGAGAATGCCGCTCTTGAAGTTGCTGGTTTTGCACTCGATGAAGTTGCGATCCAAGCCATGGTCTCTATCTTGAATGGATACATTAGACGTTTCTTCAAAGATGTCGAGTTCCGGAACATGGTACGTTACAATTGTTTCTCCTCGTTCAATTTCAACGAGATCGAAGAGATTGACAGCATCGAGAGGAAAGTCATTTCCAGTTTCGAGGAATCCGTTTATACAGTGGAGAAAGCAGCAGCTAAGGAGGAGGAGGAGGAGGATTTCACGAGTGCGAAGGATCTGAAGAAGTCCGCGTTGCAGCTCAGTGTCATCACAGGCTTGAACTCAAACGAGCTAAAAGATGGTTACACATTCGGAGTTCCCAACTCGAGATTGTCTGCCTGTGCACATTTCTACCTCAGTGCTGTGTACAAGCTGCAGAAGAAGGACAGAGTTTCAGCCAAACATCTTCTCCAAGTGTTCTGCGATTCGCCATTTTGGGCACGAACAGTTTTGTTGCATGACCTGTGGGACTATCTATTGTTTCCCCATCTTTCGCATTTGAAGTTGTGGTATAATCATGAGGCAGAGTCTCTACCGAGCACACCAAGCAAGATACGAAAAGTTAAACTCCTTGACAAAGTTTACAATGAAACTATGGATTCTGGTACTTACCAGTTTTCTGTCTACTACAAGGACTGGCTCACTGAGGGCATTGAAGCTCCTTCTGTTCCTTCTGTTCGTATACCTTCATTTTCAAGTCAGAGTCTGTCATCACAAGGGGGTTCCAATGATCATTCTCCGAGAATCTCCGAAAGTGGGGATCATGGAGGAAGCTCTGTAAATGGTGCTAGGAGCTCTAATGATTCTGGTGTTCATGTTAAAGAAACACTAACAACGACATTCTCGTCTGAGATGGGAAAGGATGGTGAATCCCTTCGTGTAAGTATCCTCTCTTGTCCTACGTATCTTCTTTTCTCCAGGATCCCAAATCTTATCGTGTTTCTGCAGGATCATGGGCCATTGTCAGCATCTGAGGAAGAATGGAAATTGGCTGGGGCCAGAGAAGAACAGGAAATCGATTCCAACGGTGGAATGTATAGTTCTCAAAAGTGGCAAGATGCTACTACCCGTGGCACTGCTCATGTATTAACTGCATCTCCAGAGTCTAAACCAACAAATGAGCTAAGACTCAAAAGTCTAGCACAATCTGTTTTCGGACTGCAACGTTTTGACGAGGCTAGTGATCTCACTGTATGTTCCTTTCCTGGCAACATCAAGATTTCAAGCTCACTGTCATTAAACATATAAAATCCATTCTTTTTCGTTCACTTGTTGCTAGTTATATAGTTGCTTATAGCTTCTTATTTTCCCAAGTGCAGGTGTTGAATCCAAGGGCTGGTTATGAATTAGATTATGAATATTATGAGGAAGGATCATTCTACGCAAGCATCCCTCAGGACTTTATCTGTCCCTTAACTGGAGAGTTACTTGAAGACCCAGTGACTCTGGAAACTGGTCAGACATTCGAGAGAGAAGCGATTGCAGAATGGTTTGATCAGCAGGGAAACCGAACCTGTCCAGTGACTGGAAAATGTTTAGAATGTGTGAACCTGCCACTTACTAACTTGATTCTGAAGCGCATCATTCATAACTGGAAGCTGGAACATTGTAGTCAGTTGTTGGCTTTAGCCTCCGAGATCATTAGAACCTCAAGAGAAAGCGAGACGAGGCAAAGAGACGAGACAGCTATATTCATATTGGAGAAGCTCATGACAACTTTCAATGTAGAGGAGAGAGTGAAAAATGCCATACACCTCGTCTCTCTTGGAGGCTTGGAGTTTCTTATCAGAAGGTTTGCACTTGGAAATGTGGAAGAGAAATCGCGTGTTGCATTACTTCTGTCGTGTTGCATTGAAGCTGATTCCGATAGCAGAACCCTCATCGCTGGAAACATCGATAAGCAGTGCCTCGTTGAATTACTTCACAGCAAGCAGCCTGACTCCAGACGAAACGCAGTTTCCCTTTTGACCGAATTGGTTTGTCTGAGCAGGTACACATTCTCTTCTTGTTCTCTGAGAACTCTCATAAGTTTTCCTTTTTTGCTTCTTCCTATTGAGACCCCCATATGGTTGCTTCAGGAGGAGAGATGTTACGTGGTTCCTGCGAGACTTGGAGAGCGAAAAGATAATGAGTGTAATGCATGTGCTGCTGCTTCATCTTCAGAGTTCCTCAGTTGAGCAAAAGCCCTCCATTGCCGCACTGCTATTGCACTTGGATCTTCTGGTATGCTCTCAAATGCACATGAACAATGTTGTAACATCTGATTGTTAATTAGATTCGCTGTTTTCTTGGAGCTGAAGGAAGTAGTCATGGTTGTGAGCAGGTTGAACCTCAAAAGTACAGCATATACAGGGAGGAAGCAGTTGATGCCATAGCAGTGGCCCTCGAATGCAGCCTAATCGATGACAAAGTCCAGGAAAGTACTTGCAAAGCACTTGTCATGTTAGCTGGTCGGTTTTCTGTCACAGTCGGGCAGTCGTCGTTGATAGAAAATTGGGGTTTGAAGCAAGCTGGCTATAATGTGAGTACTACATCTCCAAAGGAGAACTCTGGAGGACAAATATGTTTCGATAATTCTTTCTGTCAGGTATTCCTACATCGCTAGTTTCATTATTTCGTTGAAGCTTATTATGGTAGCACCTGAACGGTTTGTAAGAAGATTTGTGGTTCGAAGACTATATCTATACCACTGTTCTCTATAAACACGACTGGTATATTTATGGTTGCAAGTGCGGTCTTTAACAACGAGGTCAAATGTAACGAATCTTTTGGGTCGTCATAGCTATTGCAAATCTATCTTCTTCCGACCAGTTACCAGTTGGTAAAGTTGATTCCCTTGTATTGCTATAACCAGTGGCTCTTCATTGGGAAAACACTTCTATGTGATCTCTGACTTCGCTCATTGTTAAAGAGTGACTGGTTCTATAGTATTAGGAAGGATCCATGTGTTGCTCGATATTCAGTAAGTGGTGGTAGGAAAATCGGCTGATTCGAAATGTTTGATTTGTGATATAGGAAGAAGAGGAGGAGGAGGAGGCCGGGGAAGAGTGGTTAAGGAACTTGGCAGCATTGTTGCTCAGCAACGGGAAGAAGTCATTCTTGGAGTCCATTTCACAATGCTTGAAGTCACATAGTAAATCGGATTTGGTGAGAGTATGCCTAACCACCGTAGTGTGGTTGAGCTGTGCACTTTCTTCTGAATCGGATGCCGAATTTCAGCTCTCTGCGTTCTCTGCCCTTATCTCTGGTCTAAAGGACCACTTGGAGAATGGGGAGCAGATAGAGCACAAGGTCCTGGCTTGCACTTCTCTGCTGAATTTCAGTAGAATTCCAGGTTAGTGCTGTTCTCTTTGTTCTTGCTTGCATGGTGAAGCTTCTGCATGTTCAATGGAACTGAACCTGAGTGCCTTGGCACACAAACTTCTGCTTGGGTTGGTTTTCACAGAGTGCAGGGTGATGTTAAGTAGGATTGCAGAAGACATTGGCGGTTCACTTCGAAGCATGTTGGGGGTAACATGGGCAGCAAAACAGCTCTATTCTACCATCTCTGGAGAATTTGCATAGCGTATCTTGTGAGAGCAAAATCAAACACTTGAAATCAATGGATCTTGTTTAACAGTCACTAGCTAGATAGACGAAAGTAATTGTTAAAATGGCTGATGAGACTAGCATGAAGTATAAATCATCCATCAAACGTGAAATATACTACTGACGGTGATGTAGAGACCTCTGTGGTAGTGCAAATCTGGTTTGCTTTGCCTTGGACATAATTTTTTTGGATAGTTCATGCACATTTGTATATGGTACCATGACATCTTTCGCCATTCCCTAAGATCTCTCTCCATATATTCATATTTTTATACACGCAGATCCATTTGGAAAGTATAGTCTTGCCTAACTTCTTCACTCGACATAATCTACTACCAAATCCTGCATCCATGCGTTGCCGCCTCTACATTGAAAATAATACTTTTAACAAATACATATTAATACCATGTTTTTTATGGTTAATAAGTGGTAAGGGATGTTCACTTCTTTTTTTTTTAAGATTTGTACAATAAACTAAACAAAAAATAAAAGCTCACACAATATAATATTCAATTGTCTGAATCGATAATTGAAAACGTAAGATCGGTTGAAGAAAGTGTGTGTTCAACCACATATAACACCATGTTGAAGCTACTGTGTCCAACTCTAATCAAAATACTACATTTCTAAGCTATGAGCCTATGCGAGTAAATTGGATTTGAAAGCCAATCAGGGCGCATATACGAAAATATGAATCTATGGAAAAAAAATGTTATTTGAATAGTTGGAAAACTCACAGATTGTTAATCGATTAAAAATGTAAAATGGATCGTCAAATTACATGATTGAAATAGCATGATCAGCCGATCTCTAGTTGAATATCCCGAAAACTCACAAAGAATGTGCATCTATAAGAACTAAAAAATGAGAAACGTATCAGTGATATATACATGAGCCGAATATGCATGATTGGTCGGTTCTTAGTTGAGTAGTAAAAAATATATAAAAATATGGATAACGCATCACCAATATACACGTGATCGGTCGGCTTTTAGATTGAACAATCGAAAAACTCAAATGAGAACAAAACTATCGATTTCAAGATAACAAAACCAAAAATTGATTAAAAAAATAGAAATAAAAAAGAGGAGTTCTCAAAAGTTCTCATATGTGATTAAAAGAAATGGGAAAAAAAGAAATGAGGTAAATACGTGTTCACTTGTAAATGATAGAAAAATAAAAATTATACAAAAATATGTGATCTTAGGAGTCAGGCTGTAGTACTTCTGGATTATAGTATACTACAGGTACTGCTAGTGAGATATCACTATCTAGACATTCAACAAAAAAAAATCATTATCTAGACCATGAATTGAACTGAGTTTGAAGCATGATATTATACCTAACTTTTAATGGATAAGCCCCAGGCCCCGATTCTGTAAACCCAAAATCGAAGTTCAGTTTAATAGAAAGTAATAATTGACTGTTGAGATTGATCAAAACTCATCGAAGTGCATCTAATTATTAGATCACCTGAATATGTTATACTACTAGAGCATACGAGTCATTACTGTGGTCTTAGTATAATGCCAGTAAAGTTCACGCAAATTATAAATAACTATCTTAATGAATATTACCATAAAACTCAACCTTTTATATTTGAATATTTATAATATGTTATATACATTAAAAACTCTTATTTTCTTCCTTGATTAGAGTTTTCCTTCTATTTCCGGAAAAAATCCCAAAGTACACTAGTTTTTAAAAAAAATTCCCAAAATACATAAGTTATAAAAAAAATTCCAAAAGTACACATGTTTGAGCATCACCGTTTTAAACAAAAGCGGTGAAGGTCATCACCGCTTTTGACCAAAACGGTGAAGGTCATCACCACTTTTGACCAAAACGGTGAATACTTCACCGTTTTAAACTAAAACGGTGATGTATTCACCGTTTCAAACTAAAACGGTGAAGGATTCACCGCGTTTGTTAACCGTTTTAGACTTCCACGGTGAAGGCGCTGACGTGGACTAACGCGGGGTATTCACCGCGTTAGACAAACACGGTGAATACCCGTGTTTGTTTGCGTCAGCGATCCGCGTCGCTGGCGCGTTCACCGTGTCCGTAGGATGCGGTGAGGCGCGGATCGTGGTTTTCTTTCCAGATCCGACGCCTCACGCTGAGCCACGTCGCTCGATCCGCGGTATCTCACATCCAGCAAGAGGTGGAAATCAATGACGAGACACCGGAAGAACAAGTCGAGCGCTACGCCCGCATCTACCTCATCGGTTTGGTGGGTGGATTTTTGTTCCCCGACAAGTCCAACCGGTGGATTCAAGGCATATGGTTGCCATTGCTCACCGGTGACTGGGATGCAATTGGAGAGAAGAGTTGGGGATCGGCCGTGCTAGCGGGCGTATACTGGGAGCTGTGTACTTGCTCGAAGGTTGGGGCAAAGCAAGCTGGTGCTGCGATGTTCATCGTTCAACTGTGGGTATGGGAGCATCTTCCAATGTTCGCACCTCTCGACCCACGTCCATACCGGAGAATCGATGATGAGCTCAACCTTCTGGAAAATCTCCCCTACGGTGTCAAGTAAGTTTATTTCGTACTTAGCCCAATTTAAATTTTATTACATGCTTGAGCTAGATTTAAATTTAATTTATTCCGTACTTAGCCCAATTTAAATTTGATTACATTAGCTAGATTTAAATTGAATTTATTCCGTACTCAGCCCAATTTAATTTTGATTACATGCTTAACTAGATTTAAATTGAATTTATTCCGTACTTAGACCAATTTAATTTATTATATGCTTAGCGATATTTCAATTAAATTGATTCCGTACTTTTACTTACAAGGTGGATAGGAGCAAATACGAATGACCATCAACCTGAGCATTCGTTACTGTTTTATCGTTCTGAGTTAGATAAATCATGGTGGAATCAGGTAATCATGTTTTGTCCATATTTGAACAAGTTCAATTTTATCAAAGTAAATGGTCGTTAATTCCGAATTTTTGAATGAATATAGGTTATATGGGATCCATATCCACGTGAAGTGGTTGAGCTGCATCATCTTAGGCACCCTCTGGATCACGAGACGTGGTTGTGCAAGGTGCCATTGATCTGCTGGCACATTGTGGAATGGCACCTACCCGATCGATCCCTGAGGCAATATCGAATGGAGCAACCAATTCCACAAGACCCGCCAGCAGGTTTCAGGGAGCTACATGCTATGGACCTCCGAAACACTGCAAACTGGCAGCTAAAGCATGGATTCTACATCAACATCTGGGAGAATCGATCCCAATGGGTGGTGCAAGGGATGCCGGAGACGAGACCGATGGGCTACCACGATGGGTACATGCAGTGGTATCGGAAGTTCACCCTGAGATGGGTGTCAAAGCAAGGTGCTGTGATGGGTTCGTTGGTAAGTCATCCTAATCTCCCTCATTCTAAAATATATTTATTTTAAGGTTTAGTTAATTTGATATATTTTGTGCTTTCCTTAGGTTGATGGTTTGGAACACGCGAAGTACACTCTCGAAAGTGCTCCAACCATGGATGAGCGGAAGACTACTTGGTTGACCCGACCTATGAATAACCTCCTGAGTTGCAACTCCCTCCCTATAGCTAGCTGTAGCCGAGCAACTCGCCACTCGTTGACCTTCCAATAAGACATTTCCACGATGACAGAAATAGGCATCGCTCGAAGACCCTTGTACACATTATTTATACTTTCTCCATGGTTGGTAGTTGCAATACCCCATCTGGCCCGTTTCGGGTTACTAATTTATAAGTAACTAATCTAAGTGGGCCCAAAAAATTCGGATTTAAACTCGGGTTGTGAATTAAAAATATTTTATTTTCCCTAGTTTTCTTAATCGGCTCTTATCTTCTTCGTTCTAACTCGGATTTTAATTTTTGTTTTCACAGATGGAACGAATTCGTTGTGCTCTACAAAATGAGATCAATTTTCAATATATTTTGAAAAAAAAATTTCATCCCTCCTGTTACCAACTACATACCATATGGTAACTTCTTCATTTTCAAGTCGTTTTTGAAAATGTTTGCTCAGAAGGAACGAGTTCATCTTGATCTATTTGATCTACAAATTTATAGGTGGAAAAAATACATGACCAAAATTACCATACTTTACCACTACGGTATGTGGATGGTAATTAACTTGTGGTAAACAATGATGAAAGTCGTAATTGATAGTTAGTATACTCCTACTATTATGTATTCAACCTTCCTATCATATTGGTATTTTCATACCATCATGGTACACTTTCTTACTATATGGTATTAAATATGAGCATACTATATGGTATTAACTAGTAAAAAAATGACTCACTTTTTTTTGTTCTAAAAATATATCAAATTTCAACATAAACGAGAGAGAAATCGTCCGTTAAAGATTAAATAGGAAAAGATAAAAGGTTTTTCATAAGAGAGGGATGCTGATGTCATGCTGATTTGGACGGGTTACTCACCATAAGGTTTTTTTTCGAGTAATGTCAAGACAATAGTTAGAAAGAACCACTACCCGCAACCTTTCCTATCCTGCTAACAAAATATCTTACAAAATCAAAAGAAGCTACCTCTAACCGAGACAGCAACAGGGCTTTACGTGCCACTCTATGAGCAGCCCAGTTGAAAGTCTGGGGAACCGCACTAAAATCTATACAATGAGAAACAGACTCAAGAAGTGAAGAAACAAACGACAATCTCGAAGGATGACAACTTCTGCATCGGCTCGAGGATGACACGAGACAAAATTCTAGAAGCTGCAAGAGAGACCGCATCCCTGGCTGCAAGGAGTTCTCCAAGAAACGGGTTAGGAATCCACTAATGCTGGACACCCAAGGCCAGAAGCACATGCCCGTCCGAGCCACGAACAACAAGGCCAGACGAGCGCCAGAAACTTGGTCTATGTATTCGAACTTCAATTAAAATTTGTTACGATTAAAGTTGAATCATATTAGATTATTGTCGGCTTACATGTATACAATCAATTTAACACCACAAATCATCACTAAATTTCCACATCCAACACCACTTTCCGTTTCGTTCATCCTTTCCCAAAAAACCCCAAATCTCATCTGCCGCAGCCTCCACCATCGGAGTTATTTCCGTCACCGGCTGCATCACCAAGCTTTCCCGTCTCCATCAGATCCTCCATCCTCTCCAAGACCAATCGCTACAGCCTCCTCTTAAGACCACCGCTACAACCTCCGCCGGGAATCCACGCCATCGTCATCGGCCACTGCACGAATCAACATCGATCCGTAGTTTTCGTCGTCCCCAGTTTCTTCTTCCAAATCTAGGGAAACCTTCCAAAACATAACCACCCCTAAAAATCAAATTAAAACTCCTTAAACTCGGAATCAAACGAAAACCCTAAAAATCGACAAGCATTGAGAAGGAATAGGCCACTTACCATCTTCGTTCTCTCGCCGTTGACGAGAGCAGAGCAAGGACAAATTGAGATCGAGGGAGGAGGAGAGTGCGATTGGGGGTTCTGATGTCTGTCTTGGTTTGATAGAAGAGGGAAGACAGAGAGTATGTCGAGAAGAAGCAAAGAGGGGGAAGGAGGATGAGAAGCAGATGAGAAGCAACGAGGGGAAAGGAGGGGCGACATTGGTGAGTTCGGTTTGGTTGTAAACAAGAAGCATAATAATAATAATAATAATAATAATAATAATAATAATATTGGTGGCTACTTCGGTGCACTCACTTTTTTCAATGCACCCAACTCTAAAGTTAGCCATAGACATCAAATTTTGAATTTTAACTGGTAGCATTAGTATAATACGATGATATAATAAATGATCACAACTAATCAATCAATTACATTAACCCCTAAACCCAAAATCCCAAAATGTGAACCCTAACCCTAAATCCATAAATCTTAAATCCTTCAAATCAAAGTATATATTTAATGATTTCTGTTGTAAATTCATGGGGGTTCATGTCTATCATGTCACAAGTAATGATTGACATCGTTTTGACATGAATCGCCTATTCAAAATGGCGATTATGAAGCGGGTGCACTGAATGCACCCAAAAAAGTGAGTGCACCGAAGACACCATAATAATAATAATAATTCCAGTTCAACCTTCTATCATCCCAGTCAGTAATTATGTTCGTCACGTCATCAAAAATCTAACGGCGTTAACGAAGTCTGATAGAACTTGACGATCGTTGACTAACGATGAAAAGATTTATAAAGTTAGTGGTTAATAAAAAAAAGTTATTTGAGTGACAAACATGAAAAATATATATAATTTGAGTTACTAAACATATAATTTATCCAAAAATTTCCAAGGAATCTCTTATAAGAGCTTTCGGTGAGCCAAGTTGAAAGAATATCAGAGTTTTCAATATTCCTTCTTAATGAATTATCATAGTGGACTCACCAATAAACAATCCATCATATAAGATAGTTTAGGGAAGTATTTTCTAGAGATTATGGAAGCAAAATTAACATTATATAAGAAGAAGTAACTCAAAATGCTAGCTATATATCGGCCATATTTGCTGACAATTACGTCCTTCCTACTATATATTATTGACTTGTTCCTCCAGTGGCTGTCTTTGATAACTACGTTAGTTTTGCCCTTATTCCGAATGCCTTTAACCACTTCCTCATGTCACTCAACTCCAAGTCCCCATTGCTTGGTGTCAAGGTAGACCCAGTCATGCAAACTTGGAAGGGAACCTCTATATACATATATTATATGTACATATTTGTTGTATTGATTAACTTGGCCACGTCATTTAATACGATTATGCAAAAATGACTTGATCATATTTGATAAAATTATACGATACGGCTAGGCTTTAGGATAACGTTAAAGATAATGAGAGTGATGTTACATACCAATACAAACCCTAATCAGTAAAGATTATGTATATTTTATTAGGAACAATATCTAACTCTATTGAAAAACATAAACCCAAAATTAGTTACTGGATAATTTAAACTACTAAGTAAAACCCATCACCGTTTTCAAATAAATCAAGTTGTTGAGATGAGCCAGCAATTAATTTAGCACTAGAGTCATTGACGATAGCCGAAATATGCATGTGTGTTCTAACCCTAACTTATCTTCTATATTTGTTAAAGCATGACTTAACAAATATTATGGGTAGAGGAGAGGAGAAAAATATTATGAACAAAATGATTGGGTGTTACCAAATAAATCAAGTTATTGAGATGAATTTAGCGTTAATTCAGCAGCAGAGTCATTGACGATAGCCGAAACATGCATGCATGAATGCCCGTTCTAACCCTAACTTTACTTCATTTATAACTAATGTTTAATTAAGTATTTTTTTTATATGGCAGGTCTATACAAAATTTCAAAGTAAATGAGTAGACTTTAATTTATTCGTACGTGTAAAAAAATGCTATGAATAGATCTCTTAACAATTCAAAAATCACTGATTTCTAACTTATATAAGTTTAATTATACTTGTTTTGATTGGTGAGAGTAGGGATGGCAAATTACCCACCCATGGGTAATTATACCCAAACCCAAGTAGACCCATTGATAATGGGTTGGGTATGGGTGAAGTGCATATGGATTTGGGGGTTTATAGATGAGTTTGGGTTTGGGGCTTCCATAATCTAAATGGGTATGGGTTGGATATGGATATCCATTTACTTGAGGATGTTTTAACTACACATGCAAAAATTGGACCTATTTGCAAAACTTGAAAAGTTTAGGTACCAAAATGTAAGACCAAAAAAATTTAGGTACCAAAACGTAATTTTTCATCGATATTTTGAGGACTTATATGCAAAAAAAAATTAAATTTAGGTACTAAATATGCATGTCTATTAAGTTTGGGTACCAAACTGTAATTTGTATTTGGGCATGGGTACAAACTCAAATCCATTTGATATAAACCCAACTCAACCCAAAGTAAATGGGTATGGGTACAAACCCATCAAACTCTACCCATATCCATCTATTTGGATTTCATACCCAACCCAATTGGGTTGGATAGTAAAAAACCGATGGGTATGGACAAAGTTGCCATCCCTAGGTGAGAGCAGTCAACTTGATATTTTGGACAAAAGAGAATCATTAGCCGTTTGAGTTACTAGTAAAATCTAAGATGAAGTTGAATGAGATAAACTTGAGAACATAAATATACGAACGTAACTTTGTGGGTTTAGAAAGATTAGAAGAGTTTGTAGCAATGTTAAGTTTTTTAGTTATAATTAATTGTCTATCCTTATTTGCATTGGCAATAAATAGAAAATCGGCACGGCCGACTCGATCGAGATCGTGCCGATGTTGCATTGGTTGATTAATGTTAGAGAGTGGTATAAGATCCACGATTGAATCTCTCCCAACAACTCGAGTTATTGGGATCAACTGGTTCTTGATATGGTATCAGAGCCTAGAATCGAAAAGTCATGTGTTCGAATCTCCACGACCCCCAATATTAACCGTTGTCTTTCAAGCAAACAACTCGAGTTATTGGGATCAACTGGTTCTTGGTTCTTGATAATTAATGAAATGAAGCCTCTTTCTTTCGTCGGCAAATATATCTGAATCTATGCCCCCAATGAGCGTCCATAAAACTAAGATTAAAATCAATGGTGGAATGGAATGATTAATTGGCGATGATGAGAACAAAAAGGGTATCAACAGCTTGGTGATGAACGAGCCTCGACGAAGATTCTAATGCAAACTAAGACCGTCGATGCCCTTTGTTCCACTTCGCTATATGACAAACTCTCCTGCCTTCATACATTACATCAGTTTCCTTTGTGGGTCAGTTTAAACCGATCACTAAATTTTTAGTTTTTGACGAACTTGTCATCGAAATATGGGGGGAAATAAAACTTGTATGTCCGAAGTATCGACATTAGCATGTTATTTCAAGAAGATTAAGATAAAAAAAAGACGAGATAAATGAAACTTTCGAAACTACGAATTGCAAGGTTTAATAATCATTGTATAGATAGGAACATTGGATTGTCTGACAAATTTCATTCAGAGCAAGTGTTGATTTGAACTGAATAGCTCATGTCAACTAATTGGCATGTATATGAACTCATATTTGATTCATGGATACATCAATCGCTTATGTTATCTATTTCAAACTCCAGTGACAAACTTGGTCAAAAATCAAACTTGAGTGACCTTTTATCAATTGATCATCACCCCTTTCCCTAACTATACTCAATCGTTTTTAATTAGACAACTTAACATATTGATAATAGATACTTTCGCCCAACTTTGTCTTTACCGCCGAACAAAAGAATAATCCACCGATCTTTGTTATAATGAAGCCAACAACTCACCATTTCCCCACAGCCATTTGCATTGCACATATATATCTATCTTCTTCTTGTTGTAGCTCTCTTCCCACACAGCGAGCGATCTCTTGCTGTGCAAGACATCAACATATATATAATCCATCACCATGTGTTCTGTGTTCTCTCTAAAGCCTTGTAGTAATGTCGCAATATCAGCTGATAGTAGCATTACAGAGTCGTCGTGGAAGAGGAACTGTGTCTCTGCCAGAGCACAAGTGATAGTGAATGTCACCACGGCAGCTCCAAATAAGCGATCTTCGTTGCTGTTGAAGCAATTAGGTATTCCTCACAGTGATCTACGCGTGGAGGAGATTGTGGAGAGGCAGTCGTCTCGTAAGGAGTTTTATAGCAGCTTCAGCACCGATCATGAAGTGATGAGCAGGAAGATTAAGCCAAAGTTGGATGGTGAATTTCTTGATGAATCCTATGAAAGGTGTAGGGAGATTTGTGCTGAATATGCTAAGACTTTCTACCTGGGTTCGTGTTCTATCGATCGATCTATCTATCTATCTATCTCTCCTATGTGTTCTTCACCTATTCTATGTATCTTTTTTTTTTTTTTTTTCCGTTTCAAGCTCCGCATGACACGATTTGGTTATGATGTGCAGGAACTAGGCTAATGACAGAGGAGCGGAGAAAGGCAATATGGGCAATCTATGGTAATTACTAGCTACTTAATTATGTGTAGAGTTAGCGCTGATGAGATGGAGTAAAGTTAATAATGTAGGTGTTGTGTACGTGTGGATTACAGTTTGGTGTAGGAGAACGGATGAACTAGTGGACGGCCCAAATGCAGATTATATGATGACCAATTCGACGGTATTGAATAGATGGGAAGAGAGACTAGAAGACATATTTAATGGTCGGCCTTATGACATGTTTGATGCTGCTCTCACTCATACGATTTCTCAATTCCCCCTTGACATCAAGGTACATATATAATAATTGGTGCCAATTGTCTCTCATTCTTCATCCAATGTGTGATTGTTGATTAATATCAATTAAATCATCTGTGGTGTGGTGTGGATTGCAGCCATTCAGGGACATGATCGAGGGAATGAGAATGGACACATGGAAGTCGAGGTACCAGAACTTCGAGGAGCTGTACCTCTACTGCTACTATGTGGCCGGGACAGTAGGGCTGATGAGCGTCCCGGTGATGGGGATATCTCCGACCTCCTCTGCCTCTGCTCAAACCATCTACGACGCAGCTCTCTACTTGGGCATTGGGAATCAGCTCACCAACATCCTTCGCGACGTCGGCGAAGAGTAAATAATTAATTTAAGCCCCAACATCTCTCTCTCTCTCTCTCTCTCTCTCTCTCTCTCTCTCTCTCTCTCTCTCTCTCTCTCTCTCTCTCTCTCTCTGTTTAGGTAGGAGAATGGTGATAAGCTAATAACAACAACTCTGGCTCTGGCTCTGGCAGCGCGTTGAGGGGCAGAGTATACCTTCCCCAGGAGGAGCTTGCGCAGTTCGGGCTGTCCGACAGAGATGTCATGTCAGGGAAAGTGACAGACGGGTGGAGGGAGTTGATGAAAGCTCAGATCACGAGGGCCAGATCCTACTTCAACCTCGCCGAGGAAGGAGCCTCCCACCTCGACGACGCCAGCCGTTGGCCGGTAAACGCCCGCCAGCTCTGTTTTGTTTTCTGCGACTCTCTCTGTCTGCAGTAGTCTGTTTTCTTTGTAAGTTGCTGATCAAGGTTGGTTGATCTTGATGGAATGGATTGCATTGCAATTTGCAGGTGTGGACGGCGCTGTTGGTGTACAGGAGTATATTGGATGAGATTGAGGAGAATGACTATGATAACTTGAACAAGAGGGCTTATGTTGGGAAGGGGAAGAAGCTGCTCATGCTGCCCTTAGCTTACACCAGAGCTCAATCTCGACCACCTACTTTCTTAACTAATAATTAAATCCTTCTGTTCACACCTTATGTGCATGTAATGTAATGTAATGTAAAACACTCGAGATCATCCATCGCTTGAGCCACCCTCCCCTCAACCAATTGTGTCTATAGTCTATACTATACTAGTATATATATGTATGTTGTTACATATACAACAATGTGGTTTAGTAATTTGTGAGAATCCGATTAATTCTTTCCCATGCTTCAAAGTTACGTTGTCCGCTATTTGAATTTTCAGTCTTGGTAAATTGATTTTATTCTCATTTCATTTCGATTGTATAATTAATTATGTTACACCAGTAATATTAAGAGAATCTTGTGAGGCTGAATGATGAAAAGACAAGGGTGAAGTGGACTGGACAAAGTTCCGAGAGATGTCTAATGAACTGTGTTGAAAGTTTCTAATTTGTTTTAGTTGATTTTAACTCAAAACTTATTCCAATTATGGATGAGCAATGGTTCGGATAAATTGTTATACTAGAGCTAATGAAGAGGATACAATAAAATGCATTACATTTTTTAAATGTTCAATCACACTTGTTTTTCAAAATTCCAACGAATAGTTATCGTGTAACTATTTTAGCGTTAATTCTCATCTTATAGAAGAAATTAAATAAGGTTATCGGGTTAATTGCATGGTTGGTCACTGAGATTACAAAAAATATTCAAGTTCGGTCACTCGAAATATTTAAATTCATTGGTGGTACTTCTGTTTACTGAAATCGTTCACGTTTGGTCACTTTCCGTCCAACTCCGTCCAAATTCATTGGTGGTACCACCACCTGACTCCGACTCCTGCCCGATCCCCGTCCCCGACGCCGGCTTCACTCCCTCCTCCCACTCCTCCGCCGCCGCCGTCCAACTCCCGCACCTATTCAGCCCTGAACCAAAAGAACACGATTATCATCATCGGCCGGTCGGCGACATGCAGAAACGTCGAAACCACATCAGTAGTAGCTAAAGTTTACTTACCGGCGAGCTTGGAGAGAGCTCTCAAGCTTGCCATGGCCATTTTTCTGGATGTAATCCACCAGCTTCTTGCAGCGGCGGATCCAGAACACAATAGTGCACTGGGCCGCATTTCATTAGAAATTAGAGACCGTAAAAAGGATAATGATTTTATATTTTTTTTACAATGTCAATTGTTCACGATGGTGTTTTAATTTAGCAAATGCATCAATAATGGAGTCTACATCCATACCAATAGTATGCTCTGTTTCAAATAAAATACTTGAGCAACCGGCGAGTAATTCATCGCTCATTTTGTTGCGCTAATCAGTTTTCACATGTTTCATTGTTGATAAGGTTCTCGCCGTAGTAGCTGTGGAAATGGACAGCGTCAACACTAAAATCAATCGACTAATCAATTTTCATTATGTGTCCATCCCTTTATCCAATAGCTGCTCTAGTAAATTTTCAATGGAATAAATCTCATATTTCTTTTAATAGTCTTTTACGCTTTAGACTTTTAGAATGTTAGGTTCCGTTGTTTTTGTTTAGACGAAAATCTTTGGGGCTAAAATTTATAAGCTAAATTTAGAGTAGTTATTTGAATGTTCATACGAATTATTTTTCTAATTATACACAATTTTATTATAAAATAACATTGAACCGAATGTCTAAAATCGAAATATTCATAAGGACTATACTAACTTTGAATCCAGAGGAGGGCTGGGCCGGGGCCTGGGTTGGTCACCCCTGGATCCGCCAATGGCTTCTTGTCTTCTTCTGGAGTCCACTGACCCTTCTTCAGCCCATCCTCATCGCAGCAAGGAGACCTTCCCATTCCCTCTCTGTGTTAGCTTGTGCACATGGGTTATGCTTCCTTTGCTCCAACCATCTGCAGAAACCGATGGTCGTAACCAATCCAACACCAGAACACAACCTCACCAGCTTCTCAATTGAAATGGGCAAGTTACCAAAAAAATGAAATTACCCACAAGTAAATCTAGCTAGAAAACAGGGGAAAGCCAGAATAGCCAATATCAATCAGTCTTCTCCTTTAGATTCGAACGACAGTTCCCCATCTTTAGTTTGAAGTTCCGCGAAATAATGATGTTGTTCTTATTGGCTTATTATTCCCCTAACCCCTTTTCCTTCCATTTACGCCTCCCTTCTCGCTTGTTGAATTTGTTGGAAATGTGCGAGAGTTGGACGGCGAAGGCGGAGGAGTGGGAGGAGGGATTGAAGCAGGCGCCGGGGATGGGGATGGGGATGGGGAGTGTTGTTACCGTGGTCGAATTCCGCGGCAGTGGTGGAGGTTGGATCGGGTAGAGTATAGGGGTTTGTAGAAAAGAAATTAGATTTTTTATTATTTTTATTTTTAATGAATGTAATAATGAGGTGGAAAATAAAAAAAATATTTTTATTTTTAATAATTTTTTAGTTGTCACGTCACTATGTTAATAGTCAACTTTGAGAATTGACTGCCACATCAGTTAAAATTAACGGAGTTGGACAGAGAGTGACCAAACGTGAACAGTTTCAATAAACTGAAGTACCACCAATAGATTTAAATATTTCGAGTGACCAAACTTGGACGATTTTTGTATTCTCAGTGACGAATCATGCAATTAACCCTAAGTTTATCTATATTGTTCGAAAATACCTTCCATGTCCTGAATTTTAGAAGTCCACTCCACGCTGCTTGGTTGCCTCAAGCTCACCTTTTACCAGAAGGAAGTGTTGGAGAATCCCTCGTGTCGTGCTAACCCATACATATACTACATAAATTCATTCTACGTAACTCTTCTAAGAACAAACCGTATGACGCTCTCACAACAACAATAGTACGATGGCTCAAACTGAGAACCAACCAAAACATATTGATCCGAGGAAACCAAGTCAACAAACATATACCAACAGAAACAATTGACTGAAAAGTACTCGTGAGAAAGCACCCCACTAACCAGTTATCTGATTGAACGTTCCTCTACATAACCACCCACAGTTCCTCCCCAAAATAACAATCCTTCTACAGAAAGGAAAATCGACAATTAAAGGAGGGGACAAAAATTATAAAACGATAAGTAAAATTAAGTGAGAACAAAAATCAAGGAATAAACAAGGAAAAAGATCCCCCCCACTGTTTTGCCCTGAAAATGTTACATATACTGCATGCATCATTTGCCCAACTCTCACTGCTTTGCCTTCTTCCTGTTGAGAGGACACTCACCAAAACCCCATAACTACTTTTCACAATTGACAACCACATTCAAGGAAAGCTTACCTCACTAAAGCTCAAAACCCACCTTTCCCCCCTTCTCTAAACAGCTGCATTTTCTCCATCTTTTACCCTACACAATCACAGTGAAAGATCGTCTGTCTATCTTCTTATGTTTAACGAAAAATGCCTCTCAGAACAAGAAAACCCAGGAAGTAGTAGGCACCGGCCACAGGATCCACAGCAGCTCAATGCTAGGAGGTTTTAGCTTATAGGAAGTAATCAGGTGTTCTCCTGGTTACATCCGGTTCTCCCCTCCTTGGAGCTGGCTCAAACTGCACTCCGAACAAAAAGAAAACCCAGATCAGTAAGGAACCCACTTATGCCATGAACTCAATTTAAGAGATGTTCAGAAAGAAAACAAACCTGGATGAACGTGTGACCCTTGCAATCATCAACTTCCAATATAGATGCCATGTTCCCACAACGGTAGCAATAATTAGGTGCACTAAATATGGTGACCACCTTTTGGTCCTGTTCAGCACAAAATGCACTACCATCAGATCAGACTTGTTGATAGAACCAAGGTGCGCCAAATAGAACAATGAGTAGAGGATGATGCACATTACATGACCCCAGTTATAGCCTTCCATGACGAGCTGATGAGCTCTTGCAATCAGCTTTAAGCTGTTTGTATGGTTGAACTGCTCGGAGATGTCCTGTTAGAAGGAAAAATTAAGGTTCGAGTCAGCCTGACGCCAGTACATGTACATTATCGAATAATGTGGAACATTCAAGGAACTGAGACATAGCATACCTGACCAAAGGTGTATCCAGCGCCTCTCGGTGAAATACCCCACCCACAACGGTCATCGGGATCAGACCACAAAAGGTCACACATGGGACCCTCGTGTGGGACTTCTTGGACACGATCAAAGTTACGGATATTGTCGAGGGTTTCAATGGAAGGAGACAATCCACCATGAAGACAAAAAATCTCGGACTCCACCTTTAAATACACAATTCCATCAGCCTTCCACCCAGAGGAATCTTATATAATTCTGAGATGTGAAGTAATACTAACCAATGCTGTCAGCGGAAAATAGTCAAACAGATCTGTAAAGATCTTCCACACATTTGCGTTCCCATACCTGCAAATAGACATGGAAGGCTAATCACATTGCACTCCGATACAACTGTCATATAACACTCGAGGCATATCATTTGGAGCACAACTTTTCAACCTTTGTCCATTTTGTACTTAGTGCTATCTAGCTAAGGAGAACCAACAGAAAAAATATCAGACTAGACCCATTCCAATTTTTCCCAAAACTTTAAGGTTCCTGAAAATTTCAATTGAACTACCTCACCATGCACAGCACAGCACAACTGAGTACATAGCACAACAGTGTAAGACACTCACATCAATTGCTTTCGGAAAACAAGATATTTACATATTCTGGAATCAGTGAAGAATATGAAGAAACTCACTTCCTCAGGCACTCGTCATAGAATCCATAAACTTGAGTAATCTGCAAAAGCCGACAAGAAAAGAGTAATTGGAATACAAATGCAGAACCAAAGTAAATGTGAACTAGGAGTAGCACATTCAAAAATTGTACAGTTCACACTGGTTACCTGGCGACTCTCATGATTTCCCCTCAGAATGGTAATCCTTTGAGAATAACGCACTTTCAAGGCCACCAGCAGCTGAAAACAATCAACTGAGTCAGCGTGCAATTGGAAAACTAAAAAAAAAGAACAAGAAATAGCCTCAGTGAAGGACGTATAATGACATCATTTGACAAATATCATCATAAAGCACTAGGCTTGCTTGAGCCAGAAGCACAGAGCACACAAAGTCTTTCCAAATTATTATTTCAACAGCAAGAAATCAAAACCAAGATCCTATCGAGGATCAGAATATTTCTTACTGTCACAGTTTCAACAGAGTAGTACCCACGATCCACATAGTCTCCCATGAACAAGTAATTTGTGTCTGGGCACTACAACAAACAAAAAAAGATAAAAAGAAGTCAACATCATATAATACATGGCCACTAGCAGATTTCAACCGAAACCAAAGATAAACACGACAAATAAAAGTTTGACATCTGATGATAGAAAAAGGCTAGCAATAATCTGAACGTTACCTTTCCTCCGATGCGAAAAAGCTCCGCAAGATCATGGAACTGTCCATGAATATCACCACAGATTGTAACAGGGCTTTTGACAGGCTAAACACCATCACAAGAAAATATAAGGTGATATCAGTACACAACATTGAGCGATCCAAGACCTTGAAGCTGGATACTAAACTGAACTGATGTAGGATGAACTTTAATCTCCTTCAACTAGGAATAGACCGAGTAGCTCAATGGAGAAAGGAACATTCCCAAACGTGCATATTTAGCCCACCAATAAACAGTACTGAAGACAAGTACCTGGACGTTGCTTTCTTCCATCAGAATTTCCTTGGCCTTCTCGCATAGCCCCCGCACCTGCATCACCAAATAAACAGCTCAGAAAAAGCATTACAATAATCTTATTTAAAGATTGCAAGGTGGAACGAACTCCAGGCAAGTTACCACATCGAAGGCATGGAGCCACACAGTTCAACAAGATTCTCACATGGTAAGCACAAATCATAACAGACTCTAGCCATCAATCGGCACAGCAACTTGTCGCTATAGAATCAATAAGAGCCACAAGACCAACCAATAATTAAACAGAGGCTCTCCGAAGATTCAGTGGTCTGCTGACCTAACAGAGGTCATTTGGTCTCTGCTCCAAAAAAAAAAAAAAAAAAATAATTCGTGCCCCCACAACTGTAGCTCTATTACCCTAATATTAAGAATGGGTATATCCTAAGCCCCAAAAGTTAGAAACCTGAACCCAAATATACACCATTTATAAACAAGAAAAGTCAGGGAAAGACCACATATAGGCTATAGTTACTCCACAAACAGCACAGCTTTGGCACAAGAAATAGAGCTCCAAGCAACAGATCCATGCCCTCCTGAATAAAATTCATAAGAAACTACAGCACCAGCCGATAATCAAAATACAATACGTCCCAGTGCAATGCTAAACATCCAAAGCAAAGTACGTTCATCTTCAAATGATTCAATGAATGGAACAGAGATTAATTCCCCATTTAGCCTACCATTTTCTTCTTCAGATCTATACTACTGAAAACAACACCGAAATGCCCCAAAAAGAAATTCCCCATCAATAGATCCAGCGTCAAAAAACGACCAAACAGATCTATACACAAACAAACGCACCAAAAATATATAAAAAAAAATGAAGCAAAAAAGAAACGAAGATCCCCAGAAATTATCCAATTCACCAGAACTCGTGAGGAGAAATCACTGAAAGAAGTCGGCAGAAGATACCTCTTGCTCAGATAAGGGCTTGCACTGCATAAGCTGATTAATCTGTTCATCGAGACTTCCATGAGTGCTCGAAGGGACCGAATCCAAACTCATTTTATCTCTGCCTCCTCTTCTTCTTTAACCACAGATCCAGATCCCTTCCAGATCGAATGTTTCAATCTTCTTCTTTTGTTCTTTATCCTTTCCCAATCCGGGACCAAAATAACAATAGCATAAGAATAATGGAACCCTAATTTCGGATTTCAAAGCCTCTCCTCTTTCAAAATTTGTTTTTCCTTCAGGAGAGAGGAAGACAGTGGAGAAAGAAAGAGAGAGAAAACTCAAAAACAGGGAAAGAACGGTGGCGAAGAAACTAATGCCTTTATGAGACAAAGCGCCCTCTCCTCTCTCTCGTTTACTTTTGTTCGATAATCACCACTCCTTTTTCCGTTCTGTTTTCTTCCCTTTTTTTTTCCTCCCAATAACTCAAAACAATTTATTTCGTTTTTACTTTTTACGGTCCAGTGTCCACAACAAATTACTCTAAAAAAATTAAGAAAAATTAGATAATCGGATGTGTGGTTCGCTCGTGGTTTTGGTCGACCCACCTGCAAACAAATCGGAAAAGTGAGTGTGCGTGGTTTTTCATTTTTGTAGTTGGTGGTTTGCGAATATGTGGGTAGGGATGGCAATGGGTCGGGTTGGGTCGGGTTTTGCCAAACCCAAACCCAAACTCATGGGTTTATCTGTGAAAAAAATCCGGGGTAAAACCCACTGGGTTTGAAAAACTCAAACCCAACCCAACTCACTGGGTATCCGCAGGTTTATGGGTACCTGTGGGTTTCTTCCTTTCAATTGAAGAAACTTAATTGAAGGTTTCTTCCTTTCAATTAAGTTTCTTCACTCTTCACTCGATAAGATAAACTTCATTCTACACAATTAGAAAGAAAAAATTAGACATGTCTCCACAAACATAAATAAGATTAGTTATTTAGAATATTAAATATACCGAGAAAATTAATTATATGAGGGTGGGCGGGTACCTATGGGTCGGGCTTACCTAAACCCAAACCCAACCCAACCCAATGAATAGTAAACGAATTAAAACCCAAACCCGGCCCAAAACCCGTCAACACGGATTTTACCCGCGTTGACCGGGTTGGGTCGGGTGGGTACCCGTGGGTTCGGGTTTTGTTGCCATCCCTATATGTGGATAGGGATGACAACAAAACTCGAATCCACGAGTACTCTACCCGACCCAATCCGGTTAATGCGGGTTTTAACCGCATTGATGGATTTTGGGTCGGGTTCGGGTTTAAACTCATTTATTATTCACCGAATTGGGTTGGGTTTGGGTTTAGGTAAATCCGTTCCATGGGTACCCGCTCACACTCATATAATTAATTTTCTCGGTATATTTAATATTCTAAACAACTAATCTTCTTTATATTTGTGGAGACATGTTTAATTTTTTCTTTCTAATTGTGTATAATAAAATTGATATTATCGAGTGGAGAGTGAAGAAGCTTAATTCAGTTAATTGTCAATGAGGAAGAAGCTTTCAATTAATCATTTTGTTTACGGATAATTTGTTATTTGCTTCAATTTCTTGAGTTTTTTATATTGGAATTGAACCATTTGTATGGTTAATTTGTGATTTACTTGAATTTTCTATAATGGTGTTTTATATATGGATAATTTCTATTGAGAGATTGATATTTGACTTTTATTTGGATAAGAACTTGTTATTGTAAATTTTTAACGACACAAACCCACAGGTACCCATGAACCCGCGGATACCCAGAGGGTTGGGTTTGAGTTTTTCAAACCCAGTGAGTTTTACTCCGGGTTTTTTCAAGGATAAACCCATGGGTTTGGGTTTGGCAAAACCCGACCCATTGCCATCGGAGGATGGTTGTTGAATCCTTGCTCACTCGACAATTTATATCTAAATTAATTATCATCCAATCTACAAATATATTATAGCATAGTTGAAATCAATTTTTCAGCATTTCGAATCTACAAATATATTATAACAGAGTTTAGAGGAGTTTTTCAGCATTTCGAATTTTCTGTAACGAGAGCGAAAGTAGGAAGGATAATTGTGTCTTCACAATCATTATTTATTTTTCATTCATAAGAAGAAGAAAAAACATCATTCTCAATATTCGAACCATGGTATATCCAAAAAAATACAACAACCACTACTAGTTACATAAATAAATGTTTTGTATCTTTTTAAATACAAAATCTAAAAACCTAAACTCTACAAATTATATGACTTTTCCACTATTGTTAGCTAGCCCGCTAACTCTACCAAAAGTACTTTGTTATTTGATATTTTAATTTTCATATTTTGATTATTTTAATTTGAGTTTGATATTAAATTTAATTTATGTCCTCTTATAAATGGATATTAATTTTAAAACTGCAACCCAAATACCCATTGATTCAAATTGGTATTCATAAGTGACCATTTTTTTGAAATTTTTAGTTTGATTAATTGTTAAATCCTAAATTTCTTGATAACAGGCATGATTGGAAAAATGGGTGAGTTTAAAAGAACGCAATTTATGAATACCAATTTTATAAGATGATTTCAATAGGGTAATTGACTAGCGGATCATTCATAGTTACTTAGTTTAATATGAAATAACGCAGTACAAGACAAATAATGAAAGTCGAGTTGGTGTTTTCATGGACGCGTTAATGGGGTCATTGGCATTAGCAAGGTAGGGTACCACAAGATATGTTTTTTTTAGTGAATAAGATTGTCCTTCGACTAAATTTATAGTGTCTTGGTCGATAAATATTTTTTTCATTGCATAGATTTTGGATGGAAAATGTTATTTTCTTACTAATTTTGTTATTGTATTGTACAAAATACTTTAAGGTTTAGATATTGCTATATATGTATTGTTTCTCAAGCAAAAAAAATATATATTGACTAAAGGTTATCATCATGAGTTTCCTATTTATGTTATGCTTTTTCAGACACTCTTTTTTTATTATGTCAATTTTCTTTTCAACCATAGGAAACTAAGTGATTACATCATTAAATAGACAAGTTATGAATGGTTATTCACAAGTGTTATAACCAAGGTTGGGACACCTCTACCGGGCAATTGGTTAGACTAGGTCCGACAAAAGTCATGCTCCAAAATGGGCAATACAAAATCAAGGGTCTGATCGTTAGAGAGGGAGAAGAAGAGAGAGGAAGGGGGAGAGGGGAGAGAGTCAAGGAGATGGTGGGTGGATCTTGAGATAAATAAGTTTTTGGGTAAATTGCATGGTTGGTCACTGAGATTACTAAAACCGTTCATGTATGGTCGCTGTAAATATTTAGTTTCCTTCGTGGTCACTAATTTTCTACTCTCGTTTCATCAATGGTCACTCTCCGTCCACTTTCGTTAATTTTAGCTTACGTGGCAGTCAACTATTAGAGTTGACTGTTAAATATGTGACGTGGAAATTAAAAAATTAAAAAAAAAATTATACTTTAAAGTTTCCACATCATTCTTGTAACAGTTCAAAAAAGAAAAACAAAAAAGAGATGTTTCTAGGTCTTCCCGATTCCAACCTTTTCCCAATCTACTTTTCGCCTAACCCTCTTGAGAATTCCCAATTCTAATTCCTACCTCCGCCCATCTAGGGATGGTAATGGGTCGGGTTTTGCCAAACCCAAACCCAAACTTGTGGGTTTATCCGTGAAAAAAACCCGGGGTAAAACCCACTGGGTTTGAAAAACTCAAACCCAACCCGCTGGGTATCCGCGGGTTCATGGGTACCCACGGGTTTTTGTCGTAAAAAATTTACTATAACAAGTTCTTATCAAAATTAAAGTCAAATATCAATCTCTCAATACAAATTATCCATATATAAAACACCATTCTAGAAAATACAAGCAAATCACAAATTAACTATACAAATTGTTCAACACCAATCTAGAAAACTCAAGAAAATTGAAACAAATCACAAATTATCATTAAATAACATGATTAATTGAAAGCTTCTTCCTTTCAATTAAGTTTCTTCGCTCTCCACTCGATAACATCAACTTCATTCTACACAATTAGAAAGAAAAAATTAGACATGTCTCCACAAATATAAATAAGATTAGTTGTTTAGAATATTAAATATACCAAGAAAATTATTATATGGGTGTGGGCGGGTACCCATGGGTCGGGTTTACCTAAACCCAAACCCAACCCAACCCGGTGAATAGTGAACGGGTTTAAACCCAAATCCGGCCCAAAACCCGTCAACACGGATTTTACCCGCGTTGACCGGGTTGGGCCGGATGGGTACCCGTGGGTTCGGGTTTTGTTGCCAGCGCCCATCCAAATCGTCACCACCAATCCACCATCGTTGTGGCCCTTTCCCTTGTGAAAATCAGAACCCCCACCCTTTGTAGTGAAGCTACCATATCACCAACACCGTCGCGTTGCTACTCTGCCTCCAGATCTCAACTCTTTCAGTCTCCGTCAGTCCAAATCGGACCCACCATCTGGCATCAGCGCAATAACCGCTCTGCCCAACCATTACCACTATGGCCTTTGTGGGCACCTCGTCGATTCCTTCTTGTAAGTGATTAAATACGCCAAGATCGCGGTGAAGAACGGCGACGTTGCCGCAGACGACGGAGAAACAGAAGATGCGCATAGGGCAAAGATCTTGAAGAACTGCGGCGGGTTCCTATTTTCCCAATCCCGTCGCCATCATCGGTTTTCCCCACACCTTTAAATCTAACCCTTCAAATGTGCGATGGCGATCTCGGGAACAGGCCGAGGCTTATCCTCCTCCAGCTCGGGCTACATCGAGATCCGTTCGTCGAGGGGCACCGGGCTTGTTGTTCTTTGCCATCCGTCCAATCAGCCGCATCCAGCCTCAATTTCTCCGGTGTTAGGGCCGGATCCGCCACTTCCCTTATGGAAAAGAGGATGTGTTCACCACCGGCGGTGGTAAGGCTTTAAAACGCGACCACCACCACAGCCGCAGCGACAGCGAGCATCAGAACGAGAACCTAATTTTGAACAAGATTCACACGTTTCTGTTTTATTGATTTTACTTTAGTGTGAAAAAAATGAGTTGGAAATTATAAAATATTAAATTTTATTTTTTTATATTTTTTAATTGCCACGTCATTCAGTTAACGGTCAACTGTAAGAGTTGACTGCCACGTCAGACAAAGTTAACGGAATTAGACGGAGAGTGACCAAATTTGAAATGTTCAACTAATGTTAATGACCATGAATGAAATTAAATATTTCTAGTGACTAAACATGAACGTTTTTTGTAATCTCAGTGACCAACCATGCAATTTACCCATATGTTTTTTTTTATGGAATTTGACTATTTGAGTTTTAAATAGATATAAATTAGTACATTCTATTTCAGTCACATTTCTATCTTATATGTAAATATATTTTAGAAAAGGTGTAAAACGGCTCAAACAGGTTGGACCTCAATCAAACCATTAAACTTCAAACCACTTGCTTGACCGGCTCAATGACTTAAACCGGTTTGACAACTTTGGTTATAACCATTAAGATTACAATGTTCACAATTGATGAAAAGTTATATGAATTTCGGAAATGGAAAATAATTTCGATGTCACATTGATATCATACGAAATTCAGCATTTCAATTAATTTAAAAAAAATTAAATACACATCATAAATACATTGTGTTCAAATGACATTCTGACCAACGAGTCGGACAACAAGCTAGTAATATATGTAGTAGAGTTTTGTCTACTTTTCTCTATTTCAAATTTCCTGCAACTAGAGTTATAGTAGGAAGAACATTTTTGTCTTTACAATTAATTATTTATTCCATATAAAAAATAATGTCAATACAGGATTTGAACAAACGTCTCTTCAAAGAAAGACAACAATTACAACCTATTACACTAAATAAATTTGTTTGTATTTTTTAATATAAAACATACACGAAATTATACTCTGAAAATCAGAGGACTTTTCCATCATGATTAACAAGCTCGCTAAGTCTACCGTATGTATTTTTATAGTGCTTGATACTGCAATTTTCATAGTCGAGTTTCATGTAGTTTTCTCAATTCTAAAATTACTGCTCTTTCCTTAATTTTCGCTAAAGGTAAATTGGTATTGGCTAACATGGAAGAACTAATTCTATTACTACGTATTGTGTCCTTGCATTTTTCAATTTATATTTAAATTTAGTACTTTTTTTATCTTTGTTCTTATCTCTTTCAAACTTCCTTCGAAATCCCCTCCACCGTGCAATAGTTTGCGCCCCTTTCACTTCATAGTACAAGACCGCCTTTGAAAGTCAATCTTCCAGTATCTCTTGGCACTACGATTTTATTGTCGGGGATTTAAACTGCGCAAGTAGAAGATTTTAACTCCGATATAAATCCATGGCGAATAGAATGGAGTTCAATAAATAGATTTGCAGAAGGAGGATTAGAAATTGAATTTTTGGTTGAAACATAAGCCTCTTGAGATTGAAGATATAGTGGATAAAAATTTGATTGTACAACGAAAAGTGGTGGCTATTGGATCTTTAAGTTTATGGTTTTTGCAGCTATCGCAACCTATTTTTATCTTAAAACGAGGAATCATTCATTGATTACTGAAGTAGATCGTTTAATTCTTTATTCAACATACTAGAACTGATTGAGAAAGTGTATAATTTTGTTCCTTATTACTTTGATCGAGTCTATTAGTTATTGGAGGAAACCCTTATTTTGGCGTTTGCTCTCAAGTTTTGATGGTCCCCTCTTAGTTGAGTTGTTAGTATATAGTTGACTTGAATCAACAACTCTCCATTTATTTTTTATTAAAGGAGAGCATTGAACCTTTATGTAGGATTGCGAGGTTTAAGATTTAGTTTCAAACTATCTATGGTTCATGTGGAAATTTCAGTGAGCTTTTGTACTTATATATTTCTTGACAATCAACTAACCGATAGTATTTTACAGGGGACTTAATTATCACTATCAAAATGGGATCAATGATACATTTTTATATTTTATATTCTTAAATGATGATGATATTTCTCCAAATGTTCGACCTATATATTCATTATTTATATATCATATTGACTGAAAATTTGTCAATAAAATTAAACGAGTTGATAGATATAAACGTTACATGAAAATATAAAATAATCAAATATGAGTATTCCGGCCAACGAGCCGTGTTATAAGCTAGTAGTAAAATATAGTTGAACCCCTCATGATATTGTTTCATCCAAATGATGATGCACAACATTAAAAATAGAACATGACATAGTGTTTAACTATCACGTGGAGGGATGGTGGGTCATTATACCATAACTGAATAGCTCATTAGTACGATATCATCTGTTTTGAGTCAAGTCCGCACAGTTTTTACTTTTGGGTATCCTCCCCAAATGGCCTCTAAATGCTCCTAAGGGCGGTTAACAAATCAAAACACGCAAACAAGTCCAATCCATGTTGGGACTTGCCATCCAGAATCAGCTTTGTGTTATTTCCATCCATAACACCAATATCAAAATTATCTCCAACTCTAAACCTGCAGCTCGAAATTAACTTCTCGATCTTCAAATCCAAAATAAGCATATTTGATGATCGGAGACCCTAATCACCATCAAGAACACCAACCAGAATAATTGCCACTGAAGCTTGGTTGAGGGTCCCACCAAACTAATGTCCACCGTCCCGAACCGAAACACGGCTCTAATACCACTTGTCGAAATCGGGCAGCTCCATTAGTGTGATATTGTCCGCTTTGGGCCATGCTCGCACGAATTTACTTTTGGGTGTCCTTCACAAAAAGCCTCATGCTAATGAGTTTGATGGACACTAGTATACAAGTACTCATTCCTTTGTATTTTCGATGTGGTACTTGGATTGTCCCATAATGTCCAATATACATCAACGAGTGTGAGTGGGTCCCAACGACAACCCCTACTTTTAATGTGTGGTGTAAATTTGGGTAGCCTACGTTTTTGTATGCATGTATATAATAGTAGGACTGGGAAAATAGACCAGACCGTTAGAAAAACCGGGTCCAAACCGTACCGCATAATTTGGTTCAGACCGTAGACAGTTAAGTGTGGTATGGTCTGGTCCATGGTCTGTATTATTTTATGTTTTGATCTCTTGGTTTGGTCTGGTCTAGACTGCGGCTTACCGGACCAAATCGTGGATCCAACCAACTTGTCAATACGTGTTAACGACTCATTCGACCACTCTCCCAACTCCCACAACGACACCAAAGTCTAAATCTTAGTTTTGTGAATCTCGTCCCTCCTTCATTCACAACCACATTTAACCAGAGAGTAGAGATATTCGTGTCTTCATATCACATTATATTAATGTTTATGATCTTATGGTGCAAGTTGGGATGCTTTTACTTTGTATCTTTGTTATGTACTAAGATTTAGGGTATCAAAATTATTCGTGCATGTTAGGATTAATGTTTTAAGGCAAATAACAATTATTTTTCTTGGTTATTGGTTCAATTTTTGTGTGGTTAACTAAACAAATTATTCATTTTTAGTTGAGTGTGGTCTATCTGGACCAGACCAAACCAGACCACACAGGCGTGGTCTGGACCGGACCGTATATGATCTGGTTTGAACATGACCGCACCGTTTCCCAAACCTGTATAATATAATCGATCTAAGCATTTCATCATTATCTTTCAAGTAAAATGAGTACTTTTCTTACTTCTAATTTGTATCTTTCAATAAAACTCACAATCTACTTATCGTGTAAGCAAACTTATATGTCTTTTTCCCTAAAAAAACAAAAAAACAAAAAACTTATATATCTTTTGGGAATTAGCATAATTAAAATTTATACATTGACTTCTGATCCACCACAATTCATGTGTATAAATTCAAGATAGCGGTAGTACACAAAGTATACTTGGTTTTCAGACACATTGTACAATAACTTCACAATTGGTCATACACCGATCACAAAATAGAACAACTTACCGTTCGACGTCATCATTGATTCAACACATTGTTTAATCTTCAAGCAGCTCCGACTGTCTTAGAAAACAATACGAGGATTACAAACTTTTTACTTTTTGTGTTTCAGTTTATATTTGAAAGGCAAAGACCTCAATAATACCCATCTTACTTGCATTTATTTGAAAGATTTATTTCCTAATTTAGTTAAATACATGCATTTTCTTTTCGAAGACAAACGTAGAATTAAAATAATTCCAAATTAACCAAATCAAATAAATGGACTTAACTTAAGCAAAAGCGAAAGGAATCAATTCAAACAAAGTAACAATAAATCTACATATAAAACAACCCCAGTGAATTTATGATCTTCTATTCAATTTTCAAAGCAAAAAGGAGAAAACAAAAATCTGAGGATGCCCCATTAGTGGAGAAATAGGCCAATAGGGAGCATCACTCACATCGCTATTGCCGTGCCCGTGAGGACTATCGCACTCATCCTCTTCCATTCCATCTCGGGAGCCCCAGGCTTGAATGTGAACAAACCTTGACTACCCCCGCCATTACCGTTGATGCTTCCTCCTCCTCCGCCATTGTACAACCAATCATGAACATCCCAAAATATCTGAACAGGTTGTTTGTTCACCGTCACCACTTGATTCCCTCTAATTAAACTTCCACTGCAAATTCTTGACATTAACCACTACAAGCCCATCTATGCTTATCCACGTACAATTCAGGATCTTTGAGGCCCGAGGTAGAGCTGTCGATGATAATTAATGTCATGCTCTTGCTGTTTTTTCTCGTCCTAACTTAGCTCTCGTTGCAAATGATTTTTTGGCAAAAACATTCTCCGATCCTTCTTGGAAACTAAAACCGCTTCCACAAGATCAGTTGGTCTTGCCTTTGGTCCTCTTGTATGCCTTCTTCTTGGAGTCACCTAATTAATAGCAAAACGATCTCTTCATCACATACCACAGTGACGTAGTAGTCACCGGCCGGCTCGGGGCAGCTGGTACCAATGAATTTGGCTGAACGGAGATCCCAATGGATTTCATTTCTATATTGCTGCTGCTGCCTTCGAGTTCGAACCCTTTGCTCCAAAAATGCCATGGCTAGCTTCAGGTCGAGCTTGAAACTGTATGATGTACGTCGTCTCACCTTCTACGCTGTTGATGACGAGGTTGAGGGAGATGGAGTTCATGAGGTTCTTCCCCCACGTCACTGTGACATTCCGCCAATAGCCGGCAACATATATGGGTCTGGTAAACACAGGTCGGTCACGGTGCTTTGAGGTGTTTTGTTGTTGTAGGAATTAAGAATCATCTCGATCTCACCTTTTCTGTCCAAAGCGATGCTTGACCGAATGCTCTCAATGGATGCTGCAACGCCATTCCCACAAAATGTTTGCCGCAAAATTGTGTTAATAAATATCTTCCTCCCAAGATCACCCTTCTTTTCTCCAAATAAAATGCTCCTCTTTCAATTCTCATATTACGGTGGTAAACCCCACAATAATATTTTGTAATCACATTTGAACCTTATAATCATCGTAACATGATTGATTTATGCAAACACGAGCGTCAAGATTGTATGACGAGGTCCTCATGTTGAGAAGACAACATAAGTCCCTAACATCATCAACATAAATCGCAAGTACTTCCTTCTTTGTTGCTTAATTACTTGAGCCAATGAGCCAACGATCAATGAATTGCTTTCCGAAGAGGAAAAAGGAATAAATCAATCAACTTGTAGAATGTGGAATTGGGTTTAGGGTACCTGAAAATGCTGCCTCCAAAGAAAGATGTTTTACAAGGGATAGAAATCCAACAGGAGATAATATGTTGGCGGTTTTACAACCAACTAGAAAATCAGCCCGCGCTCTGCGGCGGAATATGTATGATTCGTTGTATGATAGATTGATGGTTCTTAATTTAGAAGGTTAACGATTGAGGCATGAAACTACTTTTAATTGTTAATTTGAAATAAAATCACTTCTGCACTTTTCTACAGCAGCTGATACCATAGCTCTGCCCCATTGTATTTGTATACTTTCTAATCTATATACTATAACCCAAAACTACAGTATAAACTTCCAATTTTAAAGACACCATTATGGATTTCATATTATTGTAACATTAAAGTTGAAATGAACTGGATTTTAATTGATTCTTCATATGTTCCTGTTCTGCATACTTGTTGATTTAACGGACATTCCATGAAATTGAAGTTCTTTATCATTATACTTTTATAGGTAACTGCATTGTTGAGAACTAAAATCAAGATAATCTAGCTTCTTCAATTACGAAGAAACAACAAAGGAAAACTAAATGAGACCAAATGCTCAAAAATGAAAGCTTAGCTCTGATGCTTTGTTTTTGAATGCCTATTCTATCAGCAACACAACAAATGGGGAATGCATAACTCTTGCAAACTTTGTTTACCGCTTTGTAATAGAAACTGTGCTATGCATGTAGTTAAACAATAGCAGTGGATAGGCAAACAAAAACAAATTGAAATCAAGATTTTTTTTATTTATATAACTCGTATTCAACACTACATGATGTAGTAAATGAGCAACAAAAAGGACAGGCATATATATATAAGTATAGAACACACTCTGACTCATTATCACAAATTCAAATCCACGTAGAACCATTGGTGACTTCAAAAACAAAAATGAATGGACACCCTAAACTGGCACAGTAAAGCAATGTCATGAGTGTTTCATGCTTGCATCCAAGTCAAAATTGATGCAAGCAGCTGAGACACAATTGCAAAAGAGGTAGAAAATCACTGCAATCGTACTATGTCAAACTGATGTGAGAAATAGGGAGCATAAGAAAGGTGTAGTAAATGTAACCAAAGAACATGTTTCATAAGTTGCAACACAACAGCCTGTGCATCAAAATCAATGTTATAAAGCCCTTTCGAAATGTCTCAGCCATTATATCTAAGCTCATCCAAATAAGTTCATTTAATAATGACATAAATATCAAGTCTTGATATATACGAACTACAAAGTTGTCATGAGATGACTTGCAAAAGCTATGTTTCTTTTCATATATCAGTTCTGCAACCTGCAATTCTCCTTGCTAGTATTATTCATTAATTTCATAAGAAATTCTTCGGAATAAAATGAATGCCCTGGGCTAGCTGAACTTTAAATAACAGGAAGCCTAATCCAAGATTCTAAATTAAGATGAATGCAAAAGTAGAAGTAACGCAGATAATGAATGTTGATTGTTGGTCATGCGAATGAAAACTTCTTGAGGCCATTTTGAAGAACGAACCAATGCCCGAGATATGGAAGAATTAGTACATATGAAAGTCAACAGGAAACCATACAAGTAGAATAAGATACTAAACATTCAAATTTAAACAATCCCAAATTGTTGATACATGCATTGATGATTTCAATCAAAGGAATGATGAAAAGAATTAAGAACCCATCTAGACGTCTTTTGTATCTCCATTAACCACATTTCATTGGCTACTCTTCTCTTCCTAATCGGCTAAACTGCCGAGCCAATTTTGTCTCTGTTTCCTGAGGGAGAGTTGGAACACTAAGTGGCGGCTAGGCAAGCTGGTCTCAATTTCTGCTTTTGGATTCGAGTGAAGAAGAGAAGTCGCATGCTCATCTGTTTCGATTCGGAATAGCCCGTTCTAACACGTTTATTTCAACAGGAGAGCAGCCTATTACGTCCATAAATCCAACACCTCATCCTTTCCAATTCAAAATTGCAATTAATCCAAAGCTTGGCACTTAGAGAGACAGAGGGAATCAGAGAGAGAAGACGGATGAAGCTTCTATTTGAGGATGGTGGGTTAAATGCATGATTTCTTTGATCAATTTTTCACTGCTAAACCCAAGAACAAGCTGGGATTCATCAATGGTGTTCTCACAGAACCAGACCCTGCAGATCCACTTCATGGTGCCTGGGTTAGGAACAACATCATGATACTAAGCTGGATTCAACAGGCATTCATCATCACTATCATTGTTGCCAGTTCTACAGTCAACTATTTCATCCAATCCGACGAAACCAGGTAATCAACTCTCCCATGGCTTCGATTAGATTTCCCGGTGGTGAGGAACCCTCGATTTCTCACAGAAGAAGCTAACAACTCATCTCTCATCTTCTTCCAAAAGCTGTTGAGCGCGCTCAGAGAGGAAGCCTCCTAAGTGATCTCTGCTCTCAGACCGAGCCTAGCTCTAGCAAGCGCACGATCCGTCTTCTTCTCGGGCAGGTGATTACCTGTGCGGCGCGGCGATTGCTGTAATTTTAGTGAGCATCTAACAGCAGTTAATCATTTTTAGGGTTTTGTTTCTAAGATCTTCTTGCTCTTACTTGATCTTCTTCTTTATCAAGTGTTCAAGAATTGTTGATATGGCGAGCGGGTTCTTTGATTGAGATTAGGCGGAAGACATGAAAAGGGATTTTTTCACAATTGGAAAGGAGGGTGAATGGGGGAAACAGGAACGAAGAGGAGAGAGGGATGCACGAAAAAGAGGGTGGTGTGTGTCAGGTGTGGCTGTTTCTAGATTAGCACGTGCATGTGGAGAAATAAAAAAGAAATCAATGGCCATACTTGCCCAGCCCAATGTGACAGAACTCGGGCTTACCTAAGATCATCCGCAGCAGATCATAAATCCCTTCTGTGAACAGTAAGTCCCGATTTTTTCTTAAGGAACAGTAATTTCGTATTTTTGGTAATTTTTTTAAACTTGTGGTTTAATAATTCTAATTTGCAAAAGGAACACAAGAAAGATAATTCTTAGGGGGAAATCTTGTTAAGAGCTCCTTCCCCCCTAGCTTTTTGTTAAAGATGACTAGATGAGGATATGGACAGAAGGTAACTGTGAATGGTAAACAAATATTTTTCACTATAAATTTTAATCAATACAAATATTCAAAATTCAAGGATGATGCATATTTTATTTACGTAGAGCAATATTTTTATGTATTATGATAAACCACATATTGGACTTCTAAATCCAACATCCATTCGTGTAAAAAAGACATATTGAGCATCCAACAAATAGATAAAAGTATTGTCAACAAATTATCAAAAGTTTTAAAATAGATAAGAGTTACTAAACAAGACAAATAGTTTACGAGGTAAATATAGCATGCTTGCATATTGGCAAAATGATACTTACAAATATATAGGGTTGACCGAGACAATAAATTCATAATAATATGAAATATCATTGAATTGAATTGATAGAAAGAAATCAAACTGAATAATGTTCTATTATCTGCACAAGCTTCTTTATCTCAAATATTTAATCGGTTGAAGTCAAAGTTAGACAATCAAATTGTTATCAAACTAGAGTTAGGAAACACATGATGCTTGAGTCATTTACAATCCTGTTATTGGTTATTGACTAAGATGGGTAACAATTATGTTTGCAACAGATTGAATCAAATCTAATGAAAAATTTGTCCATATCGAATTCGATTTTGAGTTTATTGAATTATTCTAACACACCGTTTGGTATCAAATGAATCGAGAATTCATTTTATTGTAAAATGGATTATCACGTAGAATTCATTGCCACATGAAATCTTGTGTTTGGTATGTTATATCCAAATCTTTAAAATAGAATGAATTGTCGTGTAGAATTCATTGTCAAATGAATTCATGTGTTTGGTATTCATATGTATAAGTAATTTAGTTAATAAAATAGGATAATTATATCATTCTATTAAAATTAGTAAATACTTGTGGAATTCATTTGAAAATTCCATCTCAATTCATCGGAATTGCTATAACTAGTTCCAATTCCACAGAATTCAAAATTTAGAATTGAAAATGAATTCTTTTAAATACCAAACACAAAAATGTTTCATTTCAAAATGAATTACTCAAACTTATGGAATTCATTTATACCAAACGGTATCTAAAATCAAGAAAAAGGGGTAAATGCCACATTTGGTCACTGAAATTACTAAAACATGTCATGTTTAGTCACTAAAAAAAATTAATATCAATTTTGGTCACTCGAATTACTGAAAAATGTGACATTTTTCAGTAATTCTAGAGACATTCATAAAAAAAATCAAGTGACCGAAGTTGGATGGAGGGTAACAGAAGAGTGACTAAATGTGACCTATTTTAGTAATTCGAGTGACCAAAATTAATATTAATTTTTCATAGTATGAATCAAATCAAATTCAACTACTACATAAACTCTAAATGATCAACTTTCCCCCTTGTTTTTTCCTTGTTTATACTCTTAACAGATTGGTTTCGATTCTGAACACTACATGTGCACATAAGAATAAGATCCATTCCATTCCAAACAAACCGATGCGAGCGAGCGAGCGAGCTACATTGTTCAATAGAGGGTTTGCGATGCAGAATAAATAAGAAAGGCCACGAGATCCCCAATATATAATATAATATAATGTCTCATATATATACACTAAACAAACCTCAAATCGATCCCAAGAGCGGCCTCCAGTCCAGAGAGCCGACGCCTTGCTTTTTTTGACATTGAGGAATCTTCTCGAATGCCTTCACCGGAAGCTTCTTCGAAAATGGTCCGACGAAGAACTCGATGTCGCCATCGCCGCTGACCTCAATCGCACTGAGGGAGAGCCAGAAGAAGGCCTGCTTGGTGGTGATTCCCGATACATCGCGGACGGCGCCTTTGCTGAGCTTGCCTCCGATTTCTTTGTCGTAATGGACGAGGTAGCCGGCGAATCGGACGTCGCAAGGGGTGGTGAAGCGGACGGTGAAGGTACCGTCGGAAGGGGAGAGTGTGTAGGATTCAACGCCGTCGGGGAGAAGTCCGACGGGGAAGCCGTATTGGGGAAGGAGGTCGTGAATTTCTGAGAGGCCTTGGCCTTGGTGGACGGAGAGTGAGAGACTGATGAAGCAGAAGAGGGAGACATTAATTAAGAATGGAAGTTGAAGTTTGGCCGCCATCTTTGTGTTTGCGAGCTTTCTTTGATTGACAGACTTCGGGAGAACTGAGATTTATTTATATATCGTATTGGCCGGCAAGGTCGGGGGTGGTAAAATGTAGATTTGGTCACTAAGATAACTTATATTTGTCCAATTGAGCATAAAAACTCTTATAACACACCAAAGATTAAGTTTGAGTTTTTTTCCAAGGATCCGATCAGATCTAAAACAATATTTAAGATCGAGAAGGAAAATTAAATTGCAAATTATTTCAACCTGATCCAATTAAAATTAAATTACACACATGCTAATCAAATTCATACTTGTGATCTATTTTATACGAAATTTTGCTACTAGTTCCCCACTAAAATTACTTCAATTATGCTTGTTAACAATTTATATGGACGAGGTTGTCACAGCAACTAACTAGTAAAATGCTTTTGTGGACGGTTCATCATAGCCTGCACAAAAAAGTTTAATGTCCAAGTCAACTTTTTCTTTTTGGATGAACCGATGTCCAAGTTAACTTATACAAGGAAGTTTGAGGATCAGATTGGTATTTAACTTGTAAGATTGGTGGACATTAGGTTGGATTGGTGGGGTTAGATGACCAATTTCTATTCTTTTTAGGTCATTTGGTATCAACATACTTTTATGAGTAGCGTTTACGGTTGGTTACATTGATCACTTATTATACGCCACATAATTATAATTTATTGATAATTAAATCAATAAAATGTAGCTAAGAAATTGTCCGAAAAGTAGTCTTGCTTGAACTCGCACGCGGCAACCAAAACAAAACCGAAACCGATTTGGTCCAATTCCATACATACTACCCAACCGACACCCACGCCAAGCGGTGGCCGGTGAGCAAGAAACTACAATTTGCAGGAGGCGACGAAAATGGAGTCGATTACCCTCGGCCAAGTACCCTTTGCTCCGAAGAATGGCAGAATCTATGACATAAAGCAGTTCCCCCTTAAAAGAACGGTGTATTCTTCGGCGCCAATTCAGCAAACGGTACCAACTCGCGACTCTCAAGAACTACAGGCGATCTGATTTCCCAGGTTATATATGACTTACTCACTGTTGTTGTTTCTGTGATTTCAATGGTTTCTTCTTCTTCCTTGCAACGCCCTTTTGTTTATATTCCCTACTGAACTAGAGTGATTGTGGTGGAACCCATGATCCCCCAAAGTAGAAAAGCTTGTTTAATTATATTACCGAATGATAGAATTGTTTGTACAGGTGTGCTGCTGTGCTTTGGCTGTTGCCTTGCCAGCTTGAGCAATAATTGTGAGTGTTAACAATTGGAATTTCCAATTTTGAGCTCTTAAAAATGTAAACTTTCTTTGACACTTTTGGGGTTCTTAACCAATTACCTTTGATATATCTTGATGATGATCTGATTCCATGATATTGTACAGAAGCCATGTGAAATGAACTATTTCATTATGGTCTCAAAATGAAGCTAAAGCGTTTCCCTTTCCACAGATTTTAGCGAGTATGCCAAGCCTTCACGGCTTCTAGGGGTTGCAGAACCGAGACTCTGCACTGAGACATCATGGGAGCGAAGTATTTCGTCGTCGTTCAATGCAGGCGATTGTGCTGCTCTCTACAAGGTAAAGCTACGGACAAGCAACATGCATGGGTCAGGTCTAGATGATAAAAATGCTCTTGTGCTTGGTCGATGATACTAGTAGTGCAGTACTACTGAGGATACCTTCCATTTCAAATAACAGTTTAGCAGACTCTGAAGACATTATCGAGTCTGAAGCAGTCCATTTCCAAAGAGGTGCCACTGACGAGTTCTTCTTCGAGGGACCTCAACTGGGCAGAATTGAAGCTTTGTGGATTGGGGTTGATTCAAGTAAGATTCTATATCTTGGCAAATTGAACAGTATTTTCCGCAATAGTTGTCATGCAACTCTAATTAAAATTTAGTATTTTGGTATCTATTTCACATGCCAGTCACTGAAATTGATTTTATGCCAGGTAAATGTTAACTCTGCATCAGCAGATGACGTGTGTTAATGAAAATGTTACCCGTTCTCTGCTAATTCTTGAATATCTGATGCCAGGTCAATTGAGATTAACTAGCGCGAGCCTGACTGAAGTTAATGGTCCTCAACCTTCGTCGAGCAGAGTGGACGAAGAAACAACAGTTCCATTTTCTGGTTTCCATTATGAATTTGATGCTGCTGACATTTTGCTTGGAGAGAGAGATGATTTATCTATGGTAGAAATTAGACCTCGTCAGATTTCCAAGCTATCAGATCCTCTCACCATATCAACTACCAGTTCTACTTTATCAACTAGTAGCAAGATCTCCAATGAGCAAAGCATGAGAGAATATGCAGATTTGAAACTGTCATGGCTATCCTACGACGCAATGCTTATTCTCGGTGGTACACTGATTTTGAACTTCTCAGCTGGCAAAAATTCTGCTGTCGCATTCCTGATAGGAGGGATGTGTGGTTTCTCCTACCTGTTGTTGCTGCAAAGGTCTGTGGGTGGATTGGAATTGGAGATTTGTTAAGGGACCAGTAGTGGGTTTGGCTTTGGGGTTAGGACTTAGGACTGCCTTTAGCAGCCGCTCGATATGGGTTTTCGAGATATTGATCCTTCTCTAGTGTCTCCAAAGGAACTGATAGTGGGAATATTGGGGTTTCTCGTGTGTAAAGTTGCTGTCTTGATGGCTGCATTTAGGCCTGTGAAGAGTGATTGGTTCCAAGGGAAGTAAGTGATGTAGTTTGCAGTTTCTGTGAGTTTAGCTTGCAAAGTTGGAAAATTGCTGGTAGAGAACAGACTACAGAGTATACGCATAATATAGAACAGTTGTAGATTTGTACAGATAGTAAATGCTCCTTATAGAAAGTTTGTTATCTTTGTTATTGATTTATTCTGTAATGGTATTGGTGTATTCCGAAATGGTAGTGGTTGTTTAACGGATTGATATTGATTTATTTGTATTGGTGTTTTTCGAAATGATAGTGATTGTCTAACGTATTAATATTAATTCTTGTTTTATTTTTACAGTGTTATTATTTTCTATTGAAAAGAGAAGGAAAAGATTGAGAGAAAAAACAGAAAGATCTTATTGAAGATTGTGGAAGTGAGAAAAAGAGAAAGAAAATTGTAATTAATATATTTTTATAACTAACTAAAATGTAATTTATTAAAAAAATAATTAATAAATTTTTTGTCATACCCAATTTGCTTTTAGTAATCATGATCATTATTTTATAGTAATTACCACCTGTCTCCTCTCTTCTCCTCCAACCAGGCATACTATTCGCCCCTATCCCTCCGAATAAAAGGGGGAAAGAAAAAACACAGTCTACACTCAGTTTATCTGATCGAATAATCAAATCCCACTGGAATTTTGGGCAGGAGAGGCACCACACACTACACAGTACACAACATAGAAGAAGAAGAGAAAGAACATTCAAGACAAGCTCAATTGTCCAGTCTAAAAAACGACTAGATAGAAAAAGAGGACCCAAATCATTATTGAAACTTGTCTTGATTCTCAACAGTATTGATTTTATGCCATTGATGAGTCAGATTCGTTTTACACTAATACAACCTAGGGGTGTATGTTATTAAAGTCACGCAACAAATAATCAATTCGAAGATTGATTGAACTCGAATCAAGAACAACACGTTCTTAATACAAAATTTGGATAAAACGGAACCAACGGACAATTTCACCCCTCGGGAAAGCTCATACGGTATAGAAGGGTAGTTGCTCGACCACGATTGAAGTGACTATTCAATCGATACACAAGCTCAACAAGTTTGGAATCCGCCAAACCCAATAAGTTCGCAAACTTGAACAAACCAAACGGTTTCGATTTCTATTCAACAAAGTCTAAGTTTTTACAACGTAAATAGAAGCTATTTAAAGGCAATAAAAACGTAATACAAACCTAATAGAACTAGGAAACAATTAAGGTAAACTTCTAATCTAAAAATGACACAAAATTCGGACTCAAACTTCCTTTTTTGAAACACAAGTAAGGTGTCAGCAAACAGTCCAAAAACAACTTTCGTACTAACTTCGCACCTTTCGTTCGAGGCCTTCCAGAACTTCGTTCCTTCATCCAATTCCTTCCCTTGGTAGATAAACATACCTATTTTCATGTTGTAGAAGCCTTTGGTCTCAAGTCAGATCCATGCTCCTTGAATTGAGCTCCAAAGTAAGCTTATTGAAACTGTTCTTCTAATAGAGTTAGACCATTTGGATCATATCACACACCCCCACCAAACGACAGTAACGCCATTTTATAAACACAAGCACAGAATACAATAACTGTGATGGGCTCTTCTTCGAATCTCTGATGGGTTCCTAGAAATTCCTCTCCGGCGGCAGAGCTCATAGCTGGCAAGTGGTTGAAGTACTGGGTCGAGATCGGCGCCCCATTGTCCGCTGTGGGGCTCTTCGAGGCCCAGCTCAGCAGCTGCGTGTATCAGCTCCTCAGCATGGCTGATTTGGGGATCCTGCCCAGATTCTTCGCCCTGAGGTCCAACTACTTCAACACTCTCTGGCTGTCCACCCTGAGTTGCTCCTAAATGGACTTTGCCGATATGATATCATCTCCTCCGCGAATTTCCTCTACACCCTTGGGATGCTGCTCGAGTTTGCGGCCTTCCTCTGACTCAGGAGGAAGCTCCCCTATCAATTAGGCTACAATAGCATGTGCGGCCAACAAAATACATTTGGAATGACTTGTGAAGAAAAATGTCTCTAATCGGACTCCTCGACAAGATGTTCAAAAAATGCTGCAAAAAAGAAAATATATATTGTTCTGTATGGAGTATGGACTCGAACTCACAACACCAACCCAAGAACACGGGCTGCAAGCGCGCACCTTGTGATAATAAAGCAATGCAAATTGCAAAGCAAGCATATGATCGATTCTGATAGCTAGCCAGCCTCCCGTCCCATGTTGAACAACTAGCTCCACCTTGTCCACAGAGCAGATTGAGCCTAGTGAAGGTTGAGCTAGCCTAGCCTAAGTGCGCCTAGAAATTTCCTTCCCTTCATGTAGATAGATACAAGGCTTAGACCACCCACAGTGGGGTGGGAAAAGAAGGGAAAGAAGGATAACAAAAAGGCCTCACTGTGGGCAACCGGTTCGGTAAACCCGAACTGAACCGAATTAATATTATTCTGTTCGGAATTCAGAAGGAAAATATGGATAGTTCGGAAATCAGGGTTTTTTCAACCGAACGTAATTTCCGTCCGAAAAACCGTAATACTATAATTGCAAGCTCCAAATGGTAAACTTTTATGTTTTTAGACTTAAATATTTGAAATGTTTTATGACTTATGTGTTGAAAAGTTTGATTTTATCATTGATGATGCATATAATTGCATATTTATTGTTTATATTAGGGGTGAAAAATAATTTAAAAATGAGAAGATACAAGTAGCTTCACAAATTCGGTTTTGTGTGAAAAACCAAACTGAATTATAATTCGGTTAAACCGACCAAACCGAATTATAATTCGGTTTTGAGATTTGGGAGAATTCGAGGACCCGATATTCATAATTTCGATTCAGTTTCAGTTCGGTCAAAACCGAACCGACCGAATGTCCACCCCTACTCACAGTGGAGGGGGAAAAGGAGGGAAAGAAGGAAAAGAAAGGGAGGAAGTGGGTGGATTTATCCTCACAAGTCACAACTCACAAGAGGACAAAAGGAGTAAAGGAAGGAGTGGTGTGGCACACTCCTTTTTTGTTTTTTTTAAGTTATTGTATTTTCTAAACCGTAGATGCATTTAACAATCAGAATTAAATTTCAACGTCATATTTTTAAATGATTATATTTTTCAATAGACTTTTTAAATTAATGACTTCATATATAAAAAAATGATCAAATTATTGATGACATCATATTTAATTAATAACGGAAAAAATTATGTCCAAATTAAAATGAAATTTATCACAGTATTCATTTTAATTAATTATTACTATCTATATAAAAAGAATGATCAAATTATTTAACTAAAGTGACAAAATCATTACTGAATTGATTTCATCACAAAATACCCCTCCCACTTTCCCCTCCTAACCCATTATGAGATTTTCCACCCACAAACCCAAAAATATTAAAAACCCAAATTCCACCCCAACCCACCCATTTCTCCCTCCCAACCATAATGAATGGTCTTAACTCTTAAGTAGGGGTGGAAGTTTAGTTTGTGGATTGCCGGTAATCCACAAACCGCACCAAACCGCATACATTGTGGGTAACCATACCCACAATTTGTGGATAGTGGGTTGGGTGTGGGTAGCAAAATATTGATTTTTGTGATTAGTGATTGACCACTATCCACAGCGGTTAACCCACAAAATATACAATAAGCACACTAAGTATATTTATTTATTAATAATACTTTGTAATATTAAATTATGTGAAAAGTAGAATGCTACAAATTAAAGTAGGCTCCAAAATCAAATATATACTTATTTTATAAAATAAAACTAAGTCAATACAACGTGTTCGTATGTGATACTTTTATTAAATAAGTATTGTCCGTGTGGTATATGTTTATTTTATAACAAAACAAAGACGATAAATGTGGTTTATAGTTTATTTAACACTTTATTGATTAACTTTCTTTTATTTAGGTTTTTGTTTTTGTGTAAGAATACGCTAATTCCGCAACTCGGGAGAGAGTTCCATTTATCTAAAAAATCGAATTAAAAATGCAAGGAGTCATGTCGCTGATAAAGATGCTATGTATATTAAGATTAGATCCCTTCAATCTATACTCGCTATCAATCTGCATTTCCTAAAGAAAGTGAAGTGACATGTAAGCGAGTGAAGTGAACCGAGGAGAGGGAGGTTGACTACTTAGGAGGTTCCGAATATCGGATCTTCGCTCGTTCCATGTCTTGGGCTTCTTTACTTAGTTTTAACTCAATGTTTTTTTTTGCCGTCACTCGACCAATAGGTTTATCATATACGAGTCCAAAAGGTGAAGGAAGTAAATTTTTTGTGGGTATCCACATCCAACCCGCAGTGGATAGTGGTTAACCACTACCCACTGTGGGGCGGGTTGTGGGTAGTATAATTCTATATTTGTGGATGTGGTTACCCGCAAAATGTGGGGCGGGTAACCACACACACCCCAATTTCCACCCCTAGTCTTAAGCACACATGTGTTAATGTTCAACTGATCACCTACTCGACACAACCCGTGTTAACGGTGACAAGTATGGTCCATGAAACCGTACCGAGAAAGTCAGCAGTAGGGTATTTTATAGTAAAATCGTGGTTTAACCGTAGTTCAACCGTTATACCGATAAATACCGCCTATCGGTTTAGCCTCTGATACTGGTATTTCATGTTTGAACCGTCGATATGGTACGGTTTCATGGACACGGCTGACCAACACACAACAAGGGTTAATCAGGAGGAGGGACCCAATAATTAACCGCCCAACCTCTCATCTCCTAGCTAGGCTGCATATATCATATATGGTACTACGTACTGCTAATAACTTCATTTTCAATCGAATGAGCTAGCTAGCTAGCTAGCGTCACGAATACAAATCAATATGGCGCCAAGTTTTGCATGGCCTACTATGTACTGTATGTTTCAGATAGTGCAATAGCTTGTCTTTAATTACGGCTGTTGTTTACTGCAATTCCAATTCCTAGCTAGAAATGGATGATTCCTCACTTCCACATATATTGATTTCACATCCCACCAGACATGCACCAGTTACTTGTTTTTATTTACCCTGCTTAGCTTCTTCACTTCCACACAATCATAATTATTGTTATTATGATCACTGGATCTGCTCCAATGAACTCATCATCAGCTGATCATGAAGATCAACCTCACTCGCAGTCCACAGCTGCTGCCATGGATCATGAAATCTCGTCATCGCGCGCCATCTCAGCAGCAGCAACAGCTCCCCAAAATTAGCACCACCACGAAGACGATGGTGAAGAAGAAGAAGAAGCAGCAGCTGACTCTGCTCCCTCTGATTTTCATCATCTACTTCCAAGTCGCTGGCGGGCCATACGGCGAGGAACCCGCCGTCCAAGCCGCCGGACCTCTCTACGCCATCCTCGGTTTCCTCATCTTCCCGTTCGTGTGGAGCGTGCCGGAGGCCCTCATCACCGCCGAGCTCTCCACTGCTTACCCAGGCAACGGCGGATTCGTCATCTGGGCCCACCGCGCTTTCGGGCTCTTCTGCGGCTCCCTGATGGGCTGCTTGAAGTTCCTGTCCACCGTAATCAACGTCGTCGCCTTACTCGTCCTCTGCGTCGATTACCTCAACAAGGTACGTACGTACGGATCGGACCTGGTATTCATATTACCATACACTGATCATCGACTATTGTAGGTAGAAAAGAAAAAAAAAATTTGGATTAATATTCTTAATTTCTTATGTAATGTCCATTTTGGAATGATACTTAAATTACATATAATTTGTTGTATGATATTCGCGAAAAACGTCAATTTTCTCTACCATTGATTGATGGTTTTAATCAAGATTTGATATTTTTTTGCTAAAGAAGTGAAGTCGAGATGCATAAAGAGTATTTGTTTTCTCTTTCAACGGGAAACTTATTGTAAATGTTAATTAGTTGCCTGATAATTAGACGAATAATTGATTTTGTGGAATAACCCACTCAATACACCAATATTCACCCTTACTAACAAAAAATATGTTGTTGATATTAGTATAGTTAGATTAACAAATAAATAAGAATTTTTTTTACATATTTTAAAAGCTTTATAAGTGGAGATAAATAAATAAAAAAGTTGAGTCCGTCGGCAAGTGCTGCAAGCTCATGTGTATGTATATACAAAGTAAATATTTTGACTTTCAACGCACATTTACATGTTATTTCTGTTTCATCTATGTTTTCGCCGTCCTTTGCTCTGCCCTCGTAAGTTCCCCGTTGATGATTTTAGTTGAACTGAACTGAGAGGTTTTTGCGCGCGTTTTGTATTGGTGCGTCAGGTGATCCCAGCTCTGGAATCAGACTGGCCGCGGACCATTTCGATATGGGGCTTGACCTTGTTCCTCTCATTCCTCAACTACACCGGATTGGTCATAGTAGGTTACCTCTCCGTGCTTCTCGGAATCTTGTCCTTGTCGCCCTTCATAATCATGTCCATCCTCGCAATTCCCAAGATTCAACCTCGTAGATGGATCAGTCTGGGCGACCAAGGAATGAACAAGGACTGGAATATGTTCTTCAACACCCTTTTTTGGAACCTCAGCTACTGGGGACAGTGTTAGCACAATAGCCGGGGAAGTGGAGAAGCCAGCAGAAACATTCCCACTGGCGCTACTAATCACCGTGATAGTGAACTGCCTGTCCTATCTGATCCCTCTCTTGGCGGTGATTGGAGCCGTCTCAGTGGAACAATCCGCCTGGGGATTCGGGTTCCACGCCACGGCTGCAGAGCTCATATGCGTTAAGTGGTTGAAGTACTGCCTCGAGATCGGCTCCGCGCTGTCCACGGTCGGAATGTTCGAGGCCCAGCTCAGCAGCTCTGTCTACCAGCTGCTCGGCATGGCCGATCTCGGGATCCTGCCCAAGTTTTTTGCCCTCAGGTCCAACCGGTTCAATACTCCCTGGGTCGGGATACTGCTGTCGACAGCGATCATCCTGGGTTGCTCCTACATGGACTTTGCCAATATTATCTCGTCGGCGAACCTCCTCTACTCCCTTGGGATGCTGCTCGAGTTCGCGACGTTCCTCTGGCTCAGGAGGAAGCTCCCCGAGCAGAAGAGGCCCTACAAGGTTCCCATGCGCCTGCCCGGGCTGATTGTGATGTGCTTGATTCCGTCTGGGTTCTTGGTGATCATCTTGGTGGTTGCTACAAAGACTGTTCTTTTGGTGAGTGGGCTCATGACTCTTGGTGCAATTGGGGGGTACTTTCTGATGAAGATTTGTAAGGTGAAGAAGTTGTGCCTATTCAGCAGCGAGAGTAGTGCTGTTGATGAAGATGAATGAATGAATGACAGATAAAACTAGCACCTTTACCATATATATATATATATATATTCTGAATTGGCTGCGTACAATTTTGTGGTAATCCCTCTGTATCGATGTGTTGTGCATTATGAAAAATTTGACATTTCAAATAGAATTCAATTTGAGATTAACAAAAACAGTTAAAGCCAATCCGATCATAATATGAGATGATTTGATTCTGTTTAGAAAGATCGATTTGATTCGAAGTCGATCTAGTCCGATCAAAATAGAAGTACCTATAATTAAGCATTGAAGGTTTAGAACTTGACGGGAAATTCTTTGGGAGCAGATATGGTGACAACACTCATTGTGTTGTTATTGTAACAACCTGCTAGCCTCCAACCAATAGGAAGCTAGGGTTGTGATGACTTTTTATTAGCTAAGTTGACCTAGTGTAAAATCAAAGCAGGGGTATAATTGTCATTATGAAAAATATGTTTAAATAATAACAAAATAAATAAAAAAATAATTTTTATTTTTTGCCCAAAATTTTGGTCGGCGGAATTCCGCCACAGGTCACTGGAAACTGGTCGCCGGTCACCGAAATATGTTTTTTGTCGCCGTAATATGTTTACCAGCGTCGTAATCTAGTCATCGGGACCGGAATATGTCTATCGCCATCGGAATCTGCTCACTGACGGTCATCGGAGTTCGGTCAACGGTCAACGATCACCGGATGTTATGGTCTGCATTGTAAGATTTATGGTTTGGTTTCTCATATTTTTTTATGCCTTTTGTGGTTTGCTTTATCGTGTTTGTGGTTTGCATTGAGAAGTTTCTGGTTTGCTTTCAAAAATTTTGTGGTTTGCATTGTGAGGTTTCTGGTTTGTTTTAATATATTTGTGGTCTGCATTAGGACGTTTATGGTTTGTTTTTTTGTGGTTTGATTTACTGTGTTTGTGGTTTGCATTAGAAGGTTTCTGGTGTGCTTTCGCAAATGGTTTGCTTTGTGAGGTTTGTGGTTTGTTTTAGGAGATTATTGGTATGCATTAGGAGGTTTCGGGTTTGCATTAAGAAGTTTATGGTGTGCTTTCGAAATTTTTGTGGTTTGCTTTGTGCGATTTCTGGTTTGTTTTAATATATTTGTGGTCTGCATTAGGACATTTGTAGTTTGCTTTCTATGGTTTGCTTTACCGTGTTTGTAGTTTGCATTATGAGGTTTCTGGTGTGCTTTTCGAAATATTTGTGGTATACTTTTGGAATATCTGGTATGTATTAGGACAATTGTGGTTTGCATTAAGATGTTTCTAGTTTGATTTTTGTTGTTTGTTTTATTGTGTATTTGGTTCGCATTATGAGATTTCTGGTGTGTTTAAAAAATATTTGTGGTTTGCTTTGTGGTGCTTCTGGTATGTTTAAGCAATTTATGGTCTATATTCGGAGGTTTCTTGTATGCTTTTATGAATTTTTTTTACCATATTTGTAGTTTGTATTAGCAAGTTTTTACTGTGATTATGAAATATTTCATAAGCACAAGGGTAACTAACAAACGAATACAAAACCATTACAATGCTACAAACCACGAACTACCTGAGATCAGGCCAGTATGCAGTTGCCTATAAGTCCTGTAACTAGAGCTAGGTGTTCTGAACCAGGGAGACCAACAATTGATCAATGAGGGCCAACTGGAATTTGATTTATAAACTCTCTGCTCCCCTTCGCATTATGCTTGTTCTTCCGGATATCTCCGCTGTGATTCCTCTCACAGTAAGGATTATACAACGTTTCAGCATATCTTCCCCTTTCCTCCTGTGCAACGTTTTGCAACAGTGTGATTCCCACTTCCTTCACTCATTAGTCATTACTACTATTACCAGCATCGAAGCTACCACCCGCGGCATTCACCCGCTTCATTCCCCTCCAGTTCTCGCCCCAAACCTTCGCCTCGGCCACTGCTCTCTCCCTATCCAAATCCCGGTTCCTCGAACCTTCCCTCATTATGTTGGCTCCGTTCATTATCGCACGACTCTTCTATAGAGCAACCTCCGCCGTCATCACCTGCTCACCCTTGATTGCACGGAGCCACCCCACCCCTCCCCTATCCTCTTCTCTTTCTATTTGTCTTTTGTTTGGCTCTAATCTGAAACTAAATGTCCTTGCTCTGCTTCTCGTTGTTCTTTTTAACCTTTCCTTTTGGGATAATCAGCAGCAGCGGCAGTAGACAGAGAAGGGACTCCGAAGCTCGGGACGATGATCAGAATGGACCTAGGAGCAATCTATTCGTTTGTTGTCGTTTTCAGAACCCCGAACGGAGAGTCTCATCGGTGAGGACGCCAAAAATCAGGCACCTTAGTGTTAACTCGATGTATTGCAATCTGACGTTTATTCAAGGTGGACACCAACGTCCTTAAGTACAAAAGAAAGTCACAGGAATCGGCCATGACCAACAACCTCAACAGCAAGATCCAAATAGATCGCTGGACTACTAACTACTCTGCTAAAACCACGCAAGGACTAAACTAAAGAAAGACCAACTAAACAGGGACTGGAAATATAAAAGTTCAAACGGTCTGATTCAAATGCAACAGCTACTAAGCCAGTTGCTTTGTTTCTAATGACCTGAGTTCGTGACCTATAACCAACAAAGTCCTCCCCTAAACTGAAGCCTGGTGCACTGCTTCAGTTTACCTGCTTGATCTTCAACCTTCTCCTTCGAACTCCCTGATGTCAACCATTCCTAGCTTGGTTCTCAGCAGCTGATAAGTCTCCAACTTGAGAGCTTTGGTCATGATATCTGCTACCTGCTGCTGGCTTCCACAGTGCTCCAACACAATCACACCATCATTTGCCAACTCTCTAAGAAAATGGAATCTTACATCGATGTGTTTGCTTCTGCCATGCATCACTGGGTTCTTGGAGAGTTTGATGGCTGAGCTGTTGTCACACATGATTGTTGTGGTTGTGTTCCCGTCTCCTTTCCACCCAATCTGCTCCAGTATTCTTCTAAGCCACACACATTGAGATGCACAGTAGGCTGCTGCAATGAACTCTGCCTCTGTGGTGGACAAAGTGACCACTGGTTGCTTCTTTGAGGCCCAGGAAACTGCACCACCTGCAAGGAAGAAAGCGTAGCCACTAGTGCTCTTCTTATCGTCAGCATCTCCTGCATAATCGCTGTCAGTATACCCTACCAAGCCCTCTTCTTCTTGCTTCCTCTTATACCAGATACCAAACTGCATAGTGCCCTTAATGTATCTCAGCACCCTCTTGGCTGCCAACATATGCTGCCTTGTTGGCATCTCCATGAACCTGCTAAGAAGACAGACCACAAACATGAGATCTGGTCTGGTTGCTGTGATATATAACAAGCTTCCAACCAATCTCTTGTAATCAGTTGAGTTAACAAGCACACCATCTCCAGCTTTTGTCAACTTAACCCCTGGAACAATTGGATTGTGGGCATGACTGCAGTGCTGCAAGTTGAATCTCTCCAGCACCTCCCTTGCATATTTTTGCTGACAGATAAAAATCCCAGCTTGACTTTGAGTAACTTCCACGCCCAAGAAGTATCTCATTCTTCCCAAGTCTGTCATCTCGAATTCTGCTTGCATTGCCTCTTTGAACTCTGCAATTAGCTCATTACTGCTGCTAGTATACAGTAGATCATCAACATAGATGCTAACAATTAAGATATCCTCCCCTGCTCTTTTTATAAACAAAGTATGTTCATAACAACTTCTCTCAAAACCCTCCTTGATCAGATAGGTTTCAATGCGACTGTACCAGGCTCGTGGAGCCTGTTTGAGGCCATACAGTGCCTTTTGCAGCTTATATACTTTAGACTCCTCCCCAGCAACCTCAAATCCTTGAGGTTGCTCTACATACACATCTTCAGCCAACTCACCATAAAGGAAAGCGCTTTTCACATCCAACTGATACACCTCATAACCATGAAAAGCAGCAAAAGCAAGCAGAGTTCTAATGGTATCCCAACGAGCTACAGGGGCAAATACCTCAGTGTAATCGATGCCATATTTCTATGAGCAGCCTTTTACTACCAGCCTTGCCTTGAACTTGTCGATTGCTCCTGTTTCAGTAAGCTTGGTTCTGAAAATCCATTTGAGTTTAAGTGGAATAACTCCAAATGGAAGATCAGTCAGCAGCCAAGTGTCATTCTTTTTTATGGAGAGGATTTCACACTTCATGGCTTCATTCCATCGAGGATCCTTCACAGCTTCTTCAAAGGAGACAGGATCATCAGTGATAGCAACCATGACCAGCCATTCAACATCTGCAAACTCACAGTCATAATCATTCAGATAAGCAGGTAATCTTCTATCTCTAGGTGGCAGTTGAGTACTTGCTTCAGCTGCTGTTTCTTGTCCTGCAGTAGTGAGAGTTGCAGAAGTTGGACTTGAGGATTGTGGACTAGACTGACCAGGAGAGGCCATAGTGTCATCCAAGTCAGCCTCTTCTTCTTCCAAACCATCTTCATCATCTGAATCCAGCCACTCTTCTTCACTACCTTCCCAAGAAAGGAAGGTTACTCCTGGCTGCATATCTTCTTCCCAAATCCAGCCCTTTAGTTCATCGAAGACAACATCTCTACTTATAATCACCTTCTTGGTAATTGGATTAAACAGCTTATATCCCTTGGATTCCACTGATAAACCCAGGAAATTACACTTCAAACTTTTGTCATCCAATTTCCTTCTGTGCTGATCAGGAATGTGAGCATATGCAACACATCCGAACACTCTAAGATGAGATACTGTAGGTGGCTTTCCGGTCCAAAGTTCTTGAGCAGTCTTACCTTGATTTGCTGAGGAAGGACTCTTGTTCAAGATATGAGAAGCCCAAGCCACTGCTTCTGGCCAAAAACTTGCAGGAACATGACTGTCTTCCAGTAGACACCTCACCATATTCATGATAGTACGATTCTTCCTCTCTGCCACACCATTTTGCTGAGGTGTGAAGGATGCTGTTAGTTGCCTCCTTATGCCTTCCTTGTTACAAATCTCTTTGAATTCGTTCAACAAGAACTCCCCTCCACGATCTGTTCTCAGACACACTATACTCATCCCAGTTTCTTTTTCATTTTGAGCTTTGAAACGTTTAAACACCTCAAGTGTTTCTGACTTAGCATCCATAAAGTAAACCCATAGTTTCCTTGAAAAATCATCTGTGAGAGTCAAGATATACCTTTTTCCACCGTTGGATGCTGGAGTGATAGGACCACAGAGATCAGCATGTATAAGCTGCAGTTTTTGGCTTGCTCTCCAGTGACTTTTCTTTGGAAATGGCTTCCTGTGTTGCTTGCCTATCTGACACGCATGACAGATTCCCAGCTTCCCTTTCAGTTCTGGTAAGTCAGCCACTCTTCCCTTCTTATACAGCTGCACCAGACCAGCAGGATTGACATGTCCAAAGCGTCTATGCCAAAGTTGCAGTGAAGATTCTGGGGTACTGATGACTTGATGGCACTGCATCTCTTCTTCCCTTCCCTTTTGAGCATGAAGAACAAACATTCTGTTTGTTTTCATTTGAGTCTGCAACAAAAGACCCTTAGACTCATGAAAGATCTTGCATAATCCTTCTTTGATTAGGAATGCAAGTCCTTTCTCTTGCAGCTGCCCTACACTTAGCAAGTTAGTCTGCAATCCTGGGACATAGAAGACATCTTGGACAACCAGAGACACCTGATTTACAAGCAACTTCACAGTACCCTTTCCTGCTACATTCAATTTGCAGTCATTCCCAAGCTTCACACAACACTGAGTACCTGAATCAATTGCAGTAAACCAGTTCTTGTTGCCACTCATATGATTACTACACCCTGAGTCCAAGAACCACCAGTCCTCATTAGGCTTCTGCTCTTCCTTCTTGTTCTCCACCACCATACTGCCTTCTCCTTGCTCAACAAATGCCATAAGCAGTACATCCTCCTGCATATCCCCATACGACCTGTCCTGCAACTGCTGGGAACTTGAGTAATATGCCCTTTGATTTGAGTTCCACTCAGGACATTCATGCTTGAAATGCCCAAGTTTATGGCATTTGAAACATTCAACTGTTTCCTTACTCCAGCTCCTTCCTCCCCTTCCTCTGCCTCTGCCTGGTGAACCACCAAATCTTCCTCGACCACCTCTTCCTCCAAACTCATGAGTGGCCTTGAGAGCCTGATCCTCCCCTGCTGAAGTTCTTCTAGTAAACTTCTGTTCATGTACAATCAAGGAACTCTGAAGGGCATCAATGGTGAGTGTCGCAATATCCTTAGATTCTTCTATCGACACCACCACATAATTGTATGTATCAGTCAAGGTTCTCAGAATCTTGCCTACTACTTCACCATCAGGTATGTTATCACCACAGTTTCTCATTGAATTAACAACAGCCATTACTCGACCGAAGTAATCAGAGATTCTTGGAAATCGTCTTCAAGATCGTCTTGTCGATTGAACTGAACAAATAGTTCAAGGCTTTCAGATCCTTCATCCTGAGATCTTCTAGGGCCTTGGTCTGTTCTTCAGTGAGTCTTTCCCCTTCCTCTGGCTCTTTGAATCCTTCGCTCCCCACCTTCCAATAGTCTTTTGAACGGAGAAGATTTCTCATCAGTAAGCTCCAGTGAGAAAAATCGCCATCGAACTTGGGTATGCACACCTGTGCAAAACTACTTGCCTCACTCATCTCTGTACAATACCTTAGCACACCACAAGTGCTAATCTCTCACCAACCCAGGTGTTTTAGCCTCACAAATCTCTCGTGTTTCCCTTTTCCCTTCTGCAAACACAAACGCAGAAACAAACACTCTTGGTTACAGCTTGCACGAGCTCTGATACCACTTTGTTAACTCGATGTATTGCAATCTGACGTTTATTCAAGGTGGACACCGACGTCCTTAAGTACAAAAGAAAGCCACAGGAATCGTCCATGACCAACAACCTCAACAGCAAGATCCAAATAGATCGCTGGACTACTAACTACTCTGCTAAAACCACGCAAGGACTAAACTAAAGAAAGACCAACTAAACAGGGACTGGAAATATAAAAGTTCAAACGGTCTGATTCAAATGCAACAGCTACTAAGCCAGTTGCTTTGTTTCTAATGACCTGAGTTCGTGACCTATAACCAACACTTAGAACCCCGAACGCAGACGAAAAAGTGGCTACGACTCATTTGAATTGGCATCGGCGCTGGAAGGAAGAAGAAACGTCATGAGGACTGGCGACCCGGCGTCGGAAGAATTTCAGATCTTGCTTTGTCGCCAAAATCTCAATTAGCGGCTTCAAGAAGGAAGAAGAAACTGTCTGTTTACCTGAGATTGGAGGAAGATAGGTGTCTCTACTGTCAGAGTCGATAGCGGCGATCTTACCGATGGCAGAGGAGAGAGCACGAAAGAGAAGCAGCCGACGAGGAGATTGGAGGAGAAGGAGACGGAGACGAGGAGTGTGGATCTGGTGACTGGGGGGGGGGTCCTTAGTCACTTGACTAAGCCCACCTCAACCTTTGGATTGATCTAATGGTCCAGATAAATTAATGAATTATTATTAAATGGGAAGGGTAGTTATGGTATTATTAGAAATTCATTAACTCCTATTTTTGGTTTTGTTTTATTTATTATTATTGATTTCTGATTTTCCTCTGCAACCGTCTCCTCCTCTTCCCTTTTTTGCGATGTCCAAAGAGAGAGAAAGAGACATGGCGGATGAGAACCCAACGTCGGTGGAGGTGAGAGATCGCATCGCCGGTGGAGGAGAGAGAGAAAGAGACATGCAGCGCCGTCGGTGGAGAGAGAGATGGCGGCGACGATGGTGGAGGAGAGAGAAACACTGCCAGAGGCAGATTCGTCGAAGAACGGCAGCAACGGCAACGATGCAAGAGAGGGGGGCGACAGCGGCGATGGAAAGAGGAAGGAGACCTCGACGGCGCCGACAGCGATGGAGAAAGGGAAAGGGAGAGGCGATCGCGACGGAGGCGGCAGCATTGGAGAGAGAGAAAGCAGATCTGGTCATCGTGAAAACAGAGGAGAGAGAGGCGATGGTGGAGGAGAGAGAGAGGCAGTGGCGGAGAGAGAGAGTCGACGACGATGGAGGAGAGAGAAGAGGCGCGGTGATGGAGAGAGAGAGAGAGAGGGGTAGATATGGCTGTAAAGAGCGTCGGCGGCGGCAGCGGTGGAGAGAGAGTTGGCTCTCGACAATATATTTTGTTGTCTGAAGGAAGAACAATGGTTTGTAATGCAAATGTTGTCAGTTTGTATCATTAGTACTTTTGCACATAATATTAGTATGATTTGTATAGTTTGTATGTTTTGTATTATTAATTTGTACATAAAAAACATTACAAACATGGTTAACAAAAATAACAAATATGTTGGACTAAAATAACAAAGCTTACAAACATTACAAAAGAACTCAACAAACATTACAAAATAACAAAGCTTACGAACATTACAAAACAACTCGACTAACATTATAAAACATACTAACAGTACAAAATGTCACTACTTATGATACAAATCAGTAAACTTGTATTACAAATCAATGAATAGAAAGTGTACAAATCATAACATAAAGTATACAAAATGTCACTACTTATGATACAAATCAGTAAACTTCTATTACAAATCAATGCACAGAAAATGTACAAATCATAGCATAAAGTATACAAACTAGACAAACAAACATTACAAATTACAATATATATACAAAATAGTCATACAAACATTACAAACTAGAATGATAAAAGATATAAACATAATCCATTACAAACTAGGCCGACAAAAATTACGAAATCGTCGCAGCCAACAAATCTGGCGATGTTGTCGTCTCTCTCCTCCTCAATCGCCGCTGCATCTCTCTCCTCCACGGTCGCCGTCGCTCTCGTCTTCTCTTGCTGTCGTTGTTCCTCGTCGCCACCGCCGTCTCTCTCTCTGCTCCTCTACCGCCGCCGCTCTCTCTCCTCTACGGTCGCCATCGCCTCTCTCTTCTCCTCTACCTCCGCCTCTCTCTCTCTCTCCGAACACAGAACGCCGTCGACCATCGTCTCTCACTGTCGTCGTCCCTGACCGCCGTCGTCCCTGACCGCCGTCGTCCCTGACCGTCTTCGTCTCTGGCCGCCATCGTCCCTCGTCGCCGTCGTCTCTATGGATCCATCTCCGCGTGCGACAAACAGGTGAGGGAAGGACTGCTTTTCTTTTTTTATTTTAATTACAAAATTAAAATGTATAATTACTTTGTTGTCCTTTTCTTAAAATGAATTAATTGTAGCCTTAGGATTTTAATGAGCATGAAAGGCTGAGATTGACTTAGTCACCTGATCTTAACCCTGGGGACGAGGAAGCTGTGGATTGAAATTTTATTTATTAATTTTAATTGATTATTTTTTTGTTAGTTTTACCTTTTTGCCCTTGTTGTTACAGTAACAACAAAAGGGATGTTGTTATAGTATCGCAACCATATTATTTCCATGATTACCAGAATACATAAGCTAGACGAAACCAACGGGCCAAAAAAGATGAGAAGTTTCCTACCAATTGTCAACAACAAAATACTTTTGGAAACAATTTGAACAAAAATGCCTCACAATCTAATCGGCTCGTCTAACAAACCCAACATTCATTTTCTTGAATAATGCTGCAAATTAAAAATACTTTGCATGGAGCCATGGACTCAAAGTCTCAAACTGAGAACAACAACCCAAGAACTGATGCTGATATCAAAATACGAGTTCTCATCACTGGCAACTTGGAGCTCCATCCAAACTGGGGACTCACAGGTCCAAATGCAATCGGTGGGAACATTCCCCCCTCAGCCGCATACTCCGCGTTTTAATTTTCACCCTATTAGGTCGGTTCCTCGTGCTTTTTGCTTGCATTTCTCTTCTCTTTTCCCCTCAACTACTGTGTCTTATTTGCTGATACGAATAGCACTAGCTATTTGCATAAATTAGTTCAGCTCGCCGCTGGTTTCTTCAAGTTTCCTCATTAATTTATATCGTACCCATTTGTTTTTCATGCTACGCTTAGCATGCTCTTAGTATATAGCAATGGAATTAAGTTCTGGATTCTATTGTACGTCCTTGCTCAAACTTAAGGATGGAATGAATGATGAACTCTATGTGTTAATTAATTTCTTGAGTTTAGGTGTACCTGCGTATAGCTTGCTTATTGGACTAGTTTTACTAGTTCTCCACGGGGAGACTGTTATTATCTCTTTAAACACTTTGGATTGGGTTGAGGGAAATCGCATCGCAGTTCGTCTCTAGTCGGATTGCATTGACTCGTCTCGACTTATTCTTTCTAGTAAGATCTGTGCTAATTTTGGGTTTATTTATTGTCATATATATATAGCTTTTCGGATCGTAGCACACAACCAAAATTGCGATATGTAGGTATTGTAGGAATTTCCTATATATATCCTATAAAGGTGAAGGACAAGTTTACTAGCTATGACATTAATTAGCTTCTATGCTGAATTACGATGGGACACCGGCCGGACATATTGCGGCCCAGCCGGTTTATTGAGTCAGCTAAACCGGGCCTGCCGCATGTCATAACCTAGTTCCCTTCATCTCGTCTTAGTCTAGGGAATTAGGTTTAGTCATTTCATATAAAAGGCCTAGTACTTGTTGACGGCCGATTTATCTCTTGTAATCCTGAAGTCAAAATTCAATAAAAGAACCGAGAGCTCCCCCATCGAGCAAAACCATCACCTTGGTCGTCAGGCCTCTCCTCCGGTTGCAGACCCGAGTGCTTTCCGTCGTCTGGTTGGGCGTCTTCTATACCTCACTGTCACTCAGCCTGACATCACTTACTCAGTCAATTTGCTCAGTCAGGCAGTTCATGCTCCTACTCAGGCACACTGGGATGCAACCCATCGCATTCTACGTTATCTCAAGCAGTCTCCAGGTCGGGGCCTTTTCTTCCCTGCTGATAACTCATTGATCCTGACTGGTTTCTGCGACGTTGACTGGGCTGGTTGTCCTACTACTCGTCGCTCTACGACTGGTTTCTTTCTCCGCCTTGGCACTGCTCCCGTTTCCTGGCGTACTAAGAAACAGCAGGTCGTCGCGCGTTCCTCTGCTGAAGCCGAATATCGCTCCATGGCCAACACTGTTAGTGAGATCATTTGGTTACGTTGGCTCCTCTCAGAGTTAGGTGCCCCTCAGTCCGGCCCGACGCCTCTTTACTGTGATAGTCAGGCTGCCCTTCACATTGCGACTAATCCTGTTTTCCACGAACGTACCAAGCACGTGGAGATGGACTGTTATTTCGTTCGTGAGCGTGTTCAATCTCACGACATCTCCCCTCGTAAGATCGTTACTGCCGAGCAACCTGCCGATCTGTTCACCAAGGGCCTCGGTGTTAATCATTTCCATCATTTGTTGTCCAAGCTTGGCATGTTCGACCTCCATGCCTCCGCTTGAGGGGGAGTATTGCGGCCCAGCCGGTTCATTGAGTCAGCTAAACCGGGCCGGCCGCATGTCATAACCTAGTTCCTTTCATCTCGTCTTAGTCTAGAGAATTAGGTTTAGTCATTTCATATAAAAGGCCTAGTACTTGTTGACGGCCGATTTATCTCTTGTAATCCTGAAGTCAAAATTCAATAAAAGAACCGAGAGCTCTGTCTCTCCGTGGAGTAGTCCCGTTCATACCGAACGGGGAAACCACGTAAATCGAGTGTTGTGCGATTGCTTTTACGTTTCCGCGATATTGATTTTAATAGGACACTGGCTATTACGTACGTACCTTGTAGTAAGCTTTCCTCCCTCCGGCTCTATCTCCAGAAAATGTAATCATTGGTGACATCGATCGATCTGTTTGCTCATGAAGCTCTATCGCACATACAGATGATTGTCTGTTGCTTTTGCTCCTCCGATCCATTGGTGAATTGTCTTGAAAAGGTCACGTAGATTGGTTCCTTCTGTACAAATGTGAGGGGTTTAATTAGTCTTTTAACCATTGAAGTTCTAAGCAATCATCTAAAGTTTGTCTGTCGGTTTTGGCGCCAGTCTTCTTACAGTTTGATATAGAGAGGTTACAATTTCTGAACATTAGTCCAACACGTGAAAGCATCACCGGAGGTACACGTACACTATTTGACTGATTTTTGCAATTTATTTGTATGGTACTTGCTGAATTGCTGCTTTAATTTTTGGTTCTTCCAGTTCTTTACCGGCCTGTCATGAACCTTTTTTCCTTCTCTCCGTTTGATATGTATATTTTCTCAGGGCAAAATTAAAGGAATGAGAATGACCTTTCACGTACAGAAATACGAATATGTGATGCATGCATGGGAAGCTATACAAGCTATCAGATGAAGGTTTAGAAAGATGGATTAATTAAAAGGCAAAATACATATGTATAGCCAAAACTTTCACCTTTGTGACAATAATAGCCACTTTTGGAGAAATATCAAAAATAGCCACAATTTCAATGTTCTTATGACAAATCTAGCCAATTCCGTTACAAACTTTGACGGTGTTAATATCACCGTCAGTTATCTAAACAGAATGCTGACTAAGATGACAACTCAGCACCCACGTCAGCGACAACTCAGTAGTTGGTGGCATGTAGATGACACGTGTCATTTTAATTAATATTTTAAGAGTTTTCATAAAAAAAATTAATTTTAATTATAAAAATAAAATAATTATTACTTTCTCCCCATTCCCATGTGATCTTCCCTTTCCTTTTCGTCTCTCTACGCAGATTTGTTCTTCCCAAAATAATCAAGCTCTACCACCTCCATAACTTCCCAAATCAAAACAAGAATACAATATCAATCTCTAGCCATCAACCGTAAGAACATCATAAATCAAAGCAAAATGAATCTCATCAAACACACCGGCGACCTCTTCTCCCGCATCCGCTAGTGAAACTGGATTCGTCGACCCCCATGGCGGCGTCGAAAGCAGATGAGGTGATCGATTCTCCTTCCCTGTCGCCTGGCGCTCGATTCTCCTTCATTGTTGTTTGTCTAGGCCCTGGATTTGAGGCATCGAAGAAATACCACTTCCTCCTCGGCCACACCCACCTCCACAGTCCCTCTCCTTCGCCGTCCATATCCTTCCCCCCTTCGAATCGCACATCATCCTTGTCGTCCTCACCGAGAAGACGGAGGAGCGAGTCAATCACTGAGTTCCTTGACTCGGCACCCCCGATATGGAACTGGAAGCCGGGAAGTCGTTGGAATCGACGAGCAGGGGAAGTCGACGACCCCAACCTCCCCGAGCGCCCTCATCCCACCGTCGCTGTTGTATCACCTCTGCATCTAGTCGCCGCCAGCTCATGTTGCCTCAATGCCGAGTTTCCATCGCCGTCCAGGCCATCGAAGAAAGGAGGAACCTGGAGAAAGTGTTGAAGAAGAGCAAGCGTTGAAAAGTAGATTGGAGGAAAGGAAGGGATGAAGATAATGTTGATGGCGGCGGGGAAAGAGCCAGAATACATCTTCAATTTAGGGTTAGGGTTGGGTTGCTGGGAAGTGGGGGCATGAAATAGTGCATTTATTATTTTTATTTTTTTCATTCTTATTAAATCATAAAAATTTGCATTTATGTTATGTATATTTGTTTTGTTAATCCACGTGTCCGAACAAATATCGCCAGGTTAGCATTTTCGTTTGTCCATTCAGCCTATTAGTTGACACCGTTAAAGAATTGGACGGAAGTGGCTATAAGTGGTATTTCTCCAAAATTGGCTATTATTGGCAAAACCTCGAAAGTTTTGGCTATACAAGTGTATTTTGTCTATACAGTAACTTTGGGTTCATTGCATTGGTATATGCGCGCAGGGAATTGTATGCTTCATTTGGCGGGCTTCTTAATTAATTATGTGTCTCCAAGGAGATCCTTCTCATGTAGCTCATTTCGAGCTTGATCAGCAGAGGGTGTTCAATTCCTTCCTTCTGATAAGGAAGATCAACAAGTGAAGTAGCAATATGGAACATTGATCCAACAGATTTAGTGACTGATAATACGAGACTTGATCGATGCGTGGTTGCTTAACCGGTAAACTACATATATATGTTTGAAAAATAAATGGATCGAGACCTTAGGATTAGAGGTATATATCTAGGGGAGAGGCCATTCTGATTTCCAAAGATTAAAGCCCATTGATGAAATTGAGGATGTGGCCAAACATTAACTAGCTAGGGACCTTTTTTTATTTATTAATAGCTCAAATCCTTTGTATTAAAGCATAGGATGGATTTCTAGATTCAAACCCAACTCTTAAGTAAAGGGTTTAAGGGCTCAATAGTCACCAAACTTTGGTTAGTGTATCACAAATGGTTTCTTACAAAAATAATCATTCAATTAGCTTATTGAAGTCGATAATTATAAATCACTTTAATGCGACAAATTAATAATATTGAAGAGGAATGTATTTGATAAACAAATGATGTTGATACATGTTTCTCATAATGTTAAAAAAACATTTATAGAAAAACATGGACTACAAATTTTATCAACCCAACCCAATGATATTGGAAATTAACCAGAAATAGAAAAACGCCCATCGAGTCACCGACTAATGATGTTATTGGGGTCGGGGAATTTTTTTAATTTGCAGTGGTTTGAGTTTGACTACGATATAGCAACAACGCTCGCCCCGACAACATGGTCCATGAAATCGTACTGTACCAGTGATTCAATCACGAAATTTTAGTATCGAAAGCTAAATCGATAGGCAATAATTAATGATATTAACCGTTGAACTACGATTAAATCACAATTTTATCTTAAAATATTCTACTACTGACCTTTTCTGGTACGATTGTCGATACGGTTTGATGGACCATGCCTGGAGTAAACAGCTCAAGCCTCAACTCGATAATCCAAATATAGAGCTGAGAAGTTTTCGGAAATTAAGCAAAGAAAAATCGTTTTTTGAAAAATTTCTCACTCACGCAACCATCCACGTCTCAACTCTCTTCCGGTCTTCCCTTTCTGCGAACCAAAGCTTCAGTCTGTTGCTCCATTCATCCATCATTTTCTTTCTCCCACTTCCCCGTTCACCTCCATGAATCGATAACTGCGGTAAAGCAGCTTCCTTTTTTAGTGGGCTTGGATCTCAATCTCATCTCGCTGCGGCTACCGGTGAGATTTCGCTCTGAGTAAGTGAACTCCTTAAACCTAACTTACCCTGCAATTTCCCCCTTCATTTTGCTCAAGTAGTTTCAGGAATTTTGTGTTTTGTGTGAGTACCCATTGCTGAATCTGAGCAGACTGAGCTTGGGTTTCATTTTATCTTGTTGAATGAAATAAAGAGATCTGGTTTTTGGGGAATTTTGGTGTTTTACTGGGGAGATTTTTGTAGGGCTGAGTGAGAACTCATGAAGGAAGCAACAACTTCTTCGACTGAGCCAATTGGGCAGAAGCTAATCAAGTCGATAAGCAATCTGTGTTTCTCAGTCTTCGTCGTCACTGTTCTGATTTTCACCGTCATTGCAATCACCTACCAACCTCCAGATCCATGGCTGGAATCAGCTCCAGCTCTCACCAAATTCTTCACCCAAAGCGAGAACGCCACTTTCCAAATCGATAATTCCATCTTGAAAACCGGCGAGGAAATACAGACTGTGAGTAGTAGTGCTCCTGCTGCTCCCCCTTCTACTGCAATCACGGAGGAGGTGATCGAGAAGTCCGAGGCCAAGATTGAGAATGAGAATGCTTCTACTACTCTGCAATCCTCAGGATGCGAGGATTCAAACCTTGTCAATTGCTCGGATCCTAGGGTTCTGATTGCAGTCGAGAGGTTCAATCTCAAGCGTTTCAAGACCAACATTGTGTTCTTGGACTATCAGACTCCAGTTAATGGCTCGAACCCTGATGAGTGTGATATCTCGTGGAGGTTTCGTAACAAGAAGGAGAAGTCATGGAGAAAGTACAGGGATTTTAGGCGGTTCAAGTTTGGGTATGGAGAGAATTGCACCTACGAGATTGTCCACGCAAATGGCTGGCATTCGGGTCTCAATGCCCGGAGACCAAGAGCTGCTACTAAACCTAGTGGTCAAACCAGGCAAAGAGTTGCTCCACCGGTTCATGACGACGAGATAAATGACACCATCCCGACTCTAGGATCATACTTGAATTTTAGGAAAGGGAAGTACTTGTATTACTCGAGAGGAGGGGATTACTGCAAGGGGATGAATCAATACATGTGGAGCTTCCTATGTGGATTAGGAGAAGCAATGTACTTGAACCGAACATTCGTGATGGACTTGAGCTTGTGCTTATCAGGTAGCTACAACCCCAGTGGGAAGAATGAAGAAGGGAAAGATTTCCGGTACTACTTCGACTTCGAGCATCTCAAGGAGGTAGCATCGATCGTAGAAGAGAGTGACTTTTTGAGAGACTGGAAGAAATGGGATCGTTCACACAAGAGAAAGATCCCGGTGAGGAAGATCGTGACTCACAAGACAACACCAATGCAACTGAAGAAAGATAAGAGCAGTATAATCTGGAGGCAGTTTGATGCGCCTGAGCCTGAGAACTACTGGTACAGGGTATGCGAAGGTGAAGCTTCAAAGCACGTGCAGAGGCCATGGCATGCGATTTGGAAGTCGAAGCGGCTGATGAACATTGTGAGTCACATCAGTGGGCGTATGGACTGGGATTTCGATGCGGTTCATGTGGTTCGAGGCGAGAAAATAGGGAATAAAGAACGATGGCCGCATCTAGATGCTGACACATCACCAGATGCCTTGGTGGAGAAGCTTCAAAAGATGGTTCAGCCATGGAGGAACTTGTATGTGGCGACGAACGAGCCATTTTATAATTACTTCGATAAGCTAAGGTCACATTTTAAGGTGCATTTGCTTGGTGATTATAAGGAGATGTGGGGGGAGACGAGTGAGTGGTATAATGAGACGAGGGATTTGAATGGTGGGAGGGCAGTGGAGTTTGATGGGTATATGAGAGTTGCAGTGGATACTGAGGTGTTGTATAGGGGAAAGACTCGGGTTGAGACATTCTATAATTTGACGAGTGATTGCAAGGACGGGATTAATACGTGCTGACTGAAACCAGGTTCAAATAGCTTCTTCTTCCTATTTGCAGTGTAGAATGATACCCTGTTGAATTGTATCGGTGAGGCATTTTGCTCTTGTATTGATGCTGTTGGTTCATTTGTTTGTAATTGAATGGATGAAAAATGGGAGAAGCCTCTGGTCCTGTGATGTAAATTTCACCTCTTGTTTTGGCATATGGACATCTTTCTGGTAAAACTGTGTTTGCCACTCTTAGTGACTGGACATCTTTCTAGTTTCTAGTGGGGTTTCAGTTTCAGTAAACGATTCTGACTTGTGACCGAGTAGCAGCTCTCTGGTAATCGTTTTTGAACCGTATGTAGCAAGTTACCATTTCTTACTCTTCATTAAGTGATATACTCGCATGGTGCATGTGATAGAACCCTGATTTCAATCATTAAAGTGACATCTTTGCAATTATCGAATATTTTACCTATGGCTGTATTTGTTGCTCATAATCGAAAGTAGAGTAAAATTGGGAACCAAAATCAGATCAAAGCACATTCGAAATCGAACTCCCATACTGCTGTGCTGGTAATATATTATTGTGTTCAACCGACCGTAATGATGGTGCATTTCAATTTCGAATGTGTGAAGCCAACTGTAGTGTACTTTAGCACGACATCAAGTGTATACAAATACAACAACGGACCCCCAAAGTTCACTTGAGATTATTGTAAACTCTAGCTGCTGGTGAGGAGGGCTGAGTGACGTGCCACGAATGACTCAACCAGTGGATTCACCAGATGAGGTGCTTCATCCTATATTAACACAAGCATGCAAAAATGAAAAGAAAACCAGTTCAATCAGTACCTTATTAGGTGATTGCAAGCATGATGTAGAGAAAAAGAGACATACCTGAGGACAGTGACCAACATTAGGAAGGACAACGAATTCCTCCACGGTATCAAAATCCCCGTAGGCTCTCCCGAGTTCGATTGGTTCCCATGGATCTTTGTCACCCCATCCTATCAAAACAGGACACTGAAAGACAACATTTGATTTGAGGAGACAAACCTTTCAGTTAAAGTAACACGCTTACATGCACAGAACTGCAAGCTAGAAAGTTGGCCTATCAAACGTAAAGTCTATAATACTAACCTTGATCTGAGGCAGTAGTTCCTCAGGAAGAGGGCCATCTGAGTAACAAATGAACTCGAGGAATACGTCTGCAGCACCAGGCTGAAGTCCCGGTTGAAGGATCTTCTCGACAAGTTCATCTGTCACCTGGGAGGTGTCATGGTAACACTGAAATGCAATGAACACAAACAAGGTTCAAGGTAGGCTATTCGTTGCATACTTTTGCAGGCTGTTTATTCACTTCTAGTAAGACCCTAACAGATTCTGAACAACGTTGATCAGAAGATGACATAGAAAATCTGGAACTGCACCTGGCGCAGGATATTTCTCACGGATCCTGGTTTCGCTACTGAGCTGAAGAAGAACTTTCCTAATGCAGTATTCCTGCAAGAACCAAATGCAAGTAAAGTCTGGCTCAAGTTCTGCAACGCTCGAAGGCAACCCATCTCATACAGCTACTAACCTCAGCAAGTTCTGAAAGGATCTAATGAAAGGTCTTCCAAACGGTGGCTGTTTCTTTATATGAAGCATCCGCAACGATATGTTCAATAAGACAACACCCTTGCATATCTGAGGTTGCATAACTGCTGCCTGAAGTCCAACAAGTCCTATATCAAAGAAGAAGCCATAACAAGTGACAAAGACAACTTTTCAAAGTCACAGGGGAAATCCAGACTGAATTAGGAATTACATGATAAGAACAACGTTGAGATGATTCAATCTCACCTCCAATGGAATTGCATATGTAGAATGCTTCATCTTGTACTACTTCAGCACAAAAGTCGATGAGTTGGGTAGCCCAGGTCTGAAATGTGTAAAAGGGGGCATCTCCGAATCCACGAGGGTTGGGCTTATCGGAGTATCCATAGCCAATGAGATCGATTGCATATACTCTGTGGGATTTAGCAAGAACTGGGATATTTTTCCTCCAGTGATCACTGTTGAAACCATGAAGCATTCAAGTGAGAAGCAAAGAACTTGACCTAATAATCAACGCGACTGCAGGTACTGATAAGTCTGAGAGTAAGAGCAGTTGGTACATAGAGTACCTATAGCAATGCTAGCAATATGACCTGTTAGCTCCGAAACCATGAACGAGAACAAGAGCAGGGCCACGTTTCCCAGCACACTGGTAGCGGATCGAATAGCCCTTCCACTTCCAGATACTATTGTAACAGAACACCGAATTCGATGAACTCGTTAACGCATACATTCAATGAACTTCAAAACTAGATGCCGGTTTAGGAGGAAATTCGTACCTGGTTAGAAGTTGAGCATCGCCGTCGCTGTCTACTATTTCCGTCGGCGCGAAGCTGTTCTGACCGAGATCACTGGAAGAAGAGCAACATAGGGTGGGGAAGCGGGTTGATCGGAGAGACGATCGGAGGGTTGGGAGTGCGGGAAGCGATGCCGACCAATTGCTTGTTTCGAAAGAGCGGGAAACGCAATGTGATCGAGATTGGAAGGCGCGATTTGGCAGTAGTCGCGACGGAGAACTGGTGGAGGTCGCCATTGCCGGCATCCTGAATTAATTATCAGGGGATCAGGATAGAAGAGAAAAGAAAGGGGCGGGGCGATAGGACATCGGCGCGGGAAGATAGAAATGGAGTGGCTCTGGAACGGATACGCGGTACGCAGTAGGCCATATGCCTCAGTGGGCTTTGGCCGAAGACAGAAACTCCTGAGCTTTTTTCGGGCTTTGAAAGCTTGAAAGAGACTTGAGCTCATATGCCCCAGTGGGCTTTTGTACAAGCCCAGTTATTATGTGTTTACATTATTATAATTATTAGGCTTATTACATTACATCTGTAGTCCCCTCCCCACACTAGAAACAAAACAAAATATGCGGTGGTAAAATGAATATATCAACAAATAAGTCTATGTATATGTTTCTACAGACCCTTAACTTGAGTATAATTTCAAGTTAGGTAACTTGCATAGATCTAAATCGTTAAAATTGATCAAACTTATTTTAAATTATTGATTAAAGAAATAAAAAATAACTAAAAAAGTAAATGGCAACATGGATTGCCGGTCACCACATTCCCAAGTTACCTTTTTTATATTTTTCTTTCCTTTTTCACATTTATTTGTCTTTCCATATTTTAACCTTTCCTTTTTTTAATTCTTATTGAATTACAAGCATCACGTAAGGCTTCCGTAATAATTTAGCTCTTTACGTAACACGACGTTAATACTCATTACGTAAAGATACATTCTATTACGTAAGATTTCCGTAATGATATTTTACAATTGTTACGTAAAATACACATTCACTACGTAAAGGTTACAGAATGATAGTTATTTCTTACGTAACAGTTAAATCGGAAGCGTTACGTAAGGATTCCGTAATGACTTAGCACTTTACGTAACGCAAGGTTAATACTCATTACGTAAAAAGACCTTCCATTACGTAAAGGTTTCGGAACGACAGTTATTTCTTACTTAACAGTTAAATCAGTAGCGTTACGTAAGGCTTCCGTAATTACTTTGCATTTTACGTAACGCGAGGTTAATACTCATTACGTAAAGACACATTCTATTACGTAAGGCTTCTGTAATGATCTTTTACAACTGTTAAGTAAGATTATCATATGTTACGTAACCATTACGTAATGCATATTGTATTTTACGCAATACGACCTGTAAAATCTACTATAACAGGTAAAAAAATTCAAGTTACCGTAAGAAATCCCTATAAATATATAGTCTACATTCAAATCTTAATAGAGTCTAGCTACCAATACTTAGAAGCACATCTTTGATGACGCTTAACTCAAGTGTTATGGATACTAGATGGATATAGCCTCGTTCCGCAACGGCCAGCGAGCCACCAGAATGCATTCTTTTTTAATTTTCTTTGAGTTTCTATCTGGATTCATTACTTCTTATCACATCTCCCTTCCGTTGAAGCAGTGGAGCGATGATGTTTGATTTCTCTTATAGGAGCTGTAAAAATATTGCTTTTTCTGCATTTGTAGAATGAATTTGAAATCCCGACAACTTTCAGGCTTCTCAGCGGGCATTGTTTTGTTTGAGGGATTTTGTTTTCGATTTGGTGCTGAAAGTTAATCGGGAAAGATCAATGGTAGGCGACAGCGCAAAAGACATGCAAGTGGGATTATGTGCTGAATGGCAAAGTAATAATATAACAATAAGTAGCAGGGGCATTGCGGGACTTTGGACAAGTGTCAGCTTGTCCACATTTGTAGCCGCAAAAACTTGTCGTCTACAAATACCTACTAACTTGTGTCCCGGCCCATTGGTTGATCATTTGATTATGGGTATTAAAGGTAAGCTTCGGATCAGACCAAAGTCCAAACCATGAAATTTGCATTTCAATAGTAAGAATATCAAGAATCGCACCATCATTTCCTTTTGTCTAGTTTGGTCCAATACAAAATATTCTCATTTTTCAATGTCCACAAAATTAATTGAATCGAGGATCCAACCACATCATATCCTATCCAATTGGTTTGATCCAATTGTCGATTTGGTCTAGTGCTGATCAAATCCCCCAATTTAGATATCTTTGGTTAAGCATTCTTTATCTTAATATTAGTTCAAGAGAAAACCCTGTATATATTAGCCAAATCTAATGTTTGGTTTGAGAAAAGAGTGAGTACCGGTCACTGCAAATGGGAAAATAGAAACCTAATTTCTCCATGTACTTTCAGTTGGAGTTCTATCTAAATGGGAAAATAGAACAATGCAGTGAAGATGAAATATAAACTATCCCATCAGCATGGCTACCAAAGAGCAAAGGAAGGAAGGAAGGAACCAGCGTTGACGAATGACCACCCCGGCTTCTACACCGTGCACCAAATGACCAAGGTCGGTGGCCATATATGGGTGTTATTAACCCTCCGATTGGACGGTATAGAAGACAGAAGGTAGGGAGCCGACACCACAATAGCACACTGCAGAAGAAATAAATGAAATATCAACTTTGCTAAATCAATTCAATAGCACCGCTACAAATGATCTTTCCTGGATTCTTAGCATGGCAGTCATCACGTACATTAGAACTCATACCTAGCTTGATTATATCAATGAGTTGATTGAGCAACCAAGTGCATCCCTAAACTTCAACCAATTTTCCATAATCTTCTGCTCAACTTATATATCTCAGAGAAAAGAGCTAGAGAGGATTGCCCTATAGAGAAAAATTGTGTTAATCAACTTTGCTATCAATTGAATAACACTGCTATAAATGATCTATCCTGGATTCTTAGCATGGCAGACATCTAGTAATTAGAACTAACACCTAGCTTATGATAAGGTGATATGTCAAACAGTCGACCTTGGCTCTTACCTGATCCAACCCTGCATCTAATCCTTAGCACGCAGCCAGGCACCCAAAAAAGCAAATACTATGATTTGTAGGCTCCTGTCAAATGGAACATTTAAGTTTGGATGCAAAATTTGGTTCACTAATACAGTGAAAGTACCAGGAACAAAGATGGAACGCTTAGGGTCATGATTGAGTTAGTCTAGTGACTACATTGCGGATGAGAAAAGACTACAGAGTGTAGAAGAAAACCCAAACAAATTGAACACACATAACCGTACTACAACCTTAATGCAACCGTTGTTCACATTAACCTTCTTCACCATCAAAAACAATATTAGCAAGAGAAACCATTAAGCTGCATTAATGAGTCACCAAAACTGAATGACATGAAAAAGAATTAGGTAGCCCAACCAAAATACCAATGCACAACCCCACTTATAAAATAGCTAAGACAAATGGATTGCGAAAATTCAGAACAACTTGTTCTGAATCAATTAACAACTACTTAATGTATAAGGCCATTTGATTCCACTACTGAAACTCATAAAGAGAAGGGAACTCATAACCTTTATGTAACTCTAAACTTCTTGATAGTAGTTTTCTCCCAGTAAAACAACAAATTGGATGGATACCATGTTGCTGCATCCATCATAAGCTAACCATCATAGTGAATTTGGAACCTCATAGTAAAGCAGCATACCGACCAAATTTGTGATACCTCTCCGGCTCAAGCATGAGTTCACTTGGAGGAAATGGGGTGGATATGATGTTGCTATCCATGCTCTGAATGTCAATGAAGGTACATGACATCGAATTATCAAAATTGTAAAGACAACCAACCCATTATGTATTAAACTTGAAAAGATTAAAAATTGATAAAAGCTTAAACAAAAGAAAACGCAAACAATAAAACGAAATTACCCCGAATACCATCAAAGAGCTTTAACACCAACTGACCAGACCTTAATCAAAATCACAAGTTAACTCCAAATAACTTCACTACCATTATTCTCTCAAGCTCTTCTTTCTCCCAATACGTTAGATTCAAGCAAATAATCATCTACAGAGGCTTTTCCCAAGAGAAAATGCATGCATAAGTTATGAATGATATCAATGGAAGTAATAAGAGACTTAACATAAAAGAATTGCCAAGTAATGTGGTGTCATTCATAATTAGCACTAAAGTAGCCTTGTTCCACTATCGTCTTTTAGGAAACCTAATTCACTCTACAACTCTAACAAACTATTCTACAAAAGTTGGAGACCAAAGCGCATTTCTGAGCATTAAGAAACACAGTATGACGGTAAACAAAAAGGTGAAAACTTTCAAATAGTTCCAGCCACCTAACAACTCTAAAACGATAATTCAAAGGACAGAGTCGTGGACCTGGTTAGCTGTGGAATTGGAGGCCTCCGACGCCATATGATAATTGAGCCTCACAGCTTGCTAGCTTGACCCTCGTATGAACTGAAATTAGACCTCCCTCGTCATTTCCTATCCGCCATCAAAGTCCGGCATTAAGACGGGTGTACCGTTATCCTATATGGACAGAGCCATCCCTATCTACGCTAGCCTGATCCGCACAAGAACTGGAATTAGATGCAACTGGGAAATCGAAGTATGTGGAAAAAAATTCTCAAGAATTGAACAAAAATAGAATTTGGTTCCACTTTAATTGACGGTTTGCAATCATATACCTGGAATCGGTATGCATGGCTAGAACCCAGAAACTCATGTCCATTGATGACAATGAATAGCAGGATTTGGTTCCATTTAATTGATGAATTGAAATCAATTACCTGGAATCGATATGCCTGGCCAGAAAACAGAAACTCTTATGCATTTTGATTACGATGTTGCAGGAAGATGCAATGGCGGATTGCCTGGTTCAGAAAACCTCAACTACTCTATGCCACAAACCAATTTGGACCCTTCAGCCTTTGTTAACTCCACCGCACTCCTTCAAATCCGAGAGAAGAGAAGTTGATAAGCAAACTAAAAGAAAACCCATGAAAAAAAAACCCACGATTCTAATTCCCAGGGTTAGTTTATACATGTGGGAATTCAAGCTTAAACATAACTCTGTATCCATGCATTGTTACAATTGATTTATCTGGAGATTCAGCTGTTGGAGCGGTTTGAGTAATAAACATTTGAATCCTCAAGCAGTTTCCATGCTTCTGTATATGCTCACGAAGTTATCTATATGAGCAGCAAGACAGATCTCTGTGGTAACCATTGCAAAGAAAAAAAAAATAGAACCAACCATTGAGTGAGCAGAAAACACTGGTTCCCACAATCTCAGAATGGAGAAAGAGAGTACCCAACCTTACCTCTCATCAACAGGTTGCAGACCAGGCAACTGGAATGGGACATCATCAATTTCAAAATAGAGGAGTTGAAAAGGTCAAGTGGCATCCAATGAGCAAAAAACTTAAGCTACAAACCCTACAAGATAAAATTCTCAGAAAACAGAGCAGGTACAGATTGGGATTCTTACTTGCAGAACACATTATTGCAGGAGAGAAAAGCCGCCAATGTCAACAATACGAAGCTGCGATAGAGAAAGAAAATCGAGATCAGAACCTGGTTAGCTGTGCGACAGTTTAAAATGAGAGGTAAAGTTCAAAAGATAACCAAATGGGGTACTTGAGCCATCTGGCCATCTTCTCCAGGTGGCTAACCGACTAAAAAATGTTGAGGATTGATTGACAGGGAAGGCGAATGAGAAGTTGCCTGAGCTAACGTGATAATTACTTTGCAGGCGGTGAAATCGAGGGGTTTTGGAAAATATGAAGTGAATGAAAGCGTCTCGAAGAGAGTGAACGGATTGGGCGCACTATTCTTTCGCTGCTGTTTTGGTCGCCGTCAACAATGGACCCCATCCCTCCATCCCATCCTTATTGACAACCACTTCGTCCAACCACCGTAGTCCACAACTGCCCTTCCATCCTGGCTTCGCAACGAAAGGAGATGACAGCGAAGCACGGTGGAGAAGAGATGGCTGCGCTTCAGGGGAGAAAGGGACGCTGGAGATGCAATTTGCTGTGGGAAAGAGTAAAGAAAACGGGGAAGGACGGTTACAGTTCCTCAAAAAGGAAAGAGAAAAAGGCCGCGTAAATGGCCAGCCAATTTAGCTCCCGCAATCCACTCTAAGGGCAGGAATTTTTGAATTGGGGATGCATTTTTATATTTTCACTATAAATAATAGTGTAGGTAACCAATGTCAATAAAATCTTATTGCCACATCAGCCCGTGTTGTTCATACCGCATGACTCGGAGGGATTAATTTGTTATCTCCGCCTCCTGTACTCTTCTAGCCAAAAACCGTCCACTACTGTGACTTCCTTTTCTTACGTTTTACAATCCATCAAATATTTTTTCCTTTTCTACGAGCCCACCGCTACTAACCCACTTGTTACACTAAAAACAAATCATTATTTTTGTGGAAATTTAATCTTTTGAAGCCAACAAAGTAAATATTATCTGCGTTTCAATATTTTTGTTATAGGTACCTCTTTTTCATTAACCTTGCTCTAATATTTCCAAGACCCATTTTGATCCTAGCAAGAAAAAGTTCAATGTGAACAAACCTGTAATCTTTTCTTTGAGATAGTTTTTTTATCATATATTAGTAAGTTTATACTTTTTTCTTGAAAAATTGAATCCTCAATAGATAACCAAAATGGTTTAGGTTCCAATACAAAACTGTTTCATATGTAGGTTTACAAAAACTATATACAATTGTTGCAATTTGAGAAAAGGGAGATCAAATGGTCCATATCATAAAAAGATAAGGAGAGAAATAAAGTGATTTTTGGGGACAGTAGATATGGCGCCAATGACCTGATTTTTTGTACTGGTACGAAGTTTAGGCATGCTACTAAAATATTTTTCAAATCTCCAATGAAAATTCAAAGATTCATATCTAATTCATTTTACATTGAAGTTCAAAAAAAATTGCTTAGAAAGATCATCTTCCATCTTAATATGGTTTGCTAGATAATGAACTGAAGCTGAGTAATAGTAACTCTAGAGACTCGTGGATTCGATATTTATTACTTGAGCCACTATACTGCAGTCCTTTTCATTGGTTACACTTAGCCATTGTTAGGAGTTGTGTCATAGTGAGTCATTATGTTAAGGGTCAACGATAACTATGTGTTGATTGTTATGTTTTATTCATTATATAAAATGTGAAATGATAAATTAACCGAAAATTTCTCACTTAATAATAATGTGATTTTATATTGGTTAATCTGGTCAACCAATTAACCAAACCGATTTAAACTTTAATTTGGTTAATTTGATTGTTGTAATAATTTGGACGGTTTGGTTATGATATTGTATTCCATGGTTAATGAAATTTAACCTTATTTGGTTTGGTAATAACCATGGTAACCATTTGAACACCTCTAGTTTAAAGTAGTAGTTAGTAGGCGGAGCCAAGCCGAGGGGAATTGGTTCCATGGACCCACTTGGTGGCAACAAATATGAGCCGAAAATGTTTAGATGATTGCTTTGGATTTAATTAAGGATCTCATAGTGAATCATCACACCCAACATATTAAAGCTTATCATTTCACCTTAATTCTAGTTTATCTCAGTCATTCAAAACACCACTCAAGTTCAAGTTTGGTTACGCCAATGGACTATGGGCGATTGCGGTTGATTTGAGATGACGGACCCAAAGAGGAAAAGGGAAATTAAGAGTGAGAAAGGTTTGTCCGTCTAACTACTAGTAGCTTGGTTTGGATAAAACCGACGGTTTTGAGTTGGAACGTTTGGTCTGTTTACAATCAGCTGCTAGTGTGCCTACGAACATATACATATATATATACGCATTCTTCTATGATTGCAATGAATGATCCATCACATTGATTTTTACCATCAACTGCAAGTCTCTGTGTTTCTTTCCCGAGAGAGAGAGAGAGAGAGCATGAGGATGGATGGATGGATGCATTGCAACTCCATCCAGCCCGGCCTCCATTCCATGCAGGTAATGTTTTCTCCGAATGCGCGCTCCTTCGATTATATATAATAATAATAATAATATGCTTGATTATAATTAAGTTGCATGTTGTTATTGTTAATGAACCGCTCGAGTGTTCCATTTTGAACAATTAAGTGTACGTTTTAATCCGATTGATCGTGTACTTAATTAAGCTATACTGCTGTATATTTACATGCAGTACTGTCTTATTTCAGTACGTACTCAAACGAAGAATGCATATATATATATATATGAATATGAACACAACTACTTGTGTAGAATTGCTTAAACTGAGTTTGTGGAAGCTTGGTTTATACTTACGTGTACGTACATGCACAGTAAGAACCTAAATGTTATTTTTTAATAGATAACAATATGCGGTGAAGGGAAATCTAGAAATAATTAATTAATGGTAAACTAATTAAACAGGCAACACGTCCGACGACGTGGGGAAGGCCACTCCCACTACACTGTCACTAATCACTATATATACAGGTATCTACCCATCAAACATGCGTGGAGGAGTAGCTCCATTAATGTCTGCATCATAATAGGACTAGTTGGTAGCTAGCTTGAGTTTCACCCTCTGTACGGCTTAGCTAGCTATCTTTCATTCAAAGTTACCACAACCGTAGGATCGATGGATCGACAAACTTCAATATATATATACATACGTGAAAAGAGTGGGTTTAACCTCTCACATTATCAAAAGAGTGATATAAAACCTCCTCATGCAATTATACTGTATTTGTCGTCATTACAAACAACATATATATATATATACAGGCCGACAAGCAGCTAGCTAGCTAAATATTCAGAGTAGCTAGCAAATCTGATGAGTAAATTTCATTTTTATATGTATAGATAATTGTTCGTACCACATATGCACAAACACGTTAATATATCATTCAAACAAGGCAACATTATCTTAACACATAATATATCTATTTAGGTTACAAACAAAACAATGGTAGATGTGTGGAAGTACGTCTGGCATTGTGTAGTGGAGCTAGCTATATTCAGCTCTTCACTTACATTATATTACACATATATATAGCGATCATTCCATGACGCATGCATGCGTGGAATGAAATTAATTATGTATGTATAAAGCTAGCTGGCTAGCTACTAATTATATTATATTTATATATTCAAAGGTTGGGATCAGAGGGCCGGAGGCTGATCATGAGGAGGAGCCACTTGCAGTTGCAGGATTTTTGGCGTCGAGAACTTGCTGTTGTTGTTGGTGGTGGTGGTGCTCTGCTTCTTCGTTGATGAGGGAGTTGAGGAAGGAAGAGAAAGCATCGTCGTCATCGTCCTCGTTACCAATATTCTCATGGCTGCTCCTAGTGTCGCAATAATCCTTGATCATCAACATCATATCTTGGTAGCCTTGACCAATACTGCAGCTGGCATCACCATCATAACAACAATAATCTCCCTCCATCATAGTCATAGGAAGCTTCCCTTGTCGATGCTGCAGGTGGTCATCATAGGTGGTAATCATGACATTTTTGTTGCAGCTGGTAGACGATGGCATTGGGAAATGGTATCCAGTACTGGGTGGCTTATTTGATGGTATTTTGGTGGAGGAAGGAGGCTTATTAGTGTTGTTGGCAAGCAGGAGAGGCTTGTGGGTAGTGGGATCAATCCCGAGGCTAATCAACTTCTTGCTAAGGTGTGTATTCCAATAATTTTTTATCTCGTTGTCTGTCCTTCCTGGTATCCTCCCCGCTATAAGTGACCACCTGTTAGCATACAATTCAAATTAACAACAATATTATTAATTAATTAGATCTTATAATTTTAGCATTGGTTGTGTCCAATACAATCCAATAACTCGAGTTGTTGGGAGAAGGTTATGTTGGATCTTATACAGACCCGTGTATGGTGTTTAACCACTTCCTTACAGGCCCCCTCAAACGAAAGCCGACTCATGGGCTTGAAGTTTGCACAGGCCCAGCCCTACCATGTGCTTGAAAGACAACGATTAATATTGGGGTCGTGAGGACTTGAACACGTGACCTCAAGGATAAACCAGCTCTGATACCATGTCATAAACTAGTTTTTTTTTTTGAAGTAAACTAGTTGGTCCCAATAACTCGAGTTGTTGGGAGAATGTTATGTTGGATCTTATACAGACTCGTGTATGGTGCTTAACCACTTCCTTACACATTCTTATATATTCTTATATATTCTATGATGATGATTAGCTTACACAACAATCTCATTCGTCTAACTCAATAATAATATTATCCCTCTTAATCCTTTATAAATTGCTTTCTAATTTAATTTAACAATCTCATTCATTAGACTAGAGTGATGACTTCAAAATTGAATTCAATTTAGGAATTTCGTATAAATCAATGTAGTACAAACCATTTTTCCATCGATGAATTAATTGGTTTCTAACCCGCCGGCAGTATATATGTCAATTTTGTAGATCAGTAAGAAATTAAAAGTGGTGATTGTGGAGGAGGGAAACCCTAGTTAGCTAGGTAGCTAGTTCTAGTTAGATTGATAACAAAATTCAATTTTATGAAATTGGAATTGAAGAAATGAAACCCTAGCTAGCTCGGTAATCGAGAGGGGGATTATTATATTATATTATAGAGAAGAGAAGAGAAGAGAAGAGGAGAGGCGGACCGATCGACCTGTTGCCGAGGAGGCGGTGCATGCGGAGGATGAGATCTTCCTCGTCAGCGGCGATGTGGCCTCGTTTGACGGAAGGGCGGAGGTAGTTCATCCACCGGAGACGGCAGCTCTTCCCGCAGCGGAGCAAACCAGCTCGCTTGGGCAGCATCCGCCACTTGCCTTCCCCTTCTCTCCGGATGTAGCTGGACAGGATCTCGTCTTCCTCCGCCGTCCAGGGGCCCTTCTTCAACCCCACTCCCTTGCCGTTGCCGCACGTCCCAACCGCCGCCTTCTTCCCGCTCTTTTCGGATGATGAGCTGGATGATGGATTCCTCATCTCCATGTACGTATTTCTCCAATTCTCTGCTAATGGGCTCGATCGATCGCCCGGCTTTCGATCTGGGGGTAGCTGGCTGCAGTCTGTCTATAGCTACTTCATTTTCTACAATCGTCGATCGGCCTCTTCTCAATTTTTTCTTACTCGGTAAGTTTGTGAATTAATCACTTTTATTTATTTTATTATTATTTATGGTTTGATTTCATTTCTGTTGATAAGTGAGAAATTAAATGAATGGCATCGCAGGGTAGGAGATTGATCCAGTTGTCGCTGTCAATGCGTAAATGGCGTACTCTACTGTACTGGCCAGCTTTCTTTCTTTCTTCCTCTACAGATCATTATCATCATCTCATTAGTTGAGCAGTTGGCTGTATGATGGACATTTATATCTCGTACGCCTAATTTTATTTGTTTGATTTTGATTTATAATACTAGTTATTTTTTCACCTAGATCAAGATAATTGATTAATTTCTAAATTGACAAAAACTGGTTTTGCTTATCATGAATAACGTTCTATAATGGTTGTGCATCTTTATGTCTCGGCTATGAATTTTGAAATCAAAGTAATATTGAGAGTCTGTATAAAATTATGATTAAGATCATGATGTCATTCATTTATTAGTAGTGAAGTTGGTGTTTTTTTTTATGAAGGGATGTCAAATTACAAACACTTGTATTGATTGTTAACGAGTTGTATTATAGTGGTTCACTGCACTAATAGATATGTCTTGTTTTCAAGTTTAATGGTGCAAATGTGCATGATAATGTGAACCGGGGAAAGTCCCCGAAAATGCCCGGTAGAAAAGTTGGGGGCAAGACTTAATTGATACAAGAATTTGGGCTGTTTGGATTAGTGATTTTACAATGAGAGATTTTATATTCAAATTTGTCAATTAAAAACATAAATGAATTTAAAACGTGTTATTTAGACAAAACCACTCATTTGTTTGTACATCATGACTTTAGGTCAAATTGTCAAATGAGCTGCATCGAAATGGTTTTGTCAATTAAAAATATCGTCAAATTGACAAGCTGTTGGATCAAAGTAATTTCGTCGAAATGGTTTTATCTTCAAAATATCGTCTGGTGGAGGAGGGGGAGCAAACAGAAAACTTCAAGGACCTGGTTGTAGAATTGTCTGGCTATGGAGAGGACATGAGGTTGGTAGAATTCGAATATCATTTTATTTCTAGACTTCCAGATTCTCCAAAGTTAAACAGGCGCATTAGAGAATGTGGAATTGGGGGGGGGGGGGGGTGATAACGATGTAATTGCACATATTTGCGCCCCTAGTTCTTATCCGTTTGAGGGGCATAGTCGTGTGTTTTGGCATATTTTACGTCGGGTTGTGCTATTTTGCCATATTTCAGGTCCCAGGCGTCAAAGGGAAAGCTAAGCATGAGTTTCGGGGCATTCGGAGGTCATTTCGTCAAGCTGGAGCCAAAACACGGGCAGACCTAAAGCATTACACGGCCGTGTTCTGGTGGCCGTGCTTTTTATGCCGAGAGCTAATTGATTTGGCAAATTCAGTTGCAAACACGGGCTGAAAGCACGGCCGTGTTCAGGCAAAGCACGGCCGTGCCCAACGCGAAACACGGGCGTGTTTCTCCCAACTGCTGGCCGTGTAATTAACCCTGGCCGAGGCACGGGCGGGCTCAGGCAAAGCACGGTCGTGCCCTCGACCGTGCTTTGGCCACTGATGCTTTTAAGCAGATTTTCAGCCACAATTCAAGGGGATTCGAGTTTTTGAGAGAGAATGATTCCTAGAGAGAGAAAGCAACGAACAAGAGTCTCCAAGTGCCCTAGATTGATCTTCAACACCATTGGAGGCCAGCTTGAGCTTGGAGAAGTGCCGATCAACGTCCAGGAGCAGGAATCCATCCTTCACAGTATGAATTCCGCATCTGATTCTGCTTTTGCTTCTTTCTCCATGGAGTAGTTCTCCCATTCATCTGGGTATGGAGAACCCTAGATTTGTATGTTAGGCTTTGATTGTATGAACCCAAGTACTGATTCTATGATTTGATTATATTCGATTGAGGTTTGAATGATTGAATGACTTGAATCCTGATCAAATTCCTGTTGTTTCTGCTTTGACCTAGAATGAGAATATCTGCCTAGGTTGATAGAGCATCCTTGATTGAAGGTAGGGAGTTGGTGACTTTAGTCGAGGAGCCAACTCACTATTCTGTACCGGATTTACTCCGGTAGGGGAGGTTTTGTTTGTTAAGGCCTCAATCTGTTTACTCCGGTGGAGGTTAGTCGCCCGCTAGAGACTCAGATTGAGAGGGTCTGAAGACCTTTAGTCGAGACTTCAGGCTGTTTAAGAACCTTCCGCAGTATAACTATCATAGAAACTGAACTTGATAATTGCAATCCGGCTTAACTGCAGTCTAGGGGGAACCATATCCGGGTGACCTCTTTAACCTGAATACAACAGTTTACTTGCTTTGTTTGGGTGGTAGTTTAGACTTGCATTCCAGTTTCATTGCTAGATAACAAGAATTCACTGAGTAGTCATCAAATCTAGGACCCGGGTTGATAATTAAACCCAAACCCGCTATACTACGCTTTAGGAAGTGGTTTCACTTGGCCAATTCCTGGAGTGACAGTAGAAGTGAGTCAAGTTTTTGGCGCCGTTGCCGGAGACGACTAGGTTGTTGAAGAAAAGTGATTTCTGTTAATTTAGCTTTTCTTTTTGCTTTGTTTGCTTGGTCCCACTTGTGCCTTCACGGGTTTGCTTGCTTGAGTGTGTGCAGGTAGTGCATGAACCGTAGCCAGTCAGGAGGTTTACTGCCGTTGAATCCAGAGATTGAACGCACCTGTCGCCAACTCAGGAGCCAACAGCGAGCTAGACTGGCTACGGAAGAGCGCATAGACGGCCACGCGAGCAGTGATTCTGAGGAGGAGTACGAGATGTAAGACTACAATCAACACCAGGGGAATCCTCAGCAGGCTCCCCCAGTGAATCAGGTCCTGGGGAACAACCCCATACCCCAGGATCATGGAGTTCATCATCCACCGCAGCCGGGTCCCACCTTGGAGTACTACTACACTCCGCGGATTGCTGACATCCGCCCGGTCATCCTCTACCCGCCTATCCCAGCAAACAACTTCGAGATCAAGCCATGCTGGATTCAGCTCATTACATCCTCTATCCAGTTCCATGGTTTGAAGGATGAGGAGGCCAGGGTGCACCTTTCCCGTTTTCTGCAGCTGACGAACGGGTTCAAGCTGAATGGTGTCCCGGATGATGCAATCAGCCTTCATCTCTTCCCCCATTCTCTGGCGGGGAATGCTAAGAGGTGGTTGGAGACCCAGCCCCCATTGTCCATCACCTCTTGGGACGATCTGGCTGACAAGTTCGTGCACAGGTACTATCCGGCATCGAAGACTACAGAGATTCAGCGGGAGATCACTCACTTCCGCCAAGAGCCAGATGACTCACTTCGTGATGCTTGGGAGCGGTACATGGGATATTTCTGGCAGTGTCCCCATCATGGCTTCAGTGATGCATTCACAGTGGGGAACTTCTACAGTGCTCTCTCTCCAGATAGCCAGAGGGTGATTGAGTCTCTATGCCCAGGAGGGGATATTCTCACTAAGACTCCACCCGAGCTGAACCAGATGATCAGTACTTTGGCTGCCAGAGATCATTCTTGGGGACAGGGTAGCCGAGGCAGACAGTCCCGGGACCGTGGTGTGCACGCCATGGAGACCAGATCCGGGCTCGAGCAGCAGGTAGCTGAGCTAGTGCAGACATTGAAGCAGCCTAACAGTCTGATTCCGGGCAGAGGTTTGGCTACACCTCCAGTAGCTCAATGTCAGTGGTGCGAGAGCTCCAACCACTTAGTGGAGGACTGCCAGGCTATGAGGGAGTCTACCACACCCCAGGAGCAGTTGGCCTTCATCGCCAATGCGCGGCGCCTCGATCCATACAGTTACACATATAATGAGGGGTGGCGCCAGCATCCCAATTTCGCCTGGAGTAGCAACACCACTAAACCACCTGGTTTCCCAGCACCAGCAGGTGGTTTTCAGCAGAGGCAGCCCTTCCAGGCTCGCCAGGGGCCAGACCCACAGCAGCAGCCCTACCAGCCTAGGCAGGGGCAGCCATTCCAGCAGCCCCAGCGCCAGTTTGCCTAGCCAGCAGCAGCCCCGGCCCCAGATGACAGGATGACGAAGCTGGAAAACATTCTAGCTTCGTTCATGACTAGCACTCAGGCTGCTATCACGTCACTGGAGGTAGGTCAGCGGAACCAGGGTGCCATTTTGCAGGATCTGCAGACCCAGGTGGGCATCTTGGCCCGCCAAAACACCACCAGGGCACCGGGGACTCTGCCTGCCACCACTGTCCCGAATCCTCGAGATCCTCACCAGCATCAGCAGCTGGATGCCATTTTTACCAGGAGCGGTAAGACCATATCTGCTGATCCTGTCCCGGCCAGACAGGAGGAACCACTACCTGCTTCAGCACTTCCAGCCGACGATGCAGAAGTGCGGGTGGAGAAGGAAGCCCCTGCTCCCAAGCCACAACCAGTGGTTAAGGAGCATGTGCCCCAGCTTCCCTTCCCCACTCGCCTACACAAAGACAAGCTGGAGACTGAGTTTGCCAAGTTCATGGCAATGTTGAAGCAGCTCAACATCAGCATACCGTTCGTGGAGGCACTGTCGAAAATGCCCAAGTACGCAAAGTTCATGAAAGATCTCCTCTCCAACAAGAAGAAACTTGGGGATCTCTCGACAGTGTTGCTGAGCGAGGAGTGTTCTGCTATCCTGCAGAACAAGCTGCCCGAAAAGCGCAAGGATCCAGGGAGTTTTACTATCCCTCTTACTATTGGCAGCATGCATGTAGGCAAGTCCTTGGCGGACCTAGGCGCTAGCATAAACATCATGCCATATAAGTTGTATAAAAAGCTAGACCTAGGTGAACTTAGCCCTACTAGGATGAGAATTCAGCTAGCTGATCGTTCCATTGTGCATCCTATGGGAATCATAGAGGATCTGCTTGTTAGTGTTGGTGCATTCACATATCCTGTTGATTTTGTTATTCTTGATATACATGAGGATGTGGATGTGCCTTTGATTCTAGGTAGGCCATTTCTTGCCACCGCCAAGGCACTTATTGATGTGCATGATGGTAAATGATCTTGCGTGCTGGGAATGAACAGGCTACTTTTTCTGTGACTGAATTTGATCACTGTGCTATGATTGTTGTCACCCCTGTGCATGCTACGTCCGATCAGGTACACGAGCCTGTCGTGTATCCTTCTGCACCTATCATTTTGCATAACCCTCCTATCACTCCTTCGCCGCCACTCCATCCAGCCTCGCCTCCAAACAAAAAGCTCAAGGAGGAGTGGCGGCCGAAGCAGCAGGTTGCTAAGCCTGCACGGAAGAAGAGTGGAGACCACTATGAGCTGGTTCCACCTCCTGCACCACGACCACCCTGGCCGTCTGGGTACTCACTCGCCTGCATCTTGCCGGATGGCCAGGTCGAGCTGACTGATGATGGTGGTCGCATCTGTCGGGTGCATGGCCACAACCTCAAGCTATACCTCAAGAGCGACGTGGATCAGCTCTTGGAGGCACCTGTTCCTGCACCTCCCTGAGTATCCACCATGGGCGTCCAGCTACACGACGGTAAAGAAGCGCTTGTGGGGAGGCAACCCCACCACGGTTTGACTTTCTTTCTTTTGTTTTCAGTCGGATTGTAAACCAGTTGGTTTTGGTTTGTTTTCTTTTGTTTTGGATGATGTTTTATTGGGCTGACCATTGGACCTAACATATTGTGTTTGAGCTCTTTGGTTTCCTGTGGTTGTGCTTGTCTTGACTGGTACTCTCTCCAGTCCGCTTCCAGTCTCCTGCAGTCCGTGCATACCGGTAACATCTTTCCCTTTCCCTTCCCTCTTCTCCATTGAGGGCAATGTCGATCTTAAGTGTGGGGGGATGTTTATCTTTTGACTGCATTAGATATGTTTGTGTGCTTGGAGCCTAGTCCACTGTCCAAATTTTTAAATTTGAGGGCTCCAAGTACGTGTTTCCTTGCAATTGCCTGCTCAGTATGCTTTGAGTTGACAGTCTTTATAGTAATATACAACCTAGGGAGGTAGTGTAGTACTATGGAGGATGTTGATGCATTTAAGAAGTCTCATTTCTTCTTCATATTGTGTTGGTTGATTGAGTGAATTAGTGATCTTAGGACCCTTGAATTGTGTGGTGTTGTGGATTCTCTACCTGTCAAGGACTCTTGTTTCATGTTTTGAGTTTAACAGGTGCTCGAAAATGTGCTTCAAAATAACGTCTCCCGTGCGAATAGGGCGAAAGTGTGTAAGGGGAGACGGGAATTCGTTCCCAATTTCCACCTACTACCCCCAGCCCCCTTACATGTCTTTCCCCCGCACGAGGCTCGAGACATCCGCTCCTGGCATGGCCGGTAAGAGCAGGTTGGGACCCTTGAAAAGAAAAAAAAAGAAAATAATAACAGAAAACAAGCAAAACAGAAAAAAAAGGGGTTCCAACCATCTTCAAAGAAAATAGAGCACCTTGACAAATGTGAGTCCATGATCCTTTGTTTTTGAGAATCTCTCCATCCACAATTCATTTGTCCTCTGTTCACTGTTTGCCATGATGCCGACTCGATACTAGTGCTCACGCCGAAGAAGCTATGAGATGACTTGTGCGTCGGTTGACCTCGTAAGTTGCTAAATGATCTAGGAAGTCCTCTACCTACGATCTGGGTTGTTTGTTGCTATAGAGGTCTGGAGAGCTACATTGGTTTGAGTTAGGTTTGCTTGGGGACAAGCAAACGGTTAAGTGTGGGGGAGTTTGATAACGATGTAATTGCACATATTTGCGCCCCTAGTTCTTATCCGTTTGAGGGGCATAGTCGTGTGTTTTGGCCTATTTTACGCCGGGTTGTGCTATTTTGTCATATTTCAGGTCCCAAGCGTCAAAGGGAAGGCTAAGCATGAGTTTCGGGGCATTCGGAGGTCATTTCGTCAAGCTGGAGCCAAAACACGGGCAGACCTAAAGCATTACACGGCCGTGTTCTGGTGGCCGTGCTTTTTATGCCGAGAGCTAATTGATTTGGCAAATTCGGTTGCAAACACGGGCTGAAAGCACGGCCGTGTTCAGGCAAAGCACGGCCGTGCCCAACGCGAAACACGGGTGTGTTTCTCCCAACTGCTGGCCGTGTAATTAACCCTGGCCGAGGCACGGGCGGGCTCAGGCAAAGCACGGCCGTGCCCTCGACCGTGCTTTGGCCACTGATGCTTTTAAGCAGATTTTCAGCCACAATTCAAGGGGATTCGAGTTTTTGAGAGAGAGAACGATTCCTAGAGAGAGAAAGCGACAAACAAGAGTCTCCAAGTGCCCTAGATTGATCTTCAACACCATTGGAGGCCAGCTTGAGCTTGGAGAAGTGCCGATCAACGTCCAGGAGCAGGAATCCATCCTTCATAGTATGAATTCCGCGTCTGATTCTGCTTTTGCTTCTTTCTCCATGGAGTAGTTCTCCCATTCATCTGGGTATGGAGAACCCTAGATTTGTATGTTAGGCTTTGATTGTATGAACCCAAGTACTGATTCTATGATTTGATTATATTCGATTGAGGTTTGAATGATTGAATGACTTGAATCCTGATCAAATTCCCGTTGTTTCTGCTTTGACCTAGAATGAGAATATCTGCCTAGGTTGATAGAGCATCCTTGATTGAAGGTAGGGAGTTGGTGACTTTAGTCGAGGAGCCAACTCACTATTCTGTACCGGATTTACTCCGGTAGGAGAGGTTTTGTTTGTTAAGGCCTCAATCTGTTTACTCCGGTGGAGGTTAGTCGCCCGCTAGAGACTCAGATTGAGAGGGTCTGAAGACCTTTAGTCGAGACTTCAGGCTGTTTAAGAACCTTCCGCGGTATAACTATCATAGAAACTGAACTTGGTAATTGCAATCCGGCTTAACTGCAGTCTAGGGGGAACCATATCTGGGTGACCTCTTTAACCTGAATACAACAGTTTACTTGCTTTGTTTGGGTGGTAGTTTAGACTTGCATTCCAGTTTCATTGCTAGATAACAAGAATTCACTGAGTAGTCATCAAATCTAGGACCCGGGTTGATAATTAAACCCAAACCCGCTATACTATGCTTTAGGAAGTGGTTTCACTTGGCCAATTCCTGGAGTGACAGTAGAAGTGAGTCAGGGGGGATCTCAGAGATCATATCATGTCGCCACCGTAGATTAAAGTTAACAATCGGGGGCGATTTCAATGAAGTTGCTCAATCCCACTAAGGTCCACCTATGCACATTTCTTGAGAGAACCACCACCTATGCACATTTTTGCAAACACATGCCCTTTTCATTTTTTTCAAAAACTACCTCCAACTCTCACATTATATTAAGCAAAATTAGCAGAGAACATGGAGAAACCACTCTGTGGAACCTTCTAAAAGATGCAAAGGGGGGTTTTTCATAAGACTGAAAGAAAGGATAACACACGGCTCAAATGGCTGACTAGGGGGTGGGACACATCATGGCAGTCAATTTGGTCGTGGGCTAATCCTACACCTCCATCATCTTAGCTAATGACAACGTGAATGCTGCACATCATGGAAGAGGGAACTATCGCACAAGAAAGAAACGAGCAGGCTTAAGCCTCACATGACTACCTATATACTCTATCTCTCATTCTGATTCCCTGAACTAGATGCATAAATGACTGTCAAAAGCAAGTGATCAATCCAAGTCACGGTTGGTAAGCAAACAGTTGAAAAACTGAACCCCTACACAGTTCTACTGCACATCTCAGTCATCATAATAAGCTGTCTTAGTCACACTCAAGTTGTCATGCATTAAGTCAAAAGCCATTCAATTCACTAATCACATCCACAGTGCCAATACGATCAAATAGCAAGCAAACAGTAGTGCTTGGAGCCCTCAAATCTCGGGATTTGGACAGCGGACTAGGCTCCAAGCACACATATACGTTCCAATTAATACAAAGAACCCCCCACACTTAAATGCGACAGTGTCCTCAATGGAGCAGAGGGAAGGGGAACGATGTTACCGGGAAATGAGATCAGGAACGGGGACTGGGAGGCATACCAGTCAAGAGCAGGGGACTGAAAGGGGAACCAGTCCAAGGCACAGAGCTAAAGTCAACAAAAGACACACACTGGGTGAAAGAACCAGAGTTCCAAGTCTACAATCCAAAATAATAATAAAAAAAATAAAATGAAACAACAAAAACAGAGAGTCTCAGTCTGGAAAACAAATGAGGTGCAGAACCAGCCACTCGCCACTAGAATGCATCACCACCATCGCCGGTGGGTGGAGGGTACTCGTCCTCATACCCCGGGGACTGCACGAAGGGGTAGTGGACTGCGTTCGGGTCCAAGCCTAGGTATGACATGATGTAGTGCTGGCCGGACATAAGACGATGCCCGCGGTCCCGCTCACGATCGAGGTGGGTGTGAATGCGCTCCTGGCCGGCCAGAATGCGCTCGTTCTGCTGAGCGATGGCCGCCAACTGGTCAGAAATGGGCACCACGGGAGTAGGAGACCCGGGAGCCGGAGACCTGGGAGCAGCGGAGGGGCTCGCAAGAGTCTGGCCACGACGAATAGTACGGCGGGGAACCCGGCGTCCCCCAGCTGCGCTCGACTCTGGCTGGTCGCCCTCTGCAGGTAGAGGTGGATGAGGGAGGCCCGCAATCCAGTGCACACGCCCTTGGCGAGCAACCAGATGATGGTGGCGGAGGACGGCCTCGCTGAACGGGGTTTGTCCTCGGACTATGGTCATCCCAGTGAAGTCAACCCCGTAGTAGCGGGCCAAGGCAGTGATCACCGGGCCACAGACAAGGCTGCGATCCTGGCTGACAAAGGCTTTGGCGAACGTCCGGGCGAGCACAGAGCCCATCTCGATGGTGTCCTCAGAAGGACCCATCGCATGCATGAAGAACAGTGTCCTGAGTGTGACCCGGTTGGACGAGCCTCGGCTGGGGGTGTAGGACTGGGTGAGCAGATGGTTGAGGATCCGCCACTCCGGACGTAGGAGAGTGGCCGCGTCTGGCTGGCAATGTACTGCTCATCCACATGGTTCGGCAGACAAATTCGCTGGAAGTAAGCCTGGGAAGCAAAGTCGGTGGGATCAGTGATGTCCAAGTGCAGGGGCCGGTCGCTGGAGTGCGGGGAGTTGAGCCGAAGTGCAGAGGCCAACTCCCAGTAACTGACGGAGTGCTCCACCCCGCCGAGCGTGAAATGAACCGCATCAGAATGGTCAGCGGACCCCTTCGAGGAGTGGCGGAAGGATGCGTAGAACTCCCAGACGAGCTCCTGGTAGGTCAGCTCGGCGAGGCAGAGAAGGTGCCGCCAACCATAGGGGCGAACAACGGCCTCCATTTGCGGCCTGGCATGAAGCGCCTCGAACACCTCAAAATCGAGATGCAGGTGCTCGGAGATAGTGCGGTTACGGATGGTCCGAAGCAGATGGCGTTGGGTGATGCTCAACTGGTCGAGGTAGTCTTCCATGATCCTGCAAAGCACAAGGATGTACAAATGGCACCAAGCAAACAGGGTCAATGTTAGGCAAAAACCACACCTGGAGCCCTCATATCGA